ATTCTTGAACATATGGGTGATAATAATACTGTTGTTGGTGGAACTTTGCCTCAACGAATTCCAAGTTGTCTTTCTTCATTGGATCTCTTTTTAGCTTGGAATCATCCGATTGTTTCGAGGTTTTTAAAATTATTTTTAAATATAAGGGTTATTAAGTGAGGTTTTTATAGTGGAAAATAGGTTAATTTTGGTGGTATATAGGAATTGTTTCGAATTCCAAGCCTTTTTTTCGATTCATGACTTTTTGAGTTATCACATATTTCGGAAACTGGATTGTACATTAATTTCCCCTCTTGGGCAGGTCGTTACGATCATCATATTTAAAATAGACGGATAATGCTCGAAACTTCGCGTTTGTCCCACAAACTTCTCAATTGTTGTCCATCCTTCAGTTAGCAAGGGTTATCCAGGGGTCGAATTTCAGTGGCAATCCAGGGGCCGGATTCTAATAGGGGGCTATAATGTGGTTGCTAGTTAGTGTATAGTTTTGGTTCATTCCTATTAATATTTAATAAAATTTAATTTTTTTCTAGTTACATCAAAGCAGACACTAGCGGCAAAAAACAACAATCTGGCGGTAATTTACTTCAAACAATATCTCACATTCTTGGAGTTAACGACATTTCTCAATTAAATCCTGATGCAAATTTGGGTGATCTCGGTTTAGATTCTTTAATGGGTGTTGAAATTAAACAAGCGTTAGAAAGAGATTATGACATAACTTTGTCAATGAAAGAAATTCGTACTTTAACATTAAATAAATTAATGAAAATGGCTGAAGGGGGAGGAAGTGGGGCTGCTGGAAGTGCTGCATTACAAGGAGATGGAGAATTACAATTTAGACGTGATGGGGAACAATTGGCTTTGGAAAGTTCTGTTAAAGTTTTGGAAGAACAATTGGGAGCATTATTCAAATTGAGGGTAGATGTTAATGATTTGGATCCAGTTGATATTGTTGTTAAATGCAATAAAGTTGAAGAAGGACCGATTACGTTCTTTGTGAGTTTTTTTTAAAAGTTAATAGGTGTTGAGGACTAATAAAATGTGTCGAAAGATGACAGTTGTCAAAATTAATGACAAGTGTCAAAAAATTTTTTGACATATGTCAATTTTTTTGACATATGTCAAAATAAGCAGGGTTTTTTTGAATTTTTTGAGTACAAAATTTTTTCCTTTAAAGATGCATCCGATCGAAGGAATTGCTTCCCCATTATCACGTGTCGCCTCCAAGTGCAACTTCCCAGCTTATTGTCTCCAATTTACTCGAAACGTTCCCAACGATAGCATTGAAACTGTAGCGGGAATTTACATAAAAGAAATGAGAAGAATACAACCTGTAGGACCCTATAGAATTATTGGATATTCGTATGGGGCTTGTATTGGCTTTGAAATTGCTACACAACTTCAACAAAGTGATGGGATTGATAGTGTTGAAAAATTGATTTTATTGGATGGTTCACATCTTTATATGCAGACTTACAGAAATGTAAGAAGAGAACAAAAATTTTTGAAATAAAAAAAAATTTTCCAGGTCTACCGCCGTGCTTTTAATGTTACTGGAGACACACTTGTAAACAATCCATTATTTGAATCAGAAATTATGTGCGCAATGACTTTACGTTTTGCTAATGTTGACTACAAAAAATTCCGTGTTGAATTGATTCAATTAAGCACGTTTAGAGAACGTCTCCAAAAAGTTGTTGATACTGTGATGAATACTGGACTGTTCCAAATGCCTGATACTGTTGCTTTTGCATGTGAAGCTATGCGATATAAATTTTTGATGGCTGATAAGTAAGATTAGAAAATTTTTTTTAATTTTGCGGGCAGATTTTTTGCTGGTTGACAAAAATATTTGACAAATGTCAAAGTTGACAATTGTCAAAAATTTTAGACATATGTCAAAATTTTTTTTAAAAATTTCTATTTTTATTAATTTAGGTACAAGCCAAAAGAAAAATTCAAAGGCCACATAACGCTAATTAGAGCTGAACAAGGCGCAGCTCGTGAAGAAGATGTTGGAAAAGATTATGGAATTAGCCAGGTTTATTTTATTTTTAAGAATTTAATTTTTGTTTTTAATTTAAAGGTCTCCGAATCTTCAAATGTCTATTTGGTTAGTGGTGATCACGATTCAATTGTTCAAGGAAGAAAACATGTTGACACAGCAGCCATCATAAATGCTGTAATTCTTGATCAACCTATCCCCGATCCACTTCCATCGGTTTCATCATCAAAGGAACAAAGAGGAACAAGAAAATCGGCAAATAAATGAGGAGAAGGTTTATTTTCAAAAATAAGTAGAGCAACGAAATTTAAAAAATAAAATTAAAAGTCAAAATTTTGAAAAAAATGCCATTTTAGAATTTAAAAAAATCCTTCCTTTCCAATTTTCAATTTTATTTTTTAAATTTTTCCAAAATTTTGTTTTCCCCTATTTTTCTAATATTTTCCAAAAAAAGAACAGGATTTTGTGCATTTTCTTGCCAAGATTCGTGTTTTTTGCTTTACCACTAATTCCCCTCTTACCTAATTATTATATTAATAATTATAAATATTTTTTAAAATAATCACCCCACCGCCAAACAATTTTTTTCCTAATTTTTAAATAATAATTTTTTGTAAAATCGTCTTCCTTCTCTTGTTGCCTTAAAATTTTGCAAAAATAGAGCCTTGAAAAAAAATTATTTTTCTAAAAAATGAGAGAAATTTTTTAACAAGTCCCAGGATTTTCAAGGAGTCCAAGGATGTCCAACTCCTTGGCTTTCAAGGATGCCCAAATTTTTTTCGTGTGATGTTTCCTTCAAAATTCCGTCAAAACCAAGGCTCTATTTTATAAAAAATTGCATTTATTATTTTTTTAAATATTTTGTGAAAATTATACTATTTGCTCCATAATTTCTTTTTTTTCTTCCAAATAGATTTTTCTAAATTTTTTAAATTAAATACACCACAGAGATTTGTTATAAATGTGCATTCAACACATATATAAACCGGCCGCAAAATTTCTATATTATTAACTAATGTTGAGAAATTCACTTATTTTATATATTTTTTTTCCTATGAAAGTTTCTACTAGAAATTTTTTTTTAATTTTAAATAAAATTTGAATTTTTTTTTGTACTTTTTTGAATTTTAAAGTTAATTTTAAGACAAAGTTAATTTTATATAAATTTATTTTAAGAAAGTTTTCTTCGTTAAAGGGGAAGAAAATGTTTTTTTTTCACTTCATTGAATCGGGGCAAAAATTTTAATTAAAATTTTTTTCATCGCAGGGATCCGGAGATCGGGCGAATATCAGAGGATTTACTAAGAAGATAAATCATGGGAGGGGAGGAGGGTGGCATCCGTAGATTTAGGCGGATATTACAGGATTTAAGCAGATAAAAATGGATTTTAGGGTTCTAGCGTGGGTGCTCAATTGAACTTTTCACATTTTGTATTTTACCACTTCGACATTTCTCTTTGAAAAAAATCGCGGAATTATTCCCTTCAAATTTTGTAAAAATGACGCTGACGGCTATTTTTGTTTTATTTTCTTTCCTGTTTAATTTACGAAATTTTTCGACTTATGTTTTAGATTTTAAGTATTTTTTTATAATGGAAACTAAAACTCCACTTAAACTATCTGCTTCATGCATTGAAAATTGTTTGCGAATTAAAGCTACTGATGATAAATTAATTAAATCGGAAAGCAAGCAAAGTTAGTTTATTTTTTATTTGTTTGAATTTGTAAAAATTTATAGTTCTAGTTGATGCAATTAATTTTGTAGAGAACGTCAAAATTATGCAACTTAATGAATTGCTCAAAAATGAAGGAGGACATTACATCCCAAGCTTGGAAGATATTCAAGAGGACATTAGAAAAAACTTGGAAGAACTCAAGCTACGAATAACCAAAAGTGATTTTCAAATTCCTGAAATAATTTTAAATAAACCGGTCAAAAAACAAGGTTATCTAAAAAAATTTTTGTTTTTCTGAAAAAAGTAATTTAGGTATGTGGATACAGGAAAAACCTATCTACATTGCTCAACGAAAGCATAGCCATCCAATTGGGAGAGATGATTTTCCTAAAAGTAATTTTTCGTTTCTATGTTTTAATCCCAAAAAAATGAAAAATCCGCTCATTTTTTGAGAAAAGAATTTTTTTTATATTTGCGGACAAAACTTGCGGACATTTAAAAAACTTGCGGACATTTAAAAAACTTGCGGACAAATAGTAAAATTTTTTTAAAGGAACTCGTGGATCTTTTTGTTATATTTGTGGTATCAAAAGTCTTGGAATGCTTAAATGTGCCTCTCCTAGTTGCTTTGTCCATTTTCATTATGAATGTGCAAAAAGTACAAACATTGGTGGATATACTTTTGAATTAATGAGAAGAAATAGTAAATTATATTGTTCACTACATCATTGTACAGCTTGTTTTGCTGATCATAACAGGACGAGATGCTTTAATGGTTGGCTATTTTTGGGGATTTTTGAGGTTTTTCCAAATTTTTAGGTAAATTATTTGCGTGTGATCAGTGTGAACTTGCCTGGCATGAGGACTGCATACCTGGTAATTTTTTTACGATAAAGGTTGTTTAAATAGTTAATTTCAGGTGGATGTAAAATTGATGAAAAAGGCAAAATCATATGTCCTCGTCATGTAATTTTTGATGATGCAACAAATCTCCATTTGCAACATTGTGCTGATTGTCAACAGGGACCGCTTCAAGGAGGTTGTTAAAGGCTATATTTTCAATATTTTGGTTGGTCTTGGTTTTCGCGGTCTGAAACAGGGTTGCCGCCCGAAACTCGGCATTTTTTTGTACCCGAAAAGAAAGTTTTCCAACCTGAAACCCGTACCCGAGGATTTTTTGTACCTGCGGCAACAGTGGTCCGAAAGCCATTTTGCCAAATAGTTAACTTTTATTTTAAGAAAAACTTGTAAAATGCACAAAATGTTTCCGTTCGATGCATTTTAAATGTTATAGCAGGCCAAAACGAGATTACGTTATGGATACAATTGAAGAAAGGGAAATTGCAACTTGTCATTGGTGTGATATGTTTGATTTTGTTCGTTACAATGAATATGCTATGGCTAGATTTTCTAGACAGTAAATACAATTTTTAAATTTTTCTTCAATTTTTTTAATTTTAGAAAATGGTATCCTTGTCAAATTATAAAAAATGATGAATTTCCAATTAAAAGTCCTCAACTTGGCGCTGTTGGCTATCTTTGTGTTAAATGGTTTATTTTTTGAATTTTAATATTTTTGACTTCCGTAAATATTTTAGGCTTCCATACAGAGGCAAAATTTATTATAATATACTTTCGCATAATCGAGTGATTACAATGACTCACAGTGATTATTTTTATATTACTGAAGCTAGTAAATCTGATATTTTTGCAGGTTTTTCTTAAATTTTATTTTTTAATTTTTTCCCTTCTAAATTTTAGAGTGGACATCAGCACAAGAATTTATGCTTAAAAATAGTTTAACTCAACGGCCATTAAAAACTGATCAAATCCCAGATAAATTATTTAGTAATGGTGAGAAAATTGTCAAACAATTGAATGTAAGGATTTTTGAATTTTTACTTTTTTAAATTTTTTTAGCAAAACAAATACTCTAAATCTGAATTAAAAATGCCGCGGGATCGTCTATTTGGTAGGGACAATTGTAAATGTCCTAGCGATGCAACAGACAGATGTGGGCCTTCTTCGAAATGCATAAATCGAGCATTGAACATGGAATGTCCAAAGGTCAGTTTTTAAGTAAAATTTAATTGGTTGGCAGCGATTATTTTTATATTACTGTAGGGTAATTATATTACTGTAGGGTAATCAAGCAGTTAACGGTACTAAATAAGTACCGTTAACTGCTTGATGACGAAACTTACGCTTATAAGATGACCACAATGATTTTATATTCCGTGTATGTATATCTGGGTCGTCAACATTAACAAAGTTTTTCGAATAATTAACGGTTGTTCGAATGATTATCAATCATGTTAAAAAAATTTTAGTTGCTCCATATTGGTTATTGAATGATGTAAATAAATTTTTAATGATTTCTCATACATAAATATTACTCGTAATACTTTTTAATACATGCCGTATGAAAAATAAAGGAGAAAGGGGAGGAAAAATGAAAAAATGGTAAGGAAAAAAGGGGGGCACAAAGAGTAGGGTATACAAAATGAAGAATTACCGAAGTTTGTCTAATATAGGCGTGAAAATTTAAAATAATTTTTTAGGATTGTAATGAACTACCAAACAAACCATGCAACAACAGACGCATTAGTGAAGGAAAAAATTGTATTCAAGTAAAAATTGAATATTTTCATGGAAAAGGATATGGAGCAATTTCAATGGAGGATATACCAGCGGTATAAAAAATTTCTTTGAGGTTAAAAAATATACTTTTTAGGGAGGATTTGTGGGTGAATATACTGGAGAAGTTATTGATGAAGAAGAAAAACGTCGTCGAATAGATAGAATTGCTTCCTTACAATCAAATGAAGCCCAATATTATATTATGGAATTGGATGATAAAAGGGCTATTGATGCCCAATATTATGGAAATGATATGCGGTTTGGAGTTTTTGACTGATTTTGTATTTTTATTTTTTATAGTTATGTAAATCACTCTTGTAATCCAAATTGTATTATCCAACAATTTCAAAGTGATTTTGATCTCCATTTGGTTTTAATTGCAAAGAGAAATATATCTAAAGGTTGCTTTTAATTTTGGGAAATTTTTTAAATTTTCTTTTGAAGGGGAAGAATTATCTTTTGATTATAATATGCAAAGACAAGGACTTTGGAGTGAAGTACCTTCATGTCATTGTGGTGAAATAAATTGTACGGGTATACTTGCAGCAGATCCAGCAACTCGACGACGTTGGGGTAAGTGGATTTTGAGAATTTTTAACTTTCTTGGTTGCTAGGAGATTTGAAAAATAATTTTATTTTAAGGTGATTTGGATTCCTCGTCTTCCAAAACAACAAAAAATTCAAAATCTCATCGTTCTCTCTCAGTTCCATCAAATGAAAATTCAGTGCAAGATGTCCCCTTATTGGCAAAATCGACAGGATATAAAAGAAAAAAATTGGAAGATACAACGAATAATAAATTAAATTTGAAGAAGGCGAAGGTTTCAAACAGTTAATTTTATTTTTATTGAGTTGAAGGAAAAATTGTGCTTACACACGGAGAGGTTGCGAGGTGTCCGGCCTAAAAACGGTCCTCCAAAGTTAGATCAAAAAACGGGCAAAAACGGCTCAAAATCCTTGCTAGCAAGGGCATATTCTCTATCGAATGAGCCCGGTCTCGACCGTTTTTAGTATTTTTTAGCAACCTCACCGTGTTAATTTATTTTTGCTATCACTATTTTTTATTTTTACCTCATTGCTGTCAGTCTTTAACAAAATATAGTTAACTTTATTTTAATGACATTTTGGTTGTTTCCTTTTTGATACTACTTAACATGGATAAATTAAAAGACGACATTTATATGAAATTCTTTTTGGGCCTTAAAAGCTTTTAATACATTTTTTCAAATCTTTTAATCCTTCATTTTCATGCGGCACATTTAATACATTCTGGCATTTTTTTTTGAAATGTTTACTGCTTAAATTGATGTAAAAATAGTAAAAGATTTATTTTTTTATTTAATCAATAAAAGTTTTCTTCGCTTATATACTTATTTTTAATTTTTATTAAAATTAAATTAAAAAAAATTTTCGAATTTTCAGTCAAATAAAGAAAATAAAAAAAATGAATTTATATACGAGTTTATGTTGATGTTAAATGTCTACACCTTTTAGCGACAAACTTTCTCCAGGTTTTTTCATGAAATGATAATTTAATTTTGGTAAAATTCACAGATACTACTTGCGTGGTTTGTAATGATGTGGCAACTGGAAATCATTATTCTGTTCCCTCCTGTAATGGGTATGTTTTTTAATGTTAATATATTAGGGTTAAAAGAGCCTGCTAAAAGAGCCTGCTTTGGGCCTGCTATTTTCTAGAATATTTTGAATTTGATTTCCTTGAAAATTAGTGTTTAAAGGAAGGTAGCAAGTTAATTTGAGACCAGACTGGGGTTGTTATACGAGAATCGTGCAGGATATCTCAACGATTTCTCGCTAGTCTTTTCAAAATCTTGTCTTAATCCAATTTCTAACGTTAATCTTTGTCGCACAAAATTTTCTTAATTTTTTAGATGCAAAACATTTTTTCGTCGTGCTATTGTGGTATAATTACACATTTTCTAAGAAAATTAATTTTCTAAATTTAGAATAACCGCAACTTTGCATGTATGGGCAATGGAAAATGCATTGTAGATAAAGGGGTTAGATGTGCTTGTAGAGCTTGCCGGTTAGAAAAATGTATAAAAATGGGAATGGATACAAATTGTATTTTTAAGAAGATTTTTTAAAATTAAAAAAATTATTTTTGTAAAGCAATTCAATCAGAAAGGGACAGGATAGGATACACAAAAAGAAAGCGACGAGATAAAACTGAACAAACAAATAAAGATGAAGAACATGAAAAATTGGAAAATCATGCAGAGTTTTTTTGAATTTTTTGAAATTAGAAAAAAATTTTTTTAAGAAATGAATTTGACGTTTCTGATGAAGAAGATATTTCTTTTCATGGTTCAATCGATTTACATAATGGAAATAATTTGTCAACTATTCGAGTAAATAATAAAGTTTGTTTGATTACTAAGGTTCATTTTTTAATTTTAAAATATCATTTTCAGACATCCAACTCTTTCGATGGAATTTTGGAACGTTTAACTCAACTAGAAAATAATTTTACTTTACTCTTGAGCCGTGGAGAAATCCATCCGTATGGCACTTTGGAAGAAGCATTGAAAGCACCAAGTATATTTTCAAGGCCAATAAATGTTAAGGTATTGCTTTATTTTTAATTAATTTTAATTTATAATTTTCTTGGGGACATTTTCTACTTTTTTGAAATGACCCCATAATACCAAAACGCTCAAATACCTAACGCCATAATTCGGCGGCATTTCCATAGTTTTGTATTTTGGTGACCTTCGAGAGTTTGGTATATTGACGTTTGGTATTTTGGCGTTTATGGGTTAGATGGAAAAGAAGCCAATTCAACTTTTTCCATCTAATGTCAGTTTAAAATTAAAATATTTATGTTTTAAGCTCTCTGATCCAATTGTAACTCCAAACAAAGACAAACAAAAGATGCCATTTTGGCGTTCACGAATAATAGCTTTATATATTGATTGGGCAAAAACTTTTGCAACATTTCGAAAATTGCCCTATTCTGACAAAGTTGCCCTAATTACAAACCACGCCAGTAGTTATATGATAATGTGTGAAGCATTCCGAACTCCAGAATTAATTCCAGATGAAAAAATTATTGATGGAATTGAACGTATTGCGGAGAAATTGCCGAGGTATTTTTGTAGATTTTTTTACTTTTTTTGGATTTTTAAGAGAATTATTAATATTTCCTCCTCAAAATTTTGAATTTAAAAACAGCACTTCAACAAATTCTAATAATTTGGAAAATTTTGAAACTTCTACTACTACTACTCAACCACCTAAAAAATATTCAAAAATTGTTGAACCAACAGAATCTTGTGATAAATTAGTCAACAATACTCATCTAATATCGCCAAAAAATAATTTTGATCCGGAAAATGAGACTAACAATATAGCAAATAATTTGCCATCAACTTCAACATCCCCTGACAATTTTGCTACATCATCATCAAATAGTCAAATGTCTAACAATATTGATAATATGCATGCGTATGTAAATTTACCGTTTTTTTTTCTTTATCTGCCAAAATGACTTGCACTTATCCGGAGATCCAGGTTCGATGCCTGATGTCAGTTGATGAAGTTTGCTTTAGTGTAGTCCTTGTGTGGCGAGCACTTAAATATGTGGCCGAGTCTTCAATTTTTGATTAATTAATGTATAGGAAGACAATCGCGTGTTTAGTTTTCCTTGAAATCCTAACAGAAAGGTATTGACTTGCCTATTACTGGCAAGTATATAAAATCCTTAGAGCTCTTCCCCTTCCGCATGTAATAAATAGACTGCAGCTGATTTATAATTTATTTACATAAAAAAAGCCAAACTTTCTTTGAGATTAATTTAAAAAACTTTGTATAATTTTTTAATTCTCATACAGATTTTTTGATCCTCGACTAATTCGTGATGGAAATAATTGTCATGAAACAGGTGTTCGTTCTGTTGTAGATGTTCCTCCATCAGTTCATTATCCAGTTAATTTTTTAAAAATAAATATAAAGTTAAAAATATTTTTTTTATTTAGACGGTCGGATGTTTGTCAGGATTAACTCCTGTCATGGCAGCAATGATTGATTGTGTAATGAAACCATTTAGACGATTAAATATTTCAACTACAGGTTTTTTTGAAAATTTTTTTGAGGAATTTTCTCCAAATGAAAATATTTTTTGAAGAATTTGCGGCACTTCAGGCAATTATGTTTTTTGATCCAGGTTTCTTTTTGGGAAGATTTATGGGGAAATTTTTTTTAGACACTGAAAGTTTGGACGCTGCAAGTCAAAGAAATGTTTGTGCGGAACAGAAAAAAATGATTTCTGCATTTTATACTCATATATGCCATTTTCATGAAACTTGTGAAGCTCAAAAACGTTTTTCTTCAATTTTGCTTCGAATTCCAATGATTCGTAAAGTTGCAGCAAAGAAAAATGAATCGCTACAAATTATAGGTTTTTTTTAAATTTTTTGAAAAATTATTTTTTTAATTTTTTTAAAGATCTTTTTAATCTGTTTACTCTCAATTCTTTGGTTAAAGAGACTACACTTGGCATTAAATAAGAAGAGGAAATTTAGTGGAAAATAAATTGGGACTCGGTGATTTTTTAAATATTAATGTGTAGTGTTTGTCAATAATCTTGTCATATATTCCATTCTTGTTATCAGGTATTTTTTTGAATTTTTTTAGTTTAAAAAGAAATTGAGTTGTGATGGGGATTTGAGTTAAAAATGGTTAGGAAAATTTAATTTTGAAAAATAAAAATTTTAGCAAAAAGATTTGGGGATTTTTAACATTATCACAAAACAACTCATTTTTTTTGATTTAGTCTAAAATTTATAAATATAATTTATCATAGAATTAACATATCCTAAATTATATTTTTCTACTTAAACATTAAAAAATTTAGGGGGTGTTGGCGAACGGTTGTTATTAACTCTGATCACTTCCGGTTTTTGGTTAATTAAATTTTAAAAGCCCAGTTTTTGGGTTTACTTGCCCATTTTTCAAGTTTTTTTAATATTTGGTTTTATTTTTTGGGGAATTTTTTTTAATTACTCATTTCCAAAAAAAATTTTTTTCGGTTTTATAATCGTCGCCAACAACTACTATATTACAATTAAAAATTTTAATTTAAAAAATAATTCAAACATAGTATATTATACATATTTTTGTAGATAAAAATTTTTAAAAATATATTTTAACAACTACATATATTAATTTTATGTTATTTTAACACGTTTATATTTTTAAAAAAAATATAAAATTTAATGAAAGATTTAATGTAGTTTGCTTTGTTTCTAAAAATTATTTTAAAATTTTTTTGTTTAGCTATTTTAGTAGCTGCTGTCCCCATTGCCAATAAAAAATGGATGTGCATTGACTCCAAAATCAATAATTCCCCAACTATTTAAAAAAGCTCATTCACTCTTTTACGCAAAAAAAAATTTTTTTCATTCCAGAGTATATGACAAGGGATTATTAAGCCGTCAAAGAGAATGGGAGGGGAGTGAATTTAGTGCACTTATCAATAATTAAGTCTGGTCCTAAAAAGTAAAAATAATAATCTTCTCTGAGGTGTGTCCCCCATTGCCTCTTTTCAATTTCATTCAGTTTCAATTTTTAATATTTTTTTATAAAAAATTTTTTTTTGGTAAAATCACCCTTCCAATAAAATAATAATATTATTTTCCTAGAGTATCAATATCAATTGTTGTTTTTATTCTAAAATTGATAATAATCTGTCGGGTGTTTTTATACAAATTTTCGGAGAGTTGAAAGTATATAGGAAGGAAATAATTTTTTTAAAAGGACACACACACAAATTTATTTTTTTCTGAATAATTTTTGTGCACATAGGGGAGAGTCAAAAAATTTATTAGCTGTGTATTATTAACAGTTTCGTATAAAATTATTAAATAAATACATTTTACTTCCCCCTAAAAATAAATAAAAATGAGTGGTCCTTTACTTCAAAAAAAAATTTTTTTTTTGTTAAATAGACTGACTGATATTTGCTAAAGAGCAGTCCCAGCATTTTTGCTATCACTCGTAAATTTCTAGAGAGAAAATGTTAAATGGGGGGACCTTTTTAAAAATAAATAAACTAAAGGTTAATTCATCTTAAGGTTTTTTTAAAGAGAGGAAGGAAACAAACAACCGAAAAAAATGCCTCTCAAAATTCCTACCAATGAAAAAGACAATTCACAACTCTTACAAGAACAGCAAAAAGACGAAATAAATAATAAAATGGTGTGTGAAGAAGAAGAAGAAAGTGATACAGGAAGGGGTTTGGCTAAATCTTTGACGTTAATGAATGGTGTTTCGATGATTGTTGGGTATGGTTTTAATTTTAAAAAATTAAAAAAAAAGAATTTTTTAAGATGTATCATTGGATCGGGAATTTTTCTGTCACCTACGGGAGTTCAAAGAGGTTTTTTTAATTAAAAAAATTTTTTAAAATAATTTTTTGTAGAGGCTGGAAGTGTTGGATTGTCTCTTCTAATATGGATATTTTGCGGTTTGTTTGTTGGACTTGGCTCTTATTGTGTTTGTTTTTTGCTTAATTTTACTTAAAAATGTCTTTAAAAGGCTTAAAAATGTTCTGGAAAATTTTGGGAATTTTTTTGAAATTTTTTTGAGGGTTTAAAAAAATATTTCCCCGAAAAGGGTTCCTGCTCCTCGAAACTAAACATTTTCCCACTACACCAAGAATGACAAATCAAAAAGAAATTTTGAGCGCCCAAATTTCAAAATGTAAAAAATCAAAATATCTAAATTCGAAACACCAAAAATTTTTAAATTTTTTTTATGTAGTATGCCGAACTTGGTACTTTGATTAAAAAATCTGGTGGAGATTATGCTTATATTGTTTGTTTGCTTTTAGTTTTTATGATCAGTTTAATTTTATAATTTAGATGGAGGCTTTTGGACCTTTTTTGGCATTTATTCGATTATGGGTTGAAGCTATTATTGTTAGGTATATTTAAAAAAGTTTAAAATTATTAAGGACCCCCTATGAGATACACTCTTTGGCTGAAAAATTGTGCTTATAATGGGAGGTGTATTAAATAGAGTGTTATCGCTTCGACGGTCCCTCTATCCAATAGCAACCTACTCATTGTTAGCGGGCAACCAAATTTTTAAAGGCCCTATTTTAATTCGAGGTTCATTTAATGTCGGGCGGTTCCTATAGCGAAGATGTCTATAGTGAGCGCATCTTATATTGGGTGTCTCTTATAATGATGTCTATTATCATATTACTAATTTAGGCCATGTACTTGTACAATTGTTTGTTTGACCTTTGCTACTTACATTCTTCGACCGTTCTTCCCCAATTGTTCCCCGCCTTCAGGAATTATTCAAATGATTGCTGCTGCTTTGATAAGTGTGTGTAAAAAATTTATTGAAAAATTTGAGAGGTTTTTTAAAAATTTTTATTATTTTTCAGTTTTTTTGACGACTTTAAATTGTGTTTCTGTTAGGTTATTTTTTATTTAAAAATTTTTTTAATATTTAAAATTGTCCTCAAGGTGGTCAACAATTGTTATGGATACCTTTACTGTTGCCAAAATATTTGCTCTTTTGCTTATTACTTTTACAGGAATTTATTTGTTGGTTAGCGGTTAGTTTAGATGAATTTTTTTTAGAATTTACTTAATTAAAATTTTTTGTGAAGGAGATCCACTTTATCGAAAGTCATTTGAGAACATTTTTGAAGACACAAATACCAATATTGGCAAAGTTTCAATAGCCTTTTATTCTGGACTTTTTGCCTATCAAGGATGGAATTATTTAAATTTTATTATTGAAGAGCTTCAAAATCCTAAAAGGTTTTTTAAATTTTTTTATTGAGAAATTTAGTGGCTTGTGAATTTCGAGGTTAATTTGGGGGTTGATAAGGGTAGTTGACTTTTTTTGGTACTACACCCTTCAGTCATACTTTTTAGTATGGAAGGAGCGGTCATTGTACTTCCAGTTGCAAAAAGTGACCATGACCGAAACCTTGAAAACCAATTCGATTTTTTGGAACCTTGAGAACTTCGCGGAAGACCATCAAAAAATTTTTAATTTTAATAAGGAATTCAGAATTATTTTGGATCTTTTTAAATCTTCTTAAGCTTTAATCGGGTTCTTTTTCCTTATAAATTTTCTCCTTTATTTTTTAAAGAAATCTTCCTCTTGCAATTCTCATCTCAACCGTTTCTGTTACTATAATTTATGTTTTTACAAATGTTGCTCTCTACACAGTTATTAGCCCACAAGAAATGTTGGCTTCTGATGCTGTTGCTGTGGTATTTTTTTGAGAGGGTTTTTTATAAATTATTTTTTAAAGGAATTTGCAAATAAAATGTATGGACCTTTAGCTTTTACAATGCCTATATTTGTTGCTTGTTCGACTTTTGGATCAGCAAATGGAGTGTTAGTTTTTGGAAATTTTTTTAGAAATTTTCGTAGTTATTTTTCTAATTTTTTATTAGCCTTTTTAAAAAATTTATACCAAATACTAAAATTTTGATGACCTTATTAGCAGTTATACTCACAATCAGAGATCGGACCGTGACGTTATCTTGAATAAAAATTTGGGTTATTTAACTCGGGATTTCTTGAGATAAGGATTTTTTGATTCCCTTACGACCCTTGCAGTTCTGTCTCTACTTACAATTTCTGACGAGTAAATAAAATTAATTTTGAGAAAAGTATATGGAACATCTAAAATTAAAAAATAATTTTAAATTGTTCTATAATAATTTTTATTTTCTTTAAAGGATTTTCACATCATCAAGACTTTTCTATGTTGGCGCTAGAGAGGAACAAATGCCAATTGCATTAACTATGATAAATAAACAAACGAGAACACCAATACCGGCAGTAGCATTTCTGGTATATTTTTCTTAATTTTTGAATATTTTTTTCTTAAAATAAGAGAACCTTTAAGTTTAGGATTTGTAGTGATTTCAGGGTTAATTTAAGAAAATATTTTCTTTTGGGATTTTTCAAAAAAATTTTTTTAGTTTTACCCTTGAGTATATTTCTGTTTCTTTTGCTGATTTGATGAACTCATAGGTGAGAATTGGAAAAGTTTTTTTATTAGTCACGAATGAGAATCTTCGTAAAATGATTCCTCATGTCTTCCCTAAATCTATAAAAATTTTTTAAAAAAGATTTTTTCCTCATGGGCGCCATGTTGAAAATGTTTGTAAACTAATTCTTCTTATCCTTCCCTACCTCAAATTTTTTCAAAACAAATTTTTCTTTTTTTTCAGGGATTCTTGTCACTTTGTTATTTAGCTTTTGGAGATGATGCAATAACTCTAATAAATTATATCCAAATAAGTTATTGGTTGGCTATAGGTTTAGCAATTTCTGCACTTTTTTATCTTCGCAAAAAAATGCCAAATGCTCCAAGACCGATAAAAGTTAATTTAATATTTCCTTCTTTATTTTTGTTTGGATGTATGGCACTTGTTGTTATACCTATTGTTGGGAATCCTAAGGATACAGGTTTAAAGATACAAAATTTTTTTTTGAAAATTTTTTTGAAAATTTTGGAAATTAAAAAAAATTTAAAAAAAATTAAAAAAAATTTTTTTTTTAATTTTTGGAAAATTTTTTATTAATTAAAAATATTTATTTTAGCAATTGGAATAGCAATAATGTTGACAGCTATACCTGTCTATTTACTTTTTATTTATTGGAAAAATAGGCCAATGTGGATTTACAGAGCTTCGGGTATTTTTTTGTTGTTTAATAAAATATTTTTTATTTGAAATATGAGGCGTTTGGTTTAAAAAGGGGCTTGAAAATGGTAAATTACATCTTGCCATAGTGTTGAAAAATTAAAAAAAAACTTTAAATAAAATTTTAAAAATAAAAAAAAATTCAGCAAACATGACTCGTTTTTGTCAGAAGCTATTCCTTGTTGTTAATGATGAAGAAAAACCTTGAGAAAATTTTATAGAAATTTTTTTTGACATTCCCAATTAATTAAGTTTTAAAAATAATTTCTATTTTTCAAAAATTTTTAAAATTCAAAAGACAACCCTATAAACAAAATTTTTGACCGACATATTTTTTACCTGCCCTCTCAAATATTTTCATTTTTGCAATTAATATATATTTTTTATTTTTTCTATTATTTTTTCTTGATAATTTGTTAAATCTTTTTATAATTTTATAGTAGGGTTGTTAGCGACCGGTTTTAAAACCGGAATTTTTAAAAAATTTTTACCAAAATTAACCGTGTTTATAAAATTTAAATTAACCGAAAACCGGAGGTACCGGTTAATAACCGGCCGCCAACAACTCTATTTTATAGTTAAATATATATTGTCAAAAATATTTTTTAATTTTAATTAAATAAATTTTTAAAAATAATTTTTTTTTGTATTTTATAAATTTTAATTGAATATTTTAATTAATTATTTAATTTTTTTTAAATTTATTTTCTCATATTTTTTTAAATTTTTTTTAAAAACTTGGTTGGAGAAAAGCAGGAAATAAAAATATTTTTATATTTATTTTTCTTTTTCTTTTTTTTTCAAAAGCTTTTTGCAAAAATCAATTTATTGCCGACTGTCAACTATTTAAGCTTTATTTCACTATAGCTGGCTGGTGTGCTGCGGTTTTTGTGGGAGGGAAGGACGGTAAGTGAAGCCTTTTTATTTTTCTCTTGCTTTTAATGTTTTAAATGGGGGGAGTTTTTGGATTAAAAATAAAATAAAAATTTTTTTATTTTGTTGCGCGGAGAAAAAGAAAAATTAATTTTTATTTTCTTAAAATTAATTTTTGAGGAAAGGAAGGGAGGAGGGAGAGGCATAAATAAATTTCTTATTTTTACCCCAATTTTTTTTTGATTTTTTTTGAAAAGGGAGGAGGGAGACAAAAATAAATAAAAATTTATTTATTTTGAAATTCTCCCCCCTCCCCCAAAAATGTTCGTCTCCCCTCTCTTTTAATCTTTTTTTTTAAAAATAATAGAAAAGTACATTTTTCATTTTTTAAAAAAGTTGCAGGCTAAGCACACATGACGCAAGATAAAAAAATTTTTTTTTGTTTAATTTAAGAGTACTTGCTGCTTTTTAAAAATGATTTTTAAAAATTTTAAAAAAGCATTTGTTTCATTTTATAATAAAATTTTGGTAAATAAAAAATTTTTTTTTGATTATTCCATCAATCATCGTTTTGAAAACCCTTTGGGAATTTTTTTATAATTTTATTTTTTTGGGGAGATTTTATTTTTGATAAATTTTAGGAAATAAATTTATTTAAAAATATTTTTTCAGCATTTTTTCAATTTTTTATTAAGTGTTGAAAATATTTTCTAGCGTAGCTCCTAAGTTCTGGACATTTTTTTCTTGAGGAAAAAATTTTTTTAATATTAAAATAGCCCAGGGATATGACTAGAAAATCCTTCCAGAAATCGAAAAATCACCAAAAAATTCCAAATCGAAAGAAAAAATTTTGAAACTCGAAATTTCGAAATACCTCTGCAGGTTTCGGGTCAGGAAAAACTTACTGATATCAAGTAATTCGTCTCCCATTCCTTCTCCGAACCCTAATACGTTCCCCTTTTGAGTGAGGGGTTGTTAAGTTTCTACTCTAGTATTCCCCCTACTCTAGTATTTTTTGTTTTCAGACTCTAATAGGGGGCTTTGTGTGATTTTTGTCTTTATCCATCACTTAAGCATTAGTCATATTAATTTTTTGTTTAAAAAATTTATTTATTTTTTAATGTGTTAATTTCTTCATATTTTTTAAGTGCAAAAAGAAATTCCATCCCCCCGCCAATGACGATTTTTTTTTGTGTGAGAGAATCAGCCCCTCCCTATTTATTGTTGTTCCTCTCCACCCCTTAATGGGTGCGTATTGGGGACATTTTATATTTTTTATTTATTTCTAAAGCTTACGCGTCACGTAAAAATAAAATTTTATATAGCCGGCACTACCAGCTTTAACTACATTAATTTTTCTCTTTTTTTAAAATTTATTTCTGCCTTTCATTTTTTTGGAATTTTTATTTAATTTTTTTTTGCTGTGCGCCAAAAATATTTTTTAGGGGAATTTTTTGGCGTTTTTTAATTTTGGCGTTTTTGAACGTCAGAAAAATGTTTTTGGCGCACACTTTATTTTTATAATTTTTTTTTATTTTGATGATTTTTCCTTTTCAGATGGCAAATGAAATGCCAACAGAAAATGAACAAGTAGCGAATGAAGAGAATACTGAACCTTCAAAATTAAAATCAATATTGCGAAATGGAGTTCAAATTGTGGTAGTTGATGAAAGTTCTGCAAAGGATAGGGAATCACCTCAAAAAGTGCCGTTTGAATTGACTGTGGAAGATGATCAGAATCAATTAATTAACGGTTTGGATTTTTTTGTTTGGAAATTAATTTTTTGCGGACAAGAAAAAATATTTTTTTTAATTTTAAAAAATTTCGTTGGAAAAATCCTGAGCCTTTAAAAATTAAATTTTTAAGGATTCAAGGATGATGATGGTGCCGGCAGTTGTTTCCAAGACTTGGATGACCAACACTTGCAAATATTACCAGACAACGACTTTCAAAGCTCACTCTCAATTAACGAATCTCAGGGTAACTTCTTATAATTTTTTTGTGTTTTCTGATTTGAGACTAGGCTGAGGAAGTTTAGTTTATCGTTCTTGTAGCTTTTCCGAAAAATTTTTAAATTTTGCGGACAAATTTTTTTGGTTCCTCGTATTTTTCTTTGACATGTTGTAGTTCCTTTTCTTTAATCTTTCCGCAAAATTTTTCTAATATAAAAATACCATAATTTTTTTTCTAGGTTGTCAAGCAAGAGATGATGTAATTATTGTTGATCATTTACCAATCCCCCCAGATGGAGAATACGGTTGGGTAGTTGTTGCTGCTGCTTTTGTTTGTAATTTAATTGTTGATGGAATTAGTAATGCTTTTGGGTATTTTTTTAATTTTTTTTTTTGAAATTTTTAAATGTTTCTTCAGGCCTTTTATGGCTGCTTATCAAAAAGAATTTGGTGCCAACAAATCCGCGTATGCCTTTAAATTTTTTTAAAAATTGTTTAAAATTTATTTTTTAGTGTTTCTCTTATTGGATCGATTCTAATTGGAATGTATTTACTCTCTGGTATTTTCTAGAATTTTTTTTTGAAATTTTTAGAAAAATATTTTTTCAGGCCCAGTTGTAGGCGGTCTTCTAAACAATTTTGAAACTCGCCGTATTGTTGTTTGTGGAGCCATTATTGCTTCATTATCTTTTATTCTTTCTACATTTTCACCAAATATTTTTGTTTATTATTTTGTTTATGGAATTCTTGGAGGTTTTTTTTAATTTTCGGGAGGGGCCAAAAATTTTTTTTGAAGGAATTGGCTTTGGATTTATTTATTTGCCAGCAATTGTGATTGTTAGTCAATATTTTGAAGCAAAGAGGGCATTAGCTACTGGAATTGCTGTTTCTGGAAGTGGTGTTGGGACTTTTTTGATTCCTCTTTTGTCTAAATATTTGATTGAATGTTTGTTTTGATTTTTTAAATTTATTTGTGGGGAGATAACAAAAAATTAGATTAAATATGAGTAGAATTTAAACTTATCCTTCAAGTTGTGGACGTGGCGGAGTGGTTAGGGAGGTACACTTTTTATATTTGGGTTGGTGGTTCGATCCCTTTTAAGTCCCTATTTTTTCCTCAAGCGCTTTTTGCATGTTTTCTGTTCTTTAGTATCAGCATTTTATTATTAAAAGTATTTTAAATATTTTTTTAAAGCTTTTGGTTGGAAAATAGCCATATATTGCCTAGCTGCACTTATTCTTCTCTGTGTATTTTGTGGCCTTTTATTTAAACCTTTGCCATTGCCAGAATTTGATATTGAAAAACAAAACAGACTAGCAATTGAATTAAAACAACAAGCACTTTTAGCTGCTTTGAGTAGAGCAGATGATGGAGATGATGAGGTTTCTTTTTAATTTTTGAATTTTTGTTGATTTAATTTGTAGTGTAATTCAAATATTTCTGATGAAGTTACAACAAATGGGGGAGGTGTTTCTCCTGTTAAACGGTCAGCAACTACAAGAACATCTTCACAATGTACAAAAGAGGATGGTCAACCTTTACTAATGAATGGACTTGAAGGTGGAATTGATTTAGGGAGAGGAGATGAAAATGCTGATGAAATGGTTTAAATTTTTTTAGAAATTTTTAGGGGGCTTTGAGGGAAATTTTTAAGAGGTGTAAGGAAGTTTTTGGGTCATTTTGGTTATTCTTTCCTTGAAATTCTTTTTAAAACTTTTTTTCTGATTTTTAAAGGTTTCTTCCTCCCCATTAACACCTCATCGTCCCCCACTTTCTCCCATCCCTGAAAGTGGAAAGAGAAGATTAAGCAAAAGTAGAGCTGGTTCTGTACAACAATCACACGCTGATGGTATTTCTGGTCGACATCCAACAGTCGTTTCAAATCGAACTAGAAAGCCTACATTAACTAGGTTGATTTGATTTTTATTTTTAAAATTCAAATTTTCATTTAAAAACAGTATGGCAAGTGATGCATGGATGGGAAGTAGCAATCAACTTCGCTTAAGCCGTGTCAACCTCAACAGCCAATTGTCACGTGTTTCAGCACGTTCATACGCCCAATCACTTAGTAGACTAAGCCAAGCACCACCTCAATCAATCAAAGGCGAATCAACACTTTCTGTTGCTTTGAGTGGAGCTGAACCAAAAGAATTTGCTAGGCCTTTATCTAGACATGATATTTTCCTTCAAGGAAGTATAAGAAATTTGAAGGAATTTGAAAGCGAAGGTTTTTAAATTTTTAAATTTTTTCAGAATCAAAGAAATTTCTCTTTTAAGGAAGCAATTATCAACGTTATAGAGAATCTCAAATTTCAATTCCAATGATTATTGCGGCACAAAATTTATCTTCTTCACTTTCACATGCTTGTGGTGATATGGTAGAATCAAGCAATAGATTTGGTGGAAGTCAATATAGTAGAATAACTGGTGGGGAAGGAACAGAATTTTGTGAAGATTTGGAAGGACAGCAACAAGATACAAGGTTTTTGACTTTTAAATACTAGCTTCAGATCCCAGTAATAAATCGGTAAAAACCTTCCGTCAAAGCTTGTGATCCGTATTTTTTTAGTGGATTGGAAAGTTGGTATCCCTGCTAACATAAGTAAGATAGAAACCCAATTTTTCTTCGACTTGTTAGGCCATAAATGCACCAATAATTTTTTTAGTTATCAATCTTTTTGAGAATATATTCTACTAATCCTATCTTTCTGAACAATATTTTGGCTATTTCGAATATTTGATAATTAGAAAGTTTTAGACCCAAAACCGGAATAGAGGTCCAGCTGTTACTCTCCTCTCTTCAATTATATTTTTTATTTTTCAGTCGTTTCAAATTTATTCCACTTCCAATTCGCCAAGCAATCTCAGAAATGGTTTCTCTTTCATTATTATCAGATCCTGTAATGGTTCTTTTATGTATTTCTTCAATTTTTGGAATGCTTGGATTTTACGTTCCTTTTGTATTTTTAATTGAATTGGCTGTATCTGAAGGAATATCACTTTCTGAGGCTACTTTATTACTTTCACTTATTGGAATTTCAAATACTTTTGGTTTCTATTTAAAAATTTTTCAAAAAATTTCTTTTTAAAGGCCGTGTATTTTTTGGTTGGATGGCCGATAGAAGATGGGTTAGTGCTTTAACAATAACCAATTGGTCTTTAATATCATGTGGGTTGCTCACAGCATTTTGTCCATTATTTCCAAATTACCTCATGTTAATTACTTATTCTTGTTTGTTTGGATTTATTGTTTGTAAGTTTTTTTTGAGAAATTTTTTGCGAAAATTTTTTCAAAAATATTTTTTAGCAGCCTATGTTTGCCTTACATCAATTTTACTTTCTGATTTACTTGGAGTTGAAAGACTAACAAATTCTTTTGGTATTTTGGTTGTTGCCAGAGGAATTTCTTCCCTTTTGGGTACTCCATTAGCCGGTATAGTATTTGATTTGACTCAATCATATATTGCTGCATTTGTTTTTGCTGGTTCTTTAATTGTTATTTCTGGATTAATTAGTTGTTGTATTTATTTTGTACATCGTTATCAAAGAAGTCAACTTAGAAATGAAGGTTTTTTTGTGAATTTATAATTGGGGCCAGGGAGGGAGGGTTGGGGTTACTCGATACCAGAAACTTTGATTTTTTCGTCTCGAAACGTTATCCGACTTTCTCTATTGACTCGACTCGTCCCTGATTGTAATGCGTCTCTGACGTGACCCAACGGTTTTTAATTTATTACCCAAAGGGTGTTGACCTTGGATGTCCTCAATCAAAAAATTTTGCACAGCTGTAACTCGATTTTTTTTTAAATCTATTAGCCCACGCAATTTATGTCCGAAATTAAGGACAGCCAAGTTGTTAACTTTTTAAATTATAACCAATAATTTTGTGTTAAGTGGATAAATCATAGAGACAATCCTTTTTATTTTAATCTTTTTATTTTAATATTTTTATTTTTAAAAGGTGATTATGTAGAACCACAAAAGAAGACATTTATTCCATTAGAACAAGCAGATGCTACAAGTGGAAAACTTTCAGTTTTAACAGAAAGAAGTGAGGAATATTTGACAGAGTATCAAAGAACAATTCAAAGTATTCATCAACAAAAAGCTTTGCTACAAGAATTGGAACAATATAAACAAAGAAATTTAATTAATGAAGAAGGGGAGGAAGAAGATGGAGAAGGAGAGGGTGGAGTAAGAACAGGGGGATGTGAGCAGGTTAATAATTTTTTAAGTGTACTGCGAGCCCAATGTACCGCCGAGCTATAATTTTGTCCAAAATTGTCGAATCCGTGGCGCACTGGTATGGCTTGATGCGTCTCGCCCAGCTGAATCAAACCATACCTAGGCGCCACGGATTTGACAATTTTGGACAAAATTATAGCTCGCAGTACACTGGCCTGCTCCTATTTTTGAATTAGAGAGAAGCCTTTAAAAAAATTTTTTTCAAGGAAGAAAATTTACTGGAGGAAGAAGAAGAAAATAATTTTAAAAATAATAAAAGAGACGAAGCTGAACAAATTATTAATCATGTAGAAAATAAAAACAAGGAAATTGACGTTGGAGATTGAAGAGAAGGAGAAAGAATTTTGATTTTTGTTTTTTTTCCTGAAGGCCGGTGTGACAGGTTTATTTTTATTATTTTTTATTACTTTAAAATTCAATTTTTTTTATTTTTTAGATAGAGAGAAACTTTGAAAATTTTTTAAAATTGTTTCCGTGCAATCCTGTAATACACTTGTGTGAGGTTTATTTTTCTTTTTTTTCTCTTAAAATACAAAACCTTGAAAAAATTGAGGGGCTTCTTTTTGAAATTTTTTCTGGATTTTTTTTTGGGTTTTTCTGAAAAATTTTAAGTGGCGTTTAAAATTTTTTAAATTTTTAAATGGTTTTGTATTTTATAAAAATATTTTATAAATTTTCTTCCTTTTTTTAAATCTTACCGAGTGTGCCGTTCTTATATGTTCTTTATCTACCAATTATTTTTTATTTTAAATTATTTTGGTTATATTTTTCCTGTTTTTTATTTTCCACTCAATCTAGCCTCATCGAAAAAATTTTTTAATTTAAGGGAATATTTCCAAAAATTTTTTTCTTTTAATTTTTCTCTTAAGAAGGGGTATACTTCCAAAAATAAATTGACAAAAAAATTATTTTTGGATCTAATTAAATTTTAGTCCTTTCCTTTTCATAAAGGGTTCTTTATTGTCTTCCCTAAAATAAATTAAAAAAAAATTTTTTTTTAATTTTCTGGGTTAGGATTTGTTTCATTTTCTTATCTTTATTCTTCCTTCTCTCTCTAAAAAGCATAAAATAAATTAATTTCTCGATCTCCTCATATTTTCACGCATTCTTTTATTTTTAAATTTTGCATTATATATTTTTTTTATTTTTTTTTGTTTTTATGAGCTGTAAAATTCTTTTAGAGACTTTTTAAAAAATATCCCACAATTTGTTTTTAATTTTAAAAAAATTCTTTGTGCCACTTAATTGATATGTTCTCTCTCCTTCCATTTTTATATAATTTTTTTAAATTTTTAGTACAATAAAAATGTCGCAATGTTCAAATTTTAATTTAAAAGATTTTTAGATTTTTTTCTTTGGATTTGCAGCAAAAAATAATATTTCCACGTTATTATTTTAACAACATTTTTTGATTTACTATTAATAGCAGTGTTGGTGTAATGGTGAAGGCGCTTGATTTGTAAATTCAGAGGTAGTTCAATGGACGTCGGTTCGAATCCCGTTACGGAATTTTTGTTTTTAAATGACTTGGAAAAATTTTTAGTAGAAAAAATTAATCTCTCGATCTCCTCAGAAGCACAAGAAATTTTTTCGAATAGGGATTATTTTAGAGATTTATTTAATCCCTAATGTTTTAGGAATTAACAGATTTCCTATCAATTTGTAAGAACGCCAACCATAAACGCAATTCTATTGCGTTTTTAAGTTATAAATTACTCATTGCGCACACCTTGAAAAAAATCGAAGTGTGCGTAAAGCTCGTTTTACAACGTATGAAGAACGCAAATTTTTTGCGTTATTGGCGTTTCCAGTTTTTGGCGTTTTTACACGTTATAAAATAATTTTGGCGCACACAAATTTAAAAAAATTCTAAAACTAACTGTGCAAAACCTACTTAATTTGCCTTCTTCAACTGACTGTGAAATTATGGCAGAATGATCAAAAATGATGAAAAACGATTACAAAACTTATAAACTCAAGAGACATTGATTTTTGTTTAAATTTATTTCTATAATTTATTTCAATTTAAAAAATGCTCAGAATTGGCATTATGATAAATTACATTTTGTCCCACTATTATTTTAAAATAAATGACAATTTGCTTTAAAGTTAGAGAAATATAAAAAAGAAATAGTGTAGTTAGAGATAAAAATTAAATATTTGTATTGAGGTCGGTTGAGTGCGGAATTTTGAGAGTGAACTGGCAAAATTTAAAATTCTAAATTTTCAAAAAATCGATATCAATCGATAAAATCAATACTAATCGATAATTTATTTTTTTTAATTCTAAATTTTCTAAAAATCGATATCAATCGATAAAATCAATACTAATCGATAATTTATTTTTTTAAAATTCTAAATTTTCAAAAAATCGATATCAATCGATAAAATCAATACTAATCGATAATTTATTTTTTAAAAATTCTAAATTTTCAAAAAATCGATATCAATCGATAAAATCAATACTAATCGATAATTTATTTTTTTTTAATTCTAAATTTTAAAAAAATCGATATCAATCGATAAAATCAATACTAATCGATAATTTATTTTTTAAAAATTCTAAATTTTCAAAAAATCGATATCAATCGATAAAATCAATACTAATCGATAATTTATTTTTTTTTAATTCTAAATTTTCAAAAAATCGATATCAATCGATAAAATCAATACTAATCGATAATTTATTTTTTAAAAATTCTAAATTTTCAAAAAATCGATATCAATCGATAAAATCAATACTAATCGATAATTTATTTTTTTTTAATTCTAAATTTAAAAAAAATCGATATCAATCGATAAAATCAATACTAATCGATAATTTATTTTTTAAAAATTCTAAATTTTCAAAAAATCGATATCAATCGATAAAATCAATACTAATCGATAATTTATTTTTTTTTAATTCTAAATTTTCAAAAAATCGATATCAATCGATAAAATCAATACTAATCGATAATTTATTTTTTAAAAATTCTAAATTTTCAAAAAATCGATATCAATCGATAAAATCAATACTAATCGATAATTTATTTTTTTTTAATTCTAAATTTTCAAAAAATCGATATCAATCGATAAAATCAATACTAATCGATAATTTATTTTTTAAAAATTCTAAATTTTCAAAAAATCGATACTAATCGATAAAATCAATACTAATCGATAATTTATTTTTTAAAAATTCAAAATTTTCGAAAAATCGATATCAATCGATAAAATCAATACTAATCGATAATTTATTTTTTAAAAATTCTAAATTTTCGAAAAATCGATATCAATCGATAAAATCAATACTAATCGATAATTTATTTTTTAAATTTAATTTTGAATAAATCTTTAATGTGAAAAAATAAAAACCTCCCGAGGGGTCCGAACCTAGACCCTTTTTCTCAAAGTAGAGGACGTTATCCATTACACCACCGATGATCATAACAATAACAGATTAATTAAAGTATATGGTCTTTATATTTTTATATTAAATTTTCACTAGTTAATGAGCTAATTGAGGATCGTTTTTTAAAACATAAAAAAAGGAATGGCATTAAAAATTAAAAAATTATTATTGTATAAATAATATTAATAAAAACAAAAATGTTGTAAAAATAATTCTGTTGATGAAAGGCCAATTTTTGGTGGTTGTTTCTGTTGAATTTGTTTGTGGAGAACGAGGGTAATCATTACACAAATCTATTGAAATTTAAAAAAAAATTTAGATTAAATTTTAAGAATGAAAATTTTCAGAGACTGAAAATAGGCTTCTTATTCTGTTTATTTATCCCATAAAGTTATGGATACTTATTAGATTTTTTCTTTGATTTTTAAATTTTTTGTTGGAACGGTTTTCCTTCGGGTTCGAAAATTATGGCCAGTTGACTTGGTCAAGTCGTTAGCTAATTTAAAAAAATTTGGGAAGTTAAAAGGAAAGATTTTCTTGAAATTTAAAAAGAATATTATAAGTAGCTAGCCAAAATTAATTTAAAACGATCAAAACCCCCATAGCAATTTTGAAAAATTAAAAAAGCACCAACTTTTTGGAACACACAGAGGGGGAACCAATAAAATTTTAAGTATCTCGAGTCTTTCCCCCCACATTTAAAAAAATAAAAATATACTTCCAATGCATCGGCACAATTCCACAGTTCTATTGCTTGATTTAAGGGCCATATGTCTAGGTAAAAGTGCTCGCATTCTTTAAAAAATTAAAAAATAAAATTTTTTAAAAATTGAAAAAAAAATACTAACGGAAAGGTAGAACAAGAAGTATCTGAAAATTAAAAAAAATTAAGAAAAAAATTAAAAAAATTATCTTTTATTTAAAAGTTGGTTCCCTTAAAATTTTGTAATTTTTTTTAAATTTCTGTGCCAAAAAAATTAAATAAAACCCCAATTTAATTTTATTGGCCTTCCAAAAAAATACTTCAAAAAAACAAAAAAAAACTTTTATTTGACAAACTTTAATGAACCGAAAAAATTTTATTTTTATTTTTATTTTCAAGTGTGTGGCCGGCCACTTTAAACAAATTAATTTTGGAAAAAATTTTTGGAGGCTATTTTTTTAATAAAAAAATAAAATCTTACCAACAAGATTTTCAGTAGACAATTCTCCATACTTGAAAACTGAAGAAAAACAACCACGAATTACATTATTACCAATATATTGGCCTTAAAAAATTAAAGTAAAAAAATTTAAAAATTTTATAATTTATTTTAAAAGAAAGAAAATTTTTTTGAAATTTGGAATACGAAAAGACTTGTATCAAATAAAAATTATGCCGGCATAGAAAAATAAATTACTGACCCAAACAACGTCAAGATTTTTCTATTTTTGGAAATGGGCCGGCTAAAGTTTTGATTTATTATTATTCAATAGGACTCCTCGAGCTGAATCGAATGTTTTGAATTTTTTCTTTTGAACTTTTTTAATTAAAAAAAATTTTTTGTTAATTTGTTCCGCGTAACAAAGTGTGCAGAGAAAACTAATCAAAACATTGTCCAAAAAAGTCGAATTACGGGTATTTGTTAAATTCGATCCAGCTCGTCTAGCTGAATCGATTGATAAATATTTAGCCGTATTAAAGTCTGTCCTCATAAATTCTTTTCAGAATTTATTTAAAAAAAACCGGGGAAGAGTCAGAAATTTTTTTAAACAATTATAGAAACCTATATAAAATTTTTCGCATTTTTAAATGAGGAAAAAGGAAAAATTTCTTTAATAAAAAATATTTTTTTACCAGCCAACATTCTCGGTTCAATAACAGTAACACAAATAGAATGAGTACATGGAGTTCTGCCAATAGGTTCTGTTCCAGATGTAATGGCATGACAATCATCTGTAAAGTTCATTGGACGATAATAAATCTGAAATTGAATTTTTTGGGATTTTTTTGAAACCTTTTTTTTTGAAAATTTTTAAAATTTAAAAAATCCATAAAATAATTTTTATTATTCTCCTCATTTTTCCTATTTTTCCATTTAATTTTTTTTACTAAAATATTTCTATTTATCCAACTAATATTTTTTCTAAAAGTCTCATTTTGCATTTTTTTCAATTCTTCTCATTTTACACAAATTTTACAACAACAACCAAAACAGTTGTTTTAAAAACTTTTTTTAAAAATTTTAAAAATAAAATAAACAAAAATATTTTTAAAATTTCCTTCCTTTTTAGTCCCTTTTAATTTAAATTTAAAAATAATTTGGGTCCTCGAGGGAATTGTTTAAATGGACAAACAAAACAATTTAAAAAAATATTTTTTTTTATTTCTTGGGGTAAGCAATTAATTTGTATAAAGAAAAGACAAAAAAAATAAATTTTAAAAATAAAAATTTCAAAAAAAATTTTGAGAAAAAATTAAAATTTTAATTTCAATATTTTCAAATAAATTTAAAAAAAAATCCAAAAAAAAATTTTCTTAATTTAAAATATTTATTTATTTCCCTCCCTTTAATTTTATTTATTTTTCCAAAAAAAAATAATTAAAAAATAGACCACACTAACCGAAAATACCCAAACTAAAAATCCCTCCAAAAAAAGGAAGGAAGATATGCGTGCCCTCGAGATATTCTTTTTAAAAAACAATTTCAAAAAATGCTTAGACAAACAAAATAATCTTTTCCAGTCTTAAGAAAAAAAATTAAAAATATTTAAAGAAATGCCCAAAAGATCAAACCTCAAAAATAAATTATTTTATAAATTTTGTTAGCGTGAAGAAAGAAAAAAGAAGAGAGAGTTGGAGGTCAAAAAATTTCAAAAATTCGATTAAAAATCGAAAAAAAATTTTTTTCCAAAAGAAAAATTAATTTAGAAGAGTATCCAAAATATCCCTTCCCCTTCTTTATTTTCTTTATTCTGGTACAAAAAAGGCTTCCGCCTATTGAGAAAAGCTAATTAATTCATCCACGCAACAATGAAAATGGAGATGAATTTATGTAAAAAAAATATGTCGAGAAAGAATAAAAAAAAAGAAAAAATATAAGAAAGGAAAAACAAAAAGAAAATTAAATTAAATAATTAAAAATTGAATTTAAAATAATATTAAATAAAAAAGACTAGGAAAGGAGTCGAACCCATCCGCCCACCCAAGGGAAACCCAAAACAATACCAACTACATCACTGATTAACATATTCAATTTTATCTTTCGAGAGTTAAGTAAATAAGTAAAAATTCGAAAAATATGTATTTGACTAGCAAAAATTAAAAAAAATTTTTAAAGAATTTTTAAGGCCCCAAAATTTTTTTTTTAATTTTTAAGGCTTCCAAAAAATTTTTTTAATAAGAAAAATCTTTTTTTATTAAAAAATTGGCACTTTAATTTTGGCCTTTTTCTTTATTTATTTTCATATTTTTTCCTAAACCAAAAAATTTATTACAAAAGAGCAAAAAAATTCAATTTTCCCCCCCATTTTTCTTTTCATCTTCTCTCCAAGGAAAAAAAAATATTACTATTTTTATATTAAATAAATTTTTTCACACGTTTTTGAATAAAAAAATGAATTTTTTGGAAGGTGTAAAAAATTGACTTATTGGCAGAAAAAATTTTTTATGGATTTTTTAAAAAATTTTTTGAAAAGCTACCTGACTCAGATAAGACCAATGAGCTTCAAATTCTTTAGACATACAAGAGAAGCAATAACGTTGTTCAGAGAAGCTTTATTTAAAAAAATTAAAATAATAAAATTTCTTTATCTTCTATATCAATGAGTTAAATGAATCCTAGTTAAATGTCTAGTTAAATGAATCCAAATTTAAGCTAGGGTCTCAACTATCGGTCGAAATACGTCCCCTGAAACCCGAAAAACCCATAGGAAAAACTCGAAAATCCATGATTTTTTTCTCAAAAATAATTTTTTAAATATTTTAAATAATTTTTTTAAATCTAAATTTATTTTTTACCTATCAATCCCGTTATTGCCCATATTAAAATCTGAAAGTGCTCGACTTTGTGATGATGAAGAACCTCTTCTAGCACCAACCAGAACAATATTATTTTCAATTAATAACCAAAAAAATATATAAAATAAAATATTAAATTGTTGTTTTTGTTTAGAGATTTTTGTTGTTTTATTTGTTGATTTTAATAAGGTGTAAAGAAGAAGTTGACTTTTACGCATCCAACGGCAGCGGCCGATTAAAGGCGGCAATTGTTGAGGCAGCAGCAGTAATGGACAACATTTTGATTAATTTAACTTGGACATTCTAAAAATTAAAAATAAATTTTAATTCTCGATTTTTGTGCTTAAAAAGAGCCCAAAAAATTAAAAAAAATTTTTTGTCTAAAAAATAAAAAAAAAGACAATAGCCTTGAAAATATGCGCAAAAAGCCTCAAACTTTCACAACTAAAATCATCATTCCGGATGAATGAAATATGCCAGAAAAAAAATTTTTTTAAGAGAAGAAAAAAGGATAAAATAAAGAATTATTTATTAAGTGAGAGGATGAATCGAAAAGGATTAAATAAAGCAGGACTTGACACAAGACAACTTTTTATATGAAAAATGTAAGAGAAAGATAAAATAGTATAGAAAAATGAGAGAATATCTAGTTTTTATTTAATGAAAAAATATTTTTTTTGTGGATTAGTTTTTAAAGGAGGAATTAAAAAATTAATATTAAAGTTGATATAAAATATTGAAAAATATGAGGTGTGATGACGCTCTTATTAAGACGTTTATAATATTTTTCAAAAATTTTTTTGATCACTTAATTGCCCGAAAAATCATCAAAATAGGTCGAGGGTAATTACTGCTATTAAAAAAAGCCAGAAATATTGGGAAAGACATATTGAAATATTTCCATATCGAGATACTTCCACTGGATTCACGACCTACAGCCACTGGGTCTTGGATAGTACATTGTCCTATTGAAAATATTTTTTAGAATTTAGAACCAACGTAAATCCACAAGAAGTTTTTCTTGTCACCGCAATCCCAATATGTCTCTCCCGACATGTCTCCTTACCGATCCAATCCCAAAAAAATAAATTAATAAATAAAAAATCTGTCATATAAACACGTCAACTAAAGAGACAGTGAAATTAAGTTTTTGGTGACAAAAAATGAAAACGGATAAAAAATAAAAAGGGAGGGACAATTGAGGGTTTTGGAGTATAAAGAGGGGGGGAATCCTCAAAAAGCTCTATCCCTCTCCCCCTTTCTTTCATCTCATCTTCCTTTTACAACATTTCCCCCTCTTATCTTATGCCATAAACAATTGGCTCCTCCCTTTAAAGCTTTTTCATGAAGAAGAAAAAAAGGAGGATGAAGCAAGAGAATCAACAAAAAATAAAAGAGGTGACAAAATATCCCCTCCCTAGTCTGAAAAAAAAACTAGAAAAAAAAATGCCAGAATTGTTATACCAATTTTGTGTTGTTGGCACTTGGGATGAGTGAATTTGCTCATTGTACATATCTAGTTAAATATATATATATAGCCAATTTTTTTTTGGGGGGGGGGGGGGGGGGGGGGGAGTGTGTGCTCATCCAAGCTGCAACAAAGCAATAAATAAGTATATGTTTTTTTGAAGAATTGTAAAAAAAAATAGAATTAAATTAAATATAAACATGGAAATGGAAAAGAATTTTATTAAATTTCATTAATAAAGTGGAAAAAAGAATGCAACAATGTGTTAAAAGAAGTTTATGAAAAAAGTGAAAATTAAAAATAAGAGAGAAAAAGATGTAGAATATGATAATGATTTGAATAATAATTGAATAGAATTTATGTAGAAGTCTGCGTCAGAAGGAAGTTGATAAATGTGTATCAGAACACGGTTACACGTTGACCTAATACAAGAGCTTATTCAACGCAAAACCCCGACCCGAAAAAAAAATTTTGAAAGACCGAACCCCGACTTTTTTCTCCATCCCTGCTCCAAACTCTAATTATGATCTTCTTTCTATTTATCTCGTCTTTCTATATCCCCTTATTTATTTTCTTATTCCTTTTTATTTTTTAAAGATCCCCAATGTTCTTAATATTAACAAAACCAGCCGTGTTTTTAAACTAAACTAAATACACTATAATCTCGCCTCTTGCTATCAACCCTTCACGTTATTTTTCACTCTCACTTTTACTCATTTCCCAAAAAAAAATATTTTTAAAAAATAAAAAATGGTTGTTGTGCCAAGCCCTTCCTCTGCAGCAATAATCCATTCAGAACCCCCTAGGCAATATCCGGTTTGATTTTTAAAAATTCCTATTAAATCCAAAACTCTTTAAGATTATTCGTACTCGCTCCCTCGGAGATGTTTATCATTCAAATAATTTGTATAATCAGTCACAATTTGCTGCTACAACAATACCTATCGGAATGGCTTCTAAAGTAGCTTACAAATTTTTTAAACTTAAGCACTCACAAAAAAATTTTTTTCACAGCCAATAAATATTCACAACCCTTATTGGACATACCAAGCATATTGGCCTTATCGTTATTTTCGCAATTACAGAAATTATGAGTAAACTAAAAATATTTTATATTTAAAAAAATTTAATTTTACTAAAGAAATTATATAACCGATTCATTTTATTGGCACTATCCTTTCCGCCTATGGAATTCTTACAGAGGGAATTGGTATCATTACGACTCTCCCTATTTTTATCGTTTGTTTGTTTTAATTTTAAAATTAAAAAAATTTTTTGAAGGTAGATATCATGATTATTACAATGTTTATTACAATTCTGAATTGATGTCTTATGGTGGGAATTTAAAATTTAAGAAACTAAAAAATAAAAATATTTTGTAGGCAATCGCTCAAAGCTGATAGAAAATCTCTTCCAAGAGACACCAATAACTCAATAAAAAAATCAGAAGGATAAGGAAGAAAAATCAGAAATGAGAAGAAAAGATTTTCTTGCTACAATGAATATAAGAAAAAAACCAAATTTCCCCATTAATGTCCTTACATAATTAGTCGAAAAAATTGTCCTTTTTTCCAAAGAATTCTTTGACCCGTTTAAAAATTTTTTAAATAAAATTTTCTCAATTTTTAAATTTCTTTTTGTCCAAAAATTTATTTTTCCAAAAATCAACATCTAAGATAAAAAACATGCTTCTATTCTTCCTTTCCTATAAACTTTTTTAAAATAAATATTTGTGTGGGTGGAAGAAGCATTTGGCTAAAATTAAACACTAAACTAATCAGAACATTTGCCCTTTAAAAAAAATAAAAATAAATAAAAATTTTGAACGCCAAATGGTTAACCCTCGTTTTTCTCACATTCTTTTAACCTCTGGAAGAGTTTAAAAAATAATAGAAAATATTTATTCCTAAAAAAATAAACAACCCGTTAAAAAATAATTTCTTAAAAAATTTCCAAAAATTTTCTAAAAAAATTTCTACCTTTCTTAAAAAATTCAGACAAATTAAAATATTAATTTAACAACATGGCAGACTTAGAAGTACAACCTTTCGGGTTAACCCGAGCCCAATCTGCAGCAGTTATTCGAGGAAGTGCTATAGACAATCAACCTCAACTAATGGTTAACTGACTTTTAAAAATTTTTCCATCCTAAAAAAATTTATTTTTAAAGTTGACACGGACATATTCAATCCCCAATGTTTTTGATTATCATCGACGAACAGATCAATACAAGTTTTTTTCTTAAAAAATCCTTTAAAAATTCTTCTTATTTTCAGACCTCAATTTTCTATTTATTCTTACTCCCTAGCTAAACATCGTCCTTATTTTCCATATCGCTATGTGAGGGATACTGAACGAGTAATATCTTTAAAAAATTTTTTAAAATTCTTAAATATACTTTAAGGGCGCCGCAGCTAATAGTTTTTGGTATAATCGCTATTATCAATTTACTCCCCTCTTTAAACGTTCAATCTTCCGTCCCTATTTCTACTATCGGTTAGTTAAATACTCAAAGAAAAAATTAATCTTATAATCCTTTTATTAAAGCCACGATTTTGACAATCCAAGCTATTCAAGACGAGCATACGACCCATTCTTTACACCTCATTTTGACGCATATTCTTATGGAAATTGGGGGAAAGTTCGACAACATTATGTTTAAAAAGAAAATTGAGAAAAAAATATAAGAAAGAGAGAGAGATGATTTTTGAATAAAAATTTAAAAAAAAATATAAAGTTTGTAAAAAAGAGCAGATAAAAGATTTTTCTTACTTAAAACTCGAAAAAGAAAAAAGATTAAAGGTAATACCCATGCCCGGAATTCGAACCTTGCCCACTTCATTAATTAAACCAAAGATATCTCAACTTCACCAAAGCTAAAAGACCTAAAGCTTATTCTTTGTAACATTTGTTTTTGTTAATTTCGTTCTCTGATTTAATGGAAGAACCCCATTTTCCCCTTTAAATCTTCTCTGAATATCCTACAACAATAAAAATGCATGATATGCCCAGTTGTTTATTTTTAAAAGTATAAAGCGGGGGCGTGTTGAATTAAATAAGCAAGAGTAAAAGATCTGCTTTCCCTTCTCCCATTTAACTTCAACAAAAGTTAAATCGATCGGATAAAAAATTTTATCTTATTTTTAATCCCCCTTCCTTACTAAAGAACATTTTTTAATTAAAATTTACCCCTCCTGTAGATATGACATCAGACAGACTTGGCCCTGTTGTTCCAGATTTGACCAGCCAAGAGACCAATAGACTTGAACGAACTAGTTCCTTGGTTGATTTGGCAATTCGGGATGGAGTTCCATATCCTCCTAGGCCTGCAATTAATAATGTTCCTCCATACCTGAATATGGTAAATAGAAAAACTTTTAATCCATGTAAAACACCTTTTTTCAGTTGACTCGAACATTTTCTGTTCCAAATGTGAACCAGTACACGGTAAACATCTTATGATCCCAAATCTCTAAATTATTTTTAAAAATTATTTTAAGGGTGCAATAGGTCCTTATCGACCAGCAAATCCTGTCTATACTTATTATAGCTATAAATGCTATTTTCCATATAGAAATTATCGAGGCTACACACTGGTAGTTTTAAAAATTCTTTAAAAATTATTTTTTCAAATTTAAAGACGGATGCTTATTGGTACGACCGTTATTATTATTTTTCGCCAATATACAAACGGTCAATGTTTCCAATTAGATTCCGGCATTCGTACGTTTTTTTGGAAGTCAAAATATTAAAAAAATTTTAAGGGACTACAAAGCCAATCCAAATTATTGGCACTATCCACACACCTATTGGAGCTACCCTTATCAAGGAAAATGGTAAGTAATGAGGTAAAAAATATAAAATTTCCCTCCACTTTAAAGGTATGACTATGACAATCCAACAAATTACCGCCCATTCTTCGACCCACGAATCAGCGCATCATTTTCAAGACCTTACCATTACACATCACATGCGCTAGCATACCCAAATAACCATCAACAAGGAATGATCCAGAATCGATTCTAAATGCTTTAAAAAAATAATTTTTATATAAATAAATTAGAAAAAACAATTTTTGCATTTTCTGAAATTGAGAATTAAAATTTTTTTTAATTTTAAAAAGTAATTTCCAAATCGTCATCATCAGAGTTTGTATTCATATCATCATCATTAACATCCAAATTAACTTCCTTTCTTTCAGTAAAAGGGGTTTGGATAGAGCTTAAGGATAAAAAGGTTTTGTTTTGAAGTACAAACACACAATAAATGTGATTGAGACACGTTCCCTCGGTGCGGAATCAACCTCTAGATTTGAGTATTGGGACTTGGGAAGGAAACCCATTTATTTTTAGGTTAACTTAAGAAACCCAATAAAAACCCCTCAAAAAACAAACTAACTCATCTCCTCCTCCAATAGGTCTAGGTGCATCAGAAGGTGTTCTGTAATTTGTACTAGAATTGCATTGCGTCTGTGGTGTTGAACTATAAGATCCTTTAGCCAATTTATCTTGGGTTTCCTTCCTTTTACTTTTAATTAATTGCAAAATTCGGTAACCTTCCTCCTATAAAAGTAGATAAAATTAAGTAAAAAAATAAATTCAAAAAATAAATAAACCTTTGAAATATCATAATCAAGGCATCTCTGTGCATAATCATAAGAAGTATCAAGATTTGCTTGTTCCAAATAGTAGCTAGCTAGGAATCGACAAGAAGTTGCGATTAGACTTAAGTCACCAACCTTAATAAAATTTAAATTAGAATGTGGAAGAACCGCATTTTCATGATCCCGTAACGGGACTTTTTAAGAGATCGAAAGGGATGAGATCCCGCGGGATAAATTCTGATCATCCCGTTCGTTACTTAAAACTCCAAATTCCTGAACGAAAAAATGCCGAAAATCCGGTAAGGTATCCCAGAAATAATAGCTCATTGTCAGGTGTGCGAACATATCGTGACGGACATATCGGGATTGGGACAAAAATAGTTTCTTGCGTGTTTACGTTTGTTCTAAAACATAAAAACTCTATACCTCAATATAACAATATACTATCCAAGACCCAGTGGCCGTAGGTCCCGAAATCGGTAGGGTAATTGTTCATACATTGAAATATCCCGATATGTCCGTCACGATATGTCCGCGTGCCAGCTCACCAATTCCTCAGTGTACAATGTCAAATAGGCCTCATAAGCTTTTGCTGCATTTCTCTTATCATTTTGATCCTCATAAAGCCTTAAAAAATTTTAAAAGAATTTTCAAAGTATTTAAAAATCAAACTTTGCCAAATGAATTAATGCATTTCCCTCAACATCCCCAATTTGAAAAGCTTTTTTAAAACATTTTTCAGCATCAGATTTTCTATCCAATTTAGAGAACATAACTCCAAGGGCTATTAACATTCGAGAATCATCTGGACGACATTTATGTGCTTTTTTATAATAAAATAAAGCATTTGATGGTTGTTTCATAATTTCGTGTAATTGGCCTAATCCATACCAAGCTCTATAACAATTTTTGTCGATTACTTTAAAAAAATTTTTGAAATTAAAAATAAAATTTAAAAAAATAAACATGTAGCTTTCTTGTAAGATGAAGTCGCTGATTGATGATTTTTTGTTTCCAAATATTCGTGGCCTAATAAAACCCAAAGAGAGGCATTTTTCGGACATAACATTATTGAACGCTTCAAAAATTCCTGAGCTTGTTCGTGAATGTTTTTTGCGCTGTAGTAATTGGCTAAATAAAAAAAATTGAAATTTACAAGAGTAAAAAAGGAAAATCAACTTTAAACCTTTTTCAATTTAAAAATTAAAAAGTATTTCAAAAACTCTCACCAACAATGCAACAAGTTTCCCAATTAAATTTATGACTGACAAAAAACCATTTTGCTAATAAGGCAAGTTCTGTAAAGTTTTGCTAGAAAAAAAATTTTTTAGAATAAAAATAAAGAGTGTTGCGAAAATTGCGGACGATAATTCCCGATATAAAAAAAATTTTTTAAATGCGCCCGCTTTGGAGTACCGGATAACGGTTCCCAAACTTGAATAAATACTTTTAAAAATTTTGTATCCGAAATTGTCGCTACAGTTGTTGTATTTATCCTAAATTGCTATCCGAAAAAATATCCAAAACAAAAAAAAATAAACTTTTAAAAATTTTACTTACTCGAATATACAACGAATCGGAATAGAAATGCATCTAAAAAAATTAAAATCTTTAAAAATTAAAAATTTTTTAAAAAACCTGTTCAATTCTATAAGGATCAGATTTTCTAATTTTTTGAAAAGAACTAATTGCCCCATCGTGTTCTTGCAATTCTGATTGTGCTGTAGCTATTTGACAAAGAATGTAGGGAGAAGCACCCAAATATTTAGAAACGTCTGTATATGCTTCTATTGCACAAACAAAAAGTAAAAGACGTGACATTGTTTCAGCGACAAATAAATTGTAAAGCCAAGTTTTGCTATAAACTTCTTTTTCTATTTTAACCTTTTAAAAAATATACAAATTTTTTTTTTAATTAAAAATCAGTTGATCACTATAAAATACACCCTTGAGGCTAACATACCCATACAATGAGGTGTATGTTAAATTTGAATGTCACTTAAGCACCAAAGCAATACCATTTGGTGACCAAACTCATCAGTGTTGGTCATTCAACCGATTAATTGGTGTGAAATCGAACTTTACCACGGGGCGCTTTGAGGTTTGAACCTGTTCATGGTTCAAACCTTTTCGTTTTAGGGACAGAGCCAAAAATTTTCAGATGATGGTAAAATTTTTATATAAAATTTTTGGTTATAGTTCGAAAGGTTCCTTTGTAAGAATGAGGTTTGACCATTAAGAAAATATATTATAAAAAATATATTTACCACATAAAATCCATCCACCAAACTCGAAAGGCATTCCCAAGCAGGCCAACAACGATTGTCTTGTTGAATCTAGAAAAGTTCTTAAAATATTTTTTTTTCTAAAAATCAAACCGATTCACTAAATGCTTGAATAGCCATATCAGTTGCATCACATTTTAGTCTTACGAGACCTAACCTAGAAAATTTTTTAATAAAATAAAAATGCAAACGAATTACAAATAATTGAGAAAGCAGTCAAACAAATGTGGAGAATTTAATTTTAATGATTCCAATTCACTTCTTAATTCTGAAAAAAAGAAATTATTGGGAAAAAGAGTAAATTAAATTCTTACAAGCTCAAACTAGGGATGTTGAGAAAGTCAGGTCGAGTTTCGGGCTGGGTTTTCGAAATTTACTTTGTATCGGGCTTCAATGCGAAAAGTCCGGGTTTCGAGTAACACACCCATCAATGGCTCAAACCTAACGCCAAACCAAAACTAATTCGCGACAAAAAAACAAAATCGAATTTCTCGGAATAGACCAATCGAAACAAAAACAGCCCATCATATGAAAAAATATTTAAAAATATGTAAAATAAACCAGAAATATTATCATCATACGAGGGTTCCTTAGTTTCCAAGTCTTCAGCATCGCCTTCAAATCTATCCCTTATAGAGATCAAATACCAAGAATAATAATACAAAAAGGCCTCCAAACAGTCAGATTCTTTGCTTTTTGACAAGAAAAACTGAAAATTTTTGACGAAAATTTTTTTCGGAAATTTTTATTTAAAAAATCCCCAACTCTAGTTTGAAAAATTTCCAACCGAAAACAAAAAAACTCTAACAAAACCTTAGCTCGATGGTAATATTTGTTGGTCATCAATGTCCGTACAAACATTATTAAAGCTCTTCTCTTCATATTTATTTCCCCATAATGCCAATTAGAAGATTGTGCTACATCTGGTGACGAAAAATGACTTTGAGGTAGATGATTCAATTGTTCGTTTGCCCTTAAAATTAAAATAATAAAAAAAAATTTTGTAAACAAGAAATATACCAAAGAGCATGTTCAAAAATACAACGCAGTTCACATTGTTCAGCTAGCCAAAATAGATCGTTCACAACTTTGGCTGGATTTAAAGCAGGTTCAATTTCGTTATCAGGAGCACTTGATTCAAGCATAGACTCCATTACTATTTTTTTAAATACTTTTTTGCTTGGAATTTGCCCGAAATTATTTTAGCAAAAAATTATTTAAACAAAAATATCACAAAAATAAAAAATGAGCAGAACATGTGACAAAATTTAAAAAATTCAAGAAAGCGTTTATTGAAACAAAAATTCAAATAAATTATAGAACAAAAACAAAATTTATGCAAAACTTAAAGATAAATTGTATTTTAGTCACCCTCAATAAAATCCTTTGGAAGCACCGATTCCTTGGGAGCACTAATTTTGAAACCATTATCAACCTGTCGCTGAACCATTTTAACATAAGCTTCCAACTCCCGAAGTGTCACCGTTTTAAGCGTCTCAAAATCGATCGTAACTTCGTCCTGATCAAAATCTGTAATATTCTCACGAGCTTCAATAATGTTGACAACACTAAAAAATATTTTTCAACTAAAAAAAAGAAAATTAAAAAATACGTTTCCAATTTATCAGCAGACAACATATTTATATCCATAGAAAGTTGCCGCTTTTCCTCATATGTCATTGGCTCTTGATATGTCACTGCCGATTCACGTTTAAATTTAGACTCCATAACTCTTAAAAATATATTTTGCCTGAAATTATTTTATTAAAAATTACTAAACAAATTTTAATTTATTAAAAGGAATTTTTCAAAAAATTTTCCCTGATTAGTAAGCCTAAATAATTTCTTTAGACTTTATTTTCTAACCTACACACACACACCAAGTGAAGTAAATAAAGCTGAGAAATGGGTTAGCTATTTCTCCTTCAGCTAAAATATAAAAAGATTTATTTTAGGCGGGGCTGTGAGTGCATAACCAGCATCTCTCTTTAGGTTGACCAGAAATGATGGTCAACAGTCTAAGATGCCGCTACACCACTCCGCCTCCTTTCTTAACCCTAGGAATTCTTTTAAAAAAATCTAAAATCAATTCCTTATTTTTTACAAATATCATAAAAAAATACAAAATGAGAAAAAACATTTGTTTGATAAAATTAAAATATATTGACAAACTTATTAATAACGCAAAAAAAATTTTTTTCGAATAAAATTATATAATAAAAGCAAAACTTGTGTAAAATTTAAAGACAAATTTTGTGTATGTATTTTTTTGAAAGGAGAGACACAAAAAGATTTTTTTAAAATAAAATAATTTTTTAAAATTGCAGCGGAAAGTTATATGATAAAACAATACGCTTACATATTTTTTAAAAATAATAATCAGTCAGAAAAAAAATTTTTTTAAATAAAATGAAAAGAAGAGAGAAAGATACTGAATTTGTTTCAAACTAAAATATATCTACTTAAGCTAACATCAAGTCAAAAAAAAAGGTATATGTATAATAAATTGTGTATTAAAATGAGCAGTAAAATTATCTGGAGAGAGAGATTAAATGAGAGAAAAAATATATAATAATATTAATATTTTTTATATAATAAGATGACTTTGGTATAGTCAAATATTTACCTTATACTTATTTTTTAAATTTTTTTTCACATTATTTTTATTTTTTAAAATCGCATTTCAAAATTTGCCATCAACTCCATTTGGCTAGTCATATCAACATGTTCCATTTCCTCACGTTTTCTTCGCTCCTAATTTTTTTAAATTAAATTTTAAGAATTTTTTTCATCCGTCTAAATTTTCCTTTCCTTTTCCTTCTTGCTCATAAATAATAAAATGGTCAAAAGTGAATAAGGGTTCGAAACGGTCAGACTATTCGTTTAAAGAAAAATATTTTTAAAAAATAATACAAAGGACTGTCGTTTTGTATCAATTTAATTCTTAATTTTTATTTGCCTTCGAGCCATTCCGTAATATTCATGAAAGTAGAAAGGAAAAGAATGTAGACGGATAAATAAAAAATTTTTCAAAAAAACCTTCTCCATTTCTCTTCTTCGATTAATCTCATCTTGATCAATTTGTGGTTTTGTAGGCGGTTGTACAAGTTCTGTTGAAGAAGCTCCATTTGAATTAACAGCTGGAATCTGTTGTTGCTGCTGTTGTTGTTGAAGTTGTTCAAGTTCTCTCAGCTTACGACGCTTTTCTTCTTCTTCTTTTAACAAACGCTTCTTTAAATTTTAAAAATATAAAAATTCAAAAAAATCAAAAAATAAACCCTTTCTTCTTTTTCCCTAGCTTTCATTCGAAATTGTTCAAAAGCAGCACTTGCAGCAACCGTTGAATTTGCTGTTTGTCCACCTTCTCCACCAGGTCGTTGTGCCAAAGAACTCCAAGAAGTTTTATTTGTTATTCCAACATTTCCCGCTCCCCCTCCTTTGTCATCATTTCCTGTTGGAAGTAATAAATCAAGAACAGAGCCAGCTGTTCCAGCACTCATCTCTGTTGAATTAGTTGATTGAAACAAAGGAGCAGCTCCACTGTGGACATGAGAGGAAGGCTGCGGTGGAGGCACGCCTATTGTTGAAGCAATTTGAGAATTATCTTTAAAAAAGGAAGAGAATATTTAAGAATGAAAAAGGGAATAGAATTGGAAGATATCCCCAAACCACCCAGAATAAAAAAACTTTTTTAAAGAAAATTTAAAAAAATCAAAGAAACCTTGCTGTTGTTGAGGACTAATCCTCGCATTTTTATTTTGAACATTTGAGACAGCATTGGACGGAACACCAACAACATTTGGAGCACCAACACCAGCAGTATTTTGCATTTGTTGAGGAAATATCTTTAATTGATCAATTTCTCCATTGATAGTACAATTTTCAATTGACACCTTATTATTATTATTTGCATTGTTTGCATTCATTACAGGTGGTGCTTGTTTACGTGGTGTTGGCTTCCCTTCTAAAAATAAATTGTTTTTAGAATTTTTAAATTTATTTTTGGATTTTTTTGTGTTTTATAGTATTTTTTAATCTTACTTAAAATCAAAAGAACAAAAAATAAAATCAATTTATTTTTTAAATGAGAAAAAAAAATTTTTGAAAAAAATACAATGGCAGTTGTGAAAATATGCTTGAAAAAAATTTGAAAAAAAATTTGAAAAATTCGAAATGCCAGGCTTAGAATTAGAAAAAAATTATTAAGAACCTAAATATCCTAAAAATATTGCTTATTGTCATAGATATGTACCCCGACCCCGATCAATTTTTTTTCACAATTATTCCCGACCCGAAACAATCTGAAAACACCAGCCCTTAAGAGAGCCCTCGAGAGTTCAGGGTACAGCCCTAGTTTAACATCAAAAAAATATTTGGCAAGATAAAACAAAATAACAAGAGAGGAGAGATTAATGGACGACTGGGTAAATTATGTCAGTGAAAATTTTTAATATAAAGGCTTAAAATATTTTAAAAGAGATCGGCAAAATTTAAAAAAAGGAAAGGATAAGTAGTAGAAAAATAATTTTTAGGACCTATATTTCCCTTTTAAATTTATTTTAAAAATATTTTTAAGCACCGAGAATAATTTCAATTATGTTCGAGAATACTTATCCTTTCCAAACCAATATACAACAATAATATTTTAGTTAAGTCAATTACAAATTCAAAAATAAAATTTGTGTGTCTGTGGAAAATTATCCTCGGTCTTTTTTTACTTCTCTCTTTTTAAACTTTTTTCTCTTTTATCCTCTAACCTGATTCAGTATCTGAAGAATCACTAGAATCCTCTGAAGACGAAGTACCACCACTTGAATCAGAATCTGAAGATGATTCATCCTTTGAAATATTTTGTTGCTGTTGAGAAGATGGTGGTGGTGGCTGTTGTTGTCGACTTACAGTTGAAACAAGTGAAGAGTTTTTAACGCTCCCCGGATCTTGTTGATTTTTGTTCGGCATTTGAACACTTCCATTGGAAACTTAATATTAAATTTTATTTAATTTTCTTGCACAATTAAATTTCGAAAACCCCCGAAAAATATAACAAAAAAGAAAGGAACCCCTGTAAGAGTGTATTAAAAAAACAAACCATTCATCGGAACCTCCTTCTTTTTAGCCAAACCACCTATTAAAAATATTAAAATATTTTTAAAACTAAAAAAACCTTGTTGCTGACACATTTTAACATAAGCCTCCAAATCCCGAAGTGTCACCGGTTTGAGCGTCTCAAAGTCAATCTCGATTTCCTCTGGATTAAAATCCGTGATCTTCTCACGAGCTTCAATAATGTTGACAACACTAAAATAATATTTCTCAATAAAAAAAAGAAAAATAAAAAATTACGTTGACAATTTATCAGCAGACAACATATTTATATCCATAGAAAGTTGCCGCTTTTCATCATATGTCATTGGCTCGGTCGCATGTTCATCCTCTGAATTGAATTCATATTCCCGTCTAGGCGCTGCTGAACTTTCTTTAGCAGCTTTCTCTGTTTTAGGTTTATTTTTCGAACCAGGTTTACGTCCACGTCTGCCAACACCACCACCACCACCAGCTCCAGCAAATCCTTGTTGTTGTGGCTGTTGTTGTGATTGCATTTGTGACATAAGTTGTTGTTGTGGAACTGCTGCAGTTGAAGTTGGCGGCCCAATCAAATTGCTTTGCAATGGTTGTTGTTGCGGCAGTGGTTGTTTTTGAGGAGGAACCAGTGTTGGAACTTGTTGAATAGCCACAGAAGACGGAACTAAATTCTGCGCTAAGGATGGTGCACTAATACTGCTGACGCCTTCCATAACTGATGGTTGAACTAAAAAATTTTTAAAAAAGTCGCATAAAAAATACAAATAAACACATACCTCCAAGTCCCGGAATAAATCCTTTAGGCCTTCCAGGTCCAGATTTTTTCTTAAAAGATTGTGTAGGCGCCACAATATGTTGTGGAATGCTCGCTGGCATAGTTGGCTGTTTATTAACTAATTGCTGAATATTTAAACTGCCACTAGAAGATTGTGAAGCCAACATTGGAGGCATAAAGGCAGTTGATGGAATATTTTGAACAGGAGCATTTAGAGCACTATTAATTGCCGAATGAAGATCAGCACTAAGTTGGGGCAATGGTTGATGTTGGGAGCGAGCCTCACGACGTTTGAATCTAGGATTAAAAAATTTTGGTATGCCCAGATCAGGAATGTCACGGGTTGAGAAAAAGATGGGCCGGGTTTCGTGTTTCAAAATTTTCTTCGGACCGGATTCGGATCGAAAAAAGTTCTCGGGTATCGGTAACGTGTCAAGAAAAGCCATGCTTCAGGTATAGGGTAACCCGCGACATCCTTTGCCCAAATAATAAAAGAAAAGGATGAAATAGCTTAAAAGACCCATAATAATAATTAAAATTATATATACTTAAGTGAAATTAGTTCTTGGTTATATTGTTGAAGTTGAGTAAGTTTATCATTAACATGATAAAGCATTAAATCTATTTGATCATCATCATCCATTGATTTAGCGGATTGAGACGACAAAGATGGTATATTCGAAGAAATTGAAGGTTTTACATTTTTAAATGAAGGAATAAAAGGAGGTTGTTGTTCTTTTGGTTCTTCCTTATGTAAAACTGGAAGTTGTTGATGAATTTCTTCTTTAGTTTCAGGCGGTAAATGCTTCCAACGGGCATTAAAATAATCCTAAAAAATTAAATACTCTCTCGTGAGCTCTCCTCATGAAAAGCTCGAACCAGAAGCTGTTTGCCAAGTTTATTGACTATTTGCCCCTCAGGATTGTAAGTAAAACAATTGTCACACATGAGCATAATGTCACTTTTGAATTCTTCTGGAGTAACATATTGTCGAGCATCCATTTTTCTTCTTATTGTGCCAAGATCAATAGGGTCTTTGATAATGTCGTAATAGTCAAACAGCTTTAATCCTTCAACATCAACAGGTTCCAAAAATGCCCAATTGAAACCTTAAAAAATTTGAACATACGTTAAAAGTGATCTTTCGAGATTTTTGTGGTTTGGCAGTAGGTATTAGTGTCGGGTTCGGGATTTCTAACAAATAAAATTGGAATTAAATTCCGACTCATGTCAGCCACTCGATTACCAAATGACAAGCCCAAAGATATCAAAAAAGCTACATATTCCTCATTTTTCTAGGTACTAGTAAAGCCAAATATTACCATAAATCCATTAAAAAATTTTAAAAATCCAAACCTTTACACTTTTTAGAAATCATAAGCTCAGTTAATAATTTTGTGCAAAATTTCATTTGTTCATTAGGTTTTCCTTTCAAACGAGGTTTAAGTTGTTGATAATCAATTTGAGGTGGACCTTTCTTTATTGGTCTAACTTCACGTTTTGTTGGCAAAATTTGTTTAGAAGAAGGTCCTTGATCTTCATCAAAACTTGTTGTTGTATCAGCTTTCCTTTTGACGCCTTTCTAAATTAAAAAATAAATTTTAAAAATACTAAAACAAAAAAGAAACCCCTTTTTGATCATCAATAGAATCACTTTCCAATTTAATTACCCCAATAGATGAAGAACTGTCAGGAAGACCACGTTGTGCAGAAGACTCGCGACTTGCTAAAAAAAAATAATTTTTTTTATAAAAAATATAAAAAGGAAACATTAAAAGGTGCTCGAAGATTTAAGATAAGGAAAAATTTTTTAGGAAATAAAAATCGGTTAAAAAAGCATTAAAAAGAGGAGAAATTGAAGAAAAAAGAGTGCAAAAGCCCTAATTTGAAAAAAAGAAAATTTTAGGTGCAAGCAGAGGAGCAGAGATATGGATTGATATTTACCACATCTTAAATCAAATGATACCCTTCAATTTATAAGGGAACAAAATTCTAAAAAATATCAATCCAAAAATATAAACCCAAAAATTTGCGAGCACCTTGTAAAGTAGCATTGTGAAAATAGCTTAAAATTGCTGTTGCAGATTCACACAAGCTATTAGACGGACTATTAGTACCTTTTGTAGTTGTTGAAGTTGCACGAACAATTTTTTTGATTGCACCTTTGTTTCCACCTTTCTTCTGATTAGGAAAAGGGATTTCACATTCCTGAAAATTAAAAGATAAAATGGATCTTTAAAAAGTTTAAAAATTTTAGGGAATCCAAAAATCTTCTCATTTTCTAAAAAACCTCATTCGGAAATTTTTTCATACGATCACGGTACAAATTTTCAACGTTTTTGCACATTAAAGTGACATCATCTTCACATTGATTGAATTTATAACAATTTGACCAAATTTGTTCAAAATCCTATAAAAACAAAAAACTTACATCAGTAGGTATTTTACTGATTCTCATCAGTATAAATTGTTCGAGTTCTTTTGCCATCTTATAGACCCCATATTCAGGTGGATTGTAAATGTAGCAATTGTTGAAGATTTGCATGATGTCCTAGAATATTAAATATTGGAAACAAGGAACCGCCCAGCAAAAAAAGCACACGAAAAATGTTTTGACAAAAAAGGGGGAATGTGGGATCTATAACTTAATGGCAAAATCACAAACATTTAAAAATACACAAAAAATATATTTAAAAACCTTCATGCATTCCTGAGCTGAATAATAATACATATTCTTTAAACGTTTTTCTATTGTACCCAAATCCATTGGCCGTTTAATAACATTGTGGTAGTCCTAAAAAATTAAAAAAAATTAGAATGGGCACAAAAATCAAAATGGAATTTTTGAAGGTATAACGGAGAAAGAAAAAAATAAGCACACAATAATTCAATTTCGTGATTATAACGAAATTGAATTCTGCCCTGCCCTTCTTCTCCCAAAAATTACTGAAAATGGTTAAACTTCCTTCCACAACTTTACTCTATTCCTTGTGGCATTTGATCAATCAATAAAAGGATTACCAGTTTTAGGAAGCCTGAGGGAAGAAAGGGGGTTTAAAGGAAGAAAGGAGGAATACAAAATTGAAGATATATCAAAAAATTTGTTTAGACTTATCTATAAGATTCTTAAACTTTACGAATGGAAGATTTCCAATTGGTAGACCTAACCCTAGACTAAAAAATTATCCCCCAGAAAACCCCAATCAGAAAAAAACCATAATTATAAACGATGACTCACCTGAATTCCTAATTTAATAGAATCAACAGGTCTCTGAAAAGGCCAAGCATGTTTATGATTTTTAGCTTGTTTGAGAACATCTTTCATAAGAAAATCCAATTGGTTTGTCCAACGAACTGGTTTTCCAATGGGAGGAACTACACGAGGTTGAACCATTCCATTAACGGCCTCCTAAGTTCAATTTAATAAAAAGAATCAAAAATTAAAACAAAACCAAAATTGGAGAAGTCCATCCTTCCAGTGTTTCCCTAGACGATGAAGACTCAACAGGAATAGTTTCAGTTCTCGATAACGTTGTTAAATCAGCATTATCACCAACAACAGATGAAAGACTTGTAGTTTCAACAGAATGGGTAACAGTTTCATTTTCATTTGGTTGAACATCGATGGTGGATGTTCCTGCTAAAAAATAAAAAGGATGAATAGAGGATACAAGGGAATAAATTTAAAATCTAATCAAAAATTAACTAAAAAAATACCATTATTTTCTGTTTGTTCCTGAGTTGTAAAACAATTTTCTTCATTTTCGGTTAAAACCTCGGTTTTTAAGTTAATTTTATCAGACATTTGCTGAAAAATAATCTGTAAAACATTTTAAAAAGCGAGAAAAATGGCATAGACTATGGGTACGCCCAAAAATTAATTTGGTGAAAATAGGACAAAATTTCAAGAATTGGGCATAGAAACAATAGATTTTAACAAAAATTACACGAAAAACGTCAAAAAACACGAAAATCTAGCGTTAAAAAACATTAAAACACGTATTTTAAATAAAATAAAAAATATTTTATAAAAAATAATGGCGTCCAAACACTATATAAATACAGTATTTCAACGCCTGCAGTTTATTAGAGATAAAGCAAATTTAATAGAAACGATGAATAGAGACAAAGAAAAATATAGGAGAGAGCAAAGAAAAATACATTCAAAATTAAATAATTTGGCGCTAATTTAAAGTTGTATGCTATTTATTAATTATAGAAAAAGACAAAATATGTCAACTCAGCAAAAGGTAAAATAGTGAAAATTATGTCAAAATGGTAAAATAAAAATGTCAAAATTTTATAATGCCCAATTTTTAAAATGTTCAACAAGCGACATTATTTAACTTTTGTCCAATTTTTATTAAACTTTTTTAAGAAATGGAATTAGGAAACATCGAGATTAGAAATATTTCAAAGATTGAACGGATTGGAGCCCACTCACACATTACCGGGCTTGGATTAAAAGAAAATTATGAACCTCATGATATTGCTGATGGAATGGTTGGGCAACATTCGGCGCGCAAAGCTGCTGGTTTAATTGTTAAAATGATAAAGGTTTTCTTTCTCTAATCTTTCATTAAAAATCTCTCCTAAAGGATGGCCATATAGCCGGCAGAGCTCTGCTAATTGTTGGAAATCCTGGTACAGGAAAGACTGCCGTTGCAATGGCTATTTCAAAATCTGTTGGGGAAGACACTCCTTTTGTTTCTATTTCTGCTAGTGAAGTTTATTCAATGGTAAGGAAAATTTTTTGAAAATATTTTATTTAACGACAGAACATTTTTAGGACATAAGCAAGACCGAAGCACTCACTCAGGCCTTCCGAAAATCGATTGGGATTCGAATTAAAGAAGAAACTGAGGTTTGTAAAGCTCTTTATTGTTCCAAAATTAATTTCAAAATATTTTTCAGGTCCTAAAAGGTGAAGTTGTACAAGTAGAAATTGATCGTCCTGCAACTGGTGTTGGTCCAAAAGTTGGGAAATTGACTTTAAAAACTACAGACATGGAGGTATATTTTTAAACCTTATTAAAAAAATTTTAATTCAAAAGGCAATTTATGATATTGGAAATAAAATGACTGAATCATTAATAAAAGAACGTGTAACAAGTGGCGATGTAATTCAAATTGATAAAGCAACTGGGAAAATTACAAAAATTGGAAGGTCAATTTCAAAATCAAAAGATTATGATGCTCTTGGTCCCCAAGTTAAATTGGTTCCTTGCCCTTCAGGAGAAATTCAATCACGAATGGAAATTGTTAATACAATATCTTTACATGATATTGATACAATTAATTCACGTTTGTTCGATTTTTTGAAAATTTTTTAAAAGAAATTTTTAAAGGTTCTCATGGTTATATGGCTGTATTTTCTGGAGATACTGGAGAAATTCGGAGCGAAGTTCGAGAGCAGATTAATAAAAAGGTTTTGATTAATTTTACTTAAGGTTAGGGTCGTCGGTTTCCCCGAAATTCTTCGGTCAACCGAAACCTAACCGACAACCCAATTCGATTAACAGAACCGACAACCTTACTCACCCTCCTTTTTTAATTATAAAAATTTCAAAATTTAAAGGTTATTGAATGGAGAGAAGAAAACAAAGCACAAATAATTCCAGGAGTTTTATTTGTAGATGAAGTTCATATGCTTGATTTGGAATGCTTTTCTTTTCTTAATCGTTATATTGAATCTGATCTTTCACCAATTTTGGTGATGGCTACAAATCGTGGAATAACTAATATTCGTGGCACAACACTTGGATCTCCACATGGAATTCCGTTAGATTTGCTTGACCGTTGTTTAATTATAAGGACGGTAAAATATACTGAACAGGTTTTCTTTGTATTTTTAAAATTGGAAAAAATTATTTTTTTAAAGGAAATTCGTGAAATATTAAGAATCCGCTCATCAGACGAATTAATTGAAATGGACCAAGATGGGCTAGATTTTCTTGTTTCTGTTGCTGGAAAAACTTCGTTAAGGTAAAAGAGGTTTAAGATTTTTCCAGGGGTTTTAAGTCGGGGCATTTGGAATTTTTTAAATTTTGGAACATTTAGACAATTTTTAGTCCCTCGGTTAACCTCTAAAAATTCACAAAAACCTCTAAAAATTCCAAAAAAAAAATTTCAGATATTGTATGCAATTAATCTCAACCGCCGATATCATCCGACAGAGGAGAAAGGGAGAACAAGTCGACAAAAGCGACGTAGAAAAGGCCTATCAACTTTTCAGTGACATGGGTCGTTGTAAAGAAGAAATGGAAAAATACGAAGATTGGTTGATTAACGATGTTAATTAAATTATTTTTAATTTTTTGTTTTGAAAGTATTTTTTGTTTTTCGTCAATAAAAAAATTTTTAATTTACCCAACGTCAGAATTCTTTTCTTTAGTTGTCTCTCCTTTTACAGAACTCCTAGCAATTTCCATATGTTCATTCCTAAGTTTTTTGACGAGATCTTGTCGAAGTTGTTCTACAGTGGATTCCAAAAGTTGAATTCTTTAAATAAAATGAAATTATAAATTTAAATAAAAGGAATGTTTTTGGTAGAAAGAGATTACGAGGACCCAAAAAACCTGAAAAAATCAAATCCTAACAGGTTGGGTGGCTAGGAGAGAACCGAGATAATAAGTTGACTGAACTGACGTGTTAGTCATTACACGGTGCCGCCTCCTCCACGGTCTTCGAAATAAAATACTAGATGCTTTACAAAATGTTAAATTTCTTAATTAAACCCGTCAGTCGATTTCTGCATATAATTTTAAATGAATTAGGAAAGAACACGTCTTATTTTCTAATTTACATTTAAATTAAAAAGTCAAAAATCACTTAACTGTTTGTCCTTAAAATTTAACGCGGATTGATGCGATTTTTGCAAATAATCAAAATATTCTTTGCGATTTTTAGTAACAGACGAACAATATTTAGCGATTCGATTATATTCTGCCTAAATTTAAAAAAAATTTTTCACGAAAAAAATTTAAATTAACCAAAATAGCATTTATAACTTCATTAAATTCTTGAATAGAAGCTCCAGAAACAAGTTTGCTTCGATATTTTTCTATATCTTCTTCAGTCAAATATTTGGGCTCGTCCACTTGCTTAGACTAAAAAAGAATATAATAAATTTATTAAATTATTTGGAAAAAATTTGAAATTGTCCACAAGTTTTTTTAATGCGCAAAATTTCTGCTGACAGTTTTTCAAAATTTTTTTTTTACAAAATAAAAAATATTTTACAGAGTCATCGCTTGTCTTCGGTTGAACATCGCTCACAGCAGGTGAAGCTATTGACTGTACGAACTTATGCAAACCTTCAATTTCTGTTTTGCTGACTGGTTGTGTCTGCTGAAAAAAATTTTGTTAAAGAAAAATTTCAAAAAGAGAAAAAAACCTTTTCGGATTCAGCCATCAATTCTTTAATTTCTGAACAGATTTTTTTATATTTTTGTTCAAAAGTAAGTTCTTCAATCTCCCAGTCTTGAGGAGAGCCTTCAAATATTTCATTAGCCTTGTATCCACGTTTTAACCGCGATGATGTCACAGAATCAGAAAAATCTTTAAAAAATAATTTTTACAAACAAATCTTTTAGACCCACACCTTTATTTGTAGACAATTATCATCGTTTTAGGTGAGGTTGTTTCCTCCCTATCAATTTCCTTAAATCCCACCTTAAACCACCTACTCCGGAACCATAAATATATTAAAAATAATAAAAAACCAAACACGAACCTGCACCTCCCGAGTCTAATAAACAATTTCCAAAACGTCTTTTAGCAGCATTCAAATCAACATGAACCTTTTCAATTTCTTTATTTTCAAAATATTCCTCGTTATCATCAAGCTCCGGTTCAGGCAAATCTTCTGTTTCATAAACATCTTCTTTGTATAACGACATTAACAAAATAAATTATTAATTAAAAGAGCTAAAAATCTGTAAAAAAATTTTTAAATAAAAATTCAAAAAAATATTCCCTTAAATGCTTATAAAAAATATTTAAATTAAAATTTAATAAAAAAAATATTTTTTCACACAATTTATTTTATTTATTTTTCTTTAAATCAAAAACTTAACATGAAAGAAAAATTGAGTAAAATATTAATTAATGTCATTTCTCAATTTTAACTACACAAATTATTTTTTTACTTTAAAAACTGACGTGTGTTTAAATAAAAAATGAAATCTAAAATGGGTGAAAATATTTTGTAAATTTTCTAAGTGGATTTGTGGTAGTTGAGAACATTTTGAATAAATTTTAATCAAAAATCGATTTTCGGAGTTATCCGCAAAATATTTGTAGACAAATCCAAATATCAAAAAAATGTTCTTTTTTACAAACAAATCTACTTTTAAAGAAAATTTACAAATTTTCTGAGATATAAAATAGCAGTAAATATAAATGAATGCAACTGCGACAAGATTAAATGAATCAAAAAAATATTTATGTGAAGCAAATTTATATTTTTATTTTTATTGAGAGATGACAAACGAGCAAAAAATATTTTATAGAGGAGTGTTTTAATTATAGTATTTTTTATCAATGGGAATGGGACGAGTGTGGTGAAAAAATTAAGCTAGGCCTTAAAAATTTTTTGATTCAATTTAAGGTAATCATTATTTCTTTAGCCCAAGAGGGCATAAAAATTATCTTTAAAATTTTCATTAAAAGGCCTAGCTAAAAAAATACAATAGATTGATGGATAAATGTGTGCGCATAAAAGAAGAAAAAATAGGAGAGACAACGTAATCAATCTCGAATTTAAATAATATTTTTTTTTCGATCGGTCAGAGAGTGCACAAGGGAATTTTCTAAAAAAATATAGAGATCGGACCTTAAATATTTTTACACAAGTTTTAACGAAAATTTTTCAAAAAATTTAAAATTTTCAGAAAAAAATCGAGTAACGGATCTGTCCGGACAGATAAAACATCACATAAACGACCAATCTCTACATTTAATTTTAACTAAACAAATAAAATTATATAAGTTTTTAGTGCCAAAAAACAAACAAAAAATTTATGATGATAACCTTTTCTTAAATAAAGCCTAAATTATTTTTTTCCTTCTTTCTTTTTTTCTTTTTTGTGTATACATTAAAAGTCAAAAAACGAAAACAAAAAAATTTTTTTTCTAATTTTTGGGGGGATTTTATTCTTCTCTCATTGCTTTTTTTATTTTTCCTAGCTTTCTTCCCGCAATAACTCAAAAGTAACCATACCAGAACGACTTTCCTGATCTTGTTCAATATTAGCAGCATATGCACCACATTCAACCATTACAATACGATTTTTTGGTAAATTCTTAAACTTTACCATTGCCTTAAAAAATATTTTGTTTAATTAAGAAATAAAAAATTTTCATTTTAATGACCAAAAATCAGGAGTTTACAAATAGAACACACCCAAATTTTTTAATAATAACTCCGGTGTTGGGTATAGGGCGCGTTTTGTGGCCTCCGACCCTCTTTTCAAATGTTGGCTCCTATCTGTTAATCAATAGAGTTCGAACTTTTCACTTTGCCCGGCCCGGTATCCGGGTTTTTTCTTCCAATCAGACCCGGGCCGGGCTTCCGGGCTAAAAACCTCGAAAACCCGGTCCCGGCCCGGGTTCGAACTCTATTAATCAATAAAATATTCTTAAAATATTATTAGTTTATGAGTCCACTGAACCTGTGTAAGGTCACAGTCCTCGATTGGACACATAATCTAAACCAGAGCCAAAAATATTCTAATATACGAGATATTATTAAAATTTTCAGGTGTTCACACTTTTTTGACTTTTAATAATCAAAAAACAAAACAAACGAATGGTTGTTGATAATTATCCATAACGGCATAAGGATAATAACGTCCATCAATGCCTTCCTTTGGAATATATTCTACAGCACCAATAAGTTCATCATCAATTTCACTCTTTAAAATCCAAAAAGAATTAATTTAAAAAATTAAAAAAAACCGTTCCATTGCAGTAAAATGTAATGTGTCCAGGCGCGTATCGATCTTTCAATTCATCCGGAATTTGATCTTTTTCATAATCTTTAGGTTGCCAACCAATCAAACGATTTAACGATAAAATAATACAAGGCGTCCCTTTCTGGAAGCCATAATCTGTATCGTTACCACAACCTGCTTTATTAAACTCGGTTAATTCGAAACGACAAGCCTGAAATAAAATTCTATTTATTTTAATGCTAAATAGTTAAGGTTGCGGCACTTTTAGCTAAAGTCGAGTCATTATCCCCAGGCGCTAAAAAAGGGAGGAATTCAGGCTTGTTTCTTGATGTGACGTTACATATGTATTAAAAAAAATTTCCGAGTCCATCCCTTGAAGAGAGGCCCTCCCTTCCTACTGATAACTAAAAATAAAAAAGATCCCCAAATTAAAAATCAAAAAAATAAATAACCTCCGCCTTGCCATTTGCTTTTCCTTCTTTAATAAATTCAGAATTAGACATTTGTCCACTACACTTCCTAGTTTTCTCTATTTTTGAATATTTTTCCAAATATTTATTGATTGTGTTGGTATAGGCTGCATAACTAGAACTATTTTTTGGATTAAACTTTATTAGAGTCGATTCTGGCTGGTCCTTCAACCAAGGTTGATATCCAACACCTTAAAATTACAAAATTGAAATTTTCGTCACAAAAATTCGTCTAACAAAGGATATCACTAGGCTTATATAATTCGATTGTTATGAAAAAGAATTCCAAGTAAAATTAAGGCAATTTCAAATAAGTTTGACGAAATACCACACCAATCCTTGCAAGCTTAGAAATTTAAAATTGGCGCGTATCCGTAAGACAGGCCCTATTCTTCCTCGTTTACTCTTCCCTATCCTTTCAGGTACTTATACGAATTTTGATGCAAGCTTCCAAGCACTGGTACCTACACCAGAACTTGAAAAGACCCCCATTCCCAATCCACCCACTTTTCATTAAAAATATTAAAAACCAACAAATTTGTATTTAAAAAATAACCTGGATTATCCCCAATAATAGTATCCTTTCCATAATATTTAGGTGTTGAATTATCAATAGTTTGCAGAAAAATGGCTAAACAGGCAATCCAAAAAGCTGCGAGAAAGATATAGAAAAAAATGTAGAAAACAACAATTTGTACTTGAAAAAAAAATTTTCAGAAAATTAAAAATAAGATTAATAAATACCCCAAGATTTTCCCGTCCGTCCCAAAAATGTTCCCTCACGTCTATTATAAATAAAAGTCGATAGAGATGTTTTAGCAGAAGGTTTAGTCCTTCCATTTGCCATTAACTATAAAATAAAATTGTTTAAAAATTAATTTTAATTTTTACAGTGTTGTTTTCCTCAACAAATTTCCCAGCTTCATCCTTCGTCATATCAGCAAAATCGCAATAAAGCGAGAATAATACAAAATAAATTTATATTTAAAATCTAGACAACTATCTAACTGGCAAAAAAATCCTGTTAAAAAATTAAAAATAAATAGAAGGCTGAAAATTTTGTAAAAAAAAAACGCGGCAGTTTTGGGTAGAAAAATACAAATTTAGTTAAATTTAGCGCAGAATCAGGGAAAAATAAATTTATAAGAATATAAATAAAAAAGAAATTGGCAGGAAAAATTGGTATAAGATTGGTATAACTAAAAATTTTTTTAAAGATTTTTAAAAGCAATATTGATTTTAGAAAGGTAAAAAAATAAAAATCCGTTTAAATAAAAAAAATAAATTCTCAAAAGCCTTTCCTTCAAAAAGCCAATTAATTTAATTAATCATTTCAATTTAAAAATGATTTTCAAGAGGTAAATAAAAAAGACGATAAAATAAAAATTCGAGACAAGCAAATAAAAAGGCAAAAAAATAAAAAAAGAAAAGCTGAGAGAAAGCACAAGACGCGCAATAAAAAAAAGAAGAAAAAAATCAATTTTAAAAGGCAACTTTTAGTAAATTAAAAATTTTTTAAAATAAAATTAATAAATTATTAAAAAATCGGAAATTGGGGTTTAAAAAGAGAACAAACAAAAATATAAAATTTAATGCGCGTAAATTGACTAAAAATTTAAAAAGGAGGGGAAAATGATGTGAGATGTGAAAATAGAAAAAATAGAAAAGAAAATTAAATATTTAAAAAAAATAGGGGAAAAATTGAAATTGAGAAAGAGAAAAACCAGTTTTTTGAAATTTTAACAGCCTAAGCAAAAAATTGACACAACGAGGGATGATTAAAAAAGAGATTTTGTTGTTATTCAACCATAAATAGAGAGAGGGGGAATTAAAAAAATCAGAAAGGAAAATTTTTTAAATATGGATTAAAATTTTTTAACAAAAGAAAAGTAATTATGGAAAGAATAGAAAATGTGAACTTTCTTCTCCTTCCTTCCCTTTTTCTCTTTTTCTCTGTCACCCTTTAAAGTACATAAAAAAAGCATCGATTTGCCAGGTCATTCTCGTTCGAATAATATAACCACCATAAATTACCCCAACCTGGCTACATTTTAGGACAATAAAACAGGTGGTCGGGAAGGAAGAAGGAAAAAAAGAAAAGCAAAGAAGGAGCGACAAAAGAACCCACAAAAATGCTGATTTTTGAGGGGATTTTTACAAGAAAAAAAATAATTTTTCTTTCTTTCAAGTTTATCAGCAAATATACTTGGTAGAATATTCTCGCGTGTAAAAAAATAGTAGAAAAAAGGATAAGCTAAGAACACAAGAAAAAAAAGAAAAAGAATATCAAATTTAGTATAAGGCTGTAAAGAAAAAGAATTGACTTATAGCTATGTATTTAAATATATACTCTAAATCAGGGCTCTCATTCGTACTTTATTTGAAAGTACAGTACTTTAAAATCGACCTCCGTACTTACAAAATTGAATTTGTACTTTATTGAAAGTATGTACTTTAAAATCAACATTTTGGATTGAAAATGAAATTAGGGAAGGATTGGGCAAAAAAGTGAATTTTTTTGGCCTACGGCCTTAGAAATTCTCAAAATTTTCGCCTGCGGCGCTGAAAAAGGAAGAAATCTGGCTTAAGGAACTCCAAAATTCTCAAAATTTTCGCCTTCGGCGCTGAAAAAGGAAGAAATTTGGCTTCTTGGGTGCCAAATTTAAAAAATTTTCGTCTGCGGCGCTAAAAATGGAAAAAATCTGTCTTAAGAACCCCGAAATTTCCCAAAATTTTCGCCTGCGGCGTTGAAAATGGACGTAAGAAAGTAGCTTGCTTGAGGTTAAGACTGTCAGGGCTTTACTTCTTGTGACAGCGAATTTTGACATGGCGTGTATGAAATGCACAAAATGCTCAGTGGAAACAAGAGATTATTAGAAAAATTCATTTAGCAGAGAAATAGTATAAAAGATTTGAGGGCGAATAAATATTTTGTAATTTAATTTTGAGTGTCCTTTAAATTTGGAAATTTTGTCCCTATGTACTTTAAAATCGAGATTTTTGTACTCTTGATTGGTATTTTGTCGATGAGAGCCCTGCTCTAAATGCTTCTTTTCTTCCTTTTCTGCCAGCTCCTACACATTTTGCCAATTCCATATTTTGCCAATAAGGCTAAAAATCCACATTTTGTCACAAGCTTATTGACAAAATGCGGATTTTTTGCTTTGTTGGCAAAATGTGGAATTGGCAAAGTGTGTAGGTGCTTTCTTTTCTGCCAGCTTCTTTAACCTTCTCTTAACCACTTTGCTTTTATTTTTCTCTAATTTCTACAGCCAATTTTTCACTAAAAGACAGACGACAGACACAAAAAATAGATATTTACTTACGTCTTTTTAAATTAGACTGGAACAACTTAAGTCTTCAGCACTTTAATATAGTACTCTTTTTCTCTAAACTCTCTTCAGTTTATTTCATATTACCCTACACTTTTTATTTTCTCTCTTCTTTTCTTCAACTTTTTTCTCTAACCTTTTTTTTCTTTTAACTAATTTTTCGTCTGGCCACCCGGTAAATTTGAGGCTGGTGGTGACAGGATTATATTTTTGTGGACATTCTCGCCGTATTTTCTCGTTCCGCCTTTTTTTTTCATATCTATTGCCTGCCAGCCTTGTTGACTGATTGTGTCTCTCTCTCGTTTAGTAAATGAAATAAAAAAGAAAAAGAACGAATTTACTAAAAATCGACGGAAACTCTTGAAAATGACGTTTAAACAACAAAAGAGTTTAATTTTAGATTTTGGAAAAAAATATTGAAAATCGACAACAAAAAAAACGCCCATAACAAATGTTCGGAAAATGTTCTTCCATTCTTTTTCACGTGACGGGACAAAATACCGTCCTACCAAAATACCGTTCACAGTGGAGACATTAAAATAAAATTCTTAACCAAAGCCCAATAGCCTTTTAGGGTCTAAGGATATCAAAATAATATAATGTCGATATAAATTGAATTTATTATCAGTAAAAGTGGACGGTGTTTTACTCTAAAGGTCTGACAGTATTTTTGTCTGACGGTGTTTTGTCTCTCACCCTTTTTGAAGATTTAAATTGCAACCCTAGATTGAGAGGGGTTTTTTATCGAGAGAAATTTTTTTCAAAATTTTTAATCAAACCAAAAAAAAATACTGTCCCCATAGAAAATGACAAAACAAATTAAAAGATTAGTAAAACGATAAGAAAAATAAATAATTGTGATTATTTTTAATTTAAAAGTACACATTTTTAGAAAGGGAAGGGTCTTTAAAAAATATATAATTTAAGAAATGTTTTCCCCAAAGAATATTAAAATATGGAAATAATTTAAAAATGAAAAAAGAGAGCTTATTGGAACACAACAACAACAACAAGTCTTAAATATTGGAAGGCGAGAAAAAAATATGTATTTATGGTTATTTGGGAAAATATTTAAAAAATAAAGAGGGGCAAATTACCGTCCAGACAAAATACTGTCAGGTGTAATAAATTCGGTTTATATTGTTGTCATGTCTTTAGACTTTACTGCCATCGAGTCCTGGTTAGTACTATTAACTCATATACCCAAAAATTTTATTTTAAAGTCTGCCCATTCTAAGCGAAATTGACAATATTCTTTAATCTAATGTGTGGACGGTATCTTGTTAGGACGGTGTTTTGCCCTGTCGCAAAAAAAGTAAGAAAGTATATAAAAAAGAAAAGTGCTTGTAAGTATATAAAGCTTTCTCGCAGTACCACCTGCGGCTTTTCTGCAAAAAAAAAAAGACTTTTCTCCTGCAAAAGACATATTTTTTGGGCAAAAAATAAATAATAAAATGGGATAAACGGTCAACGATTGTTAGAAAGAACAAAAAAAAGAAAAAAGAAAAGCTATGTAATTTATTCAATTGATTTTTGTTTTTGAAGTCAATTTTTCATTGTTTTTAAAGGAAAAGCAAAAAAATTTTTGTCAAATAAACAATGTTAGAAAAGGGTGAAGATAGGAGGGGAAATGTTGAATAAAAAAAGGAGTGGAAATTCAAAAAAAAACGTGAAAATAATGCAAGCATGGAAAGGCTGAAGGGAAGAAGGAGAAAGGACGGAAGTCGCTACAAAAAAAAGAGTAATTGAGCTTTTTGATCTATCAACTAATCTTTTTTTTGTTAGCAATTTTTAGAGTGAGCAATCAAAGTAGAAAGGTTATTAGTAGTAAAATGAGTGTCAATAATATTTTTTTTAAAGAAAAGAATTTACAAAAAAAAATTTTAGAATGAACACAAGACTATTGATCATTAAAAGAAAAAAAAGGAAAAAAAAGCTAATCGACTTAAAAATTCTAGTTGTTGAGATTAAAGCAAAAAAAAATATTTTCGAATCTAGATATTATGTTCGTGCTGCAGAAAATTCATTGGGTGGAAGATGGAATAGAACCATCGTAGAAGGGTCCCCCAAACCGAAGCACAGCCGGACCACCCAATCCGATGCTAGGGTTATTTTTATTATTTTTTATCTGCGCGGACACAAAAGGATTGATTTAGAATTTTTATATCAAAATCTGTAATCAAGAAATGAACTATAAATTGAGTTTAAGACTGTAAAAACGATGCGAAAAAATTGCTTTCTCTTAAAATGAAGTGAAAAAATAGGTAAAAAAAGTCCTCAGAAAATCTGCAATTTAAAGCAACAAATTAAAAGATTTTTGATTTTCAGAATTAAACTGTAAAAAGAAAGAAATAATAAATTTGTGCAATAAAAAGGTGTACAAAAGGCCCAAAAATAAAAATTTAAAAAAAATATTTAAGCTTATAAAAATAACGAGAAAAGCGACTCAATAAAAATGCGCCTATCAAGTCAAGTGTTTGAAGAGAAAAAAGAAAAATAAAAAGCAAATAAAGAGGTCCCCCCGAAAAGTCTCTGTTTATTTTTTCTTGCTTCTGAATTTAAGGAATTAACTTCTAATATGAATTAACTTTTTTTCGTTATCAAAAAAAAATTTTTTTTATTTAAAAAAGTTTGAAGTCTCCAAACAATTTTTTCCTCCTTTGTTTACATAGAAATTGTATGTGTATTTAATATTGCATTTTAATTTGTGTTTAATATTGAAGGAGAAAGAGAAAAGAGAAGAAAAAATTTCTGATTAAAAAAATACAAAAAATAATAAAATAGTTATTGAAGCGTACAAACGTGAATGGAAGATCGGAAACAGATTAAAAAAAGGGTGGAAAGTAAAATACAGGGGAAAAATAGGAAGGGGAGAAAATTGGAAAAAAAGGGAAAATGAAAAGAATTTAAAAAATACTAATGTCCTTGAAAATTAAAATAAACATATTTAATTTTATAAAGGATTTATAATTGAAATTAAAAAATTTTGAGTCGGATAATTGAATTGTTAAGGTGACATTAAACAAATTTTCAGCTAGTTACCATTTTTGCTCTGACCATTTTGTAATTTTACCCTTTTGTCAACTGACCATTTTCAATTTTGACCATTTTGTAAATATTCAACAAAAAAACGAAAAGTTACCAATTTGACATCTCTTCTAAAAAATCTCGTCGAAATGCCAAATTCAACCCTGCGCCATTAAAATTTTAATCCAGATGTCTGAATTTAAGCTTTTATAAATTTAATTTATGCTTTTTTAATTTAGGAAATCGGGTTCTATTTTATTGTTACGTAAATTATTATTATTGTTTTCTTCTTTTATTGCTCCACACATTTTATATAAATTATTCCTTTGTTGATTTGTTAATTGACGCAAAAAAATCATTCCAAAACGTTATCTTATGTAAATTTATTTTTTAAATTTTTCTGTTTAAAGTTACAAAAAATCAAATTTTAGGAACACATGTCTACCGCAACTACTTTATCAAAAGAAAATAATACATTAGGACTTGGCTTGTTTAATTCTCAAAAGACTCCACAACCATTCACGGTATGTTTTAATATTTATTAGAGTTCGGACTCTGACCGAGACGGTAGTTTTAGAGACCGAAAACTGGAGGTATTTGATATAATCGGTTTTTCGGTGTTTAGCCCAGAAAATCTGACCCTGGTCAATTTGAAGGAAAAGACCCGTGTGCATGGCCCGGTAATGCGAAAAGGTTCGAACTCTAATATTCCTGAAAGTACTCTTCTATCTGATGAGACATTATTTAATACTCAACTTTATCTTTAAGGAAAGTCCCAATCTTCTTCGATTAGTACCACGTGCTCTTGCTTGTAAGGGAAATGCTTCGGTTAAACGAAGCGCTGCTCCAGTCTTCCGCCAAATTCAATATGAGGAATCTGGAGAGCTTGAGGATTTTATCTCCCAACCGCAATTGGGAGGGAAAATTTACAATTTACGTGATGAATTTGAATGTATTACTGTTGATACTCCAATTGATAATGATACTACTCCTGTTGCTGATAAAAACCGACCAACTACAAGTTGTAATGGATTTACTCATGTAACTGCTGAAGGTTTTGTTTTTTTATATTTTAATTGAAAAGAGAAGCTTCCGACTTGTTTTTTGGTATTATTCGATAGAGCATAGTCGATAACATATTCCAAATTTTTGCCATTTTTGGCTACGGGGCCATTTTGGATAGCCTTCACTATGCTCTATTAAATAATACCAAAAAAATACGAAATTAATATTCACCGTTCGGAAGGGTCCCTTGTAAAAAGTCTTTCATTTAAGAACCGTGCAACGGAGTTGATATGACACCCAAATTAATCAAATCGAAATCCGTAGAAAATGGTGTCCCTATTCGCACCAAAACACAAGTTGATAGTCCTGCCAATGTAGTCAAAGCCAGCTCTTTCCCAAATACAAATATTATAGGCAGCGATGCTCGTGATCAACAATGGTAAGTTTTTAAATTGTTTTTTTATTTAATTTTTTGGCAAAGTTTTAGGTTAAGATCAATATATTCTTCATGTGAAAATCAGAGACCTTCAACATCACATTTTAATAATGGAACTCCATCTCGCAAAAGAGTTTTATCTGACAGATGTGAACAAGAAAGTCAATTTCCAAAGGTTGATAGAACTGCAATATTTAATACTTGGGATGGTTGTAATGCTTTGGTTTGTCTTCTTTAGAATTTAAAAAATGAATTTTTTGACTTTAGAATGGAAATCCATGCGCTTCTGGTTTGATCAATCCAATGAACAATTGTTTTTTGAATAGTGTTTTGCAAGCAGTTGTGCATCTTCCTCATTTGGCTAGAATGATTCTTGATCCAAAAGATGTGAGAATGTGCAGGAAAGCGTCAGGTATTTTTTAAATTTTTTAAACGAAAATGTTTTTTCTTTTAAGTCAAAATGAATGGCGTTGACTGTTTCCATTGTGGATTGAGGGCTCACATTCGTAGAGCTATTGAGGCTAAGAATCCTTTAAATACAAATTGGATACAAACATTTTTAAGAAGTATTTTTCTATTTTTTTTTAACTTTAACAATATTCTTTTAAGAAATTTTCCCTCATCATCGTCATGGATGTCAAGAGGATGCACACGAAATGCTGACACTTTTGTTGGGTGCTTTGGAGATTGGTCCTCCTAAAACAACATTAAATGGACTTAAAGTTCATGGAGTAAATCCCTCAACTCCAATAGAACAAATATTTGGTGGAAATATGCGAAATCAAGGTTAGAGGGAATTTATAAGCTTTATAGAAAGAATTTTTAGTTGTTTGTAACACTTGCAATGCTGAACACATCAATTATGAAAGAATTCGTGAAATGAATTTGGGACTGACACGGACATATAATGCTGACGTGGTAACACTAATTGATGACTTTTTCAAAGATGAACAACTCCAAAATTTTTTCTGTTCAAAGTTTGCTTTTTTTTAGTTTTTAAAGAAAAATATTTTTTAGGTGCAAAAAGAAGCAAACTGCAACTAGACATACTTTTTTGTTGAGTGCTCCATGTGTTTTAATTATTCAAATAAAACGTTTCAATCCTTATGGAGGAAAGAATCGGACACCTGTGAGAGCAAATGTTAGTTTTTTTGTTTAATTTTTTTGTAAAATTTTTTTACAAATTTTTAAAGAAAATCATTGATCTGACCAAACATTCATATCGTCAAGAACACTTTGTTTATCAACTACACGGTCTCATTCAACATATTGGTGGTGGTTTAAATTTTGGTCACTATATTTGCGCAATGCGTGGCTTTAACAACAGAGACATGTTTTTGTTTGATGATTCTGAGGTTTGTTTTTGTTTGTTGTTTTTTATATAAGGAATAAATTTTTTAGAGAAAACCAATACCTTTGAACTACGCCATGGAGAAAATGGAGCCGTACATTTTGTTTTATACTCGGGTATTTTAATTTTTGAAAAATTTTGAAATTGATTTCGAATTTAAATAATTTTTAAAAATTCTTTTTGACATTGAGATTTGATTTTTTATGATTTTTAAAAATCAGGTATATAACGAAGAAACGTAAATTTAAAAAATAATTTTTTGGGTAAAAAATTATGTTAAAAATGTCAACAAAAGATTGCTCTAACAAAATTCAGTATCAACAGCCAAATAAACAAATTAAACAAATTCCTCGACGTTCATTTGAAGGATGTCAACCAAATTATGCCAAACAACCAAAAATAGATAATTATAATAATAACAATACAACACCAACAGCAAATTCTTTTATTGGAACATCAAAAATGTTTAATCAAACTTTTGGTTCATACATAAATTAGTTGAAAAAAAAAGAGAGAAAAAGAGACGGAAATTTATAAAAAAGAAAGAAAAATTTTATTTATTAGAATTCGGGAAGAATAATCTAAAAGATTTTAAATCAACATTTCTTGTTAAAGATGGGGTTATTTTTGGGAGAGTTTAAACTTTTTACATTACCGGACCCGGTATTCCGGAGGGTTTCTTTTAAATTGATTCGGGTTGGGGTTTCCTGGCTAAAACTCCAAAAAACCTGATTCTGGGCTAGAACACCTAAATCCCTTCATTTTATCAAAATATCTGTCTACTGGGCTCTGAAAACCCTTGTCTTAAACCCGATCTGGTTTCAAACCCTAATTTCTAGGAGAAAAAGAAACTATAATTGAAGTGTTGATTTTTTAAAAATTCTTTTGGGTTGTCCTAAAAATTTAGTTTTGATTGATTGATTGATTAAATTTTGTGTACTTGATTGATATATAAAAATTGAAAAAAAGAATATACCCCTCCCCTTCTAATTTATATCCAATTTTTGTTAGGAAAAATAAAAACTTTGTTTTAATTGTTTGATGTTTTTACGTTTGTTATATATTATTTACTTGGCTTTTTTCTACAAAATGCGCATAAATTATATTTACATGGTTTAAAGTGCGTTCCAAAAAACCTCGACACCCCCAAATTTTTTGTAAAATCGACTTACGGGTTTTTAGTTTTTTATAAGCTTATAATATCTTGATTCAGCAGCAAAAATAGCCTAATTTTACAAAAAAAATTTAGCAAACCGATAATTTTACAAAAAGTTGTGATAAATTTTCAAAAAATCAGGCGTTCCAAATATCATCAGACAGTTTGAAAAAATACCGAAAATTATGGAAAGAAGGCAGCTAAAATTTAACAAAAATTTCTATGAACATAACTATCAATAAGGATGCAAAATTGAAAAAAAACGAAGTCGAAAACTGCTTTTTTCATTGAGATCTCAAATCTCGAAAATCAACGGAAAATAGGGGTACAGTACTTTAAAAAATATTTTAGCCTATTTAAAGCAATTACTAAAAATTTTCCTTAGGCCTATCTGAAAGCCCATAAAATTTGCTATAAGATACAAAATGTCAAAATTTTCTAAAAAATTTATCCGTGTAAATGCTCACGCTAGAATAGCCGCATAACGATAATAGTGCATTTTTAGGCTATTTTTTGCTTGGTAGTTATTTAGGCTTGAATGCCGCAACGGATAAATTTTTTAGAAAGATGAGCCCTTTTGTATCTTGTAGCAAATTTTATGGGCTTTCAGATAGGCCTAAAGAAAATTTTTTAAATTTGCTTTAAATGTGTTAAAATAATTTTTTAAGTACTGTAACCCCTATTTCCGTTGATTTTCGAGATTTGAGATCTCGATCAAGAAAGCAGTTTTCGACTTCGTTTTTTTTTCTATTTTGTATCCTTATTGATAGTTATGTTCATAGAAATTTTTGTTAAATTTTAGCTGCCTTTTTTCCGTGATTATCAGTATTTTTACAAACTGTATGAGGATATTTGGAACGCCCGATTTTTTGAGAATTTATCATAACTTTTGATAAACTTATCGGTTTGTTAAAATTTTTTGTAACATAGGGTAGTTTTTGCTGCTGAATTAATATATAAAAAGATTATAAAAAAGTAAACAACTCTAAGTGATTTATACAAAAATTTGGGGGTGTCGAGGTTTTTTGGAACGGACTTTATTAAAGAATTTTTTTTAATTTTTATGGGGTTAAAAACCCTCCGAATATTTTTTAAAAATTAATTTTTATTTGGTAATAAGGGAAATTGAGGGAGTTGGATTCGCGTGTCAACCCTTTACCTTTCCTCCTATCCGTAACTAGGGCGAATGGGATTGTTGATTGCGTGCTGTTCGTTTTTGCCGGTTCTTTTTTGGACAAATGTGAATTCCGTTCGCGAACTTTAAATTAATAGATATAGTGTCAACCCCATTCCCTTTAATTTTATTTCTCAAATAAAATTTCAGAATAAATGTTACAAGTAAACAAAGCAATTTTTGCGTCGTTGAGGAAGTTGTCTTTGTCTGTTGCTAGATGTGGAGGTTTTATTTGATTTGGATATTTTTTAAAATTATTTTAAAGGACATGGTCTTGTAGTTCACCGAGATAGTAAAGAAAACAATCCTGAGACGCCTTTTAAATTTACACAGGAGAATTTGAAGAAGATTGAGTCTCTGCTTGCAAACTTTCCTGAAGGTCACAAGGTTGTTTTGATTATTTCAATATTTAATTTGGTACCTTGGAGGGTTAAGTGATTCGAATAGTCACTAATTTTTTAAATATTTTTTTTAATTTGTCATTTTATAGCAAGCTGCTCTACTTCCAGTCCTTGACTTGGCGCAACGCCAAAATAGATGGCTGCCAATTTCAGCTATGCATGAAGTTGCTCGGATTTTGGGTATTATATTGACTATTAAATATTAAAGAAAGTTTCTTTCAGAAATTCCAAGGATGCGAGTTTACGAAGTTGCGACTTTCTACACAATGTATAACAGAGAACCCGTTGGTAAATACTTTATCCAGCTTTGTGGGACAACTCCTTGTATGCTTCGCGGGGCTGAGACTATTATGGAAGCTATTTGCAAAAAACTTGGTTTTAATTTTTTTAATTTTATTTTACTCGTATTTTTACAGAAATAAAGCCTGGTGGTACAACCAAAGATGGATTATTTACTGTTAAGGAAGTTGAATGCCTTGGTGCTTGTGTAAATGCTCCAATGGTTCAGGTTACTTTTCTCTTACATTTTTAGGGATTTCGGCCATCCATGATAAGGATTGGGAAATTAATGACTATTGGGGAGGTTAGTAAATTAGTTGGGAAATTATTTAAGTTGAGGGGTTAGAAGGGAAAATGTTAGAATGTGTTAAGGATTCATTTGTCGTTAGAATTTTTGGTTTCTATTTTTTCCTAGCTTTTTTTATATTTGGGGTTGAAGTTCCTAAACTTATAATTTGTCGAAAACGGAGTTTAATTAGTTTTCTTTTTTTTAAGATAAACGATGATTATTATGAGGATTTAACTGTTGACGATATTAATGAAATTATTGATGATCTTAAAAATGGGAAGAGACCTTTGCCTGGTCCGAAAAGTGGAAGATTGGCGGCTGAACCTATAAAATCAAAAACTTCGTTAACAGAACCTTCAAAGGGACCTGGTTTTGGTATTCAAGAAGGATTGTAGGAGAATTTTATTTTTTGTATAGTTTTTGTTTATTTTGGGGTATTGAGTCCGCATACTCTATTTAAAAATTTTTATAAAAATTTTATTATTTCGTGTATAATATGTATGTGGACTTTTGCTCGTTTTAGGCTTTCTTTTCTTTCAATTTGTTTGATAAATTGGCTTATATTATTAGTATCTGGATTGTTTAAATGATTTTTAGTCATGAATTTTTGTCTAACTTTTCTATTAAAAATAATTCAGATTTTTCCTATAAAATTTTTTCTACATTTCCACCTTGGACCAATGGAATCAGAGGCGGACTTGGCAATGGCTTATTAAGCACAGAAGTTGGACATCGACGTCGTTCTACTTCAGTCTCTGATGATTATTCAGTTCAAAAAACTAATGATGATGCAACGGAATGTAAATTTGTCGCTGTTCAGGTTATTTTGTTTTTAGTGTTTTATGAGGGGCTTGGTTGAATGATACCTCTACGTGTTTGAGGTTTTTAAAGGATTGCCTTAGGAGATATAACTGGCCAACACGAGTGGGTTAAACCCATTGGTCGTGGCTTCTTGTAGCCTTAAAGTTTATATGTTCCTCTATGGTTTAGCTTTGCTTCTCTGTTTCCAAATCAAAAATAATCTTAATTCTAGCAAAAATATTACATTGACAACTTTATTGGAGCATTTATTTACTGTGCTGATCATCACAGAGATCCAGAAATTGTTCGAGGTTATTGGGCTCGCACTGCAGCAATTACTTCTCTTGTTTCACAATTTATTAAGGTTTCTTTCAAAATTTTTCTTATTCCATTTTTACTTTTAAATTTTAGATTTCTGGTCCCTATGCTCAAATTATAAGTTTGGGAGCTGGTTTTGATACTTTATATTGGCGTTTAAAAGAAAGTGGATCCATCTTTAACAAATTTGTTGAATTTGACTTTAGCAGTGTTACATCAAAGAAAATTCGTTTAATTCAAAGAAGCAAAAATGTCAATTTGGCTGGATATTTTAGCAAACCTGGTAAATATTTTTTTAAATTCTTGTCTACCTAAGAAAATCTTTAAGCTGTTGAGAGTCAACATAGTGATCTACATTGTGGGGATTATCATTTAATTGGAGCTGATTTGAGGCAAATACGAGAATTTGAACAAAAATTGACAACTGCTGAATTAGACAATTCTCAACCTACTTTGATTATTGCTGAATGTTTATTTGTTTATATGGATTTGGAACACTCATACAATTTAATTAAAGAATTAACAAAATATTTTGAAACGTTGGCATTGATTAATTACGAACAGGTTTTTTTTAATTTTTTTGGGGTTGTCCTTTATGGCCTTAAAAGGGTCTGCAACAGTGCCGGGTATGACTCAGGGTGCTAGCTCCGGAGCCGAAGCCCAGGTTTGAAAAAGTCCGTGGCGCAGAATGCCCAATACCCAGCACTAGTCCGCAATCAAGGGTACTTTATAAAAAAGCATTTATGTGTATATTCTCAAAAAAGGATTCATTTTTTGGTAAAGTATTTGCGGATAAATTTCGTCGATTTTCTGAACTTAAAAGAATCCCATATTTATTTCTGAATTTATAAAATAAATTTTAGGTCAATATGAACGACAACTTCAGCAAGGTTATGCTTGACAATTTAAATAATCGAGGTATTCATTTACCTGGACTTGCTGTTTGTGAATCTTTATCAACACAAAAACAAAGGTTTTTTTTGTTTATTTTTTATTTTGGTTATTTTTTATTTTTAGATTTTCAAGTGCTGGATTTTCGACGGTAAATGGATGGACGATTAATGAAATATATAACAACTTTTTGCCTGGGCAAGAGGTTCAAAGGTTGAATTTTTTTCTTTTTACGGAATTTATTTCCACTCATCCAAAATTTTTCTAGCGAATTTTTGACCTTCCAGTCACCATTTCTTTAATTTTTCTTTAAATAAAAATTTTAAATTTAAGAATAGAAAAATTGGATCCTTTGGACGAACGTGAATTGCTTACACAACTTTTGGAACATTATTGTCTAATCTTTGCATTTAAAGATTCAACTAAAAAATGGGAAAAACTTGCCGATTTAATTGTTCAATGATTTTAAATATTTTTAAACAATCTCTATTTTTTTATTAATTAATTGTAAAAAGTTACTTTATTATTTTTATTTTTTTTGGTAAAAGATTTTTTGTAAATTTTTTAGACTACTCGTTTTTGGAACTAAAGAAAAATAAAATTTAAACTTTTGTTTTACTTGAAATCAGTTCATTAATGTGAAAAGTTGAAACTTGAATTTTTTTCAAGTTTCTAATATCCTCTTGAAATTTTTCCAAAACTTGAATGTACTATTCTTCGAGCAATTCATCAAACTAGAAGATTTCTTCGTTTTTTTTACAAAATTGTTTACTTTTTGATTTCTTGATCGATTTATCTGCAGTAAATAAAGAAAACAGACGCTTAGGGAAGAAAAACATTCAAAGCGCTGCCACCCTCGATTTACCTAGATTTGAATGAAATAATTCCGCGAAATTTCTTCCACAACTACAAAAGTCGAAATGGTAACTCAAATTGGAAAGTATAAAAGTAAATTTTATCGCACTTTTTAAAAATTGGGCTTTACTGACCAGACACGGTTTATTGGGAACGCAGGCGTGCGGCCATAACGGCGCAAAGCCATAACTTGCTGGGCTTGTATATTTTGTAATTTTATTCTATTAAAAAAATTTTCTAGATTTATTAAACATATTCTTCAATTAAAAATGACAGTCAATATAATGTATACATGGAGGTTGGACTTAGGTGGTGGAGCTGGCTCTAGATCTCTTATTAAACTTGCTGCTTCTGACCAAACTATAAATCCGCCAGGTTATCATCAAGGGTATATTGTTTCCCAACAGGTTTTTTAAAATTTAATTTCTTGATATTTTTTATAACTTCAGGTTGAAACTGTCTCTAAGAACGAACAACAACAGCAACATTTATTGAATAAAAGAGCTTGGGATGTTGCTTTGGGACCATTGAAGGCTTTACCCATGAACATGTTTGTTCCTTTTCTTTTTTAGTTCTCTTTAAGTTCAATAAAGATTTTTTTGCTTTTCCACATCCTCTTTAAGTACAAGGCAGGTCTATACATTTTTTACAAAGTCATTTTATCCCACCCAAAAGCCCGAATTCCTAATTTTCTCCGGTTATAAAACTAAATGACATTTCATCCCAAAAACAGGTTTATGATGTACATGGCTGGAAACACAATATCCATATTTCCAATAATGATGGTTATGATGATGGTTTGGAGACCAATAAAAACACTTTTGTCGGTAAATGCAACATTCAAAGTTATGGAGGTTTTTTTATTTTTTTAGAAATTTATTAAAAATTATTTTTAAAGCAAGAATATGGTTCTTCTTTGATTTTACACAAAATTGTTTTTATTTTGGGAAATTTGGGAGCAGTTGCTTTAGCAGTTTATAAATGTCACACAATGGGGTTATTGCCAAATCATGAATCTGATTGGTTGGATTTTATGTCTGAGCCGGAAAGATTACAATTATCTTTATCTTTTGATATTATTTAATTTTATTTTTGAAGGATTAGGGTTTGTTTTGGAGGTTAAAATTTTTTTTATAAATTCTAAAAATTCCCTCAGCGTGTACCTCAGCGTCTCTCAATAAGACGTCACAAAACAAAGATAAATTTTAAATATTCATTTTTATTCTTTCAGAATGAATACACCAGTCCCAGCATTCAGATGCGTAATAAAATGGATGGTGTTTCGAATTGTGCTATCGTGAGTACTTTCTTGGCTGTTCTTACAAGTAAGTTATATGTAAATGAGGACAAGGGAGATTCAGATAGTTAGCATTCAAAACGCTTAGGGAAATTCCACAGGATGGTTTGCTTTGATGTGAGTGAAGTAAAAATCTACTTAAATTTATTTATTGGAGATGAGACGAAGCCACGTTGGCATGAAGAACCCCATGATGACGACAACAAAAAATATTTTCGGTTAGTTAACTTTTAAATAGCTTTTCATAGTAAATTTAAAGCTCACCTCTGCCAGGCCCTTCCCTAGAAAAAATTTATAGAAAATTATTTTATTTCTCTAGTTATTTATTTATTGACTGCCAAATGGAAATGATTGGGTGTTTTGACGAGCTGTGTGTTAAGTTTACTGCAACTGGTCATAATCACGAAGGAAATGCTATTGATGAAGCATTGATGGTGGCATTACATTTATTTTAGAAAATATTTTCTATTAGACATATTGTTGTTCCAAAAATTAATTCAAGGAAAAAAGCGGAAAATTTTAGAAGTTGTGGTCAAAAGTATGGATGTATGCTTCGTCTCTTCGTTGTTACAGGCAGTCTCAACTACATCAAGGTTTCTCGTGGTCGTCATCACGGACATGCAGGGACGAACGACAGAGCGATTCGAAATGCATTGCATTTCATTACATCTGACAACATCGCTGATGGAATTGGTGTTCCAGAAGAATAGAATCAGAAAGAGTAGGATATATAAAAATCAAAAACATTTTTGTTATGTTGTTTTTTCTAGGCCAAATAAATTTTAAATTGAGTAGGCCAAATAAATTTTGAGTTGATTCTCTGATTCAATTTAAAATTTATTTGGCCTAGAAAAAACAACATAACAAAAATGTTTTTGATTTTTATATATCCTACTCTTTCTGATTCTATTCTTCTGGAACACCAATTCCATCAGCGATGTTGTCAGATGTAATGAAATGCAATGCATTTCGAATCGCTCTGTCGTTCGTCCCTGCATGTCCGTGATGACGACCACGAGAAACCTTGATGTAGTTGAGACTGCCTGTAACAACGAAGAGACGAAGCATACATCCATACTTTTGACCACAACTTCTAAAATTTTCCGCTTTTTTCCTTGAATTAATTTTTGGAACAACAATATGTCTAATAGAAAATATTTTCTAAAATAAATGTAATGCCACCATCAATGCTTCATCAATAGCATTTCCTTCGTGATTATGACCAGTTGCAGTAAACTTAACACACAGCTCGTCAAAACACCCAATCATTTCCATTTGGCAGTCAATAAATAAATAACTAGAGAAATAAAATAATTTTCTATAAATTTTTTCTAGGGAAGGGCCTGGCAGAGGTGAGCTTTAAATTTACTATGAAAAGCTATTTAAAAGTTAACTAACCGAAAATATTTTTTGTTGTCGTCATCATGGGGTTCTTCATGCCAACGTGGCTTCGTCTCATCTCCAATAAATAAATTTAAGTAGATTTTTACTTCACTCACATCAAAGCAAACCATCCTGTGGAATTTCCCTAAGCGTTTTGAATGCTAACTATCTGAATCTCCCTTGTCCTCATTTACATATAACTTACTTGTAAGAACAGCCAAGAAAGTACTCACGATAGCACAATTCGAAACACCATCCATTTTATTACGCATCTGAATGCTGGGACTGGTGTATTCATTCTGAAAGAATAAAAATGAATATTTAAAACGTTATCTTTGTTTTGTGACGTCTTATCGGGATTTGACAGTATAGTGATAATATTTCAAATCCTAATCCTTTTAATTAATTTTTTATTCATTTTTTTGTTTATTTTTTAATTATATAATATACATATATTTAAAAAAAATAAATTTTATTTTTTTTTTTAAATTTAATAATTTAATTATTCAAATATTTTTCTAAAAATGTTTTTCTACTTTTATATTATTAAATTTAATATTTATTAGTTCTAGATCAATAAAGAAAATTAAATGGAAGCATTAAAAATATCTCAAAAAATATTTACAAGGTCAATTCTTCTGCCATTTTGTGATTTAGGCCAATCTTCAATTTTTGCAGGAATTATGAGTTAGTTTTTTTTTTATATTTTAAAGTTATGGGGTCAGTGTGGTTGTTGAAAATTTATTTTTTAATTCATTAATTTGCAAATTTATTAAAGAAAGGGGAACGGGTATTTTATTCTCCCTACATACTCCGGAACGTCTTTGACTGTTGATCTATTTCTTAGTTTCGTAATTCTAATTTTTTTCTTTCCCAAGAATCATTTAAAAATTATTTTGGCAGCTAAACTCCTAAATTAAAAAAAAATTTTCTAAAAATATTTTTTCTTTCCTGATCTTTATTTTTAAAAATTTCTTAATATTTTTCTTTTCTCCAAATCATCTTAAATAATTTCAAGTATAACTTTTTTTTAATTTTCTTTCTACTTGTTTACACAAAAATTTACTAAATTTCTTTCTGGCAAACAAAAAAAAATTTAATTTAAAAAAATTTACTAAAAATGACACTCTTCTAGTCTTCTCCTAAGGGTTAAAATATTGATTTTTTATATAAAGTGACAGAGCCACCCGGCCAATTTTCTTTTTTCCTCTCTTTTTTTTCTAAGAGTGAATAGAAAATTTTTTTCTTAAAATACACTCAATTTTATTTGCTACTTTATTTTTTTACTGCCAGTCAGTCCTTCTACTACTTTATTTTTCTATTGATTCCTTTTTGTTTGTACAGTTTTTGTTTTATAGATGCAATTTTTTAAATTATTTTTTTATTTTTTTTATTTTTAAATTTTAATAGAAAATTAATTAGTGCACCTTTAATTATTTTTTTAAATTTAATTTAATAAGAATTTTTAATTAGGTCATAAGGGTCTCATTCATACCCAGAAGAGGGATTCATTACCCACAAAATTCAGACTCTATTAATCAACTTTTTTTTATTTATTTATTTTTGAAAATTCAAAAAAATTCTTTTTATTTTATTTTTGACAAAGTCCTCTCTTATTTATCATTTTCTGATATAAATTCTTTTTTAAATTCTGATATAAATTTTGGCCATACAAACAAATATACTTTTCTTTAATCAGTTTTATTTTTAATCCGTTTAAAATGTGTTCTCTTATATATTTATGAAATCATTAAAAAAAATTTTTTTTTTGATAGGAAAATTATTTTTATTTATTTATTTATTTATTTATTTATTTATTTATTTACACCACTAGGGTGTGACAGTCAAAAATAAAACAATTTAAAGTGAAATTACGAAAAATAAAAATGCTAATAAAAAATGTCCTTAAAATAAAAATCAAAGCAGCTTAGCAAATAAAATTATCTCATTTGTCATTTAAGATATTGGAAATATCCAACTGTTCAAGAAGTTTAGAAAACATTTTGGGTGTATTTTTTTTAATTTCTATAGGAATTAGTGAATAAATTCTAGCAGTTCGAACAAAAAAGGAGTTGTACCGAATCATGGTTGAACAACGTGTTGGTTGTATTTTATATTTTTCGCCCCTAGTTTTTGTTTGTTTTATGATATAGGAATTATTATGGTTAATTTTAATTTTCCCAAATATATTTTGATGAAATAGCTTTAAATCAGCTTTAAGTCTTCGACTTTCAAGGGATTCTACTTTGAAATGTTGTAAAAGTGTTTTGTATGGTGGAATATCTTCTATTTTTACCTTTGTGATTCTTTTGTAAACAAATCTTAAATATCGTTTTTGTATGTTTTCTATTAATTTAATGTTTTTCTTAGTTAAAGAATTCCAAACCGGTGACCCAAATTCTATAATTGACCTTACGTATATATTAAATGCTTCTATAAGAATTTTAGGATCTTGTGATTTTAGAGATTTAATTAATGCATAGCAGTTTCTATTGGCCCTTAGAGATATTGTTTGAATATGTTTATTAAACTTGAATTTAGAAGTGAAGAAAATTCCGAGATCCCTATTCTTGTCTTCATTACTAATTTGGAATATTTTGTGGTTTCCTATTGAGTATTGTAATTTAGGGTTTGATTTACCTATATATAATACTGAGCATTTATTTAATGATATGTTGAGACCATTGGTGTTACAATATTGAATGAATTTATTAATAAATAATTGTAAAGAATTGTTAGATAAATCGGTTTTTTTTAGAATTTGATAGGCTTTGATGTCATCGGCAAATAATTTTATTTTTATTTCAGGAGTGTAACAGAATGTTGGTAAGTCCGATAAGTATATATTAAAAAGGAGCGGGCCTAAGATAGATCCTTGCGGAACTCCACTAGTAATAGAGAATTGTTCAGAATATTCATTTCCTATTTTAACAACAGATTTTCTGTTGTGTAAGTAATTAGAGATCCATTTTAAGAGTGATTTTTCAATTCCTATTACTTTTAGTTTTGTTAAAAGACGTTCATGGGGTATAGAATCAAAGGCTTTAGCTAGATCGAAATAAACTATGTTTATTAAATTTTTATTATCCAATGCAAATGATATATCATCTTGAACCTCAATTAGTTGGGTAGTGACGGATTTGTTTGGTCTGAATCCATGTTGACAATCTGGTAATATACCATTTTGTTCAACATAAATTGATATATGGTTTGCAATAATTTGTTCAATTACTTTTGTGATTGAACATAGTAATGAAATTGGGCGAAATTCTTCTATTTTGGGTATCTTTAATGTTTTTGGTATTGGTATTATTATACTTTGCTTCCATATTTCAGGAAGTGTTGAAGTCATTAATGAATAAGAAAAAATATAATATAAAGGATAATAAAGACTTTTAGCGCATTTTTTAAGGAATATACATGGTATTGAGTCATAAGAAGAGTTAGTTTTTTCAGGTAGCTTAGAAAGAAGATCAAAGATTTGAAGTTCATTTATGATTACGGATTGACATGTATTTTGATTTGTTATAGAGTTTAGATCTGCATTGTCTAATGAATTTTTATTAAATACAGAACTAAATTGGGTACTTAGAATTTGTGCTATTTTATTATCAGCGTATACTAATTGATTATTTTTATCCAAAATTGAAGTTATTTTCCTGTTTTTGGATTTAAGAAATGAAGAGATGTATGAGAATTTTTGACTGATAGTTTGTGTTTTATGCTTTTCTCTATTTTTTAAAAATTTGTTAGTTTCAGAATCTATTCTTTTTGATACATATGAGATTTTACGTGTTAGCTCTGGCGTGGATTTTTGTTTCCACAGATTTTTTAGATATAATGTCATTTTTTCAATGTGTTCGGGTTTTTTGAGATTGTTAGATTTTACTTTAGATTCGGGAACAAAGGAACAAATAACATTATGTATAATCGATTGGAAAGTGAAATATAGTTGATTTATATCAGAGCATTGTGTGAATACTAGATTCCAGTTTATTGTTGAGAAATGTGCATTAATTATTTCATAGTTAGCTTTACGAAAATTTGGATATGTATAATTATTATCTTGGTAATTGTTAGTAGAAGATATTTCAAATTCTATTGTATTATGGTCAGATTTACTTATAGGCGGATTGATTGTTATAGCCTTTATTAATTCATCCTCATTAGTTAATAGTAAGTCTAATATATTTACTCCTCTAGTGGGTTTATCAATTTTTTGTTTTAGTCCTAAACTTTGAATATATTCTAAAAATAATGTTTCTTTGGTATTTTTGGTTTGAGTACTATAATTTTCCCAATCGATATTGGGTAGGTTAAAGTCTCCTAATAAGATAAGTGGGTAGGATACAGCCGATATATCATACAAGATTTGCAAGATAGATTTAAAATCCTTAATGGTTTCTTTAGTGATTGATCTATAAATCAAAATAATACGAATTTTTTCATCTGGGGTTAATAAATCTATACAAGATATCTCTGATAAAGTTTGGGGGATTTCTATTTTAATAAATGGTATTTTATTTGATATAAATAAGCAAGTTCCTCCACCCCTACCATTGGCCCTATCAGTTCTGATAATATTATATGGGGTACCATGTAGTAAAAGATTATCATCAACTATATCAGTCAACCATGATTCAGTAACCCCTATTAACTTATAATGAAGGCCAAAAGGATTAAATGTATGTAACCAAAAAATGAATTTTCGACAGCCTTACATTATTGCTCTATTTATTTATCAACTCTCATTCTTGGCAGATTTGGTTGTTGGGGAAGGGTAAAGAAAAATTTTTTAATTTAAATTAAAAATATTTTTTAAATTTATTTTTAGACCTTCAAAAAATGCAACAGGACAAGTTAGCTGTTATGTATGTAATTCGGATAATGAAGGCCAAAAGGATTGTGAAAGTACTGACTTGGATAAACTTAAACCGTTTTTGAAGGTTTTTTTGACTTTTAAAAAATTTTTTAATTTTTAAAATTAATTTTCTCAGCCCTGTCCAGTATTGCCTGATGGCCCTCTAGTTGGAAGACCAGCCGAATCTTGTAGAAAAGTTTTGCAGCAAGTTGAGTTTGGCAAAACAGAAATAAATAATGTTGTGAGAGAATGTGGATATAATAATGAAGTATTGGATGGAAAACGAAGAGCGGGGAACAGTGGAATTAATTTGAAGATTTGGCAATGCATTAATACAGATGTGAGGAATTTTAAAAATTTTAATTTAATAAATTTGAAAAAAAATATATTTTGGGTGTGCACAATTGCGCACATCTAAATTTTCAATTTTTAATTGAAAAAAAATTTTTTATTAAAAAATTTCAATGAAAATTTTTAAAAATTTTTAGAACAATAACCCATGTAATTCTGCATTGAATAACAACATGAATACAATTTTGGCATTAATAATAGGATTTGTTGTAGTGAACATCTTTTCACGTCTCTAGCCTCTTATTATTGTCTTTAACAATAAGAATTAGAAAAAAAATTAATTTTAAAAATTAATTCATAATAATTAAAAAAAGGAAAATTCTCGTTTCTTGTAAAGTCCTCATTTTGTTTTTCTTTGTTAAAAAATTATTCTTGTAGTTTCTAGCTTTATTTGATATTAGTTTTGAGTTTTGTATCACTTCTCTTATTTTTATATTTTACATATTCTTCGACATTTTAATGAATAAAATGATTTTTTTGACCAATTTTTTGGTGTAAAATGAGGTTTCTAACCCTTAAATCTTTGTTTCTTTTAATCCCCGAAATCTTTTCTTTATTGTTTTCAATGTTAGTTGATCTTCCACCTGACACCACTTGTCGATAGCTTTCGAATGATGTAAAACTAATTCTGATCGAATCAAGATTAATAAAGTTATTGTTTATCAAAGCTAGCTGTCCTACCTCAACTATCACTTTATTTTTTGGGAGGAGAACCCTTGAGATCCTTCGGTGTTTTCGATTAATTGTTTTTCCCCTTCGTTTCTTTATTACTTTTTGCAATCATTTCGTATTTCCGTAAATATTTTTTTTAATTTTTTTAGATTTTTATTTCTAATGACTGAAAACAAAGAAAAACGTGTAGTCAATGAATACCGACTAAATGAAGACAATGAACTTCGATTGGAAGTTGGAAACGAAGAAGTTTTGTTAGAATTGCTTGAGGGAACAGCAGAAATATTTGGTTCACAATTATCAATGCATAAACGTTATACACTTCCTCCAGGTTTTTAAATAATTTAAAAAAAATTTTAACAATTTAAATTTGAAAAGGTTATCGTGCTGCTATATTTACTTATAAAGGGGCTTTACTTGAAGTGGTTGGAAAGACTGAAAGTATTTATATTGCACAACAAACACCAATGGTTTTTTAAAAATTTTTTTTCTAAAAAAATTCTTTCTTTGAAAGATTATTTATTTGAACACTCATGCAGCTTTGGAATCGTTAAGAAGAGTTGCGGAAAGTCAATTGTTGGCAGATCCAAATGGCCCGGCTAGAGGACCTCGTTTAATGATTACTGGGCCGACAGATGTTGGAAAGACTACACTGTGTAGAATCCTGTGTAATTATGCTGTGCGTGAAGGAAGAAGTCCACTTTACATTGATTTGGATATTGGACAGGTTTTTTATTTTTTTCTATACTTAATTAAGAAGCTAGAAAATTTTGTTCGTTAGAAGAGATAGTTCTTTCTTTAGTGGAAATTAAAGAATTTAATATATGGCCAGTTAATCTTCTATACGAGCTAAGTTCTCGTTTGGTTAGTCGGTATTGTGTTAGGTTCTAGGTTTCGGTTCGAGTCCCGCTCGTGCCCAATACTGTTTTTAACTGTTTTCTTGACGTATTTTCTTCAAAAAATTTTTTTTTTGCTAAATAACTAATTAAAAAATTTTTTATAGGGTAGTATATCAATTCCTGGATCAATTGGATGTTTATATATTGAAAAACCAGCAGATATTATTGATGGATTTGATAGAAAACCTGCTTATGTTTACAATGTAAAATTTATTTTATTTTTTTTTTTAAATTTTTGTTTAAACTTTCAAGTTTGGACATATAACACCTTCTGCAAATTTAAAACTTTATGATATGTTGGTAAAAGAATTGGCAGTTGCGGTTAAACAAAAAGCCAAATCTTCATTAAATTGTAATTGTTCTGGTTATATTGTGAATACTTGTGGTTGGGTTAAAGGAGATGGGTTTGTTATGTTTTTATTTAAATGTTTTAATTCTAATGTAGGTATGCTTGTATTGTAAATGCAGCTGAGGCATTCGAACCAGATGTAGTTATTGTATTGGATCATGAGAGACTTTATATTGAATTGCAGCAGGATTTGCCGAGTTATTTGAAGGTTTTTTTTAAATTTTAAAATAGTTTTCAGGGTCTTGGCTCCTCCAAGACCTCAAACATTCGTTGGAGGTCTTGGCTCCTCCAACGAAAATTTTTCTTTCTTTTAACTTTATTCCTTTCCTCACTTTTTCTTCATGAAACGAAATTTTCGAGCAACTTTTGTTGCCAACCAACTTAATAAGTATCATAAATTGTGTATTTAGTATTTGGTGTAAATAATTTGTCCATTTCTTTTTAATTTCCTTTTAATTTTTAGATTTTACATCTTCCAAAATCCGGAGGCGTGGAAAGTCGTCCACAAGAAATGCGAATAGCTCATAGAAGAAAAGCTATCCACAGAGTATTTTTTTCTTTTAAATATTTTTTATAAAATTTTAATTTTTTCAAGTACTTTTATGGAACAAAATCTTTGCGTTTTTCCCCATATTCTTTTGAATTTTCTTATGACAAAACTGGAGACGAGCAAGAATTAAGCCTCTATAAAATTGGTGCAGAACAAATTCCAGATTCTTGTTTACCTATTGGAATGGTTGTGGAAGATCATAGAACACAGGTTTAATATTTCTTAATAAAATTTTGTCCTTTTCATTTTTAAACGAGGATAGGGTTCTGAACTTAGTTCCTTGATGAGATTGGGTCCTGGATTTCTATTTACAAAAAAGTCAAATTAGGAAAGCTTCTTGATATTCAACGGACCTCCTTTTTATTTTGAACGATTGATGTTCTTGATTTAGGAAGAAAATGAGGTCTTTATAAAATGATGAGCTACAGTCCTGGGTTTAAGAAGAAACTGGGGAAGGTCGTTAATTTCTCACTCAATCTTCTTCTAAAAACATTCCACGAGTCATGTTCGATCTCTCTAATTTATTTTTTTCGTCATGTAACCAACCCAAATCAGTTCATTCCTACAAAAGACATTTGATCCCATTCACTCAAATTTCTTTTAACATTTTTATAGGTTGTTTCTGTGCCGTTTACTTCAGAACTTTTAAATCATGTTATTGCACTAATGCCACCAGATTCAAAGACGGACCAAACTTTAATTCACAAGCCGTGTGTTGGATTTTTGGTAATTACTGGAATTGATACAACAAAGAAGACAATAACTTTACTTAGTCCACAACCTTATCCTTTACCTTCAAAAATTGCACTTTTAACTCAAATTACTTTTGTGGATGATAACAATTTGTAAATAAAATACAACAACGTTTAAATTGTATTATCAATTTTTTGGAGTTTAAAATAAAATTTTAGAAAATTAATCACATTTTTTCTTCAAGGTTATAGAAAAATAACAAAAAATAACGTTGTTAGAGAAGAAAATAAAGTCGAAAAAAAATTAGTAGTTTAAAAATACGAGAAAATTGGCATAATGCAATTTAAAAATAAATGACATTTAGTCCCCATAGTTAGAGAAGCAAAAAATAAGAAATAGTGCAGTTAGAGAAAGAAATTAAATATGAGAGGTGTGGTCGGTTGAGAGCGACCATTTGAGAGCGGGATGGACTTGTGAAAATTTAAGGCCGGTTGAGTGTGGCTATTTGAGAGCGAGATGGGGAAATTTTTAAAATTCTAAGTTTTCAAAAAATCGATATCAATCGATAAAATCAATACTAATCGATAATTTATTTTTTAAAAATTCTAAGTTTTCAAAAAATCGATATCAATCGATAAAATCAATACTAATCGATAATTTATTTTTTAAAAATTCTAAGTTTTCAAAAAATCGATATCAATCGATAAAATCGATAATTTATTTTTTAAAAATTCTAAGTTTTTAAAAAATCGATATCAATCGATAAAAATCAATAAAATCGATAATTTATTTTTTAAAAATTCTAAGTTTTCAAAAAATCGATATCAATCGATAAAATCAATAAAATCGATAATTTATTTTTTTTAATTATAATTTTTGAAAAAATCGATATATTGACTTTATATTGTATAGATCTTAATACGGAAAATCGATTTCTAGAATAAAAGTTCTACTAAAAATAAACATGTCTTCAAATTTTATTTTCAACAAATAATCAACTTTAATTTAGAACAATATTAAAATCAACAATTCCTCTTTTTAAGCATATCCATATTGTTCCAAAACTTTGTCGTAAACAGCAGTCTTCGGTTTTGCCTTCTCAATCGCCTGTCTCTTCAATTTCATTTCAGCCTTCTTTTTAGTGTAATAAGCAGTCCCTTTAACCTTGCGTTTTTCTTCAAGTTTTTCAACTATTCCTTGATATTGCCATCCAACCTCATGTGCCAAACGTCCAACTAAATAATAGAAGATTAAATTTAGGAAGATGATTGTTTAAATGATTGTCTTAAACGAAAAACATAACAGAGAGAGAGAAGGGGGATATAAAGATAAGTACATAGTAATGGTATTTCTCAAATTTTACGAAAAATGAAACAAAGTAAGGACATGAAATGTAAAAAGCTGTTTGTTAAGTGATTGTGTAACCGAAACACTATGTCATCGGAAAAGAATGGGTTCGAACCGAGTATGTAAAATCAAGTTACTTATGTACAATCCATGAGGGTATGTGTGAAATTTTGCAAATACCCAAGATAAGGACAAGAAATGTTAAATGCTAATGGTTAAGTAGTTTTCACTAAACGAAAAACCATCTTATTGTTAGAACAGAACTGGTTCAAACCACGTATATAAATAAGTTAAGAATACAACTGAATACCCAAAATAATGAAAGGAAAAGTTAAAACCTGTGCAATATTTCCGGCGAGGCTTCAAAGCAATATGACGCAAGGAGTTTGGAAGAACAAACTTCTTTCTCTTGTCATAAGGATGAGGACAACCATCAAAACATTTGAGCTTCTTGAGAGCTTCCATTCCTCGAGCTGTCTTGTGAGGCAACATTCCACGAACCTTGTAAATGATAAAATCAATCACAAATTATAAGTAAAAATAAACCGTTCGCCAAAAGATTCTTGAAGGCGCTCTATAGTGGAAAGGACCACGAGATGGCTTCACATTACAACGTTTACGCAAAAAAGCCAAAAATTTGAGTTTTGAACGATGAAAGTTTCCAGAAATGTTGATAGCCTCACAACGAACAATCACAATCTTTTGGCCAAGCAACAATTGTTTTGCTACAATAGCAGCCAAACGTCCAAGCAAATGGTTTTTGCCATCAATAAGAATAGGTTTTGTCTGAAACCCCATTTTTTAATTTTAAAGTTTTATCTAAAATTAAAAAAGAAATTGTTAAATTTAGAAGATTAAACCCAAAAAAGTTTGTCAAAAACAATAAAAAAATGGAACAAATTCTCGAAAATTTGTCTAACAGTCTAACCTATACTATTTCGTTTTCATAATGTAAACTTTTAAAATATCTAATTTCTAAAAGTCACTATTCTTAAAACCGTCAAAAATTACTCTAACTCTCTAACTTATATACTATCTCATTTTCATAGTGTAAACTTTCATAATATCTACTTCTAAAAATCAAAACTAAGAAAACATTACAAAATGCCCAACATAAAAATGGTCATTGCAAGTTTTCATTTAAAAAAGCCATGTAATGGAAAATTAGTTATTGAAATTAAAAAAGAAATATAATAGCGATTAAAAACGCCTTTAAGCGGATATAAAAATAAAATGATAAAAAAATAATAATAGAAATTTTATTTATTTACAATAAAAATATGATTATGAAAGAAATTTTTTTACACAATTTTTAATTAGAAATTTCTTTTTAATTTTTGTTTATGCAATTTTTCAAGGAAAAGAATTTTTTAAAATTAGTTTTTCATAATTAACTCGTATAATTCAGGGATGCCACAGGTTGAAACAAAAAAGTCGGGTCGGGTCTTCAAAATTTTATTCGGATCGGAGTGAAAAAATGTCCGAATTTTGGGCTGGGTCAATTAAGGGTATTATGAAGGAAAAAATTCAGGTCCGGTTTGGGTAACCCGTAAAGCATCCCTGTCATAATTAACAAAAAAATTTTTTATTTAAATAAAAAATTAAATTGATCACCGACACCATTATTTGAAGAACACCCATTTTCTTATTTTTTATTTCCTTCTTTTAATTGTTGATTTATTAAAAAATTAAAAGGATCATTATTATTATTAGTTGTTGGATTCTTTCTTTGTATTGGAATAAAATTATTATTATTTGGAGGAGGAATTGGTAATGATGGAAATGATGAAGAATTAAAGGAGGGTTTTTGGTGTTGATTTTGTGATATTGTTGTTAATGAGGATGTTGGTGGAGGTAAAAATTCTGCAAGAAAATCTAAAGAAGGTCCTTGTTGTTTTTGTTCTTCATTTAAATTAATTTTTGTTGAAGAAAATATATCAAAATTAATTGAAGGTTCTTCTCCTTCTTTTTTATTAGTAAAATTTTGTGAAGATACAAGTGATGATGGGGGTGAAATAAATGATGAAGATAAGGATTTTTGTTGTTGATTTAATGAATGTGAAGTTAAATTGTTAGTTAGAAAAGAAGGTTCTTGTGGGAAATTGTTAGTATTTTCTTTCTAAAAAATTAAAAAAATTTTCTCGAATTAAATAGGGGATTGTCGGTTCGAGAAATCAATTGAAGGCTCGAGGATTTTTTCGGAAGGTTCCTGTCAGGATCCAAAACATATTGGAATATTTCAATGTCAGATATTCATGGTACTTTTGAAGAAAAGAGTTTTTATGTTTTTAGAAACAACGTAAATATACAAAGTTATTTTTGCATTCGCACTGCCGATATGTCCCTCTCCCTAGCGAAATATTACCCTAGCCGTTTCGGATATCCAAAAAAATTTTTTTCCAAGAGCAGACAACCCTTTAAAATATAAATTTTCCAAACCTCATTCTTCTTTGTCGTTCCACTGCCCACCAAAAAATCCAAATCGCCCAAATCCATTGATACTCCTGCTGCTGTTTGTTGTTGCTGTTTTATAGGTGATCCTTCATTTGATACAATTTCTTCCAAAACTTTTCCATTATTTAAATAATCAATAAAATTGTTGACTTCTCTTAAAAAACGATTTAAAATTTCTACAAAAAATTCTCCAAAAAAAACCTTTGTTCTTCCTGACTAGCACTCAACTTTCCCAAATAATGTTTATGTTCTGCAGTCATTTTATCAAGAAGACAATGAATAAAATCAATAAATTGATTAAAATTTGACAAATTTAGAGAAGCTTCGATTGATGTACTGACCAAGAAGGGAATGACACTTTTGGCACCTTTAAGAGAAAGAAAAAATTTTTTCTAAATTAAAAAAAATTTACATTGTTCTTTGCTAATTCCAAATCGATCATTTTCAAAAATTAATTTGTAAAGGCCTTAATAAAATAGTTAAAATTAATAAAAATATTTTTTAAGAAACCTAAAACAGCCATTAAAACACCCGGATCTTTGCTATTAACTTTAGGTAAAGAAGGAAGTAATTGATCAGCAACCATCCAAGGTTCTAAATTATTTAATAATTTGGATAAACAGGCAATAGTTTCTATACGAATCTGAAAAGAAGATTTATTAAAAAAGAAAATTTAGAAAAATTAACAAAAAAAATGTCAAAATTCGTATTGAGACAATTTACCATAATTAGATAATTACCTCACCCAATCGAATTTGTAAAATATTTTAGCTTTCGTGACGAACGATAACGCAAATTTAAATGCGAAATCGTGCTTTTTGGAAAGCAAAAGGAAAGTTGACCATCAAACAGGATCGGACCAGGGTCCTTCTGACAAGAGAACTTAACACAAAAACCATTACACCACAAACGTTAATGAAGACTTTCCTTAGAAAAGTCACAAAACCCCTTTAAAATTTTAGCAAAACCCCCTACTAAAATCTAAGAACCCACAATCTTTAATTTAAAAAATTCAAAAAATTTTGAAAAATTATAAAAAAAAATAGGAACCTTATTTTCCTTCGCTTCAAGCACCATACGAAGCAATTTAGGTAAAAATTGGGTGTGCATTTGTTCTCGATCAATATACTTAACTAATCTAGGCAATTCCAACAGACAAAGCTCCTTTTTTAAAAGATTTTTTAAATAAAAATTAAGTTAAAAAAACCTGTATTTTAGTACATTCATTACTCAACGAATTAAAAATTAAAGGAATTAAATGTTGTTTTAAAGAAGTTGTAGGCATCTTTTTTAAGAATAAATCGACTTTGTTTAATAATAATAGGCCAATCTTTAAATTGAAAAAATTCTTTTAATTTAGAAAAAATTTTCAAAATTTAATTAATTTCGGAAATTCAAAAATTTTCAAAAAAATATTCGAAAAAGTTTAAAAATATTTCAAAGAAATCCCAGATTTCAGGAAATTAAAAACCTGATAAGGTGTTTGTATAGGAAATACTAAAACAAGTGAAGGCATTATTTCTTCCACAAATTCTTCACTATTACAATTCTCTACAATAATAAAAACACTTTCCAAAATAAAAGGTATAAGGATTGGCGTTCCAAATTCTCCAGCCAAATGAGGATAAATTTTTTGGAGTTGAACACGGAGAGGAAATTGAGGAATTATGTTTGGTAAACTCTTTAAAATTTCAAAAAATAAAAAAAAAATCTTTTCGAAAACCTTGAAAAACTGAATTTTTTGAGACACATCCAAAGCATTCCTCGAATCCAAAAAATTTAAAGTTTTAACCAAAGGATGCTCAAAATATTTTAATTTTGTAAATTGTATGACGGGAAGTCTCTGTTCTGGTGCAGGATTGAGACATTTACTTAATGCTTCTTGTAGTTCTTCTGGCACTTGTTTATTTTGTAAAATGGAAGGGATAGAATGTCTCAACTTGAAATATTTTTTATTTAAACAAAAAATTGTTTTCTTACATTTTCAAACATTTTTCGATAACAAGCAAAAGAATTTTGACTTTCCATAATTGACCTTCCTTTATTAAAACAAGTAATGGCAAGCATTCCAAGCGAAAAAATATCTGAAAAATAGTCAAATGTGTCACCCTGAACAAGCTCTGGAGAAACATAATCGAGGTCTGGGCATAAAGCAGAAATTGAATTTCTGCTCCAATTGGGTAGTTCAAAAATGACCTTATTTTTAAAAAAAATTTTAGAAAATAATTTTTAAACTAAAAAACCTTATCTTGTGTAGAAACAACGCCAACTATACAAAAATCAAAACTGGCCAATTTCCAATCTCCTTTTTTATTTATAATTATTGAACTGGGAGAAACATTTGAATGAACCATTTTTGTGTCATTGTGAAGAAAAGCTAAAGCTTCGGATAACTTTAAAAGGGAATTTTGTAAAATTAAAGAGATCCAAACGAAAACCTGAAATAACCCATGGCGAATTTCTATACTTTCCAAAGAAAAGTCTTTTAAACATTTTGGTGTAGAAGGCATATTACCAAAATCATCGAAACAATTGGCAAGGCTTGCGAATACTGGCTAAATAAAAAATATAAATTTAAAAAATTGTCAAGATAAGAGAAGAAGGTAAGCACAAGAGATGGAGAAGGTGTTAACAATAAATTATGGAAACAAAAAAGCTATTCTAGAAAAGGGAACCTCACAAAAATTATTCTGAAAATTTTCATTGATAACTGAATGATTAAAGCAGAGGAAAACAAAACCACTCCTTCCTACCAAAAAATTATAAAATAAAAACCTCTGTACAAAAAGCAAAACAATCTCTAGATTCTTCCAAAGCTCTTTCTACTCTCAAAATTCTTGGATGCATAAGTCTTGTTAATTGACTAACACCTTTTTTTAAAACTTCAGGAAACTCTTCCCTCTTCACTTTTAACCAATTTTCCATTTGCTTCTTTTCAAATATCCAAACAGCAACATCCTAGACAATCAGCAAATAATTAAAAAAAATTTCTTAATCAAAAAACCTGTTTTGTAGAATTTCTTGTAGCCGAAAATATTTTCCAACACAAACCTGGCCCAGCGCTAGCAACTTGTTGTCCAACAGTATATTCACGCAGAATTGGATTACCTGGCAAAGCTAAATTAACTTGTGCTGCTACAGAATGAACTTGGGCAGCAACTGAAGAACGAATCTTTTGAAGGTAATCCATATTTTAAAGTAAATCTAAAAAACCTTAAAATTAATTTTATTTTTAAACAAATTAACAAGCATCGAAACGACCCTATTTCGTTGGAATTGGCCAACTAAGCGCCACATTAAATTATTTACTCAAATTTTTGAAATTCCCTCGAATAATATTAAAAATTTAGAAAAAAGGACCCCGGGGGAATCGAACAGCCTGTCCAAAATTATAATAAGAGCCGGGCCATCCATTCAAAATTACTTAAAAATGCCACTTACTTACTCAATATCAAGAAAATCCCGCTGTAAAATATTTAAAAAATTATAAAGAATCAATGGAAAATAAAATATCCATTTTATGAATAGACAATCATTTTTAAAGAGTAATATTAAAATTTATTACTAGGATTAATAAAAAAATTATTTTAAAAATGCAAATGTCCTATGTTATTAACTGGGAGCTGAAATACCAAACATTGAAATACCAAACCCATAAAAACTGCCAAAATACCAGGCCCAACTAACGAGTGTGTTCACCAACAGTTGAACGTGTTAAAAAAGATTTTATTTAAAAAATCATAAATAAAAAGGAAACCGTCAAACAGGCACACGTGTGCATCCAAAGCAACATGAAAAAATTGTCCAACAGGCTGTCGTCATCCTCAAACTAAAAGAAAAATAACTATTTGATTAAAAATAAAAAAGAAAACCCTCAGAGAGTATGGAACCCAAGACCTATCAAGAATCGAGGGAAATAACCTTTATTAGCGGATTAATCTTAGGTGAGAAATATTTGCAGGCAAAACTTGCACTTTTATTATAAATATTAAAAACAAACCATCTTTTGATCCTTGATTGCTGTTAACGGTTCTGCTGTCGTTATTGTTGGTGCTGATCTAATGCTAAAATTAATGGGAGGACCCCCAAAGTTAGAACTAAAAACTCATGGAAAACTCCGCTGAGACTCATTGAAAAGTCAACTATGAGACTCATGGGTAACCCTCCACTGAAAGTCAACTATGAGACTCATGGGTAACCCTCCGCTGAGACCCATTGAAAAGTCAACTATGAGACTCATGGGTAACCCTCCGCTGAGAGTCAACTATGAGACTCATGGGTAACCCTCCGCTGAGACCCATTGAAAAGTCAACTATGAGACTCATGGGTAACCCTCCGCTGAGAGTCAGCTATGAGACTCATGGGTAACCCTCCGCTGAGACCCATTGAAAAGTCAACTATGAGACTCATGGGTAACCCTCCGCTGAGAGTCAACTATGAGACTCATGGGTAACCCTCCGCTGAGACCCATTGAAAAGTCAACTATGAGACTCATGGGTAACCCTCCGCTGAGAGTCAACTATGAGACTCATGGGTAACCCTCCGCTGAGACCCATTGAAAAGTCAACTATGAGACTCATGGGTAACCCTCCGCTGAGAGTCAGCTATGAGACTCATGGGTAACCCTCCGCTGAGACCCATTGAAAAGTCAACTATGAGACTCATGGGTAACCCTCCGCTGAGACCCATTGAAGTCACCCATGAAAGACCCACCCAAGGGAGAAACTAAAAGGGATACACCTAAAACTTGAAGATGAAGCATGTTGATGACGAACACATGTTGAAGAAGCATGTTGATGTAACCCAAGCTGTAAAATATTTAAAAATTTATAAAGAATTAATGGAAAATAAAATATCCATTTTATGAATAGACAAAATCAAATCATTTTTAAATAATAATATCAAAATTTATCACTAGGATTAATAAAAAAATAATAAAAATGCAAATGTCCTATGTTATTAACGGGGAGCGCGCCGTAATACCAAACATTGAAATAACAAACCCCAAGCTAAAATACCAAACTGTGGAGGATTGCTCCGTCTACTTGGAAGTCTGTTAACCCTCCAAATTTTGGTTATTTCGGAGTAGTTTTTTTTTAAATTTGTTTGATATTACAGCATCATACATTATATTAAGGATGCAAAATATCAAACAAAAATGTAATAATAAAAATATTAATAATTTTTTAAGCGCATTTCTGGTGTGTGTGTTTTTGTTAAAGTATATTTTATTTATTTTTGTAAAATCCAAACTTTTTTATTTAAAGTGAATTTAAATTGTTTTCCCTGTCACTCGATACACCAGAACATGAAGTTCTTCTTTTTGACATTCGTTTGACAGAAAAAAAGATTAACAAAGTACAGACCTTTTTAATAAAACAAAATTTTTTTTGAAATTTTAAAATTAAAAAAACATACAAAAACAAGGTTAATCCCAGCAATAAAAGTTGTTGTTAAAGGAAAACCAAAAGTTTGTACAGAAAGGCCACCTAATGTTGGACCGATAAAAGCTCTTAAAAATTAAAAATTTTTGAATAAAAAATAGTTAAAAAAAACCCAAAGGCAAATGCAGATTGAAAAACACCAGATACACAACCGTATGTTTGAAATGAGTCATCATATCCATTTTCCCTTTAAGAAAATTTTTAGGAAATTTTTAGAAAATTAAAAAAGATACTAACTTTACAGCGTCAAGACAATTTTGAAATGTTGGAATATAGAGAGCACCTTAAATAATTAAAAAAATTATTTAATCAAAATTAGGGCTTAAAATAGGGGTTGACCCACGTCTTCGAAGAAAGATTCCTTGGGGAACGGCGGGAGGTCCCACCAGAAGTCCCAGTCTCATTGTCATTAGAATCAATGCCAACCCGGTGATATCAAACACCAATTTTAAAAAGAAACCTGCTGCAATTCCCAAAATTGCTAAAGATACACCAATTAAAAAGAGATTTCTAAAAGAAAAAATTTTTGAATAAAAAAAAAATTAAAAAAAACTTGTCAATATCCAAAAAAGGAGAAGGTCCAACAAAAAGCATTGAAAAAGTCGTTGCTGTAGAACCAAAAAGCATTAATAAATTGCAACAATGCCAACGATCTAATATAAAACCCCAAAGTGGGGCAGTCACACAATAAAATCCTCCACAAAGAAGAAACATAAATCCAACCATTATTGTTGATAAGTTGAACTAGAAAAACAATTTTTGGAAAAAATTCGTAAGGGATTTTAATGCCAATTGGAGGGCTTAAAGAAAGGAATCCATAAAATCCTCTGACAATGAGTCCGTTCAAATAATGACAGTTTTATGAGACTACAAGTGGACTAAAAATATAAAACAAGGGAACCAGTGTTTGGGAGCTCGTATACAAAGTTTGAAAGCTTGTGTATGAGTAATGAGAAAAAATTAGACACGTACACAAGCATGAATTTTTGAATCACTAAACTGGGGGACAGAGAAATTAAAATTTCTAATTATAAAAAAAGAAACAAACCTGAGCAAGGTGTCCAGCTAAAGTCGGATCAAAGAAAGATAAAGATATTGCACAAATAATAACTGCAAAAACCATTAACCAAATAACAGGAATTCGAAGCATTGAAAGCATTCCCATTGCATCTTCTGTTGGTTCGTCATCAATATTTTCAATTAAAAAATAAGAAACAGCTGTAGCAAAAATTAAAAGAACGCCAAGAACGAAGAAAGGTAATTGAAACCCGCCATATTCGTAAAGGACACTTCCAATTATTGGACCCGCTGTATATCCAAGACCAGCAAAAGTTTCCATTATGCCCTAAAAAATTAGAAAAAAAATTCTTGAAAAATCCTCATAAAAATTAAAACAAACAACAATCGTCGCAATTCTTCCAGGAAAACATTTTGCGCTTATTGCAAAAGAAGAGGTAACAAAACAAGCATCACCTAAAGCTTCAAGACATCTAATAACTAAAGAAGACCAAAAGAAAATTCTTCCGGCAGGTAAAAGATTTAAAGTTCCAAAACCAATAGCTGTAATGCCTGTTATTAAAAGGCCAGTTATAAACATTCTTTTTGAGCCAACAGAAGCCATCTAATTTTGAAAATTTTATAGAAAATATTGAAAAACGAGGCTAAAAGCTAGAGTTCGAATTCGGGTCGGGACCGTGTTTTTCGAGCCCAACAGCACGGATAAGGGTATTCTGATAAAATCACATTTTCCAAGGCTTTAGCTCGGAAACCCCCGATCAATGTCAGCTTGGAAGAAAAACTCAAAAACCAAGCCCGGTAATGCGAAAAGTTCGAACTCTATTAAAAAAACAAACATATTTTCCAAGAAAAGGTGCAGTAATGAACATAACCAATTCAAAAATACCAAAAATAAGTCCAATCTCGGAGGTGTTCATACTTAAAATTAAAATCAATTTTAAACAAAAAACAAAAAGAAACCCTTTAAATTCAGCTTCCGTAGGATAAAAAGGCGCAATACAACTAAAAGCTATTGTGCTGCAAAGGTTGGCTACTGCTAACATTCCAATGGTTGCCAGTTGCTTTTTTGTCAATTCAGAAAAACGAGTATAAGAAGAAGATTCACTACTGCTGCTACTACTGAAATTTTTTTTTGGGAAATTAGTTTTTCTATAATTTGCGGACAAATTGACAAAACTTATTCCTTTCTTAAAATAATTCGTGTACGGAATCAGGGTCGGGTAACCCGAAACGCTTGAAAACACGATCCAAAACCAAATCAGACTTTTCCTAATTATCAACCCGAGCCTTCCTTTTTTGGAAAAACAACCCCAAACACCTCAAAACCAAAAATTAAAAAGAAAACCTTTTATCTTCATCATCATCAGACTCATCAGATTCCATTTCACCTTCAGGTATTGTTTGATGCAACATTTGTTCAGTAACAACATTATTTACTTTTATTGCTGGAACAGAGCCATACTTGCTTGTTTGATTACTACGCGTCTCATTTTTAACAGTTAATTTGTCAACTCCACTTTTTGGTAAAAAAATATTTGTAGGCACTATAGTTGCTGATGTTGGTTGTTGAGGAGCTGTTGATATTGTTCGAATACCTGTTAGACTTGTATTTGTTAGACGTCTATTTTGAGCATCAACCGAAATTTGGGTTGCAAAATTCGGCATAAATGGTGAGAGAATTAATGGGCTAGAAAATTTGAAAAAATTTATTTTTAACAAGGATCCATTCAAAGGAAAAGATTATTTTTCAGAGCCCCCTCCCAATATTAAATCCCAATAACCCCCCGGCTACGGGCCTGGATACATCTACTTTAAAGAAAAAAATTTCTCAATGAGGGAGAAGGGATTAGGCAAGGTTTATTAGAGGTCCAACAGGTTTATAGACAGATAAAACTAAATGTAAAGGACTCTGCCTGGGAGGAAGCCCCCATCTCAAGATTAAATCTCAATCAGCCTGGCCAGACCCCTCAGTAAATTAAATTTAAAAATTAAAAAAAATAACTCAATGGCCTGGCCAGACCATTGAGTTAAAAAAATATATAGAACTGTCCGCCATAAGAAATATCTTGCCTGACCCTTTCTCCCCTCAGTAAATTAAATTTAAAAATAAAAAAATACCGCATTTTTGATAAGTCAGTGTCACTATAAATCCTCCTACGACGTCTATTCCTCTTATTAGAATGTCGATTACGTCTTCGAGGACTTCTATTCAATTGTTCAACAGATTGAGATGTTGAAGCTTGAAACGACAAAATATTTCTTTCCTCATTTTCAGGCATAAAAGGGCTATTTTCTCTTCCAACTTCCTCATCTTCTTCTTCATGTCGTTCATTGGTCAAAGGTTCATTGAGCATTGAAGGTAATGAACTAGAATCGAGATTTGAAAAATTATGTTGGTCAAAATTTAAATTAGACATCCCTGACATTTTTTAAAATTTTTTTTGAAAATTTTTTTTTGAAATTTTTTTATCTGAAAGACTCTAAAAATATTAAAAATTAATTACAAAATATTTTTACAACTGATTTTAGAAAATAAAGGTTAAAAATGAAACGTCAAAATTTTAGAGGATTAAAAAAGATTTTCTTTTCCCTCTCTTAATTTAACACACTCTCTCGTTCATAATAAATTAATTTCGAGTATATACATTTTGCCAATACGACATTTTGCCAATATGGGTAAAAACGCACATTTTGCCAACAAACTGTTTGACAAAACGAGGGAATTTAGCCACATTGGCGAAAAGTGCTATAGTCCTTAATTTTGGGAGTTTTCAGACTCAAATGGAAATAAATAGCAGGAAGCGAAAGAAAAAGAGAAATAGTGTGTATTTAAAAAAGCTTAAGCTCATTTAATCCTTTTAAATCCCCGATTTCTAAACTTTAAGCTTTTCTTAAAAATAAGAAAAAATTTTTTATTTACCAAGCACTGAGTAGAGGAGTACATTCATCGTTTATTGAATTATTTCTTGAATTTGGTTGCGACATTTTTGTATTTATTTAATTTTGTTGTTTAACAAAACAAAAATTAATAAGCTTTATTTTAATTAAAAATTAATTAAAAAAATTTTTTTAATATGCTTAAAATTTAATTGAATTAACAAAAAAACTCTAAATAATAATAACTCAACAAACAAAAAATTTTTTTAAATAAAAAAATTTTTATTTTCAATTTATGAGAAAATTGATTTACTAACTATTTTTATAAATGGATAGATAACAAAAAATTTTTTGAAAAAAAAACAAACTATAAATATTTTTAATAGGGAATTACCTTTATAAATATTTTTTATTTGTCTATAAACAAACTATAAAATAAAATATTGAATGACCAAATAGTAGAGTATGTCATTTAAAACAATTAAGTCCTATTAAAAAATGATAAGAAATAAAAAAATTTTTCTTAAAAATGTCTCAATTTTTTCTAAAATTATTTTTTAACCCTCTTAATTATAGGAGTTTATTTAATTTTAAATTTTATTTAAATTAATTTTTTAATTAATTTTTTTTTCAGATTAATTTAAAGAAAAATGGATTATTTATTAGATCGTTATATTTTTGATTATTTACCTTTTCAAATTTCTGATGAATTAAAGAAATCAATTTCTTCTTCTTTAATGTCTGTTGTTAAGGTATACAAAATTTTTTATTTTAAAAATAAAAATTCGGGGCGCCACTGAGGTTCGAACCCACGACCCCCTTAAAATTTCTCAAAGTTTTTTCAAAATTTCTTTCTTCATTTTTTAGTATGCCGATTGGTTTTGCAAAACTCAAGATGTTTGGAATTTCTTTGAAAATCATTTTACTTTTCTTGCTGCTGAAATTTTTTATTTTTTGTTGTTTGCTTTTACTTTACTGCATGGTTAGTTTTTTTCTTAAAAAATTTTCTAAATTTTTCTTAAAAAAATTTTTTAAAAAAATTTCCCCCCATTTTTTCTTAGCTATTCGTCTTGGTGGACGTTATATTTACACTTGGTTAGGAATTTCTATGTTGATTTTCCATCAGGAATATTTTCAACTTGGGAAGCCGCAATTTGATTTTCAATGGCATTCTCAAGGGCTTTTAAGTTTTTGTGGTGGAAGAATCCCTATTTCGAGTGTTTTGGGTGTTCGGCATGTAGCTATTTATTCTGCTGTTGTTCTTAGTGAAAGGTTTTTGTTTTATTAAAAAAATTGGGTTTGAAAATTTTGAGAAACTTGAGGGAGGTCGTTAGATTCGAGCGAACCCCACTGGGACCACGAATTTTTATCTTCTGAAAGGCAAATTTTTTAAAATTTTTTAAATTATAAATTTAAGGGCTTTTATTCCGGCTTTTATTTTTCCTGCACGAGAATATGCTTCTATACAAGAACATTTGGCTTATTTTGGTTTTTATGGTATACAATGTTTTGCAGCTTCTATTTTGGTTAATTAATTTAAATTAATTATTTTTTATTCTTCTTTTTAAGGCTTTAATTATTAAACTTCCATACGATTTTCTTGGAACTTATTTTCTTTGGTGGACTTGGGATTATGGTAACCCGTTAATTCAAGAGAAGATTTATGGTGTTCCTTGGATACTTTTTGGTTTGCTTTTATTTTAATTAGAATTAAGTTAGTACTTTTTAACGGCTTTGGGGGAAGGGGGGGGGGGTGGTTTCGCATTATGTACCTCCACATATACGCTCAAAATATTTATTTTCAGCTGATGATGCTTCTTTAACCTCTGCATTTGTTTTCGTATTACATTTTACACGACATTTTGCTGCTGAGGAGACTTATAATTGGAAAAAGTAAATTCCTTTAAATACAAAAAAATTGAAAAATTTTTTCAGGTTTGTTGAAGAATTTTTGATGGTTGCTATTTCCGCCCGTGTTGCTTTATTATTCTTTACGTTTATATCTACTCATATTGTTATTTTTGGATTTTTTCTGTCTATAAGAACAATGGTGTTAATTATAATTTCTTTCCAAATTTTGGTGGTTATTTTTGATATTTTAACCTATGAAAAGCATTCTTTCAATCTTTATTGGTTTGATGAACTCTCTTTTGTTGTTTGCATTCATTTTATTTTTCTTATGCTGTTGGTGGTGTTTTACAATCCAATTTATGTTGTTAGTAGAGGATTTCATCAACCTATTGGACCATGCCAAGAAAAATCTCCTTTAGTCAGAGAAGAGTTAGGCTTGGAAATGGGAAAATTAGGCTTGGGCAAACTATTCTCATTTTCAACGGTAAAAAATTTTTCCCTTAATTTTAAAATTTTTCCTCTAAAGAAACTTGACAAATCAACCTATTTTTGTTTGAACGGAACTGGAAGTGAATATTTCGATTTTCATTGTGTTCCAGGTGGAAAACCTGTTATTGATGATGATATTGTGGAATGGTATACAATTTGTGGGAAAGAATCTAATTATGATTATCAATGGGAATATATTTATTTGATTTGGTATTTTTTTAATTTTTTGGGGGAATCCTCTGTCCGGCTTGTAGATAAAAGGGAGATGATAAGTTATCCCTTGTCCTATTTCCTTATACAGCCTGAAAAAAGTTTAGTTATGGATATATAAAAAATTTTCAGGTGTCTTGTTTCTAAAATCTTTCTAAAAAAGATTAAAAAGCCAAAAAAAATTTTAGGGAACCCTTTGTCCAACCAGTAAAAGGAGTATTGCGAATAACCCAAAAAAAAAGATGCCTAAAAATTTTACCCGCAACTACCTAATTTCTTTTTTAGGTTTATCTGCATTCACGGCTCGATAATTCTTTACCAGGCAGCATCTAAATCTTGGGGAATCGAACAATCTAATGTTAAGAAGAAGAATAATTAAATTTAAAAATGGCATATAATAGTAATTTATTTTTTATTTATTTCTCCCAAAGCCATACTTTTTTTGATTGTGAGATTCTCTGCCTTATTTTTCTCTTATTTATCTACATATCGTGCTTTAATCTCAAAAAAATTTTTTTGCTTTAAAAAATAAATTTTAATCTTTAAAAACACTCTTTTATAATTATTAGAACATTGGGAAAGACAAAATTCAAGGTCAAATCCGTGTGGTAAAGGAAGGGAATAATTTAAATGATTAAATGAACCAAAGAGAAAAAACAAAATTGCACAATATCACACAAAGATTAGGGTCAACCTTCCCATCAACCTTTTAAAAACCCTTCCTCTTTAACATATCCACGACCAGGATGGGCTGGGTTTAAGTCGTGTCAGGCTTTCATAAATTTCTCGGATCGAAAAAAGGTCCGGGTTTTGGGTAACCGTCCCATCCTTGTCTTAAACCCACTAAATCCTTCGGAATACTAAAAAAACTTTTTATAAAAAATAAAAGATTAACCCTAATCATCACTTAACTGTATAAAGCTCAAAATTTTAACAACACTACTGGCAAGGGACAATTATGCCCTACTGGCAATAAATTTTGGGATAAAAATAAGGGACAAAAATGATATATCTCTTAAAAAACCTCTCTTAAATTCTTTCTCTCTTTAAAGACACTTTAAGCAAAATTCTTTTCTTTCAAACCTTTACGTTTCTCCCTTATAAGGTTTGCCCATTCAACAAAAGGTTCCTCAGAAAATGCATTTTTGGTTGAATTAAAAAATTCCTCAAAATCCAAAGTTTTATCCTTTTCCTCATAACTTAATGCTTGAGCCAAAAAATCCTTAAAAATTTTCTCGGGTCAAAAAAAACATTATTTTAATCCTAAAAAACTTGCCAGTTTGTCCAATTGTTTCACAGCTTTAGCTTCTGGAGTGCATGCCTCAGCATATTCTAACCAAAGTTGAGTCCAATTTTCTCCAATTGATGCTGGTACATAAGTAGAAATTTGTTCGACTGCCTTTAATTGAAAAAATGAATTTTGATATTCCAGAAAACTCTAAAGGCTGAGTTTGTCCTATTATTTTCAGTTTCCTTCTTATAGTTTCCTTTTCTTTTACTCAAGCCAGCTATAGAAACAACTAGAATACATACCAGGAATGGGTTACCAGAAATGACAACTTGTTTTTCGACCCAGAACCCAATCCGAAATTTTGAAACCCCGACTAAAATTCTCAACAAGAAAATTTTCTCATGGGTAAAAAAGTAACACAAATTCTATTTCATAAAAAATAAAATTTTAACCTGTTTCTCAATAATATACTTCTTTTCCACAGACACACCACAGTTTGGTGTTATATCTAAAAAATATAAAGACTTATTCTAAAAAACTAACAAAAAAACCTCCAATTATTGCCTCTCCAATATCATGTACTAAAGCCATTCTAACACATTTATCAATATCCAAATCTTTTCGGCATTCAGCTAATGACATTGCTTTAAAAAGTTTTTTAATTAAAAATACAAATTTAAAAAAATACACAAAATAGCCATTCTGTACATATGCGAAGCAACAGTTTCACATTCAGCAACGGCGTACATGACCCAACCTTTTTAAAAAAAATTTTTTTAATTAAATAGCAAAGTTTATAAGGAAATATTACGACTAGACCTCAACAAAGGCCTAGGTTTCAACCAAAATTATTTTAGGATTTTCCAGGAATCCCCCAAAGCTTGACCCATTCCAATGGTTAAGAAAATTAAAATAACGAACAGTAAATTATCTGGTGTTTATTTAGTAGTCTTTCCATGTATTAAACTAGAGAATGGGGGGAAGTAAAACAAAATCCCGGATTTTCTCGACACAAATCCTACCCGAAAATCCCTCCTCCCTTTTTCCTTAAACCAGAAGATTTTTTTCTAAATTTTATAAAATACCTGTGCGTTTCAAATGCTTCAGACGATCAACAATTTCTAAAAGATTAAACAAATCAACAACCATTTTCTTTTCTTTAAAAAAATTCAAAAAAAATCTAAAAGAAATCTAAAAGAAAAATTTAAAAAATATATATTAAAAATAAATATAGAATGTAATACAAAACAAAATTAAAAATAAAAAAATTCTTTTAAATAAAATTTTTATTCATTTAAAAATAATTAAAGGACAGTTTGTGCGCTTACTAATTAAAACGCTTATAATTAAAACTAAAAATTTATTCAAAAAAATTTTCTCAACTTTAATTATAAACAAAAAACCAATTTATTATAATGTTTATTTAGTAGATAGCCCAAAAATAAATAATTTATTGCCATTTTTGAAAAATAAAAAGACAAGTCCCCTATTTTTTTCGCTAATAAATACTGTGTCCTAACGGGAAAAAATTAAACTAGTTTAAATAATCTAATGTCCAATGTCTATAAATTTTACAAACAGGATTTTTTTGCTACTTTGATAAATTAATAGCTTGTTGCAAAAAAAATTTTCTAAATAAATGTCAAAAAAAACTTCCAAAAAAAAATCCAAAAATTTTTTAAAAACCCCAAAATGTCCTTTAAAAACATGAGCACACTCAAAAAAATAAATTTTTAAAATTTAATTAAAAAGAAACTTTTTTAAATATTCAAGATCCACTCGATCTCGCCGCTTCAATCAATTTTTGTTTTACTTGAGCATCTTTAACCAAATCCAAAGGAGTTTTTTCTTCTCTATTCATTTTGTTTATATTTGCCCCATAATTTGCAAGTAAAATAGCAACTTCAAATTGTCCATCTTCACAAGCTAAAAATTAAAAAAAAAATTTATTTACTCACAAAAAATCACTATGACCTACCCAAATGTAATGGAGTATCTCCTTCTCGATTAACCAAATTAACTTGGATTTGATTTTTATAATTTAACAAAAAATTGACAATTCTTTTATTTCCTTTACTTGCAGCACGATGTAAAGGTGTTGCTCCTCTATCATCTTGAGCATTTATATCAGCACCTTTTTCAAGCTAAATTTAAATAAATATTAATTGGGAGGACATTTTTTAATATATTTCTTTTTTTTTGTTAGGAGTTTGGTATTTCGACAGTTTGGTCTACATTTTGGTGTTTCAAAGGGGTTTTGGTGAGCTTAGCATTATGAGGGGTTCGCAAACGTTTCGGGGAGAAACCATCAAACAATAATAGCAGATCCCCAATTTTAAGTAGCCTTACCGCTCCCCAGAGTATACGAAAAACTTGAGGGTCAACTATAAATCTCCTAAAATTCCAGTAGAAAATTGCCTAATAAATAAATAAATAAATAAAAACCAATTCTTGCACAATTTGTAAATAATCTTTAGAACAGGCATAATGTAAAGCTGACAGACCAGAACTGTTTCTATAATAAATAATTTAAATGATCTCAATATTTGTCACATCCCCCACACCCCTGTTTTTTTGTAATTTTTTCTATGTTAAAATAAATGAACACTTTATATTTTTAATTGATCATATCTTCTATTAAATTACTTTAACACGGCCGTAATTTATTTATTTATATTACTAGAGGATGACAAAAAAAGTGGATGTAATATATAAATATTTAAAGTGCTGATTCATAAAAATGTAAAAAAGAAAAAACTATCTTTGAAAGGGAAAAAGGAAGGATTTTAAAAAATCCTTAAAAGCTTAAAGGGAAAGATATAAGCAAAATTCTTCTTCAATAAAAAAATTCTAGCCATGCCAATTTACATAGATATGAATCGAGAATGAGTATTGGGAGAGGTTAGGGCGGGTTTTCGAGAAAAATTTTCACGGATCGGGTTTCAGGTAGAAAAAACTATGGAATTAAGGCAACCCGACCCGTCACTGATTCAACCCTCAAATCTTTACCTAATCGAACTCAATTGCTCATTTCCCTCTCATTTAAAAAAAATAAAAATTAAAAAAAATACTTTTGATTAATATGCCGCAATGGGAAACTCTTCAAAAAATCATCCTCCCTTGAATAACTCAATAAAAGACGAACAATTTCTAATTGTCCAGCAGAAGCTGCCATCATTAAAATAGTCCAATTATCATCATCTACTACATAAACCATCGAAGGATTCTTTTCAATTTCAGTTTTAACAAATTCATAATAACCAGAAATTGCTGCATAATGAAATGGTTTACGTCCAGTTGAATCAGAATATTGGCGCAAATTGGGTTGTTCTGCTAATAAACGTTCAGCTTTGTCAAATTCCTAAAAAAGAAATTTTCTTTTTAAATTTAAAAATTAAGTTAACGGACTCATACATTTAATTGAAAACCTTCCAGAAAGAAAAAAATCGAGCCTAGGGTTGGACCACGACCCGAAGTTTTTTCTGGATAAAACAAATACACCAAAAGCCTCAACCATGACAAAAGCCTCAACCATGACCAGCTTTAATCTAGAAGGGTCAGGATTCGATCTTCAATTGTCAGCCACAATTCAACCAAAAAACAATAAATGTCAGAAAGGAACGTGAAGAAACTGAGGTTTCATGTCACAAATATAACAAAATTTTTTAGCACAATGGACCCATGAATGAAAATCCAAGAAAATTAGTTAAGACCTTTAACCAAAAAAATAACAAACCTTGTCATGAAGAAACTGAATAAGTTCATTAAATGAATCCCTTACAGCATCTTTTTCAAACATTTCTTATCTCTAATTTAAAATTTAAAAAATTATATTTTAATTAAAACTCTAAAATATTAAAATTTTTTCAATTAGAAATCTAACAAAATAATTATCGAGAGACCATAACTTTTATTTTCTTTATATAAATGAGCATCATACAAATCAAAAATACACATAAGAGAAATTGCACGTGTGTATATAAAGGCAAATGTATTTTTAGGTATTTAATAAAGTCAGAAAATTTTCTGGACCGATTTGGGGTCAAAAATAAATTAAATAAAAATAAATTAAAAATAAACAGTCTTCTCATCATCAAACAAAAGGATTAAGTGAATTACGCGTAATAGTCATATAAATAGTCTCAAAACTTTCTTTTGCATTTTTAGCTTGTTGCTCTTCTTCAATAATTACAATTTGATTTCCTCCTCCTTCTCTTGGACTTAAAATTTCTTCTTTAACATCTAATTTTGATTTTGAATCTTTTAAAGTTGGTGGAATATATTTAACTCCAAAATTTTTAGAAATATGAACAACGCTTGAAATTGAACCAGTTTTTGATGATATACCACCACCAGACACCATTCTTGCATATTTCTTTTCCATAATCCAATCAGTCAAGGAAGATCTACAAAAAAATTTCGTGAAAAATTTTGTCAAAAAATTTTCTAAAAATTTTTTGAAAATTAAAAAGAAAATTTTTTTTTAATCCTTAAAAAATTATAAACAAGAAAGAAACCTAATTTCTTCACGTTGAATATCTTCCATATTTGCTTTATATACAAATTCTTTTTCAAATGCATCCGTTCCTTTTGAAATAATAAAGTGTGTTAAAAGACGTCTAAATTTGAAAAAAAAATATATTTTTTATAAATTTAAAAAATTGTTACTTTGCCAAATTTGCAATTTCATGTTTTGGCAAGCGAACATATCCTTCGATCATAATCTTAAAATTTTATTTTAAAAAATTATTTAGTGAAGAGATCATAAAGAGATATGACTTTGAGTAGGGCCCCTTCGCAGGTCTAGAACTCCCCAAAAATTAAAAAAATTAAACAAAAATGAAACGGCAAAAACAATTGAAGAGATTCGAGTCTCTGAAATAGATTAGAGTCGCTTTGACAGACAGATTCGAGCCCGTGTGGAAAAATTCGAGTCTTAATGTTAGTCAAGTGAGAGAGGGAATCCGAGCCTTAGTCACTTATTCAAAATTTTCTGATTGCCGAGCCACGTATCCAAGTATTGTGGGTAAAACCAGGTCCTTGCCCGGTTTCGAATTCCATACACTAAAATACACTCCCCTAAAAATTTTTTAAATAAAAAAACCATAGATTGAAGAGCAAAATGTAAAGGCAACAGTCTTTCAATAGTACTTTCCAAAGAAGCCATTGATGGCAAAAAGAAAGGATCCAAATCTGAGCTATTAGGCAAATATTGTCCTTGCAAAAAACGATAAACAAGTTCTCCATTGAATCTATCAACACCAATTTCCACCAAAAGTTGTAAACAAGTCATCATCTCCAAACGAGGAAAAACTATATCATTCGGATTTTGCATTCTTAACATTTTAGCCAAAGAAGATGTTCGATTAGCTCCAACCAAAACACGAAATTCTCCAGTTTGCAATTGATCATACAAAAGTTGGAAAGCCTGGCGAAGTGTGTCAAATGATTTTGACAATTTTAAAACGTCCCAAAGTTTGTCAGTAAAATCGAATGGAAAAACTGATTGAGAATCCGTATTTGCTTCGTTTATCAATTGTTTGAGTCGAACAATAATTTCTGGTTGTTCCAAAACTTTTTCTTTTGTCCATGGAGACGTTCCTTCACGCAAATGGGCAATAAGTCCGGCAAGGTAACGAAGTTCATTGATACGGTCAGTCAAAACTATACGGCTGTCCAACCATCCTGGCTTGAATCGCTAAAATTGAAAACATCAGAATTTTATAATTGATTGTGAGTTTAAAAATTTCATTTGGATCCGGTTTCGGGCCGAAAAAAACCAGCCTCCGGTTTCACGTCCTATCCTTGCCTGAGGATTAAAGTACTATCAAAACAAAGACTTGTCAATGTCCTTATTCTTTTTCCGACTATTACAAGGTCAGAGAAAGTGTTTTTTAAAAACATTTTTTAATTTTTCACACTTTGACTCGTTCAACGTCACTAGAAAAATACGTCAAACTTAAGGAGTGTGAAAATATAAAAAAATTTTCATACAATAATAGCCGCAGCTTTTTCCGGTGGCATTGTAAGAGCTTCCATTTGAGAAGAATTTGCTTTATTCTGTTCCTTCTTCTCATCAATCCATTCCGCCTCAATTATAAACATTGCTGGGACAAAATGTCCACTTTTCTCAATAAAAATGCTGTCACGTAAAACGTCAAAACGGCAACGACATTTTGTTTCAACAAAAGAATAGTGATTAAAATTTGAAACGAGTTTATCGAGAAGGTTGATTGAAGTATAATAATCGCCTTTAACAGAAAAAATGAGTAAAAATATAAAAAAATAAATACCAAGATAATTCCCTTTAAAACTAAAAAATTGTTCAGCCGTCTTTTTTATTCCAAGAAGAAGAATATTTTCATGGCCAGAACCCTCTGTGAAGACAATTAAAGAAAAGGATTCTGGCATTGGTGTTTCTTGTTCAGTCAGACTAAAAAATTTAAAAATTCAATATTAAGGAGTTAATAACAAAGATTTGTTAAATGTTTATAGATTTTTCGTGAAAAGATCAAGAAAAATGGTTTTCAAACATTTTTTTAATATTTCACACTTTGACTCGTTCAACGTTACAAAATACACAGTCAAACTTAAGGAGTGTGGAAGGTGTGTAGAAAAATGAGTCATGAGAACAGACAGAAAAGACTATAAGACGTCAAAATAAATGAAAAGGTATAAATTACCCAAAAATATAGTTAAGAGCAATGATGGTATGGCTCTAATTGTAAGGATTGGCTTCTGAGCAGGAGCAAGGAGAATCTTAAAATGCCAGGGCTTCGGAGCAAACAGGATTTTGAAATGCCAAGAGCCGGATTAAACATTCTACAAATCCCACTGCTGGAGCCGATTTGAAAATGTCGAAGCTAGAGCCAAGGACATCCGAAACTAAACAATAATTGTTCACTTCTCCCCAGTCAGAGTTGTAGTTCAAGTACCACAAGGGTTTAGAGGCAACGAGGAAACCACCAAACGGGACTAGACACGAAAATAACAAAAGTAAACTCACTCATTAACAAAAGAAAAACCTTCCCATTGCGGAACCAAATGCAACTCAAAATTAGCGAAACGATCAGAAGAACTCAATTCAAATCCACGTTGTGTCTCTTCAAGTCGATTTTTGTTCAAAGCTGCCATTTTGTCAAGTTTATCAATTGAAAGGAAAGTAACAGAAAGTTTCTCGTCTCCTCTAATTTCGCAACCTTCAGGAATGTTTTCTTTGTTTGCAAGGCTGTGATTGGAACTGTCAGAGATGGATAATCCCATAGCTTTGAGAGATTCCATAATTTTGGCTTCATAACCCTTTAAATAACAAATTAAATTACGTCCGGATAAAAAACAAAAAGAAACCTCAGCCTTAACCAGATCAACAACAATCAAATGTTCATCAAGTTCAGGAATGTCAGACGCGATTGGAACACAATTCTTATTCAAATATCTTAACCTAAAGCGTCCAGCCTTTAAAAAATGAAAATTTAAATCTTAAATTAAAATAAAAAAAGAACCACAATAATTTGTCCATTAGCTTTAAGATTGTCAAAATTAATCATTATTTTTAAATTAAAATCTAAAAATTAAAAAAAAAATTCTTTAATGAATTCAATCAAGCAAAACAATAAACGGAAATCAAATAAATTGAAATAATTCTTCGCTCTCAGAAAAAAGCAAATTTTTCGTGATCACATTTTGCCAACTCCTTATTTCGCCAATAAGGGTAAAAATTCACATTTTGCCAATAGAGATGCGTTGACAAAACGTAAATTTCAAGACTTATTGGCGAAATATGGTTATGGCAAAATATGTGAAGGCAAATTTTTTCCTTCTCAAATTCTCTCTTCACTCTCCTCAATATACATTGTCTATCATTTTTAGTCATTAGAGTCACGAAAACAATTTTTAAAGATAAAGATACGGAATATCCGTTAATTAACTGGTTAAAAGCTTTTTTTAAACAAAATCAATTATTTTTATTTTTAAAAATAAATTTTTAAAAAGATCACAAAATTTAAAACGTTTATATAGAGAAGAGATCAAAAATTCTAAAGTACATATTAGGCTAAAATTTAAACCCGCTTTTTCTAAATTTCACAAAAAAATTTTTCTTCTTCTTTTTTTCAAATTTTTTGGGCACTAATCTTGAAATTGAGCTATATTAATTAAAATAAAAATTAATTTGGTGTTTGTTGTTGTTGTAATTCCATATTTGTATTAATTGATGGATCACGTTGATAATATGCTAACATTGTTCTTTGTAATAATTCTAATTGTTGCCGCATTTCTTCTTGTGCCAAAGCCATTTTTTGTGTTTGTGAATGCATTTCGCTCATTAACTAGAGGAAAAAAATTTTTTTAGAGAATTTTAAAGAAAACAAAAAACCCTGTTTAGTTGATGCATAGATGTTGTACTATTCTCGCCAAAGGCACGAATTTTATTTTTTATTCGACGAAAACTGTTGAAAAAATATTTTTTAATTATTAAAAATTTTTTACTACAAGAATATAATTTAAAAAAATTTTATTTGGCCTTAAAAACGCAAAAAGAGCGTTCGAAAAATTAATGGGCGTCAAGGGGAATCGAACCCCAGACCCTTCAGGAACGACTGCCAATCAAACCCAACACCCTAACCATTCTACCAACTCGCAACATAACCTTCCAACATAAAATAAAACCTAAAACTTTAATTAAAAAATAAACTCACTGATGAATTGCATTTAAAAATTTCCTTTGATGCCGTCTCAATAAATTATCTGGAGTATCATCATTAGCTTTTAAACATCTATAAATAAGCCATGTTTTTTGTAAAACTCTTGCAGCAGCATGTTTATGTGATAAAGTTAGACGGCTATCGTTCATAAAATTGTTAACATTTTTTTGTCCTTGAGATAAAAGAATTTTTCGTGAAATGACTGCGATAAGGATTGAAGAGATTACTGCACCCTTTAAATTAAAAAATTAGTTTTTTTTTGTGAAAAATAAAAAAAAATTAGGACATTCTATAATTAAAATAATCATTTTTCCAATAAAAAAATTAAAAAAAACCCCTTACACTAATTCCAACAAGAATTGCTATTGTTCGTCCTGCTAGTGTTTTTGGTACAATATCTCCATAGCCGTTGCCCTTAAAATTAAATTTAAAAAATAATAAAATAAGAAAAAAAAGTAAAATTATTTCAAAAAATCCTCAAAAATATATCCCCAATTTTGAAAGATTGGAAATTAAAAAATTGGAATTTTGGACGTTTCGAGCCCTTTGACAATTTGACATTTTTTCGTAAAAAAATTTTTAAATTTAAAAATAAAAACAAACATTAAAAGTAATAGCAATAAACCATAATGAATTAATATATAAAAGAAAGGAGCCTTCCTCTCGTCCAAAACGTTCACATTGAGCAAAGGACCAGGCAGTAATTAACCAAAAAATTAATAGAAAAATTGAAAGGAAAAGCATTGGGTGTTGATCGAGAACTAAAAAATTTTTTTAAATTATTTTAATTTTCTGAAATGCTTTCAAGGGAGCTTTCTCATTCAAAAAAAATTTTTTTGATCAAGAAAAGAAACGAACTCAATCATTTAATCCCTATAAAAGTACCAAAAACTAGGGCTCTATAACTTCGGGGCCATCACGAAGAACTGATAATTTTTCTGTACAGCTCTTTGGTTCGATTCTGGATATCCAAACATTTTCCAAAAAAACTTATAACCATCCAAAAAAAAGCTAAGGGATTTAAAGCTAAAATTAGCAACAGGTATCAAAGACAGGCCGAGACTCGGGCCCAGGACTTTTTCGACCCGAAACCCGACTCGAAATTTTTCTTACCACGGTCCATCCCTGATATACTCAATTAATTAAGAAACCTGTTTTAATTACAAAAGCAAAATTGACTTGTATTCGATTAAGAGCTGCCAAAGTACGGGTAGATGCATCCTAAAAAATAAATTTTAAAAAAATTCCAAAAATTAAAAAAAACCTGAAATTGTTTCGAATGCAATACTTGCCATCTACCAACTAAATAAAGCCTTGAAAGCATTAAAAGAGAAAGTAAAACATCTACAGGCACTTCTTTTATATGTAACATATGTCTTTCGTGACCATGAGCCCAAGAACGTGGAGGTTCAATAAATGACCAATTTAGAGAGCCTGTTCCGGGAAGAGGACTAAAAAGAAAAATTTTTTTTTGTCTATTTCGGTTATTTTTTCTAAGGTTTACTGTGCATAAAAACAAAATTTGGTATTATTCTCATTGTCAGTATCATGAAATAGAGAACCTCCTCTACTTCATATTGCGAAGCAACTTTCTTTTCTTTCAAAATGACTTTGGGGTGAGTCTTTTTCGAATAGGTTCCCATAAACCAAAAGTGTGCCAGGCCATAACTCGGTCAAAAGTCATTTTTTCAAGGAAAAGAATATCACCTCACAATAGGAAATTGAGGGTCCCCTATCGAATGGTACCAAGAAAAATATCAAATTTTTATATACAATAGACTGTGTTCCCTTGTCTAAAATTTATTTTAGAAAATTATTTAAAAAATTATTCCCAAAATTTTCCCAAAATTTTTTTTTTCAAAAAATTTTAAAAATAAAAAACCAACATAATAGAACAAAGAAAAAATTCTGTCGAAAAATGCCAAATTCTTCTCCAAGAAAGAACCACTCTCCAATCATCTGCCCCACAATCTACTAGATCCAACTTTAAAAAAATTTAAAATTTCCTTAAATTAAAATAAAAAAACCTGTATTTCATTATAATGATAATGAATAATTTCACATAAAAGTGCTATTGTTGAAAATAAAAGTAATGTTCTTATAAGTAAAGAGGCTACATGATCCTGTAAAAATAGAGAAAAATTGTTTATAAATTTAAATAAAAATAAAAAAAATTTTGCAAAGGTTAGCTTATAGTTAATTTAAAAAAAGGTTCATTTGAGTTGGTAAAAATTTAAAAAAAAATTTTCGTTTGTCTTTATACAATTCCTTAGAAAATTCATAAAATGTTTTGAGAATATTTCTTGGTGTTCTAATTATTTTTAAAAATAAAAAAAAATTTTTTTAACCTTGTGAATACCAAAAGCATTTTGACCACACAATTCTGTATCCACAATCATTAAAAGAATACCAAGCATTGCTAGAATAAGGCATCTATCAGATATATGAACACGATCTGCAAGCCTCTAAAAATTAAAGAAATTTTACTTAAAATATTAAAAAAATTTTCTAACTTGAGAACGAATTTTGTAGACCATTTTAACTGCTGAACCATCATATCTAGAAAAATAGTTAATTATAGTTAATTGCTCTCATGTAACAGGGAAGGATTACCCTAAATCTACGGAAACTTTTTTCGACCCAAACCCGAAATCTGATCGCTTTCCTTAATACGACTGAACAATTCGCTCCTGAGATAAATGTTATTTTGGCGATATTTGCCCCACATTGTCACGTCCTCTTCTATTAAAACGTCGGTTTAATTATCTTTCAAAGGGGGCCATTATATCGAGATTCGTCTGTCTAGCAAGGACGTAGCCAGAGGGGCTTCTGGGGCTATAGCCTCTCTGAAATCGACCTCCCTTGCTGCCTAGCATTATGATAATTCTTTTACTAAAATCTCTCTAAAAAAATTTCAAAAAATCTAACCTGCTTCCATTTCTCTTTAAACAAGCCCCAGATTGTGCTATTCTATTATTAATATGATTTGAAGAAGGTTGTTGTTGATTATATCCTCCACTATTATTAATTAATAATATATTATTATTTCCTCCACCCCCATTTTCTACAACATTTTTATCAATTGAAGAATTTTGTGAATCAATTAAAATTATTGTTGAAGGGGAAATTTGTAATTCATTTTTTGGTGGTAGAATTGTTTTTGTTGGTAATGTTGATGTTGTTTCTCCAGCATCTTCTACTTTAATTAATGGATGTTGTATATTTGTTGTTGTACGGCCTGTTCCTGTTTCTGAAAAAAAATTTTTTTGGAAAAATTTTTGAAATCAGAAGAAATTTTTCAAAAAAATTTTAAAAATTTTAGCCTCAAAAATTTCTTAAAAAATTCAAAAAAATTTTTTTAGAAAATTTTTTCCCCAAAAAATGAAGATTTTAGAAGCCAAAAAAATTTTTTAATTTTAGAAAAATATTATCTGAATTTTCAAAAAATTTCTCGAAAATTAAAAAAAATTCCAAAAAATTCCCAAAAATTAAAGAAAATAATTCTTACGATTAGAATCAAAAGACTCGTAGCTACAATCAATTTGTGTATAAGCTGGAGGCATTTGGCCAAGCTTTTTCCGGCTAAGTAAAGAACGAAATTGTTGCCTGGACCCATTTAAACGGAGAAAGTCTGCGCTGACCTAAAAATAAATTATTAAAATATTTATTTTTTCATTTTTTTGCTTAATTAAGCCTAGAAAATTTCTTAGTATGTCCAAGACTTAAAAAATAAAACTTGAAAATTTGGGATATTTTGTCACCCGTCAACTTTTAAAAAAATTAGTCGAAAAAATTTTTTTCAAGGCTAATAGCAATAAATCCCCCCCCCACCCATCCCCCCTCATGTCTCTCTCTCTCGCCTCGTGTATTGAAGAAGCGCGACGTTCCCGTGATTGTAAGTCCATCAATTAGAAAGAGGAGGTTTTTTTGTTGTATTTAATTTATTCTCAAAAATAATTTTTCTTTAAAAAATTTAAAAAGGTTTTAAATTTAAAAAAATATGAAGGAAATAAATAAAAAAAACTTTTTTTTTGCATACAAACATGTGTGTGTGTATGGAAATAATAAAAAATAAGTAAAGCATAACGGAACATAAAATCATGAGAAAAGAAGAGTAAAATTAGATTTTTTAAAAAATTAAATTAAATTTGTAAAATACAAACATAAATATATTCTTTTGTTTTTTTTTCAAAAGTCTCAAAGTATTCCAATTTAAATACGAAAAAAATCTAAGTCAATAAAGACATCGTTCAGGGCCGAATTCTGGAGATGTAATTAAGGAAAAGGACGTGATAAAGAGGAGTAGGGATCTGTTGGGTTACCTAAAATGCGATATTCGAACGTTCTTTCTCAATCCGGCCTATGGGAGGGAGGGAGGGGGAGGGATGGGGATGTATAGGGAGGCATGCTATTAAGATTTGATCGTATTTAATAAAAAAATTTTAAGAAGGCATTAATAGAGTTAAGAGATGACCGACCCTAAAGTTGTTTCGAACCAAAAAATATGGAAAATTGGAAATCAAAATTCCAAAAAAAGCTCCGATAGGTCTCCCCTCTCTCCAGGTTTAAATAAATTTATAAGAGCTAAAAATGAGGGTTAAAAATTTTATTGTAATTTTAAGTCAGAAAATTAATTTTAGAATTTTTTTTCAAAAAATTGCTTATTAAAAAGTAAAAAACAAAAGAAGAACGAAAAATGAATACTGACAGACTAAATATTTACAAAAAAACAAAAATAATTTAGAAAGGATTCCCCCTTTACACAAAAACTAAAAGCAAAATTAAGAAAAAAAAGGCACAAAAAATGTGACATAAAAACACGTTTCTACTCTAGGGAATGGCTAAAAAAACAAAAAATATTGAGTAAAATAATAATAAATATATACAAAAAAATCCCCCTTAAAAAAGAGAGTTCACTTTCCCCTCTCTCTCAATCTCGAATACCTCTCCCCCTCCTCCTTCTCCCCCCCCCCCCCCCCCTCTTGAAAATTGATGGATAGCTACTTAAAATAGAGGAAAGTATCATTTAAAGAATGAGAAAAAATATAATTAAATCTATGCGAAAAAAGACAAATTTAGATAGAGCTTAAAAATTAATTTTTGGTAAGTGATTTTCTAAGAAATTTCTGAAAAAAATATAAAAGATATTCGAATCTCGAAATATAACCAACTCGAAAAAAAAAGAAAAAGTTAATTTTAAAAAAGAGTTGGTCGTTAAAAACCGAGTCAAAATCGAGGAGGGTTATTATAACGAAAAAGTCAATATCGAGTAGAGATCGAGATTTTTGAAAAGCCTGGGCATATTCCTGGACTTTGATTTGATTTATGGCCTGGGCCGGATCCTGGGTCTGTAGTCCAGAAAAAAACCCAAAAAACCCAGGCCCAGGAAAAACCCAGGAAGGTCAAAAAATGCCTGGGCCTAGTATCGAGGGCCACTACATTGAGGAGATACTACATCAAAGATTAATTATATATCGAAATTCGACTATAATTTGAGGATAGTCAAATAATTACAACAAAATTTTAATTTCTTTCTTCGCTAATTTATAGACAAATTAGTTAGTCCTTTTTAATGGCTTCCCCAAACTAGATAGAAAAAATTAATTACAAAAAATTAGATAAAAAGTTACTTAACTAGACAAAGAATAATTTAAAATATAAATTGTCTAATTCGGAAAAAAATTTTTTTAAAGAAAATTAAATAAAATTTTATGGCAACGTGAGAATCCTGTATAAATATTAAATAATAATCTTTTTTAAAAAAAAAGTTAGAAAAAAATTATAAGCGAAACAAGGGGTAAAGCGCGCCTATTTTTTATTTACATAAAATTAATTTTTTATTTTTATTCCCAATCTCATTAATATACACTGGAAATATAATATTATTAAAGTTTGAATATTTAAATAATTTTAAAAATAATAAACAGAAAAAATTTGTACTTATTGTTAAAGTATTGCATGTTTTTTAAATGAAAAAAAAATTAAAAAAAAATAAAAAAAAATGTTTGTTCACCCCAATAACCTTGTTGGGAACAGACTTTTATATAGTTAGACTTTACTTACACGGACCTAACCTTGGGGTTAAAAAATTGTATTTTATTAATGAATAAAGCAGTGAGGGTTGCTAAAGCAGGCCAGGGAGGAAATTTCCAGGCCAGGGAGGAAAGAAGTCGTCCCTCGAAAAAGTCGCAATGAAGGAACGTTAGTACCAGACCCTTCCAGGCCAGGAAGGGACTAAAAAATAAATTCTCGATTTTTGGGAATCGGGAATCGGGACGGCAGGATTCCTGCCACAAAACAAATTTTCAAAACCTTACAATATTAAAAATCTTATTAAAAAAAATTTAACTTGCCTTAATGAGCCCATTAGAGTCCGAAAAGTTGACACCTGCAGCTCCCTCTCTTTCCCCAAAATCAAAGCTTTTCCCACCCATAGGAGAGACAACTGAAGGTTTTGGAGTTCTGTAGTCTTCGTGTTCTACTGATGGAGCTGAAGCTACAGTAGGGCCCTGAAAATTAAAAAAAATTTAAAAATTTTAAAGGGGACATTAGATCCCACCGGGAAGATTCAAAAAAAAAATTTTTAATTTTACCAAAGATCCACGGCATCTGAAAGTTTTTCGTCTATCCAACGTTTGTTGTAAAGCACTAGCACTGTCCAAAGTATGCCGAACTAATACAGCTGCTGCTGATGAGTGTTGAGGGATTGAATGAATAGTTGATGGTTGTTGTTGTTGTTGTTGATTTTTCTGTAGTTGAGTATTCGAAGTATTTTTTGAAGATGATGAAGAAAATGGGGAAGAATTTGTTAAATTCATACCTGTCTGATTCTTATTTATTGAAGGGAGGATTATTAGAGTAACGAAATTGAATTAATTAAGTTAGAGATCGAAATTTTGAAAAAACCGGGTCCGGGAAACGGGTTCTAAAAGTTAACCGGGAGACCCGGACCGGAAATTCGCTTCCCCGGACCCGTTTCGATCTCTAAATGAAGGAGGCTATTAGAGTAACGAAAAGAATTTAAAATAAAGAGGGCTATTAGAGTCTGGAAAAGACAAAGATATCAAAAGGGGCTATTAGAGTACCGAATTTAAATAAGAAAAGGGACTATTAGAGTATCGAGAGGTTGACCGATAAAGGGACTAGAAAGGTATAGAAAATAAAAGAAGGACGATTGGGTGTTTATCAGTGACAAGAATGAGAAGGTCGTCGTGCGAGGATCGTTCTCGATAACCTAGAGTGTTTTGTTCGAGATTTCGTCTCGATCTGGTCTCCATAAGTCATTTTTAGATTTTTAAATTAAGTTTCCACATTTAAGCTCTGATTATTATCGAGAATAATTGATTAACAAGAACAATAGAAGCCCAGAACCTTAAGGAAAAATAAATTAAAATACCGTATTTTCTCAAAAAATAGCCTCAGGGGGCTATTTTTTCAATCGACCTCTAGAGGGGGCTATTCTGGAGAGGGGGGCTATTTTAGAGAAAATATATTAGAATTTTAAAAAATTCTAAAATAGAATAATTCGATTTTTGTCACCAAATTTAACCAAATAATTTAAAATAAAATAATTTCTAAGAAAATATTTTTTTTCTTTCCCAAAACATACTAATTATTACTCGTAAAATAAAGGCTTTTTTAAAAGACAGAAAATAATTAAAATACTATTCTTATAAAATCGACTGACAAAAAAAATTTTTTTATAAAAAAAGGGGGAAGGCAACAATTTTTAATGAAATGAAGCAAATAAATTTAATGAGAGAAAAGGGATGATAGTAGAGGGTTTGAAAATTGGAAAAAAATTGGTTAATTAATTAATTTGGGTAGAAAAAATTTTTTTCAAGGGAGGATAGAGACGATAAAGGCTACAAAATATAGAAAGATTGCTAACAGGGATATCACGAACCCATTTATAAAGATGACAAAGACTGATATCAGAGATGTCATGGGTTATCCGAAACCCGGACTCTTTGAAAACCCGATACCCGGGCATTTTTCAATCAGAAGATTTTTTGAAAATATGACCAAACTTTTCGGTACTTATAGGTTATACGCCCACAAACTGAGTAATTTGAATTGGATCAAACACCAAAAAGTTAAGACGATCAAATTCAGCTGACACTCGGGCCGATAAGTACCTTTTTTTCTAAACCCGTGATATCTCTAACAGCTACTCTCAAAATTTTGTTTAAAAAAATTAAAAAAGATCTCAAAAATTAAATATTCAAAAATTAAAAAAAAGAAAGAAAAGTCTCGAGTTAAAAATTAAAAAAAATTTTTCTCACAAAGATTTTTTAGGTAAAAAAAGAGTTGAAGCAACATATGAAAAATTTAAATATGTACAACAAGCAATCAAAAAAAAAAGAAGAAAAAAAAATTTTGAGAGGGGGGGAGATAGGCCCCTTGAGAGATTAAAAACTATAAAAAACGAGAAAGGAAATGTTAGAGCACAAAAAAATGCCAAAAAATAATAAAATAAAAAAAGGGCCATATTTAAAAAAGGAATTTTTTTGTGTTTTCCATTTTTGGAATTTTTGGAGGGGGAACTTTTAATGGGAGAAACATTTAAAAAAAGAAAAAATAAAGTATTTTGGGAGGAATTTTCTGAAAAAAATTTTTTTGGAAAAAGGTTGGAAGTTAAAGAACAAAAGAAAAGTTAAGTCTGTAAAAATGACGAGAATTTTTTGCATAAATATATAATGACGATTGTGTGAAGATAAAAAGAGGTTTTTCAAAAAAAAAAGTTTTTTGAAAAAGGTTAAGAAATGACAAATTTATGTAATATTTTTGTTTGGGTTAGAGAAAAAGAAAATAGTAGGGTAAAATAAGAGAAAACAGAAAGAGTTTTAAATTCTGATAATTAGAATTCTGATTTTTATTTAAGCTAGAGAAAAAGAAAATAGTAGGGTAAATGAAGAGAAACAAGAGAAAAAATTAGGACAAAATTCTGATTTTAGTAGAAACATTTTTTGTATTTTTAATTATTCTGATTTTTGTATTTTCCCAATTCTGAAATTAAATACCCTATAAAAATCAGAATTTATAGAATTACTAATATTTCTGAAAAGAAAACACAAAAAAAATACTTTCTGAAAATAATATTCTTTTTATTATAAAATACATTTCTGGCCAAGGATTATGAACAATTAAATAATATTAAAAATTTGTATTGTGTTCTGATAAATACATATATTTAAATTGAGGGGGCTTTTTCTTCTTTATTATTCTATTTTTAGTCTTTTTGTTCAGAAAAAAAAGGTTTCTTTCTTTTTTAACAAAAAAAGGTTTAAGCAACAGAAAATTTTATTAAACGAGAGGAGAAAAAAAAAAAAAATTATTTAAAAAAAATTAAATTATTTCTAAGGGATTTTTTTAATTAAAAAAATTTTTTTTTAATTTTTCGCCCTCTAAAATACCGTAAAATGCTCTATAATTAAAGCCCTGGGTTTCTATTCTTTAATGGGTTCCTTGGGTGATCTTGTACATTAGATGGGGCGTTTAGTAGAGACTCACTTCTATTGGAGACCTCCTTTTTCAAAGGGCCTCCTTGTGTAGGGCTAGGAGGCTTCTAATAGAGGGGGTAAGGCGAGGGGGCTTCTAATAGAGAGGAAAGGGCGAGGGGGCTTCTAATATAGACTGCACTCTAATTAGAGCCCTGGGCTTCTATTCTTCAATGGGCTTCTTGGATGTCTTATATTAGATTAGGCTTCTATTAGAGACCTTCTTTTTTTTGGGCCTCCTTGGGAAGGGGGCTTCTTGAGGTTGGGTCGGGGGATGGGAGGCTTTTAATCGAGACTCCGCTCTAATTAGAGCATTTACTGTATTTGTCTAAATAATTTTCTAAAAAATAAACATTGCTTTCCCAAGGTTTCATTAAATTAAAAAATGATATATTTATTTACCTTCTAACTTTCCCATGAGAAAAAGCCAAAAAAAATATTTTTCTTTTTTAAATTACCCTAGAAAAAATATTTTTTTTCCTGAATGTTTTTCCTATTTTTAAGGCGTTAAATTGGCTTTTTTTAACAAACATAAACATGGATAGGAATAAAAAAATAAAAAAATAAAAATATAAGTGTGAAAGGCGCCCAATGCTGCGCATTTTTTTCATTTCTTGGTCCGCAGGGGAATTAAAAATAACAAAGAAGAAAAAAGAAAATTGCAAAAATGAAGAATGAAATGAAGAAGAATGTTAAAAGACTGTTCCTTTTTTTAATAAAGTAGTTTTTTAAAAATCCAGAAAATTAATTTATGGGATCGGGCCACCCCAGAAGGCTCGCAGAAGGTCAACACCCCAGGAAGAAAGGTCAACAGAAGGTTAACACCCCAGGAGGTCAACGCCCACGAGGTTAACTGACCGAGAAGGTCAACTACCTAGTGGTCAACTGACCCAGAAGGGGTGAGGGCAATCGTGAAAAACGCAATGAACTCCCCCTGATCTGAATTAAAATTTCGTTTATCGAGATCATTATTTTTCAAGACACCGAGCCCAAGGACTCCTCCAATTAAAAAAAGGGGCAGGTGTTCTTCTGGATTTAAATGTAAAATAAAAATAATTAAATTTTAAAAATTATGGGGGGATATTAAATTCTATATGGCTTCTTATAAGAAGATTGAAAAGAGGAAAATGGAATGAAAAAAAATTAAAAAAAAATGAGGAAGGAAGCACTGCAAAAATATATAGAAAAGAATATTTCCGGTGTTCACTTAAATTAAATGAGCATTTTAAAAATATAACATGGCTATTATATTTTTTATTAAAAAATAAAGGGTCCCAGTTATCTCTGCAAAAATTATTTTTGAATCAAATTGCAAAAAATAAATTCAGAAAAGAAAAAAAACTGTTTGGTTAGCATGAGAAGACTAAAGAATAAACAAGAAAAGCTACATAAGGGTCCGGTAATTTTAAACAAAAGGGTCATAGTTCAAGTAAGACTGAAGGTCCTCGGTAATTCTGAACAAAAAAGAAGGTCACTGGGTAATAGTGATGTTTGGAAGTTAAAAAAAGCCGAGAGTCTGGACCGAGAATTAAACTCGAGACTGAGACCGAGAGCTCAAAAAGCCCGAGAAATTTCCCAAGTCGGGAACCGAGACCGAGTCTCGAATATCACTAGTGTTGAGCTCCGGAGACTTGTCAGATCTTGCACTAGTTAGTACCTAAGTCAGTACCTAGGCAGTACCAGTCAGTACCTAGTCAGTACCCATCTCAATTTTCTATACTGCACAAATCTTTAAAAGAAAAAATTATTTCAAGTGGTTCCAGTGTAATGGGTGGGGGTGCCAGCAGATACAGGTCCACAAACAAGGCTCTCGCCGGATATTTTTCTTCTATACCAGCAGATACAATTATAACATTAAGCCCCTATCAATCGCCAGGCATTGCTCTCCCATATAGTATTTTTCTCCCAACTATTTTTATTTCCTAAAAATACTAAATCTAGCAAATTTCTTAATTCGTCATCCAAAAAAAAATTAAAAACAAATTCAAAAAAGGGGAATTATGCTTTCCTTATTAAAAACAAAATCCGCTCTTTCCCCTATTTAATGACATCATTTACGACTTTACTTTTTTCCCTTGTTTTCCAAAAAAGTTTTTGTTGTCTGGGCACCGTTTATTCACTAAAAATATGCAAAAGCGGTGCAATCCGCTTTAATAAAAGATGAAAAAAGAAGATTGGAAAAAAATATTTTTGAGGGATTTTGTGATAAAGGTGTGAAGTACTATAATGAATTTTGAAGAAAAAAATTGAGAATGACGATTTTTTGTTTTTGTTTCTTATTAAATTTTGAATAAAACAAGAAAAGATTAAAGATGGGGAAATAATTAGTTTTGCCCCCATATGAGAGTGAAATAAGCAACATTTTTAGCTAACATAATTTAATTAAAGAAAGAACAGGCTTTTGAGTTTCCATCTTAATAATACATTCTTATGTATTAAATTAAAATTCAGCATTTCATCCCTAGCCTAAGGGACTACCACATGAATAATAAGGGAGTGGATTCCTTCTATTTATTTTTGAGATCTTTGAGAATGAGAAGGATGATTCCAATTTGATTCAAACTACCAGATTCCAATGAGAAGGTAGGGAGGTAATCACGCCTTGTAAATCCCGAGGCAAGGGTTACCAACAAGTATAAAAATACTTAACTTCACCCTCAGCATTTTTATAAAGGCGAGATAACAATTAATAACAATTAATAACAATTTAACACAGTCAATTAAAACAATTAAAAAATTTAATCCCTAGTCTTCTAATCCCTAGTAAAAAAATAGCTTGTTAGTTTTTCTGGTTCCTTCACCCACCTATTTTTTTCTCGAAATTAAAAATACTACCATGAAAAAAAAACAAAAATAAAATTAGAAAATGTAGGAGAATGTACTAAAGATAAAAATAAATACATACATACTTCTAAAGAATGTTGAGGGGTTGTGTTTATTTTTTTTAAATAAATATATACTCCATCTAAAGCAATAAAAATAGAAGAGCAATAATGGCAAAAGTGAAGGGCCAGTAGTAGATATATATTGAGCTTATGGCTTTTTGCTTCTGAAAATGAGCGGAAAAGACTTGAAAAAAAACATTATTGGAGGACTGGACAAAGAGGCGATAATTACACACAACAACAAAAAAAATAGAGGGGGTGTTCAATAAAAATATAGAGTGAAGTGCACGCGTGCCACGGCATTTTAACCGTTTTTTTAGAAATTCTTTAGGGTATTAGGGGAAAATTAATAAAATTTAAAATAAATCAAATTGAGGAAAATTATGCAAAAAATTGTTTATTGAATTATTTTTGATAAGGACCATTTTTCTGATTTTTTGAGGGAACAGGAAGGACTAAATTTAATTGAGAGGAATGCTGGTTAAACCCAAACCTTCGTAATAGTACATATTAGATTTATTATAAAATGGATTGAGGTAATAGTGCTGGGAAATCTCGGATTTGTTCGTACTCGCACTCGTTCCACCCCTATTTTTAGTTAATACTTTATAAGGTCTTCTACTTTTTGCTCGAACTCGTACTTCGTATCATTAAAAGGTACGAATTTCGGTACAAGCGTCCAAGCACGGGATAGTAACACTTCCCCCACACACAGACTTTTTATTAAACCAATTAAAAAATATTCACCTGCGCAAGGAGCCTAAATAAATATAATAAAAGTTAACTTACCTAATAACTCAATTATTTACACCTTAAAGGGATGAAGGAATTTGCCACGGATACACCCACATCGCGTGAAATAAATATATTGAGAAAAGCAAAAAATAAACAAAACTAATTTTCTCAAAAAATGGAATGAAATTACATATAAAGCTAATAAAAAGAAGAAAAACGGTAAATTAAAAGAACTTAATAGCTTCCTTTACTAAATCCAAAATTAAAATTCCGTGTCTATTTTTCTTTATTTTTTAAAAATTCTAGAGTTTAAGAGAAACGGACTTATTTAAAAATATTTATGTATGTATTTTAACCAAACTTAAAATTTCCGTGTCCTTTTCTCTTAGCACTCCAAAATTTTCAAAAAAAAATTCAAAAATATTTTTTTAATTTCGATTTGTATTTAAATTGCATGATAAAAATTCTGAAAATAGTCTGAACTAAGTCTGAATAAATAAAAAAATTTCTTCCTTATTCAAGTCAGTTAATTAAAATTTAAATTTTATTTTAGTACACTTCCTTATTTTTTTAAATTAAAAAAAATTAATTTCTCAAATTAATTTTATTGATATTGAAAAAAAAATAAAAACGAGAAGCGGATTGATTATATATTTAAAAAGGATTTTTGTTTCTTTTTTTAGTCCCATAAAATAATTAAAAAAAGAGGAGGACTAAGAAGTATCTTTTCTTTTTTAGGACAAATTTTGATTTTATAAAAAAAATTTGGCTTTAGGACATGCGTCCCCCGTGAGCTTTTATGCATCATAAGAGTATTATGAAAACTCATGGACGCAGGCATAGGTAGGGATGACATATCGAGGCGGACATATCGGGGGGATTGCGGTTTGTTCCAAGACCCAGAGGCCATAAGTTCGAAAATTGCTGTTCGAAAATTGAAATATCCCGATATGTCCGTCCCGACATTTTCAATCCACCAAAGACGCATGTCCCAAAGTAGAGCCAAAAAATTTCTTTTTCCAAAAAATAGTAGGGGGGAGATCAAATTCACCTTATAATAATGTGCTGCTTGTTTGTATTTATTAATATTATTATTTGGGAATTTTTTTGTTGTGGAGGGAGGGTATCTTTTCTCAAATTACTAAAAAATATTTCAAAATACTAAAATTCAAAATTCTTCCAAAGACATGCAATAATACATCCATCAAAACGCCTTTTATATTTAAAGTATTCAAAGCTAGTATTATACTTTTAAATCGTCACTTGTGCCCCAAGTTCATCATCCATTTCACCACTGTCATGTTCATCGTCAAACTCCTTTATTGTTAGAGAATTTTTAATTTTTTTGGATGAAAAAAGGATATTTAAATAGAGTTCAATCTTTAAAGTGGCGAGGAAGTCAAGGAAATCTCCCCATTTAAAATAACGAGGAGAGGGAAAACTTTACAATTCCCAAAGGCAGGGATGTTTCGGGTTACCCGAACCCCGATCCAGCTAAAATTGTGAAAACCAGACCCGAATTTTTTTTCAACCCGGGATATCCCATACCTAAAGACTATATACAACCCTCAAAAGACTAGAAGATTGAACCCCATTTTTCTCCTCTTCCATACCTCTTCATCATCATCCATTTCATCATCAAAATATGGTGCATTTGGATGAAGTTGCGGTATACTACGATCCCCACCGCTACTAGTAGTTGTACTTCCGCTAATGCCTAAAATTCGAATACGTTGTTGTTGTTGACCACCACCAGATGATGGCCAATAACTTTGTTGGTGGTGTTGTTGTCCACCCTCATTATTATTATTAGAATCACCAATAACCCCACCTTCATCCATATGCTGCAATTGTTGTGGTTTATCCTCATCATCAACTACATCTTGATTTCTATTAACAATATCCATTCGGTGTAATTGTTGTGGTGAAGCAGAATCTTCTTGGTGTTGTTGTTGTTGTGCAGTATTTCCACCACAATCTTGAGTATCAGCGCCAGGAACTGTCCCTTGCTTGACAAGACGTAATTGTTCTTGTTTAACACCAACCATAACTTTCTGTTGTAATTGTTCAACTGACAGTTCCAACTGACGAATCCTATTAGAAATTCAAAGATATTAAAGATTAAGGGAATCAAACTTGTTATCCTTCATTTCCAATGCTGCTTGATTTGTCTGTTTCAAATGGTTGACATATTCTCGATGACTGGTAATAAGACGTGAACGATCGTCAACAATACGTTGATATTCAGCCTAAGAATTCCCAAAATGAGATAGTTTTTACTGACCCCCCTTCGGGATTGAAAATCGGGGTCTTTAGGGGTTGAATGGTCGGGGTGAGCAAAAATGAACGAGATTCGGGGTCCTACACTAGTTTTGCATAAAAATAAAAATATACCAGCATATGGTCAATAATATCATTAAATTCATCCACTGAAGTTCCAGCCACAACACGACCACGATAATTTTCCAACTCTCTGTTAACAGTAAAATTTGTTTCTGCAAGTTGTTGTGATTGTGCAGATCCCATAGTCATAGAAGATGGACGAAGTGCTTGAAAATTGGAAGTCATGCCCATTGGTCTATAAACAAATATTTTTTAAATCTTTATGGTTAAAAAAACCTTAAAACTCTAACAACCGGAGGTTGTTGTCCTGGACGAGAAACTGGTACATCACTACTGGCAACAGATCCACTTCCAACAGTAGTACCACCACCAGACTGCAATGAGTAAATACTACCATTAGTTAATTGTCGTGCTGGTGGAGAAGCAAAATAATTCTAAAAAAACGATTAAAATTAAAAGAAAAATATTTTTCTTAAAAGAAACCACTGGCTGGCGAATATTTATTCTTCCTCGCATGATTCCTCCACCAATTCCAGCCATCGCTCTTCCTCCACGAGGCCTTCCTCTTGGAATATTTCCACCACGAGGATAAGTGGCCGTCGAAAAAATTGGAATCATTCCAGAACGTTGTTGTTGTGGCTGTTGTTGCTGCTGTTGTAAGTCGCTCGTAATTCCTCTTCCTCTGCCACGACTGGCAGAGGAACCTCTATTAATGCCTAACCTCTATTAATGCCAATTGTTCTTTATTCATCGCTGGCTGTGGATGTGAATGAAGACCTTTAGGAATTATCTTTCGTTGTTGCAAAATAATTCGTTCTGGTTCTTGTTGGTCACTTTTATCAATCTCTAGCTTTTCAATATTTTTTTCATCTTGTTGCTTGTCTGACTGATCTTCATCATCTTGTGCCCCCTTTGAGGTACGCTTTGCAACAACACGAGTTCGTTTAGCAGAAGTTCCTGAACATTCTTATTTTTCAGTTTCTCAAAAAGGACCCAAAATTTTCGTACAGAAATAAACTCAAAACCCACACCAACCCGAAAACAAATAAAAATTTCTATAAAAAACCTGGACTTTCCCCAGACGCTTCCTCCTCAACATCTGCATGTTTGGCCGCTCCCGGCTTCAAAGGATCCCAAACCCGATGAGATTTCAAAGCTGCTTTGCGAGATGGTCTTCCAGCAATAAGAGTTTGTTCCTCAGAGAATTCCTGTTCATCAGACCCTTCAGAAGCTTTACGTTTGCTTGAATTTCGTTTCATTAAGCCAGGTGGCATTTTTAATATCTAAAAAATTATTTAAATAAAAATTATGAAAAATAAAAGAAAAATATTCAAAATATTGAAATAATATTAAAAAACAATTTTTTGAAAAATTGATAAAAAATTTTATTTTTTTTCAGGTATAACGATAAACATACAAATAATAAATAGATACACACAAGTCAATTGTAGGCATAAATACATATAAAAAATTTTAATTTAAATATAATAAATATATTTATATTTTATAATCTTTTTTTAAAGGTATATTTTTTTAAAAGTGAATAATAATAAAAAGAAGGGGGTAAATAAAAAGACTGCTTCACCTATATTATAGGAGGTACAGCCCAAAACAACGTGCGGCCATTAAGATTTGGTAATTTTGAAGAAAGTTATGGCTTTGGTTGTTTTGGCCCTGCGTTATTTTTGGCATGTCCCGTATCATAGGTAAGGCAAAAATATATGTCTATATCAAGAAATCCATTTTAAAGATTTTATTGGAGAAGGTGAAGATGGATTTGAATTGGGAGAATCATCAACCTCTTTTTCATTTAAATTTGTTGCTCCTATTATTATTTTATCATTTTGTTGTGGTAGAATGCTAAAGTTGCTTGTTTAAAAAAATTTAAAAATTTTTTTAAGGAAAACAAAATTGTCTGACCTGGATTTTTGTTTGACTAAACTGTAATAATAACGATGGGGTCGATCACACTAAATTACAATTATAGAAAAATTTAAAAAAACTTTGCGTCGATTCAAGAAAAAAGAGAGAAACAAACGAAGAAACACGAGAGAGAGAAACAAACCAAAATTCCACGATGACAACATCCCCGATTGAATTCTGCACAAGGTTCAGTACCAGGCGTATGTCGAACATGAAGATAATTACATTCATCCTTACCTTTACTGCAAACAAGACGTAAATAAAAATCACAGACTGGCATTTGGTGTGGTAGAAGTGGGGAATGAAGCCCACCTGGGCAATCATCATCACCTGTTCCACCTCGGCAAACTCCTCGCATTAATCTGTGATTATGGAAAACAAAAAAACGCTAAAATTCTTTTGAAAAAAGATTGTGAAGTTTTAAAGGGTGAACAAAATTTTCGGGCTTCTAGGACATAGGAGGGCAAGAAAAAATGAAATTAAAAAGGATGTGAGAAGACTAGTGTATCCCCGGAACTTTTTTTGACCGGAACCGAGTCTAATTTGAGTTCAGGTTCCCGGAACAGGAACTTTTCTTAGTTCCAGTCGGAACCGGAACTTCCGGTGAAACTCCTAAAAAACCCCCAAAATTAATTTCCTCTCCCAAAAAATAAAATTCAACAAAAAAACCTTTGGCAGACTTTCTGCTGCATATGTTTCAAACTTTTGCCATGTTCAAACACACAAAATATTCCAGCTTGACAGGCACCTGTATCCGCGAATTGGTAACATTCTTTGCTTCCAGCATATACACGTTTTCCGCTTTTTAAGATCAAAAGACTTTTGTTTGTAAAACGTTTTTTGCCATTAATTGTTTGTTGCTGCTGTTGTTTCCATACTGGCCGTTGTTGTTGAAGATGTCCGCGTTGTTGATTTGGACTTGTAGTTTTTGAAGTTGTCTCTGTAATAGTTTTTGAATTGATTAAATTTGTGTTGAGTTCAAGAGGATGTATAGCAGTACTAGTTGACATTTTTGAGGTGCCAGGAATTGAATTATTCGAAGTCACAGGTATATTTAATGAAGATAATGTTGCTACTGTTGAAGGCTTCAAAAATTTGTTTAAATTTGTAGAGGAACAAGGGTCGGTCGACGGGTGATTTTTCTTTATGAAAATAAGCAGAAATTACCGATAAATGTTCTAATAGAAGCCTAGCCCAATAGAAGCCCATTCCTTATTGGAAGCTTTATAAATGAGACCCACAAGGGAGTAGCCAAGGTTTTTTGTCATATATTCTATTCTTTCAGCGCCACATTTTGTGGGCAGTTTCTGATAATTTCCCTCCTAAAATATTTTTATTTTACATTTCAGGAAGGGGGCTATAGCCCAGAAGCCTCCCCTCTGGCTCCGCCCTAGAAGACACACTGAAAAAAAACGTCCCCAAGGCTTCTATTAGAATAACATTTCGGTAATTTAAACATTAAAAAAATAAACCGAATTCAAAGCAATAGTCGACTTCACTCTTTTCACCGCAGGTTGTTCTTCAACTTCATCATCAGAAGGACTTAAAGGAGAAGTACGAAGAAATAAATCTTCTGTATGGCACTCAGGAAAAGGAAAAAGTTTGTCTTCATTGTTCTGTGGACATTCACAATCTTTAGGTAAATCTTCGTCTTTTAAAAGTCCACTAAATAGTTTTAACATTCGCCAATTTCTTCCTTCGGGTTCGGAGCCACCATTAGGTTGATTCTGTTTAGAATTTTCTGAAGAAATTTTGACTGTTGAAGGCGCGCTCGACGAAAATGTTGGAGGTGTTTTAGTTACTTGTGGAGGTGAAAAAGCTGAAATATGACAAATTTAATGTCAAAATTCGTCAAAAATTTAAAAAAATACGTAAAAATCCAAGGTTTTTGTTAACAAGTTTTGTCACGTTATTTTTGACCGAATTGAGGAAACCAGTTGTTGCAAAGTTAGGTTGACGTGGAATAATAGGAATATTATTTGTACGTAATGCTGGATTAAAAAGGGGTTGTGATGAGCTGAATTTGTTTGTCAAAGAACTTCCTGATTGTAAGAAAATTGAGTTCACCTGAAAAAAAAAGTTAAAATTTAAAATAATATTTGAAGATTAAGAGGCTGTAGTGAATAATCTTAAGGTTCCTTTAATATAAAAAATATTGAAAATTAGACAGGACGTGTTATCCAAAGCCACTGGTTGTTTCCACACGAAACCCGATCCAAACATAATTTTGAAACCCCACCCCGCCTTTCCTCTAAAGCTGTGACATCCTCTGTCCGGTCGTTTTTAACTTTAAATAAATTATTTGGGTGAAAAACATACCGAGGTGCTTGCAGTAGATTGATTTAAATAACCGGGCTTGCTTTGAGAAGCACTACCTGAAGGAAACATCTAGAAACTTAAATACCTAAACTAAATTTAAAGGAAATATAGAAAAGATAAAGTTGGAAAAGTAAGATCCACTTGGTAAAAAAATTCAATTTTTAAAAATTATTTATTCAAATCAGGCAATTGAGCAACTTTTCTCATTTCACGATATTCAGAATTCAATGCCTTCATCATTAAAGGATCATTCGAATCAGGGGAGAGCCTCTGTCCATTTTGTCCTTTCCCAATAATAACTCCAAGTTGATCCTCTGCAATGCTCAATAAATACGATGTTTGGGCTTCCCCATAACCCAGAACCCTTGCAAGGATTATATCGCCAGGCTGCACAAATTTGTAGAGTTCAACCTGAAAGGAAGTTGTTTCAAATTAAAAAATAGATAAATTTAAAAATACTTTATCACGTTCTTTTTCCCTCACATCTTCTTTTCGCAAAGTAGAATTGAATTCACTTAACAACATTGTATTTTCAACACTTATAATTGTGCACTTTGCAAATTTTTGAGTGAGCAGCTCGACCTGAATGTAAAAAAATTATTTTTTGAGCAACTCAAATTGCAGGCAATATTAAATTTAGTACCCCACCCCCTTCTTTGTTAGCTTAATTGAATAACCAAAAATGATTAGACTTTCATTCTCAACATCGCTCGATTTCCTTATGGCTGGAAATCCTTTTATTGAATGATTGGAAAAAGAGAGTGAGATTTTCAAAAAACCTTGACCTTGAGTTCGGTTGGGTACCTTGACCAGATTCTTGACCCTGAGTCAAGGGAAAATCAAAGCCTGGATCCAGATCCTGCCCGCTCTCTAATTGGAATATATTAGAAAATAAAGTAAAGTTGAGGAGGAAGTCTGACTATTTCTGGGAGGAGCTAAATTTAATATTACCAATTATACTAATCATAAGGCAATCAAACCTTAGCAGTAACAATCTTTCCTTGTGAAGGAATAACGTGACTTTTCTCATCCATCTTCCTTCTAATTTCTACAAGTTTGGTTTCATTCGAATGCTTAAAAATCAAAAAATAATAAATTCAAAGTAAATACAAACCTGATCCTTCACAATAGAAACATTAACATAACCAGTTAAGGAAGCCACTAAAATTCCATAAAATTCAAAGCATCCATTACCTCCACGGTAACCATCAGAAACAGAAAACAATTTATCGCCTTAAATTTGAAAAATTTTTCTGGAGAATGATGAAATTAAAACCTGGAATGCAAACCTTATTGCACGGATCAGGTATCGTCGTTTCATTGATAATATTCATTAACAAATAATTTAACAACTGAAATAAGCGATTTTATGGAATTTATTTTTATGTGATTTTTTGTCTGCCAGTCTTCAATTTCCCAAGAGGCTTTTCTGGATTTTTGGTAGCCTAAACTAGAAATGGATGACGTTACTTAACGATTAATTAATCGTCAAATCCGGGAGGACCACGAAAGCACAGTAAGGGCGGACATTTTTAACAAAATGATTTTTGGGCACAACGCCAAGCAAAAAATTTCTCTGTTTCTATAATGTCTCTATTTTCCCAAGTTCTTTCCGTTCGAAAATCGTTATTGACCCTTTTATAACTTTTATGGGTAATGACCATTTTTTCTTCTTTCTGCTACTTTCTCTCACTTTTCCGCAAATTTTTGCGGTTTTCTGTGATTTTGCTCATAATAAAAAATGATCCTCTTTCATCTTGCAAAAAAATGGGGCCCAGGGTCAGCAAAACAGTTAAAATTCTTAACAATGAGCAGAAATTTAAAATTCAAAATAATTATAATAATTTAATCAAAAGTCTATCTGAGAGTAGATATAAAATTTAACATTGAAATTTGAAGCAAGGTGTGGCAACAGATCAAAATTTATATTTAAAAATTTAATTTTATTGAAACAAGAACAAATCGATTTTAAATTGTCTAGATTCTAATTGTCTAGAAACTCGGGGAGGAATACAAATTGGACACTTAATTTTCTTTTACTTTCCCACGGTCTTCCTTTTCGAGAACCGTTTTCCGTTTTTCTTTTTTCTCTGTGATTCTCTCTTTGGGATCATAAATTGTTTGCATTTCTTATATTCCTTTAAAGTTTAGGATATTCGAACGAGAAATAACTAATGCCCTACTAAGGCAAACCAACAAACAATTATCGACAGAATAAGAATTATCGACAAAATAAGAATGAGAAAAAAAGGTTGGAAATTCAACTTGCTTGAATTATTTTCTCAATTGGGAAAAATTTGAGACAAACTTTATAAGACAAAAAAAACGGTAGACAAAAGAAACGTGAGCACAAGAATAATTTATTTGAAACAATTTTTACAGGCACAAGAATAATCACAAAAACAGGCACAAGAAAAATCACAATTTACAATTTTACGCATATATCTATTTATATTATCCTACATCGTTGCACTGACTTCTTTATAGCAGCATCAACGCGGATTATCGAACTCGGCCATTTGCTCAGCAGACATAGGGCGGTGGTTTGTATGGGCAGCAACCGAATAGTATCGGTATCCATCGATGAAGACGTCGTCCTCATCATCAGGTGTTGTACGCACAATGACCACGAGTTTTGTCCGCGCAGAACAAGCAGAGACCTCGCATCTTAATAAAACGGTAAAGTATAATTATTTATTAAAACTAAATATCACGAACTTGTAGTACTCCGACCGCTCCTGTTCACTTCCAACCATTTGAATCCTGCCACCAGTTATACGACGATGCAGCTCACGAGAGAATGACTTATCGCGACGCCAAGTACTGGTGCGGTCATCAAGGAGTCGTCGTTGCTCAGTGACATCGGATTCTGTATGTAGACGAACGATATGGCGCCAAGTTGACATCTTTGCCTTGATTGATGTTGAGTATAGCAAATAGAACTGATTTGAGAAGCGATAAATGTCGAAGATTGTAAACCTTTTTATACTAAGCTTGTAATCTACACTATGTAAATTTCTATACATTTTCTGTAAATTTCTGTACATTTTCTGCAAATTTCTGTACATTTTCTTCTACAACTAGCAGGTTCAATTATTGGAGATCAAGTAATGGTGGCCGATGCAATTGAAGAGGACCGACGACAACACAGTGTTGTTTTTTCGGGAATCAAAGAAAGCAAGGCAACAACACCAACACAAAAAGCTACTGAAGACAAACAACAAATAATTAAATTATTAGACTTGTGCGATGTGGAATGTCTTCCAATGATATGTCTTCCAGTAAAAGTATATAGAATGGGAACAACGAAAGAAATGGAAACCGCCTTATAAAGGTTGAACTACCAAAACGTTGCCATGTGCGGCGTCTTCTTGGAGCAAAAAAGAAAATGGCTGATGGATAAAGCCTTTTTTGATCATAATTGGGTAAACAATGGCTCCAAAAAGAAACCAACCCAATTCAAATGTTTCTCCAATTGAGAATAGAAATGGGAATTAAGAAGGAAATATATAAATGAAAATTATATATCATACATAATTTATTATTTTTTGCCATATTTTTCACCTATTGTTATTTTATTGTCAATGTGTAAGTGGTTTCCCCCTTCATTGACATTTTTTTGAATAAAACAAAAAAAATAAAAAAATTTCTGTACATTTTCTGTAAATTTCTGTACATTTTCTGTAGATTTCTGTACATTTTCTGTAAATTTCTGTATTTTCTGTAAATTTCTGTACATTTTCTGTAAATTTCTGTACATTTTCTGTAGATTTCTGTACATTTTCTTTAAATTTCTGTACATTTTCTGTACATTTTCTGTAAATTTCTGTACATTTTCTGTAGATTTCTGTACATTTTCTGTAAATTTCTGTACATTTTCTGTAGATTTCTGTACATTTTCTGTAAATTTCTTTACATTTTCTGTAAATTTCTGTACATTTTCTGTAAATTTCTGTACATTTTCTGTAAATTTCTGTACATTTTCTGTAAATTTCTGTACATTTTCTGTAAATTTCTGTACATTTTCTGTAAATTTCTGTACATTTTCTGTAAATTTCTGTACATTTTCTGTAAATTTCTGTACATTTTCTGTAAATTTCTGTACATTTTCTGTAAATTTCTGTACATTTTCTGTAAATTTCTGTACATTTTCTGTAAATTTCTGTACATTTTCTGTAAATTTCTGTACATTTTCTGTAAATTTCTGTACATTTTCTGTAAATTTCTGTACATTTTCTTTAAATTTCTGTACATTTTCTGTAGATTTCTGTACATTTTCTGTAAATTTCTGTACATTTTCTGTACATTTTCTGTAGATTTTCTGTAAATTTCTGTACATTTTCTGTACATTTTCTGTAAATTTCTGTACATTTTCTGTACATTTTCTGTAGATTTCTGCACATTTTCTGTAAATTTCTTTACATTTTCTGTAGATTTCTGTACATTTTCTGTAAATTTCTGTACATTTTCTGTAAATTTCTGTACATTTTCTGTAGATTTCTGTACATTTTCTGTAAATTTCTGTACATTTTCTGTAAATTTCTGTACATTTTCTGTAAATTTCTGTACATTTTCTGTAAATTTCTGTACATTTTCTGTAAATTTCTGTACATTTTCTGTAAATTTCTGTACATTTTCTGTAAATTTCTGTACATTTTCTGTAGATTTCTGTACATTTTCTGTAAATTTCTGTACATTTTCTGTACATTTTCTTAGATTTTCTGTAAATTTCTGTACATTTGCTGTACATTTTCTGTAAATTTCTGTACATTTTCTGTAAATGACCCATTTCTTATCTCAATTGTCCCATTTATGTCCCATGTATTTAAGTTCTAATTAGATCTCGTGGTGATCATCTGATTGCAGGTTTTTTTAATTTTTCAACTGAAAAAAATATGTCAGGGTGATATAAAATGCTTCTCTTTTATCCTTTGCAATTTGCCAAGTATTCACGGATTACAATCCTTTCAAATTTTCTTGTACAATCCTTTCAAATTTTCATTATGATTTCTTAATTATTACATTTTCTTAAATTTTAGATATAAAATGACTTCTATAATAAAATTGGAGGCTCTTTCCGGTGTTCAAGACGATGGTCCTTTATGCTATCTTCTTCAGGTTATTAATTACTTTTTTAACTGATACATATGATCATTTTAGGTGGATCAAGTTTATATTTTGTTGGATTGCGGCTGGGATGAACATTTTGATTTAGCCTACATTGAGTCAATAAAAATGCGTATACCTCAAATAAATGCTCTACTGATCAGTTACGGTGATGTGCCACATATTGGAGCATTTCCTTATTTGGTCAAATGTGGTCTCAATTGCCCCATTTATGCTACTGTGAATTTCTATCTAATCAATTTTGTGATTATTTTTTTAAATTTATTTAGGTCCCAGTCTATAAAATGGGTCAACTCTTTCTCTATGACTGGTTAAATGGTCATTCCAATGTCAAACCTTTCAATTTATTTTCTTTCGATGATATTGACCATGCTTTTGAAAAAGTTCAACAAGTCAAATACAGCCAAACTGTATGGGTTTTTTCTAAATTTATTTTATTCGTAATTTTAGATTTTATTAAAAGGCGATAATGGTTTACAAATTACACCTTTCCCAGCTGGCCATCATATTGGAGGAGCTATTTGGAGAATAACTAAAATGGGTGAAGAAGAGATTGTTTATGCTGTTGATTTCAATCATAAAAAGGAGCGACATTTGAATGGATGCACTTTTGATGGTAATTTATTCAGTTTTGTTTTTTCTAAAATTTTATTTAAGGTATTGGAAGGCCTAATTTGTTAATTACGGATGCCTTTAATGCTTTATACAATCAACCTAAGCAGAAGCAACGCGATGAAAATTTGGTTTCAAAATTGCTTTCTACTGTTCGGGATGGGGGAGACGTTATGATAGTTAGTGATTTTCGGCTCTATCCCAAAAGAAGGGCGGAAGCGTTTTTTCATTACCTGCAAGGAAAGGAAAAATGAAAAGATAAAACGAGACGGATGGACACGGACAAACAAAACACGGACGGACTCGGGTCAGACCAAATACGGACGTCTATCCGAGTCCGTTTGTTTCCATTCTTTCCATTTTTCCTTTCTTTGCACGTAATGAAAAAACGATTCCGCCCTTCTTTTGGGATAGGGTCTAATTTTAACTTTATTTTTGAGAAAAACAATTAAAAATTTGCAGGTTATAGACACAGCTGGACGTGTTTTAGAAATTGCACATTTACTTGATCAACTATGGCAAAAGTAATTTTTTTATTTTATTAATTTGACAAAAAAATTTTCTAGCAAAGAAGCAGGCTTGATGACATATAATTTGGTTATGTTAAGTGCTGTAGCGTCTTCAGTTATTGAATCAGCAAAATCACAAGTAGAATGGATGTCTGATAAAATTTTGAGAATGTTTGAAATGGGAAGGCAAAATCCTTTTCAATTGAAGCATGTTCGTTTTTGTCATACACTAATGGATTTAAATCGTGTTAGATCTCCAAAGGTGACTTCTTATTGATTTTTTCTCAACATATCAAATTTTTATTGTATTTTAGGTTGTTTTAGTCAGTGGATTGGATATGGAAAGCGGGTTTTCCCGAGAACTTTTTCTTGAATGGAGCACTGATACAAAAAATATGGTTATTGTTACAGGTTGTGTTTGAAATTTTTAATTGGAAAATTAAATATTTTAGGAAGAGCTGGCGATAGAACTTTGTGTTCAAAATTAATAAGAATAGCTGAATCTCGTGAAAAGAAGCGTGCAACAAATAATACAGTTACTTTAGAAGTGAAAAGACGTGTGCGTTTGGAAGGTGCTGAATTGGAGCAATACATGGCTAAAAAGAGGGAAAGGGAGCAAGAGGATGCCAAACAGAGGTTTCTATATTTTTAATGATTTTTATCTTTTTTCCTTTAGGTTAGAAACTCTTCGGCGAAATGCACGTTTAGAAAACGTCGAATCTTCAGAAGAATCGGAGGATGAGGAGACTTTAGCAGCGTCTGTATTAGCTCTTACTCAAGGTGGAAAAAAGCCTGCTCCAAACAATGCTAATCTCAAACAGAGTTTGTTTTTGTCGATTATCATTTTGTAAAGTAAAAATTTTTAAGTAGAAGAGCAACGTCGAAATTCGATAGTAGCGCAAAAACAACCAAAAGGAATTTCTGGAACAAATAGTTTAGTGAATACATCCAACAATTATGATATTATGTGGAGGTTTGAAATGAATCAGCGTGTTTCTTTTTTCAAACAGGTTTTCAAAAATTTTTTTGAAAAGATTATTTTTATTTTTTTTAAGAATAAGAAGCAATTCCCAATGTTTCCTTATCAAGAAGAAAAATCTAGGGCAAGTTTTTAATTTTTTGGACTTGTGGCTTTTGGAAGGCTGCTTTCTTATTTATCTTTAATTTTTTGAAATTTTAGTGGGATGATTATGGCGAAGTTATTCGTCCTGAAGAATACATGACTGCTGAAACTACAACTACCACAAATACTTCTACTAGCCCTACAATAAATCCAAAAATTGAAAAAGAAGATGATGATATTGCTGATGCAAAAATGGAACGTCAAAGAATACAACAAATAATTGAAGAATGGCCTAAAAAATGTGTTTCTTTTATTACTAAAATTGAGGTTTTATTAATTTTGTTTAATATTTTTGACAAAAATTATTTTTTCAGATTTTGTGCAAAGTTGAATTTATTGATTTTGAAGGACGTTCTGATGGAGAATCAATAAAAAAGATTTTGAGTCAAATAAAGCCTAAACAATTGGTATTTTTCAAGAATTTTTTGGCAATTTGACTAATGATTGTTAAGGTTATTGTTCATGGATCTGCTCCAGCTACTCGCCATTTAGCCGAATATTGTCGTCAAAATAATGTGGTACAAGGCAAAATATTTACCCCAATGATGGGTGATGTGGTTGATGCTACTATTGAATCTCACATCTTTCAAGTAACTTTAAGTGATCAGTTGATGTCTTCGCTGCTTTTTCAAACGGTTTTTTTTTGCTTTTTTTTAAAATTTATATTTCCTCTAATTTTAAGGTTAAAGATGCAGAATTAAGTTGGTTAGATGCTAGGATAATACGAAAATCTGCTTTGGTCCCTGCTGCATTAGAAAAATTGGATGAAGATGTAGAAGCAATAAATGTTATAGAGGAAGAGGAAAAAGAAGTTGAAAATGTAAATGAGGAAGAAAGAATGGAAGTTGAAATTAGAAAAGAAGGAGAAAACGAAGAACCTATGGAACAAGACAATGAAAAAATTGATGAAGAGAATTCGGAAAAAAGGGAAGAGAAAATTGGTCAACATGGAGAGGGTGTTGAACAACAAGATGGTGTTGAAGGTGGGTAGTTTTGGAAAAAATTTTTAGGGAATATTTTTTAATTTAAATTTTTATTGTGAGTTATTGTCCTGCGCGCGTTCCTGGGTTTCATATTTTTCTTAAAAAATATTTTTTTCGTATTGAACAGTTTCTATACTTTTATAGCTGAAAAAGAAGCCACTACCCCTCAACAAAAAACAACAACAGTTCCAGTCCCGGACCAACTTTTCCTCGAATTACTTTCCTCTAGTGGAATTCCACCACATCAATCTGTATTTGTTAACGACCCAAAATTAACCGATTTAAAACAACTTTTGGCTTCTAGCGGGTTCCATGCAGAATTTCATTCAGGAGTCCTTTATGTTAACAACATTGCTAATGTTAGGAGAAATGAGGCGGGAAGATTTCATGTTGAGGGATATGCTTGTGCTGATTATTATAAAATTAGGGAGATAATTTATTCACAGTTTGCTATTGTTTAATGTTTTTGTTTTTCCCCAATTTACAGTCCAATATTGAAATAAAATTTTTTTTTCAATTCCAGAAAAATATCTAGAACCCCTCGACCTCAAAATTCCTCAAAAAAGTGTAATAATAATAAGCCGTTCTCTTCAAAATAATTTTCCCGCAATTTCTCCCATATTCACTCAAATATCGGAGAGAGTTTTTTTACTTGTTTTGGGTAGTGGATTTATTAGAAACTGAAAGAAACTATGACCAATAAAAAATATATATTTATTTTCATTTATTCACAGTGTTCTTTCATAATTTTTCTCTCGGTATTTTTGTTGTAATTTTGGTTCGCGCACAAATAGTTAAGGAAAAGATTTTATTGTTTTTATTATTAAATAGGTAAGATGATGTTATATTTGGTCAACAAAAAAGATTTTTTTAATAATAGATAGTCTGGCTTTATCTTTTGTCTGACTGTTTTACTTCTGATTTCGTCATAAATTTTATAAGTACATATATAATTTTTGTTGTGTATATTTAGGATTGTTGTTTCGGAGCCGTACCGAAAACCGTTGATTTTTTGGTTCGGTTCCGGACATCTGAAGATTCTCCAAGAACCGATAACAACCCTCTTTATATTGTAAATATTTGTAAAATTAAAAATTACTTTCTTTGGTTATTAAAATCTCGCGATTTTTTCCTTCATTCTACTAATCACATAAGTAAGATTATTTTATTATCTTTCAATATTTTTTCTTTAAAAAAATCATTCCATTTGCATCTTTTCTTTACGCGCGAGCGCACCCAAAATCTCACAAAATAAATACTAAACACCTTTTTCATATTGCGGTAAAAGCATTAAAAAAATAAGCTAGCCGTCATTTTACGCCTCTTTATATTCAATTTTTTTACATTTACACAACAATTCCTTTTATTTTGTTAGTAAAGAATTTTTAGACAAAGGCATAGACATTTTTTTATTATTAAATAAAAGATTTTTCTAAAAGTTTTTTTGGGTTTAGGAATTTTTATATTTGAATTTTTATAGATTTCTATGACTAATATTTTGTTTAAATAATAAAATTCGTCGGCCTTGAAAAATTAAGTAAACGTTAAAAATTCCAGTTTTTTAATGAAAATTTGGAAATTCAATTGAAGCCTGGAAAAGTCACTTTTCCAAGTTTCAGTTTCTCTTTTTTTTTAGTAAATCCCCCCAATTTCCCTCCCCAATTTCAAGTTTGAAAAAGTGAGAAATAAGCCCCAGAGAGTGGAACTCGACCCTCAATTACAGCCTCTATAACTACGTAGCTTTTTCAACTACCCTCCTTAGGGATTAGGGTAATTGACTTCTAATTAACTTCTGACCTATTACGTCTGATCTCTTCTCTCTCTCTCATTTAAGTATTATAATCTGATCTCAATTTTATTTACAATCTCAATTAGTCACACCTCAAATTTAAGGAACATTTTTAAAGTTGATTAGCTACAAAGTTAAGGAGACTGTCTAAGCAATAATGAACTCAATTAATTTTTCTGAGTACAATAATTTTTTACACTCTTTTGAGTACACTTTTCTCAACCCAAAGGTGTTCGTTAAATCGAAATCCACCTGTAATTACCCCCGTTTTTCCAATTTCCCGTCTACCCAATTTTTTTCTTACTGCCATCCTCGCGGGGATAACCTCAATAATAACGACCATTGGTCATTCAAAAAAGATTATTACTTTTTTTCTTTATTTTTAGTTTTCCCTTTTCTATTTTTTTATGCTTTATCCTCATTTATACACTCACATATACTTTGATTTAGTGTGCAAAAGCACAGAAATATTTTTTGAAAAAATAGGAGGAAATGCAGGTAATTTGAGTGAAAAGGCGTGTTAAAATATATTAGAAAGAATGTTCTTCCTTTCTATCAAATCTACTTTTCCCTTTTTACTTTATTTCTTCATTACTTTTATTGCAAAATCTTCTTTTCACACTTATTATTAAGCAGAAAAATTGAGGGAGAGTAATATTTTTAGAACTAAGATTTTTGCAACTTTATATTTTTTACTTTACTTTTTTTAAATGATAGCTTCTTTTAGCTGTCAAAATATTAAAAAAAAGAAATTTTTTAATCGTAGAGAAAGGAAAAAACCCAGAAAAGATCTCGAACAATAATTGAGATCTTCCAGTCTGTTCTCTAATAAGCACTCGATTAATAACTACCTCTCTCTAGTTGTGAGACTTGGCTCACTTTTCTTGAGTTTTTTCGGTCTTGGTTCCTGAAAAATTTTGGTCTTGGACATCTTTACTCTTTATTAAAGGGATACTCCTCTCTAATAAATACCAATCTGATTATTAAAATTAGCCTGCTTGAGGGTATTTGTTTGGAGTTTTTATTTAAAATTAAATTTTATTATTTCTATTAAAACCGTTTCCAAGGAAATTGCAAATAATGCTATTTGTTATTATGAATGCGCTATTTGTTGCTAATAAACTAGAGAGTCTCTTGTAATTTTTCACTTGACCTTATTGAATCGGACCGGACATTTCTTTAAAAACACCAAATAAGTATTTAACTTACCTGAATCAGTTCTATTATTAAATATAAGTAAAAGAAAGGGGTTGGCCGCAGCTGCTGGTTTTTTCTTAAGATGCACCTGGCTTGGAGAGAAAAGGAATTTTTTAGTAAAAAAATTCCTTTATTTTTTACTTTTTTTACTAATAATCTACTAGTAAATATTTGTCGTTTTTTATATTTTTATTGAATTTTAAATGAATTAATTTTCTTGGAATTTATAGGATTCCGTCTTGAGGGTATTTGTATGTCGAACTTGGTCTTAAACCGATATATTTGTTAGGAAATCAAAAAAATTATGAAATCAAAAAAAATTTTTTTGGAGAAATTTAAGATGTTTCCTTGATATTTTGAAAGAATGAAAACAATAAAAAATATTTATTTTAGTTAAGTTATTGTTATCTAAAATGACGATTGAGTGACTGATTATTTTTAAAAATAGCGTTATCTTCTTGATAAATAATTGTCATTTCTTAATTAAATTTTTATCAAATTTAAAACCAAACATTAATCATCAAAACAATAATAAATTTAAAAATAGTTTTATTATATTTATTAAAATTTGGCCTTTCAGAGGAGGTGAATTTTGTCCCATTTTTATTTCAATTTTTTTCTTTTTAATTTTTTTAATTTTACTAAGTTTGTTAGGTATTTTGTTTACCAAAGAGCGCGCATTGCCCCTTATCTAGCTTCTGATTTTTGCTTCAACGCTCGTGTATTCCTTCATCATCTAGCTCCTGAACTTCCCAGCAGATTTTCACGTATTTCCCGCAACTTTTTCCTTATTTCCATCATTTATCTCCTCGCTAGTTTAAAATGTTTATTTCTAAAAAATTAAAAAATAATTTTTTTCTTCATTTTCAGCCTATAAATCTTCTCCAATAAAAAAATGCTTTCATCAAAATTTGGTTCATTCACTTTTGATTTGAGAAGAAAACAAAAAAATGAACGAAGCAACAATCAACAACAACACCAAAATTGGTCATTAAGAAAACAACGAAAACAACTAAAAGATGAAAATAAAAATTTACGTCCATCATGGTCACAAGGAGAATTTTATAAAAATTGTGTTGACAAACAAAATTGCCAATTTCCGATGCCAAAAATGGGAACAACTATTTTGACAGCAACAACAACAGTGGCAATAAAAAATGCAAATGGAAAAGAAGGTGGGGAAATTCTTAAGAAATAAATAAAGTTTTTTGGTAAATTGTTTGAAGCTCTCAAGTGAGGGGGGGTGACTGGTAAGGGGGTGCCCCTGCGTGATTTAAAATTCTTCTGATTATCGCATGGTTTAATAAAAATTTTTGTGTTCTTAAATGTGTAATTCAAGTGTAATACTTTCCTGAATTTTTTCCTTGGAAGGATTTCTCTATTCAATTCCTTATCTATTCCCATTTTAAAAATAAGTCAGATCTCACTATAATTTGTAAGATATATCCATATTTTATATTGATCAAGCTTCAATTTTTTTAAATTAGTTGGCCACTGGATTAAGGAGGCTTTTAATAAGATAAATTTTTTGACCCAAAGGAAAAGTATTTTTATGTATTGAGGTCTGATTGTACTTAAAATTATTTTTTGTTTATTTTCTTTTAAATTTCCAAAAATATACTATTAGAAGACTTCCTTTTTTATTTATCCAAAAACAACCAAATTCCCTAGTGAGTTAGAATCAATCCAAATGAGATAAGCACAAGCCTGACTGCAAAACAATTTTGCTAATTGAAATGGATTGACTGAAAAAAAATATTTTTTTCTTGGGGGATTTTTATTGGCCTATTTTTGGAGGATAAATAGTAACTAAAAACAAAATTGGAGGAGAAAATAAAAAATATTTTTGGAAAATTCAGTCAATCAAAAAAATAAAGGTTCCCGTCAAGGATGTCACGAGTTACTCAAAACCTACTACGCGAGACTTGGACTTCTTCGATCCAAATCCGACCCAACTTCCATCGTAACCCCCTAACTGACTTGTCCTGAAACTTGAGACCCAAAAATTTTTTGACACAAAACCCAGCCCGTCGTTTTTCTCAATCCGTGACATCCCAGCTCCTTGTTAACCAAACAATAATGTATTTTGCTGGACAGAGCATCCTTTTTTACTTAATTATCATTTTCTTTCTTATTTTTAAAAACAAAGAGAAGTATTTGGGGCCTAGTATTTTTTAAAGTGGTTTTAACTTAAATGCTTGTTAGTTTATACATGCATGAGTGATCCTCAATTTTTTTTTTAAATTATATTTTCCACTCAATTAGTTGCAATTAGTATATTTTTTACCTATACTTATTTTTTGCTAAGTTAATTTTCATTAGTTTTATGTTTTTCCTCTGGAACTGTTTTTTTTTAATTTTTTGATTTTTTTGATTATTTTTATAGGGACACGGATTTATTTGTTTCGCTCTATTTTAAGCACCTAATGTTCAGTTTTTTTCTTTTTATTAATTTTTAATTTATTTTTATTCAAGCTTTTACTTTATTCCTCCGGAAATGATTTTTTTTAATTTTTCAAACCTCTATAGATACCTAATTTTTAAAGATATTTTTTTCTAAATTTATTTTCTAAATTTTATTTTTAATTTTCTAAAATTACTCTTAGCAAAAAATACCTCTTATTAAATTTTACATTCATCTTACGTTCACCTGATAAAATTAGGGTTAATAGCGGCGCTTTTAAGATAGGCAAAAAAGAGTGCCTTTTTAGTATAGTATTATTTAAATTTATTTTTAAAATTTATTTTTAAATTTTCAACAATTTAAATAATTAATAGAAATTTTTATAAAATTTGTTTTCGTTCTTCTCTTTAATTTCCCCCTTCTTTTCTCTTTAATCCTAGGGAAAATATTTTATTATTTTTACAATAATAAAATAATTATTTTATTATTTATTTACAACCAAAACAAACAATTTTCTCATATTTCTTTGGCATCTGCCACAATAATAAAATAAAATATTTTTATCTTAATATTTTCTCTCAAACACTTTAGAAAAAAGAGAGCAAGCTAGCAGCTTTGCGCGGAAATAAAAAGAAGTAATTGAGGAAAAGCTCTCTTATCCCCTTTTATTTTTAATTTTATTTAAAATATTTTTTTATCTTCCTCGTTTAATTTAATTTTATTCACTCGTTTTTCTTCTTCCTCCTCATCCAACTCTTGATTGTTTTTTAGATTCTCTTCTCTTCAATTTTATGTTTCTTCATCTTTAATTTCTTCATCTTCCGTCCAACTCTTCTTTTTTCTCTCTTAATTTTGATTACCTCTTAAATTTTATGTTCATCCTTTCTCTTTTTCCTCCTTTTTGTCAATTTCTTCATCTTCAAGTTTGTCCAATTCATTTTCCTCTTCCTATTCATTTTTATCTTACAGTCTTCATCTTCCTAATCATATTCATTTTCGTCTTCACCTTCCAAACATTTTTGTCTTCATTTTTCCATTAATTCTACTGTCCTGTTCATCTTCCTCTTCCTATTTATTTAATCTTCCTCCAAATTTTTTATCTTCCTCATTATTTCCACCTCGTCCTTTTCCTCTTCCCTTAGTCGCGTGTGGGAAAAGCACCAGCACTTTCTTCTTCCTCTTATTTTACTCATTTTTTACATTGCCAATTCCCCTCCCTCCTCTCAATCCATTAATCGCCATCATCATCAATTTCCTTCCCTTAAACACAATCATCAACAACACATTTTCTAAGCTTACATCTGCCACAACCTAAAAAAATATCAAGTTTATATATTTTTCGTTAATTTTTTTCACCAATTTACTCACGCATCCATTAAAAAATAAATATATTTTTCATCTCTTCGTATTACATTTTTTAATAGTGAAAAATTTGTTTTAGCAATTTATTTTTTAGTTCATTTTCATCTTTTCTCTGTTTACCTGACAGAAATATACAAAAAAGTAATTTGCACAAAATTTTAAGAATTCAAAAAATTGAAAAAGTTGGAGAAAAAAAAATTTTTAGGAGGGGATTTTTGGCAAAAATGGGCCTTTTTATTAAAAACAAATTTACAAAATTAAATTTGTGATATTTTTTAAATTAATTTCGACGGAACTTGGAAAAAAATATTTTTTATTTTTTAAAACTTTTTTTAATTAACTAAAAAAGATCTAGGCTATTTTAGAGCTAATTTGCGTTTGGAGCTTAGAAAAACCTTTTTTTTAGTTTTTCTTTCCTTTAAAAAACAATTTATTGAAAAATCGAAAAAGAAATTTTTTTTTGAAAAAATGTTGCGATAAATCAAACAGTCAAACAGTCAGTACTCTTTTCAAATTTTATCAGCTATTTTTATCAATTTCCGTCGAAAATTGAAGAAATAAAGAATAAAAAACACCTTATAAAATAGGGGAATAGCGGCGCTTTTAAAGAGAAGATGTTTTTTAATATAAATTTTACACAAATAATAGATAAAATAATGTTAACTAACAAATCTATATATTTAAAGAAATGCCTAAAATTATAATTAATAATTTCAAAAAGCTTCAATTAGGATTGTTAGCGACCGGATAGTAGCCGATACCTTTTAGTTTTTAAAAACTCGTGTTTCGGTTTTTAATTCTAGTTAAATATACCTGTTTTTTGTAGGGGAGGGAGACTCGTTTTTAAAAATTTTTGATTTCTAAAATTCATGAAAATGTTGATTTTTGGCAAGAAATATCGAGGTTTTCGGTCCTAAAACCGGTCGCCAACAATTCCAATTTAAATCTTTAAAATACACTAAGTAGTTACATATTTACTCTAAATAAAAATCAACAAAAAAAATAATTTCACAATTTTAAAGTTTTTTTTTAAATATCACTCATTCACCCTTTAACATCCCTTGTTATTTAAAGACATATTAATTGATATTTTATTTTTTTTTTAATTTTTTTTTCTAGTTTTTTTTGCCTCATTTCACATTTTTCTTCTATTCTATTATTCATTTTTCTATTAATTTTCAAAAAAAATCTTAAAAATGACTAAACTAGGAGGATGGAGTGAGGAAAACAACAATAATACAACCAACAATAACAACAACAAAAATATTTCTTTACAATTATTAGAGTTTCATCCATTTTCACATTCACCATTTGCCTCCTGTAGAGGTTAGAAAAAAATTAACAATTTTTTTGACATTAGAAAAATCCGTGAATTTTTCTAGAATTTTTTTAAATGATTTTTTTTTATTTTTTAAAATTTTTAATTTAAAAAATAAAGGAAAGCCTCCTTTTAGAGTATATTAATTTTGGCATTAGAAAAATCTGTGAATTTTTCTTGAATTTTTTTTTTCAATTTTTTTGACAATTATTTTTTATTTTTTTCAAAATTTTTCAATTTCAATTTTTTCAGGAGTTTTTCCTGAATTTATTAATTTTTTAATTTTTTAAATTTAAAAACGGAAAAGGAAAGCCTCCTTTTAGAGTATAATTTAAAACTTTCTCTCAGACACGTTTCTTAAAATTAATTTATTTATCTGTCGCCGGATGTCGCGATCTTTGTCTGGGGGATCACTCTTTAAAAGGGAAAGAGCGCGATTGCTCAATGGGGGGTATTTTAAAATTAATTTCAAAATAAACTGAATTAATTAGAAACAATAAAATGTGTGGGGGAGAGGCAAGTTTTTGTGTTAAAAGAAGCGGAAGAACAAAGTGAAATTTTGAAGTTTTTCTGCCTGAGGGCAAATGCGCAACTTAAGTACATGGGAAATTGCTAAAGATGATGGTATTGAATTGAAGAGGTCAGAAAAAATTCAAAGTCAAAAATAATTCGTATAGAGATCAAGAAATGAGTCTCTGCCAAAATCTCAGAATTTTTGGCGACCTAGAAGTCTGACTTTTACCTTTCTTTGAAGCTCAACATTAACATTAATAAAGAAGCTAAATTTTAAATTAAAATTGAAAATCAAACATCTTTGTAAAAAGAGGAGAATTTAATATAACGACCAGAAACCAAAAATGTAGACTATCTTCCCTCAACAAACATAAACTAAATGACGAATATTTAAAAAATAATCTTTATAAATTAGAATTTAGACAGAGGATTAAATTTGTTACAAAAAAACTAAAAATAAAATTAAGAGGGTTAAAAAAAGAGAGGTTGAGATGAGATGATTTTCGATTCTACAATGCTGCTTAATGTGGTTCCAGAAAAATAAATGGCTCCTGCTTGGTTCTTGGAAAATCTTCGGATATCCGGAACCAAACCGAACCGAAAAATCATCGGTTCTTCGGTTCGATTCGGTCCAGAACCGACAACCCTACTGCAGACTCCAGGCTGCTTGTTCTAAAAATCAAACCAACCTTGAAAACTTAAAGGAGAATGTCTTGGAATTGGTGTACGGAATTTTGGTCACCGGAATTTTGGTCACCAAGGATTTTCGGAACTTTGGTCACCAACTTTTTTGGAATTTTGGTCACCAGCGGAATTTTGGTCACCAAGTCAAAAAACGGAATATTGGACACTGGAATTTTAGGCGCGGGGAGTTTGGGCGTCGGAGTGAATTTTTTGATTTATTCAAAAATAACACAAAATCAAACTACGTAACTATAGGTTACAAATAGATTTGGACAAAATATGTCATTCGAAACAGCTCGTCGAACTAGGTCAACCGACTCCAAAATCATCCCGATTCAATCATTCTCAACAAAATTATGATTAATTGAATCTCGCTTGAATAAATAATTTTGTGCTGATACATAGCGGGTAGGTCGGCATTTCAAAGCTGAAAATCAGTAAAAAAGGGATAGGTTTATGTTACTGTTGTAGAACCCAGCGACCGTTGACTCCCGCGAGGCGCGTGCCGCAAAATCCCGCGCGAAGCGCGGGATTTTGCACAAGCGCCTCGCCGACACCCATAGGTTTACGTTGTTAGATTTTGTGTCATTTTTCGGAAAAATTCAGTAATTCACTCCGACGCCCAAATTCCCCGCGCCTAAAATTCCAGTGTCCAATATTCCGTTATTTGACTTGGTGACCAAAATTCCGCTGGTGACCAAAATTCCAAAAAAGTTGGTGACCAAAGTTCCGAAAATCCTTGGTGACCAAAATTCCGGTGACCAAAATTCCGGCACCCTTGGAATTAATCGAGAATTTAATTTCAAGAATTAAAAAAACTGAGAAGACACTACGCAAATATTTCCACCTTAAACCTGTTGGCCATTCCTCTCTTTTTTGGATAGTCAGCCAAACATCAAAATCGTTAAAAAAAGTCATTCACATTTTTTAACTGTTTTAATGGCTTTCTACTTGTAAATATTTTTTTCTAGTTAAAAACTTACTCTTTAAAATTACACACAACTTTTTTATTGTTGTTCACGTAAGGTAGTAAAAACTGAAAAAAAATTTTTTTATGAAGGACCGGAAAGGGAGGGAGGGGGAGGATTTTTTTCTTTTAAAATTTTGGAAGAGGGGACGAACAAATTTATATTCAAAAATTGACATTTTTTCTTCTGCGATCTTTCCTCTTCCCTTTCCTCTTCCCTTTATTTTCTAGAAATCCTTCTTCTTCCACTTTTCATAAATAAGAAGAAGAAAATTTTTTTCAGAGAAAATTTAAAGGTGAACAATAAACTAAAAATATTTTATAAATATTTTTGTGTCATGCAGAGAGAAAGACCCTTCAAAAATTGCAAGTGTATTTATTTTCCTTCATGATTGCCCTCTCAAATCGATCGAAGCGATTCATTCAGTACCCCCTCTAGTCATTCTTCATTCATTTACCAGCCGTGGAAGGAGTAAAAAGGGAAGGGATGAGGGAAGGAGATGGAAGAGGGGTGGAAGAAAGGAGCTGTTGATTGTATTTTTGGGGGGAAGAAGGAGGAATGAGGAGAGAGGGGGGGGGGGAATAAGGAGGGAGGGGTGGAAGGGTCCATTTTACCCACTAACTCTATACCAAAAAAAATTTTTTTTCTTCCCACCACTTCCAAAAATTATATATATTTTTCTTCTTTTTAATTCGTGACGATTCTTTCTTCTTCTTTTTCTTCTCCTTTTGATTGCCGCTTAAATCCTTCCTTGTTCTCTTCTAAACACTAACCAATTCCTTTACCTACCGATTTTACCCGAAAAATCAAATCGGTCGTCTTTTTTTACTGCCTTTGTTGGAAGGAAAGAAAAACAACCTTCTAACCAACAACCAACCAAAAACACTATTTACTATTAACCAATAATTTTTACAATTTTTTTTCTTTTTTTCCAAGTTATTTTAGTTAAAAAGTTGCGTTGAAAAATTATTTTTTTTAATTTTTGAATTTTTTTATTTTTATGTTTTGATTTCTAAACAATTCCCCTTCCCGTCCATTTTTATTTTTCATTCTATTTTTAATTTTTTTCTAACCAACAAACAAACAACCAACATATTTTTATTATTAATATGTTTTTTTTCTGAAAATAATAAATAAAATATATTTATAATTTTATGATTTATTTTGTTCAACCAAACAACAACAATTCTCTCTGACAGCCGTTCCTCATTCCAAATTATATTTTATTGATATTTAATTTTTTTCTTTAATTTTTTTCTTAATTTTTTTTTCTTAATTTTAAATTGGTTTTTTCTTACATCTAAAAAAATATTTTTTCTCGAAAAAAATTTTTTTGAAAAGAAATTTTTTTTCCAAATTTTTTTATTTTTTAAAATTTCATGCATACATTACACGCAAAAAATATTCAAGAATTCCATCAGCCAAACATTTTTGAATTTTTATTCTTTAAAGACTTAAATTAAAAAACACACAGCAATTTTTTAAAAAGAATTTAAAATTAGAAAAACAAACAACCGGAAGAATTGGAAAGAAAAAACAATTTTTTAGAGTGAACAACAAAGAAATTAATTTTATAAAATTAAAAAAAAATCCTTTGCAAAATTTAGAGGGGTAAAGAAGGGATGAATTAGAGTTGCGTGAAAAAATAGAGAAAAAAAAGAAAAGAAGAAGAAGAACACCGGAACTTCAACGACCACATAGTAGTGTAATGTTTAAAATGACAAAACAATCTAAAAAATGTTTGTCAATCCCTCTCTCATGTGGTTTTAATTAACTAAGCGGAAATACTGTTGGAAATTGAAAAAAAAATTGTTGAGAAAAGAAAACAACATTTAAAAATTATATAAAGGCAGAGATTGATTTTAGTTTGTCTAAACATTGAACAATAAACATAGGAAGATAAAACATTATAGAAAAACATCATTGAAAAACATCAATGTTTAAGTTGTGTTTTTGTTGATTAAAACAACATTAAAACCAGCAAAACAATTGTTTTAAACAAACAAAACATCAGAACAGCAAAAAACATTTACCAGAACAGAAACAACTAAACATCAGAGAACCAGAAACGATAAAGCATCAGAAACAAACAACAAAACAGCAGACACAAATAAACAAAACATAGAAAAACACCAAAACACCAGAGAAACAAAAACTTTGTTGTTGTTAAACTTTAACACACAAAAACATTTATATTTAAGTGTTTGCCTAAACACTGCCAAACCTGCTCGATATAACCTTTAAATAATTAGATATTATTCATAATGACCAGCACTGGTTGGCGACCTTTACCTTTAATACTTGGTTGTTTTGGCTGTTTATTCTCTGCCTTATTAAATATTTGGCGGTGGATATTAAGACAAAAATGTTGTCAAAATAATAATTATTGTTGTTGTTGCCATTGCCATAATAGAAATACTGGAGGGAAAAAATCTTTAATTAAAATTGAGGAGGGAACAACAATTAATGAAGAACAACAACAATCAATTTCTGTAGATCAACCACTTTTACTTTTGTGTTCTCCTTTGCCATTAATTGAAGGTGTGGAGAGGGGGGAAGTGTTGGGGGATTGGGAAGAGGGGGTTTTTGGGGGGTTTTGTTAATTTTGGGACAAAATGTCTAAAATTTGATTTGTGTTTTCCTATGGTTTTATGGAGAAAATTACCTAAGAATTCTCTTAAAAGCTTCAGATATTTTTTTTATTTTGAATTAAAATAATTTTTTTATTTTACAGAGACTCCTCTTCCATCACTTGATAATGAAATGCGCAAAATCCCATCCCATACCTTACCTATTAAAAAAGAAGCTGAAGAAACTCGAAGTTTGGATAGACATTTATTTAGTGTAAGATGGAATAAACGAGGAACTAGTACAACAAAAATAAATTGTAAAAATAATATTAGACCCTCATTAAAAGCTACTACTACACAAATTTTGGAGAAAAAGAAGAATAATAATTTAATTTGTGATAATTCTAATGGAGGAGATGATTTTGTGAGTTTCTTTTTAATTTTTAAATTAGACTAAATACCAGCGCTTGCTATATTTACGTCAATCGGGCCGTAGTCAGCTCCCGGAGTCGGAACCACGACTTGTAAAGCTCGGTACGGCCCTGTAACCTGCCCCTTTATTATAGGGACTAGATGATTAATACCACTTTTTGATTAAATTTAATGGACATTTTATCCCCTATTTAAATAAATTCCAATAAATTCCAAAATTCCTATAATTTTATTTTTCAATAAATAAACAAACGGACTGAATAGGGACTAAAATGATTAAATTAATGATTCATCTAATTTTCATTAAATTATTTATATTTTTGGTTTTATTCCACACCACATTTTTATAAATTTTTTAAAATTAGCTTTATTAATGTTTTATCTCATCTAAAACTGAATATTTTTTGCTTTAAAAAATTAAAAAAAAATTTTCAGGATTCACCAGCTGTTGCTTTAATCGATCCTTGTACATCCTCAGCTTCTAGTCCAGCTACTGCTGCCGTTCAAAATTCAAGTTGTTTACAACAACAACCTTCTGTTCCTCAACGATTAGCGGTAAACTTTTAATCTTTTTCTAAAATTTCCCTAAAAATTTTCAGTGCTTTTTGTCGAAACGACTAAAAAGGACCAAAAGTTTCCCTAAACTTGCAAGTGCTTTAGGTAGAGATAAACTTACTGCAACAACAACAACACTAAATGGAATTGGTAAACAAGGAGAACATCAATTAAAAATTAGAGCAAGTCTTGGTTCAAATGCATTAAGGTGGGTGTGAATTTTATAAAAAAAAATTTTTTGGTGAGAAATTTGGGGGGATTAAAAAAATTTTTTAGCTTCTAGCTAAGGACCAAAAATTAAATTTGATTATGGGCTCAACTTCTGCCCCTTCATTTTCCTTGTTTTTTTTATTACAAAAAGTTTCCATTTTTTTACTTTTTTATACACCCAATTTTTTATGCTTATTAATTAAATATAAACGATTTTTGTTTATATTTAGATAACATCATTATTGACCTTTCATATCATTTTTTTCTCTATTTCTTTTTATTTAATTAGTACAATATAAATTAATCTTTTGAGAAAATCAAAAAATTATACAGAAATAAAAATGATTTTTAATGAAAAATTAATCAGAATTTAATTTTAAAAATTCTGATGTAGAGCTGTTTCGAAACAAAAAAATTTCCGAAAATCGAAAGAAATAAATCCAGAAATTTACGAAAATCGAAACAGAAAAATAACCTCGAAAATCTAAATTCTAAAACAGCTCTGGATGTGATATGTAGATAATTTTTAGTGAGATCATTTTTCCTCTGTTCTTCCATTTTTTAACCTTTTTTTTAATATTCTGGTTTTTATTTTCCGTTTACTTCCATATTTTTTCCTGACTTTGTAGTATTTAGTCTCGAAATATTTTTCCGTTTTATTATATGTAATGTTGATTATTCAAATCAAGAATTTTTTTCGTATTTTTACATCGCTCCCCCTTTTCTCTCCTAAATTTTTTCACCTCTCTTTCTATACAATTTTTGTGTATTTAAAATATTTATTTTTCAGCTTACTATTTTTGTAACATAAATTTTTAGTATTTTTCCACGTTTATAATCCACGTTTCATTCCTCTTTTTCACTGTTTTCTTTAACATTTTGTATATTTTATAGTTAATTTTTAATATATTTTTATTTTTATTTTATTAATCTAAAATAATTTAAGAAATTTTCATTTCATACATATTAGTAAGAGAGAAGTAGTATAGGTTTAGCCTTGGACAGGAATCGATCCCCACCAGGAATCAAAATATCTACCAAATATCCTCAAGAGCCCCTAAGAATCCGCACCAAACTCCTCAGACAGGAATTGACCTCCTAGCAGTTATTTATTGCTATGGCACTTTCGCTCGGTGCTTTACCAACTGAACTCTATTGCGGCGCTGCTTTCACCTTCTCTGTTAATAGTAGATCTCCTGCTTAGTAGCCAGCTGGATCTCTTCCTTTTTTCCTTACAATATTTTTAATTATTTTTTGTTTCAAAATTATTTAGCGTTCCTTGTACATCTTTCTTCTATTTTTCTTTATTTTTAATGTTTTTGTGTTGTAATAATGTTTGTTTTTGCGCTTTTATTTAATGAAGCGACCGGATGCCCATGAAAAGATAACGGAAAAACTAACGGGGGAAGAAGAAGAACGGAAGAAAGAAGGGAAGAAGGAAAAAATAAAAAGGGGACGAAGATATAATTTTCTTTGGTGACACGGAAAACAATTGTAGTAGGAAGAAGAACACTGTGGAGGAGAATAATATTTTTCTTCCTCCAATTATTGATGAATGGAAAGAAAATTATTGAAGAAAATAATATTTTTCCTCTCTATTTCGCCTTAAAATTTACCTCAACTTTATCTCTTAAATAATTTTTTATTTAATATAATGCTTAATTATACAATAAGAAAATTGATCTTATTGTTAAAAAAATTCATTGCGCGCAAAGCTATTTTCTCATTATTATTTTTTATTATGTCCTCATCGTTGCCTTATCTTAATTAGTTCTCTTTTTCATATGGTTTTTTTGTTCTGGATATTAATGTTTTTCAGGTTAGTATTTTTTATTTAGGCTAGGCTGAGGTGCAGGTCTGTCTAACGCAGGACATAAACTAACTGCAAACAATTCTGGCGCGGTGTGTTAAATCGTGACAAAATTGTCTCTATATCCTACTTAAGCTGGACTTAGCTGCGTTAGATAGGGATGTATGTGACCTGCCGGAATCCTGCCGTTCCTTATTCCTGAAGATACGCATTTCCGACGTTTTCTGGAGTAGAGAAAATCCTATTCACAAAATTGGGAACTGATAGGTTCTCGAAAATCCCGATCCCGGAACCGGGAATTTATTGTTTGTTGACAGGATCCCCCTGGCATTCATTCTTTTCTAAAATTTTCTCTTCCATTCTTTAACCAAAATTATTCGACTCATAAAGTTTAAATAATTTTTTCTTTGAAATTGGAGATTTTTGGGAATAATAAGGCGCAATTTCCTTTTTTATTTGATTGTAAAATTGAATTATTATTTATTTTCAACATTTTTCTTTCTTCCTATTTATGGTTTATATTTTCTCTTCCTTATAAATTCCTTCCATTAATTCCACTCTAATTCATCCATTTTCAACAAATTCGTTCTGTAAAAATAATAATAATAACCGCCATTTGCATAAATAGAAAGAAACCAAAAATAACACCCCAAAACACCCAAAATTTATCCATCAATCTGTATTTATTTTATCCCCAGCTGTGCGCGACTTTTCTTTTCCTCTTTCTTAAACTGAACGAAAAGGAGAAGAAGAAAATTTGCCGCGCCTTCCTATATATCCTTCCCTTAAAGACTTATCCGGTCTCTCCGTCATAAATTGCGGCAATAACAACAATCTATTTACATTATAAGTTTTTAAATCGAGCATATATTCACATTTTAATTTTTACAAAAATTTATTACGTACCTATTTAACTAGTATATTTTGTTTCATTATTAGTCTTGTTTTATATTTTAAGTTGAATTAATAGTCGAATCTCATTTTTGGATACTCTACCAAAATTAAAAATACTCATCAATTTATTGATACTCCTTATAATGTACATATAATTGGCCAGTAGGTCTGAAAGCTATCTAAGACCTAGCTTTGGTTATAAGCTTCGCAAATTTTTTCCGACACTAACAATGCGTATCTAAAAATGATGAGAGATTCGACGAGGAGATTTTTTATCTCCTCTAGAAATGAGGAGATAAAAAAATTTTAAATTAACCTTGTAAAATTCTAAAGTAATTTTAATTTTTGCCAGATCTATATTTTTTTGGCTTATGTATTTTTAATTATTTTTTTAAATATTTTCCTTCCCACATAAATTTATTTTTTTGAATATTAATTACCTACATATATATTTTACTTTTTATTTATTTACAGATTTAACTTATTTTTTATCTTTTTTACTCACATATTTGCAGCATATTTTTCACCCTTATTTTTTATTATTAAAATGCCATTTCCCCAATCTTTAGCACAATTTGCTATTAATCGTCGACATTCTCAACCAAATAATGGTGGAGGGAATGGTTGTCCAACAAAATCTTCACTTTCTTCAAAGCTTTCAAAAAATTCTAATAAAAAGCCTTCCTCCTCTAACCCTCCACCACCATTACCTCCAACCTCTCCTCCTCCTTCTCTTCAATCAGAGCTTCCTCAACAAAATAATAATAGCCGTGTTCGCCTTCTTCGTGGTCGTCGTGTTTTTCGTGTTGTTCGTCGGTTAGCAATAATGTTGCTTTTCTTGGGAGAGAAATAAAATAAAAAAATAATTTTTTTGGGAGAAAAGGAATAAATTTTTTCTTGAACGAGAAAAAAAAATTTTTTTTTGAGAAATAAAAAAAATAAAAATTGTGGATATAACTTTAAGATAAAAAATTAAAAGGAAAAAAAATGTGTGAAAGTTAAAAATAATAAAAAAAATTTTTTTATGTCTAATTTTTTATTTATTTATTTTTATAGCTTATAATTTATATTTTTTTATTTATTCTTAGACTTCTGAGTAAAAGTGGGGATATTTTTGTAATAAAAAATAGGGGAAATTAAAATAAAATTTAGTTAAGACTTTAAATTTTTTAAAAATATTTTTTTAATTAAAAAATTTTTTTATCTTTTTAACAGAACGGATCAACAACAACAACAACAACAAAGAAGCCAACCTTTAAGTCTATACTTGCCTGGTCCAACAGAAGAAAAATTAAAAACATCTAGATCTTATGAATCTTTATTGTTGTTAAGCCAAGCAGGAGTATGTAATAATAATAGCAGTGTTTTACAAAAAAGTGAGTTTTATTTTTAAAAAATTCTGAAAAAATTTTTAAAATTTTCAGAAATTCTAAAAAATTTTTTTTAAATTTCGACTGAAAAAATTTTTTAATAAAAAATGAGTTTATTAATAAATAGGACATTAATAATTTATTGATAACTACTTTGTAATCGACGTTGTCTTTTTTTTTAATATCAAAAAAAATTTTTTGGCAAAAATTATTGAGCATAATACACACAGACATCACACACTTATTAACACATTCTTTTATAAAATTAAAAAATTCTTTAACTGTTTTTTTTTATCTAAAATATTTTTGAATTAATATTAGTTTAATTTTATTGATAAAATAATTTTTATTAATTTTTTTTTTGCTTTTTGGTTCTTTTAATGATTCACAAAAATAATAATTTTTTGGAAAATTAATTTCTACAAACTAAAAATTTATATTAATTAATTCTGATTTTTTTTAATTTTCTGATTTTTTTTTGATTTAATTCCCTTTTAAAAATGCACTTCAATTTCCTTCTAAAATTCCAACAAATTTTTTGTAAAATTTTCAATCGACTTGTTACCTTTACCAAATTTAGAGAAAATAAAAATGAAAAAGGTGTCTAAAAATTGTTTTAAAAATTAAAAAAATTTTTTTTAGAAATTTTAAAAAATTCCAAAAAAAAATATTTTTATTTTTCAAGGTCCGTCAGAATCCGAACACAAAATGTTGCTTCAACCTTTCCCTAGTGTTAACAACAAACCACAACAATTTCCTAATTTGGCTAGTCCAATAGATTCAAACAATATTTTATGTTCTGATAATAATAGAAGCAATATTGGTGGTGGCAATGGATATTGGCATAACAGGCTAGTTTTTAATTTTTTAAATTTTTTTTAATTAAAAAATTTTTTTAATGGTCAAACCTCAATTTTACGTACTCTTGAATGTTAAAAAAAATTTTATTTGAGTTTGTCTTTATTCGTGGGTAGGGTTGTCGGTTATTGGAAAATTTTTGAATGTCAGGAACCTAACCGGAAAAATTTTCATCCCACCAAGTGGCCAATCAAATTTAAAAAAAAAGTTTTTACTTAAAATTGAGCTTAACTATATTTTCACTTCAAAAATTTTTTAAAATTTATTTTAATTTATTTTGACACAATTTTTACTATTTTTTAAAACTACTAATTTCGTTAAAATATGACCTCCTAATTTTTAATTTAATTTTAAGATTATATTTTCTCTTTCTAAACTAGTTTTGTGTGTATTAAAAATACTCCAAAATTAGAGCTTTCTCTCTCCTTATTTTTACAATTTTCTTTTCTTTATTCTTAAATTTTTCCAAAAAAACTTTCTCAGCATATTAATCTAGAAATTAACCAAACAATGAATATAACTACCAACCAACCACCCACCACACACAGTCAGTCGGTCTAGTTCAGTCCGCGCAAAAGTGATTTGCATTTTTAATAGTTTATTGTAAATTTGTACTATTATTTTTAGTACTTTTCCTTCTCTTTATTTTTTTTTCTGATCCGTCAAATTTGTAGTATTTATATTTTTTTTCTTTATTTTCGCATCTTTAAATTTATTTTGACTGTCACTAATTTTAGGGAAATAAAATTTTTTCTTTTTCTATTAATTTTTTTCTATTTCTCCTTTTCTGAATTTAGATTTTTAAATTTATTTCTACTAAATTGTCCGTGCATACACAAAGATCTTTATTATTATTTTAAATTTTTTTTCTATTTATTTAACTCGAAAATGGCGTGACCCTAAACGAAAAAAATTTTTTTTAATAAGCAAATTATAATTGAGGTGAAAAAAATATAAAATAAATCTTTGCGCGAAAATTCTACAAGTTTTAAAAATTAATGGACTGAAAATCCTTTTATTAATATTAAAAGATTTGGGCAAGGATTGGGCTCTAAAAAGTATTTTAAAGAAATCTTTTGTAGTATTGGGTAATTTATTATATTTCAATTTTTACAAAAAAAATTTTTTTAGTCCTCACACGATCATTTTTATATAAAAAAACTTACTGAAAAAAAACCAATTTTATTTAGAAAAAAATGTAAATCTTCACCGGAAAAAAAATTTTTATTTTTTGATAAACAAGAAAAAAAATTAATTTTGTATTTTTAAAATGGGTGGATTTAAATGAATATTATTATTGTTGGTGGTTTTCTAACTGTCCCCAAATTTAATTTAAAAAAAATATTTTAAGAAAGTACGACCTGTAAAAATATTTTTTTTATTTTCCATGATGGTTAATAAAAAAATTTTTTTTTTGTGTTTTCTAAGTAAGCAGGTGTATAAACCTAAAAAATATTTTTTTTATTTTTTCCATTAATCTATAAAGACCATATTTTATATTAAAAATTTGAACAGCGCAGATGGCAAAAAAATATACAATTAAAAAAGGGAACGGCTAAAAATTTTTAATCATTCATTATAATGTTGCAAATAATATTTTTGTGGGATTTTATTTTTTTTTTTAATAATTCTTACTTTTCTTTCTCCTAAACAATAAAATTTGTGATTTATTGGTATAAGAGATTTTTTGGAAAATTTTTTAAAATAAAATCCAAAATCTTGAAAAAAGCAGCTTTGATTCTCATCAGACATCATTGTTGCCAAATTTTTTTGGCAATCTAATTTTTTTTAAATTGAATACACTCTTTTTAGTGTTTTTTGACCCGAAATCCGATCCTAAGAAAATTTTGAAGACTCGAACCGAAATTCGACCCGACTTTTTCCTTAACCCTTGATATACTTTAGTTAAAATAATTTTAGGATATATTTTTTATACTTTGATTTTACATTTTTTTCTGATATTTTAGGACTTAATGTCCTCCTATTTTTTTCTATTTTTTATTTTTTTCTTCTTCCCCCATTTATCTTCATCAGTCAGCGATTTTTAGTATTTTTATGTCTTCCTATCCCCCCTCATTAAATACTAAAAAATCCCTTTTCCTATATTTAATCATCATTCTTTTTTTTTCTCCCTTAAATTGTTGTGTTCTCTTTTGCTCATTTTTCTAAGCTACAAATAGTATATCCTGAAAAAAACTTTTTTTGTTGTTGGCCACTTGTTTGCATGTATTAAATAATTATTTGCAATCAACCGCTTAAACACATATATGTATATTTTTTTCTCTTTTAATTTACGTGTTTTTTTTTACTTTGTTTTCTACAGAAGAATTAGAAGAATTTTTATTTTTTGAAGGTTGTACTTGCAAAAAAAGAGCAAATTTAACAGTTAAATATAACTAAACATTTCTTGATAATTTTCTGATTTATATGTATAGTGCGCGCGCGATTGTAGCCCCATTATTTACTATTTTTTTTATTTTCTTTAGAAATTTTAAAATCTTTAAACTTTTCCTAGTTTGGTTTTTGTTGTTCAATGTTTTTTTTTAAGTTTTTTTAAATTTTTAACCACACAGGTTTTTTTTATCTAAAAACGAGGTTTTGGCTGTTTATGTATCTTATTATTCTTATGTCATATTTTACTTCTTTTGTCTTTTGGGATATTTTATTTTTTTATTTTTCCTCTAGATTTTCATTAATATTTAATTTTATTTTTTCTTAATATTTACATTATTTTTGCTTTAAAAATAAGAATATATTTTTTCCAAAAAAGGTAATTTTAAAGGAAAAGAGACTCTAAAAATTTATTTATTGAAAAGCATTTTTCCTTCATTATATCCACCCTCTTTGGGGAATATATGCAAATGCTTAAAAAAAAATTTTTTTTGGTTAGTTAAAACGGAAATGAATAGATAAAATTATTATTTTTAAAATTATTTTATTTATTTGAAGAGAGAGTTTCTAAAAATGTTTTTAAAGATAGAAGGGTGTTAGGGTGTTTTTAAAAATAAATTTGAAGTGTTTTGCGTTTCAAGTTGGAGAGAGAGAGAATATTTATTTGAATATTTAAATAAATAAAACTTTTTTTTAGAAATTAAAATGAGCACTAATGAATCTTATTATTTATACTTGTGCACTTTTATTATTTTTTAAATTTTTTTAAATATTTTTTTAATCCTTTCTAAATTTATATAATTAATTTCTCTCAATTTTTTTCTAAAAACTATTTTTTTATATTTATTTTTCTATTAATTTGACGCAACTTTGACTTAAATTTTTTCTTTAAAATTAAAGAAGAAAAAATTTTTTAAGACTAAAAATATTTTTTTAATGACATCCTTAACAAAAAAATTTTTTTTATAATTTTATTATTATTATTATTATTTTCGGAGTTAAAGGGAAAAAACAATTTAATAAGGTATCCTTAACAAAAAAAAATATTTTTTTTTAATTTTTCCAAATTTTTTTTTTAATTTCTTAAATTTTTAGTAATACACTCCAATCAACGACAACAACAATTCCAATGAATAATCTTAATAATTTTCCTCAACATAAATATCAACAACAAAAACAACAATTAAATAATAGACACCAACAACAATCCTCAAATAACTCTTCCCGTATAGAAAATAGTTTATCAATTTGGATATTAGAAGCTAAAGGAATCCCTCCAAAACGAAAATTTTTTTGTGAAATTTCTTTGGATAATATAATTAAAGCAAAAACATCTTCAAAAAGTTTATCGGAAGGAATTTGTTTTTGGGGAGAAAATTTTGATTTTCAAAAACTTCCTTTTAATAGTCAACAATTATGTATAGATTTAATGAGGGAACCTGAAATGTTAATTAATGGTGGAGGAAAGAAGAGAAGAGGTGGTGGAGGTAATGGAAAATCTTCACATGAAGAATTACATTGTTTAGTTGGTCTAGTTAGAATTCCGTTATCTCAACTTGTTGGGAAACAACCTATTGAAAAATGGTAAGGAGAGGGGGGGGGATGATTAAAAAATTTCTAATTAAAATCGAAAAAAATTAATTGCCTTCTCAATTTAAAATAATTTTTTTTAATTTGGTTTGAGAGATGGAGAGGGTCATCTACTAGGTGATAACCTCCCTCAATAAATTATGATTTTTAAGATATAAAAAAATTTTACTTGAAGTCAGTCACACAACATAGTTTTTGTCCTTTTTTCTATTTTAATCCTTTGTCATTTCCCGCTATATATTTTTTTTTTACTAAAAATAGAGATGGATTATCCTCTTATTATATAAACTTTTATTATATGTGAAAGACTATTTTTCATTGTTTTTATAAAAGACAAAGAAAATCAAGTGATTTATAAACAAAAAAAATAATTTGACAAAAAGAGGATGAGTAATAAAAAATAGGAATTGAATTTTATAAGAGTTGGACAACTGGAGATAAAGAAAATTAAGTAAAAATTGGGATAATATAAAGAAAAAATTTTTTTTTGAGTGGAGAAAATTTTTTTTGAAATTCGAAAAATTTATTTTCAGGTATTTAATATCTTCTGGAGAACCTTCACAAACATCATCATCTTCATCTACAGATTCCCAACCTTCTTTACGTTTAAAAGCAAGATATCAATCTGTTCAAATATTACCTTTAAATGCTTATTTGCCTTTTAGAAAGGTTTTAAAATTTTTTAAAAATTTTTAAAAATTTTTAAAAAATTTTTCAAGTCTCTCCACACATATTTTCTTCCATTATGCACAGCTTTTGAACCAATTTTGGGTGTTAAAGCAAAGGAAGACTTTGCCAATTCATTGGTAAAAATACTTCATATAGAGAGGAATGCACCTGAAGCTTTGGCTGAATTGGTAATGGCTGAAGTTTTGACACAAGAAAATGGTAGGAAAAAATTGGAAAAAAGGGCCTTGATTGAAAAAAATTTTTTTTAATTTTTAGATCATCTTTTGTTCAGAGGAAATTCACTTGCAACAAAAGCTGTTGAAGCATATATGAAGTGAGAAAAAAATTATATTTTTTTATTTAAATTTTTTAAAATTTTTTTAGGCTTGTGGCAACCGATTATCTACAGGTGTGGTTTTTATTTTATTAAAAAATTTTTTTTTGATTTTTAAAATTTATTTTCTGGGGCGAGTTAATTTTCCTTTGTTTCTCTCTCCTAACTTGCTTCAAGTTTGTTCCTCTTATGTTTCCAACATTTCTTACTTGATTACTAAAACATTTTTCAATGTTTTTCTTTTCTTCTATGTTTTTCATGTTCGGATTTCACTCGTTTCAACTTTTCTTATCTCCCTATAAAAACAAAACTTGTCTAAACAAAACGAAGTGAACAAACATCAAACAAACTTTGCAACATTTTTTCCAAACATTTTTACCAACCTTTTTACAAACATTTTTCCAAACAAGTTTATTTATACAAAAACATAGGGGTTAAAACAACAATATATGTTGGGATAGAAATACAACATTTATTTACATAAACATAGATATATTACAACACAAAATGCAACAATTACATTTATATACATATATACAATATCAAGGAATGTGAATTTATATTTATTTATCATCATCAAGTTTTTATTTATATTTTCTGTCAGCATCCTTTTATTTTCTGTTTTGTCCTTCAATTTCCTCTTTTATTCTTTCTCTTCATTCTTGATTGTCGTCATCGTTGATGTTGTTGGTGGCGTTGCTCGTCTTAGCCTTATTCTCCACGCATTTACAGTCCTCCCAAAGAATATGGCCTTCAAGCGCGACTTTAGTGAAGTGACCGAACAGCTCCACTCGATGAACTCCAGGTGGCAATGGCTTGTGACTTTTCTTGTAGTTGTCCACACTGCGGCTACAAGTCGGCTTTGACGAACAGCTTGGTCCTGGCTCCTAAAAAAAGGGAGAAAAAATCTTTTTAAAGCAGGCTTTAAGCAAATTTTCTCACCTCCTCAAAGGTGAACGAAAGCCTTGCAACTCCCGAGCGTTTGCCTGCACTAGAGCAGCTAGTCCTATCGCTTATGTTTCCACCAGTAGAAGAGCGAACACACTGCAAGCGCGGTGGAGGCCAAATTGTTACTGGCGGCGACTCTGACGATGACGACGTATTGTTGGAGTTGTGGCTTCTCGATGCCTTCTTACTTGAGCGACCGCTGACTTTAGACTAAAAAATGGGAGGGAAAAAATGTTTTTGAGGATTAAAAAAGATAGGGAAACGTACTTTTGAGCCCATCCGGAAGCTGGTGATGATGATGATGAGAGAACAGTGCAGACCAAGTAGAGTTGAAATAGCAAACGCGCGACTTTGTTGTAGCCGGGTGATAAATTTGAGGATTTTAAGACTGCTTTTATAGTGAAATTTGGGGAGGACGGGGGAGGGGGGAGGCTTTCTGTCTCCTTTCTTTTTCCACCAAATGATTTTCTTTTTAATTTTAAGATGGCTCTAGGCGACTTTATTAGACAACTACTTAGCAGCGATTTAAGTTGTGAGGTTGACCCTCTTCGTTTATGTAATGGAAATGCTTCTTCTTCCGGTTCATCTTCATCAGGTTCTGGTAGCAGCATTTCTTCCCAATTAGAAAAAAGTAGACAACAATTAACTAGACAAGTTGAAACTGCTTGGAGAAGAATTCTTGCATGTCAACATTTATTCCCCTATCCTTTAAGACTTTTATTTTCTGGACTTAGACATCGTTTAGAACAAGCTGGACGAGCTGAATTGACAGACAATTGTATGCATAGGAAAAGTATTTTAAATATAATTTTAAGTCGGAGAGAAAATTTTTTTGAGAGAGAAAGGGAGGGAATGTAAAAATTTTTAACGTACGTTCTCCTTGACTATCTTTCCGAATTTTCTGTTAGTCTCAGTTTAGATACCCCTCCAAAATTAGTTACACCTCAATTTAAAATATACATTGTTTATTTGAGGAAAGGTGAAGCACCCTAACCAATACCTCCTTTTTAGGGTGCTTCTCATGATTGTACACGATTTTTTCAGCAGCAACTTAGGGGTATCTAAAATTCGGGTTCTTAAGGGTTCATTAAAATCAAAAGATCTTTTCTTCTAATTAAAAAATATATTTTTCTATTTCAGTACTTTCCTCTTCCATTTTTCTTCGATTTCTCTGTCCAGCAATTCTATCACCTTCCCTCTTTGGATTAGTAAATGAATATCCAACTGGACAAGCAGCAAGAAATTTAACATTAATAGCCAAATCATTACAAACTCTAGCTAATTTTACTCGATTTGGTGGCAAGGAGGGTTATATGGAATTTATGAATAATTTTGTTGAAAGGGAATGGAGAAATATGGTAAAATAAACAATTATATATTGTGTAGACTAGGCAACTTGAGGGTTTTTTACTTGAAAAAATTTTAGGGTTGTACCCAAAATTCGAGGGCGTGTGTTGGGGGTTTGCGAGGTTTCCAAATTGTTTCGGGTCTGGGTTCGGGTCGGAGGCGCAAAATATGGTTGGGGTTTGGGTCGGAGATAATTGTGAAAAAAATCGTTCGGGAGCGGGGTCGGGGTTACTTCAAGTACTGACTTTAAAAGAAAATTTTTAATTTTTTAGCAACACTTTTTACGCCAAATATCAGCACCATGTGCCCGTTATTGCCAAGCATGTGAAGCTCATGATAGTATGGTTGATTGTACTATAGACCTGGGAAAGGAATTGAGCTTACTTGCTAGCTATATGAGGGAACATTGTGATCAATTGATGGAACAACGAAAAGAAAATTTGAATTTAAATAAAAATAGTAATACAACAACAACATTAATAGCAATAAAACAATTGTGGAATGCATTAATGACAATAAGTAATTGGGGAAATAATTGTTGTGATAAAGAGGGAGGAGAAGAGGATGAGGAGGGTAACGAAGAAGGAAAAAAATTTTTTAAAGAGGATAATGAAGGAGGAATGACATCAACTATAGAAGGACATAGCCCTGGAAATCCCCCTTCTGATTATGAAAATAATAATACAGTTATAACTACTACAACAACAAAGGTCCCAGAAAGTTTGTGGAGACAACCACCGCCTATTCCAATGGCTAGAAGGACAGTTATGATACCTCAACCTATTGAAATCCCTTCTGAAAATAAATATAATAGAGGCAATTTATATGGTGGAGGAGGTGAAGGATGTCAACCTATTAGTGCTCCTCCTGTTCCAAATTCTCCGTTTTCGGTAAGAAATTTTTCGAAAGAATTTTTTTGATATTTGGTGTTATCTTCATCTTTTTATCTTCACAGTGTCAGCTTACCTAAATTTTAAATTCGTTTAGTTCCTCTCGTATCTCAATCGCTTAGGAACCTTCCATCTTCCCAGGAATCTTTCATCCTATTCCATCTCAATTTCTCTTATCATCCAAGTTATCTCAACTTATCCCATCTATTTCCCAGTTATCCCACCTATAAAAATTTTCAAAAGGATTGAGACTCTTTGGATTGAGGAGAAGGATGAAGATATCTTATCCCAACTATTTCCCAATTATCCCGCCTCCAAAAAGGTGGAAAAAAATTATCAATTTTTTTCAATTACCAATTACCAAATTTTTAAAAATTTTTTAAAATTTCAAAATAAATTTTTAAACATTTATTCACTGGCTTTAATTAAATTTGGATATTTTTTTCAGGAACAAAAAACCCGTTTTTCATTTTCCCCAAACAACAACAATTCTTCTTCTTATGTTTCAACAGCAGCAGTTCACCATTTAAATACTTCAGATGATTATGTTTTAAGTTCAGCATTATCAAAACTTAGAACAACAACAAAACCATTAAATCCTCCAACAAAACAACAATGTTGGAATTCAAATAATTCAAGTTGTATACATTTATATGATGAAACTAGTAATAGAAGAGGGGTAGTAGTAGATAATTTACAACAACAACAGCAACAACATTTATATGATGAAGTTCCAACAGATTCTAATTTGGTGAGGAAAAATTTTTTTTTTAAAGAGTAAAGCAGCTGGGCTATTTCTCTCCTTTAGCTAGTGCGAAAGGTTAATCGGTGGCTGGGAGTGAACCAGCATCTTCAGCGGACCGGACTGATCATTGATATGGGAGCAATCAAATCTTGGATTATTTTAAAATTACCTGGGCAATTAAGTGTTTCAATGTCTTGTTGGAAAGGGGGAGTAATTAACCGAGGAGGGCAATTAATCAAGAAAATATTTTTTAATGATTTTTTAATATTTCCTTAATTGAATGTCTATTTTTTAGTTTTCCTAGTTCCTAGGATTTATTTTTCGAGGTCCTTATTAAGGCCGATTGTTCCGGATTAGGGTTGTCGGTTCCTGGAAATTTTTGGATATCCTAAACTGATCCAAAAAATCCTCGGTTCTTCGGTTCGGTTCAGAACCGACAACTCTATTTCGGATACCTTGGGCTTTTTTAAAAAAGCCGATAACCTCTATAATCTATCCATAATCTTTCCTCCTCTTCTTTCCTTCTACATATAATTTTTCAAAAAATTAAAAATAAAATTTAAAGACAATCTTACCTCCACCATCTGCTAGTAGAGCTTTAAATGCTGGTGTAGTTATTGCACATAGAGGTGTTGCTAGCCATGAAGCAACTCAACGTAGAGGAGAATTGTGTACTCCACGTGTAATTCAAAGGAACGCTTTTAGGGCAATGGATGATGAAGCTGATGATGAAAGTGAATCTGAAGAGGATGGGAGAGTACAAGAAATTGTGGAGGAAAATGAAGAGGTGAGTAAGATTCTAATGGACTTTTTTTTGATTTATGTCAAGACTCTAATGGTCTTTTTATGCTATTTCGGACTCTAGCCCGGCAAAATCGATTTTCCGGATTTGGATTCCGGATTTGCAACTTGACCGGACCGGCTCCGGGATTTCTCCGGATTAATCCGGTCCGGTTTTAATCTGGAGATTGGTAAAGACCTGGATTTGGGACCTGGACTCCGGGCAAATCCGATCGGATCCGGTCCGGCCCCGGACACTAGTTCTTAGGGTATTAAACAGATTTGGCATCAAAACTGGATTTTTTTCTTAAAAATTTTGATATTTTTTAGTTTAATCAAAGACGTCCACCTCCAAATAGAAGACGCCGTCCCCCTTCAGCCAATGGATATACAAATTCTTCAATAATTTCACATGTTAGAAATTGTTCTAGTGGAGAACAACAACAACAACAACATTATGGCATTTTTAATGAGTCAATTAATAATTTTGATTCTTCTTCAGCCTCTGTTGGAAGTAATAATCGAAAAAAGAATATTGGTGGTATTAATCAAATGATAATACCTCCCTCTTCTGGATATCAAAGTCAATTAAATAGTAGTAGGTGTGTGTTTGTTTGTTAATTTTGTTGTTGATTTTTAAGAAAAAATTCAAAAAAAAATTTTTTGAAAAATTTTTAAAAATTTTTTTGAAATTTTTTTGAAATTTTTTTTGAAATTTTTGAAAATTTTTTAGAAATTTTTTAGAAAAATTTTTAGAAATTTTTCTAAATCTTTTGAAAATTTTTTAAAAAATTTTTTTGAAAATTTTTTTTTGAAAATTTTTTTGAAAATTTTTTTAAATTTAGCAAAAAAATTTTAAAAATCAAAAATTTTTTTCAAGTTATTCAAACTCTTCTTCCCCTACAAACACAACAGAAAGTTCCCCACCACCACCATCCCAACAACAAACAACATCAATAATCAGTAATTTAATTCAATCACCAAAAATTCTTTTAAAAAATCCTCCAAAAATTTCAAAAAATGTTTTTTCTTCAAATATAATATCTTCTAATAATTCTTGCCAAAGTTCTTCATCCTCTTCTGCATCCTCAGCATATTCTTCTCTTTCACCAACAAATCAACAGAAACAACAACAACACTTGTTTAATAATAAATTAAGAAAGAGTGCAGAAAATGCAGCAATGCATTTGTTGGAAGAATTAAATGCTGGCAAATCAGAACAACAAACCAGAACAGAATTACAACAACAACAACAACAACATTTACCTAAACCCAGGCATGTTTTTATTTCAATTAAAATTAATGTTTAGTTACGCGTAAAATGTTTAGAAAAACATGTTTTATTGCATGTTTGTTTGATCTAGTTTGTTTTGTTTGTTAAGTTTGTTTTTGATGTTGATGTTTTTCTGATAATTTTAATATGTTTTGTTTTATGTTTTTGCATGTTTTAACATGTTTTCTGAACTATGTTTTGTTTATTAATGTTTTTAAATGTTAAGAAATGTTTATGCGCATGTTTTGTTTATATTTAATGTTTAACGTTTTTATCAGATGTTTTTATTAAGTTTTTAGTTGTTTTAATATTGTTTTAAATGTTTTTGTTTCCCAAACATTCTTCTGAACATGTTTTCTCTCCATGTTTATATTTTTCAGAACAAACCCAAGTTGTTGGTCAATCCCCGCGTCTTCTTCTGGTCACTTACAACAACAACAACCACCACAACCTCGTTCAGCTTTTATCGGTTCAACTCCAACAGACCCATTAACAGCCTTTGTTCGTTATCCATTACATTCATCTTCTTCCCCACAAAAAATTTCTCCAAAAAAATTAGAAGAAGAAAAAGAGGATTATCAAAGAAAATTTCCCCAAAAATTCCCAACATGTTCAGAAATTTATTGGTCAGAAAATAATAATAAAAACAAATTAATTTCTTCAACATCAGAAATTAATTCGAACATTCCATGGTCAAAACAACAAATTTTATTACCTTCCCAACAACAAGTGGCTTCCCAACAACAACATGTTTCTCAACAACAAGCTTCTCAACATCAAACAACAATACCAAACTTGTTGGCTGCTGAATTGGAGGTGAGGGGAAGGAAAAAAATTTTTTTTTAATTTTCTAAAAATTTAAAAAAATTATTAAAAAATTTTTTTAATTAAAAAAATTTTTTTTTAATTTTTAAAGAAAAATTAAATTTTTTTTTCAATTAAAAAAAAATTTTTTTTTCAAAAATTTAAAAAAAAAGAAATTTTTTTTGTTTTTATATTTTTAAAAATTTTTTTCAATTAAAAAAATTTTTTTCTTTAAATTAGCTAATAGAGGCACAACGTTGTCAAATTGCCGAATTAACAAGGCAAAATGCTGCTTTAAGGCAAGAATTAAATTCGGTTAGAGCTATAAGTAGTCAACATATTGTTGCTGGTAGAGAAGAAAAAATAATAGCTTCGGCTGAGTCGATGTGAAATAATTTATTTAAAAATTAAAAAAAAAATTTAGTTAAAGTTAAATTAGAGAAAAAAGCCTTTTTTTGAGAAAAATCTGTGATCAACGAATCAAAAATAAAATAATAATTTTGTTTTTTAAATTTATTATTGGAAAGGTGTGGATTTTTGTTGTATTTATTTTTATGAATTTTAAAATTTGCCTAGAACGAATTACGAAATTTTTTCTAATTTAAAAAAATTAATTGGATTTAAGAATGCCTGTGTTTAGTAGTGTTTCGCCGGAACCGAAACCAAAAAAAAATTCTCGGAACTTCCGGCCTACCGGAACCGGAACTTCCAACGAAAACTACTGTTTAGCATAGTAAATGTGACCATCCTTCCCCCAATAATTAATTAAAAAAATTTTTTTTGAAATTTTTTTTTGGATTTAACCTAAATTAATAATACAACAAAAAATACCTTAATAATAATAAATTTTTTGTTTTAAATTTTTGTTTCTAAAAATGCCTAATATTAAATATTTAAATTTAAAAAATAATTTTTACTTTTTTTTTAAAGTGCAACCCTATTATTCTATTAATTATTTTTATATAATTAATTGTCTTTCTTTTCTCTATCCAAATAAAAATTTTTTTTATTTTAAAATTTATTTAAAATGTTTTCCTTCTGTTAAATATTTTTTTCCTTTGTTTGTTAAAAATAAAAAAAAAAGAATTTTTGGATAAAATATGTAAAACAATTTCGTTTTATTTTGAATTTTTTAAAAAGAAAATAATCGTGTCATCGAAAAAAAAATAATTTTTTTGTAAATTTAAAAAAATTCCACGTTTTAAAACATCCATATTATTTTAGTAAATTTAAAAAATAAAATTATGAAATAATCCACGTTTTACTTTAAAAATGGTCTTTTTCTCCTTCCCCTCAATTTTATTTTAAATATTTTTGATTAAAAAAAAAATTTTTTTTTAATTTTTTAAGAAAAAAATTTTATTTTCTTAAAATTAAGAATGCAAAGACTAGAATGTGCAATACAAAAATACAAATGGGGCAAGAAAGGATTAAATGGACTCGTTGCTCAATTAAGTGGACTAATTAAAGTAGAAGAAGAGGAATGCTATGCTGAGGTTTTTTTTAATTTTTTTAAAAATTAAAAAAAATTTTTTTTTGAAAGCTTTGGATGGGTACGCACAAAAATGGGCCTTCCAAAATTAAAAATGAAGGAATTTTGTTATCTGAATATTTTGAGAAAAATCCAAAAGTGCTTGGGGAACATGAGAAGGGGCTGAATTTTCTTTTTAAAATACTTTCTGTGGGAAGTTCGTTGTCTGTGCAATCACATCCTACAAAGGTTTTTTTAGAATATTTTTGGGTTTTAGATAAGTCATTGAAAAAATTGTTAGGAAATTTTTCTGAAAATTTTTTAGTGATTTTCCTTTAAATTGGGGAATAACCATCTAAAAAGTATTTTCTCATTATTCCTTTTAGCACAAAACTAATTTTAAATTAATTTCTATTAAGAGCAGTATGGTCTACCGGGTAAGGTTTCCACCTCGCCAATTTAAGGGTGAAGGTTCGAATCCTTGTGGGCTCAAATAATTTTTATCGTGTCTTTTTCTTCAAATTATGTTCTTTTTTGGGTTTCTTTTCTATTAAAAATTTTTTAACATTTTTCTAATAAATAAAAAAATTTTTTTTTAAAGGAACAAGCAATATATTTACATTCCAAAGACCCAAAAAATTATCCAGATGACAATCACAAACCAGAAATGGCTATTGCTTTAACAGATTTTGAATTATTGTGTGGATTTAGAAAGTCTGAAGAAATCTTGTCTAATTTAAAATTAAATAAAGAAATTGAAGAAATTATTGGGGAAGAAGAAATTCAAAAATTTTCAATTAAAAATGAGGAGGAAATGAACAAAAATTCTTTAAAAATTATTTTTACAAAAATATGGACAGCTCCAGAAGAGAAAATTAAATTTGTTTTAAATAAAATACTTGAACGTATTTCTAAAAGTTGGTTTTGTTTTTTTAAAATTTTTTCAAAAATTTTTAAAATTTTAATTTTTATCAAGTTTTGCAGAAAATCCGCATTTAATAGCCTATTTAAAAATAAAAAAGAAATTCTGATTTAAATTTTAAATCAGAACTTTATAAAAACCTTGTTTGAATTAAATTCTGGTTTTAATTAATTTTTCAGAATTTTTGTATTTCCTCCTAAACAAAATACAAAAAATTCTGATTTTTTACAACATGTTTTACAGTGTTTTTGATGTTTTAATACAAATCAGAATTTTATTCGAACAATGTTTTTATGAAATTCTGATTTTTATTTTTTTAATCGGAATTTTCTAATTATTTGATAAAATAATAATTGCGGACTTTCTGCAAAACTTGAAGATTTTTTTTACAAAAAAATTATTTTTTAGAGGAAGAAAAAACAAATATTGACAATTTAATAATTCGTTTAAACAATCAATTCCCTGAAGATATTGGAATTATAGCTCCTCTATTTTTAAATTATTTTACTTTAAAACCTGGAGAAGCAACATTTCTGGGACCGAATGAACCACATGCTTATTTGTTTGGAGGTTTTTTTGTGAATATTTTTTTTAATTTTTTTAAAAAATTTATTCGAAAATCCTTATTTTTGGATAGCCCCAAAAAATTAAATACCTCCTCCAAATAAAATTTTTTTTTAAATTTTGGTTGGGGTTTTTGGGTTTAACGAGAGGATAGCGTCTCAGAAAGACCTTCCCTTCCCTTCAATTTAATTTTTTTTCATGGTAAAGTAATATGGTTTTCAGCCTAAATGGAGTATATCCAAAAATTAGGTCCGACAGTAATTATCTTTAAAAAAAATTTTTTTGAATTTTGGTTGGTTTTTTGGGTGCAAGGAGAGGAGGGCGCCTCAAAAATACCTTCCCTTCAATTTATTTTTTTCTTCAGAATAACATAATATGATTTTTCAGCCCAAATGGGGGTATCCAAAAATGAGTTCCAAAATAGAAATTTTTATCAAAAAAAATTTTTTTTAATTTTTTGTTTATTTTTTGGGTGTAAGAAGAGGAAAGCGCCTCCGAAATACCTTCTCTTCAATTAAATTTTTTCTTCAGAATAAAATATTATGATTTTTTAGCCCGAATGGGGTATCCAAAAATGATAATTTTTATTAAAAAAAATTTTCTATTCTTTAATTTAATTTATTTTCTCCAGATTGTGTTGAATGTATGGCTCTTTCCGACAACACTATCCGTGCAGGTTTAACTCCAAAATTTAAAGATGTACAAACTCTGTGTGAAAATTTAACTTATAAAATGAGTGGTCCTCCAATTTTTGAACCTAAAAAACTTGAAAATGGAATTGTTGAATATTCACCACCAGTAGAAGAATTTGTGGTACATAAATTGGATGTAAGGGAGGTTTTTTTGATTAAAAAATTACTTTTTGAGAAAGACTAGGAAATTGGGGGGGGGGGTTTATTGGGTTTCAGGTCCCTTTGTCCTCTAAGTCCTAGGAACTAGAGATCAAGCTGTACCTGGACCAAGGCCTGGGTTTTTCCTGTACCCAAAATTCAGGTCAGGCATTTTTTGATCTTCCTGGAGTTTTCCTAGGCCTGGGTTTTCCTGGACTACAGGCCCAGAATCCAGTCCAGGTCAATAAATCAAACTTCAGAGTCTAGGGACAGGTCCAGGCTTTTCAAAAATTTCGATCTCTACTAGGAACCACATGCTAGAGTAATAGGGTCTGCAAAAGTCTACTTAAATTCTCGCCTAATTTCTCGAATTTTTCTCCAAATTTTTTTCTTCTCTTAATTTCGTTCCGCGACGATTAAAAAAATTTGGGGGCACTATTGTTGTCATTTTATAATTTTAGAGTTTTAAATTTAAAAAATTTTTCATTAAAAAATAATTTTTTTAAAGCAAAACATTTCAATCCTTCAATCAATCCAAGCTGCTTCAATAATGATAATTATATCAGGCAAAGCTTTATTAATTTTAGAAAAAGAAAATTTAAAAGAAGAAATAGTTAAAGGGGATATTTTGTTTATACCACAACTTTATGAAGCAAAAATTGAAGAAAAAAGTGAAGACTTTTTGGCTTTTAGAACTTTTACTCCAATTTAAATAAAATGAAAAAAGGGAAGAGAAACTAATTTAATTTAAAATTTTTATAGAAAAAAATAAAAAGAAATTTTTATTTTAATTTTTGCAGAGCATATATTTATGATTTTTTTACCATTAAAAAAAATTTTTTTTTTAATTTTCATTTCCAGTTTTTTAATCACAAAAAAAAATTTCACGAAAAATAAAGTTATACTTTTGTGGGGAATTTATAATTTTATTCAATTTAAAAATTTGCCAAAATTTTGTGTAATGTCTCATACGCCAAATCAGACTGGTGCACGGATACGGATAATATCCGGATATCCGCGGATACCCGCGGATACGGACGGATATGGATAGTGTTTTTTAAAAAATTGGACGGATACGGATGGATACGGATATGATGCTCCAAATCCGCGGATATCCGTCCCTAATTTCTGCGAATATACATCGCTCTCATATTATAAAATATATAAATATATTTCGCCAAGAAAACAAATAATTAAAAATATTGCACAATTGCAGGGATAATTGAGTCCCGAGCTGAGTTTTAATTATTATCGTTAATTTTCTGTTGTTTGCTTATAACTAAATTTATCTAATTATTTTTTAAAGAAATAGTATTTAATTTCATAAAAATGAAGGAATTTCCTAAAAAAAATCCGGAAGATTTAACAAAAGATGATATATCTCAAATTTTGGGCCTGGAAAATAAGTTGAATAAAACTGTTTTATTTTACAAACCGAAAAATGAACTGATGCCTGAAATTTGTTTCATGTATTATGATGAAGACGGTGATCAAGAAAAAGCTTTTAAAAATAACCGCATAAAGAATCTTGTAATATGCAAATTTAAGAACTGCAACGTGTTATTAGTTCATCCTGGAGGATCTATTAAGTAATTTTTTATTCTAACTTTAATTCAATGAGAATTTAGTGTTCACTATGAAAGTCACAAAACGAGGAAGCGTCACCATGCCCCCGAATCGACTCCTCAAATTTCAAAATTTTTGCCAAAAAAAACTACTCAAGAAGATAAATCAGAAATAACTAAGATATTAGCAGAGTTTTGCATTGAAAGTGGAAGTTCATTCCATTTTGCCACATCCTTATCAATTAGAAATTTAATAATCAAGGCGAACAATTTAGGGTAGTTAGAAATATTTGTTTAGCTCTAGGAAAAATGAACTGATGCCTGAAATTTGTTTCATGTATTATGATGAAGACGGTGATCAAGAAAAAGCTTTTAAAAATAACCGCATAAAGAATCTTGTAATATGCAAATTTAAGAACTGCAAAAGTGTAAAAAATGTTGGTGTTTTTGCAAGGTTTTGTTTTCCCTAGGATTGTGACTGAAATGTTATTTATTATTTGTTTAGCTCTAGGATCCAATGATGTTTTGTGTTCGTTTTTAATATTTATTATTAATCAAAGTAATTATTTAGCAATAAGATGTATTTGTCACGTCTTAAATACAATTTGCAAAAGAACATTTTCACCCTATAAAGTAGGGAAGCAGCTTCTACGCGATACAGATCTTAGTCAATCAGAGAGATTGTCCGTCGGAATTTCTTTAGAAATTTTGGGTGCTGTAAAAAATGTTGGTGTTTTTGCAAGGTTTTGTTTTCCCTAGGATTGTGACTGAAATGTTATTTATTATTTGAGAAATCATTTCTGGCTAAGGAAACATCTTGATAGTGTGCCTCATGACGAAATAATTACTAGATGGTTAAGCAAGCTTAAAATGATAAAAAGTGTCTTAAAAGTTTATCCTAAATTGGTTGAATTAAAAAATTCCGATCTAAGATCAAAGATGCCCTTGGTTAGTTTATAAATTATTTATTTTATAAATATATGTATAATTTTTATAGGAATATTTAGAGAATTTGAGGCTTGTTGGTAAAAATCTTGAAGAAATACAAAATTTTGTGAAAATTTTGGAAATATTTAACGAATATGTATTGTTTTTCCAGGTTTATTTTTTATCTTTTTAGATTTATTTAATAATTTTAGACTGAAAAGAATGTAACATTGCATTTGGTGTGGCCAATGATTTATGAAATAAAGAGAAAACTTAATTGTCTAACGACAGACCAGGCCTTCATTGAATCAGAGGTATCCTTATGTGTTTTACGTTCAGCTTTAAAATGTCTACAACGAAAAATTGATGAGGGTGTGATAACAGATATACACAAGGCCGCAACATTCCTTGCTCCAAAACGTCGTTTAATGAATGGTGTCCCTGAAGCTGAGAAACATAAGGTTTTTACATAACCACTATATATTTAATTTATAATTTTACAAATAAATTAAGATATATGATTTCGTTAGATCAGAAATTAGAAAAAGGAAAATATGTACATCACCGATTGAAATAAATGAATTTAATTTTGATGATATTTCTGAAGAATTTGTTAGTATGGAAAACGATGATGGATTTCTAAGCGAAAATCAAACAAGAAAAGAAAGAAGATCAGATCCAGACGAGGTTGATCAATATATATCGTCTATGTTTGATAAAGATGCAAGGGAAAGTCAAAGTCCAGAAGAATTTTGGAAGAAGAATGAAAAGATAATGCCACAACTTGCTCGCGTTGCTAAAAGTATTCTTTCATTACCAGCTAGTTCTTCAGGTCTAACGCGAATTTCCTATTATTCAAAATTTGTTCTCTTTTATTTAGGAATAGAACGAGGATTCAGTCGTTTACGCTATGTAATGGACGATCAACGCTTATTACTCTCTGATGACAACATTTCAAAACTTCTTTTAGCCGATTCACTTAACAAGATATGAACAAAACATTTTTTTGATTTTTTATTCATTTCTCAAATTAAAATAAACTTGACCATTTTGAGAATTTTTGTTCGGTTGACCATTTTGAGAAAAACGGATATATCCGCGGATGGATATGACTCAAAAGTAGGACGGATACAAACGGATACGGATATTGACCTCACGGATATATCCGGATACGGATAGCAAAATCCGTATCCATGCACCAGTCTGCGCCAAATAAATGACAGTTTATCCCAAAAATTAATTAAGTTGAGTAACGGACAGTTGAGTCTGGCGGCTGAAAATTGAAGAAATTAAACAGGACGTTTGGGTGCGGCAACTGAGTGTGGTGAGGGAAATTCTTAAAAATTCTAAATTTTCAAAAAATCGATACTAATCGATAAAATCGATACTAATCGATAATTTATTTTTAAAAATTCTAAATTTTCAAAAAATCGATACTAATCGATAAAATCGATAATTTATTTTTTAAAAATTTTATATTTTCAAAAAATCGATACTAATCGATAAAATCGATACTAATCGATAATTTAAAGAAATTCTTGATTTTCCCAAATATCGATTTTCATTTTTGCCATTTCGCTCTCAAAATGAGCACCGAACTTCAATAATTATCTATTTTTTCTCCATTTCTTTTTTACAATTTCTCTAAACAACCGGTAGTTAAGTCCTTATCAAATTTACATAAAATACAACAAAATAAAAAAAAATTTATTCAACGAAAATAAATAAAAAATATTTTTACCATAAAATTTTTTTCTTATTATTCGACGGCTCTTCTTAAACACCAAAAAATTCAAAAAAAGATTGTTGTAGAAGCACCAATTGGCTTGAAATCCATTAAATGCCCATCTTGTCGTTGTTCTTCTTATTGTAGTTGCTGGGAATTGTTCAAGTCTGAAAGAAAAAAAGCATTTTGCATGATTTTGGACCTTATCTCAAGCTCAAAATCTCCGTAAATTTTTGATAAAATGGATAGATTTGGGGGACAAGTTCAATGAAAACAGTCTGTTATAAATAGAACAAGGTCTCAAATGTTCTTTGGGGAATACAAGAATGCTCCCGAGGAATTTAGACGATGTTGGGACAACGAAAAGAAAAAAACAGATAAATTCAAAATTGTATCAATAATTTCAAATCCTAAAATCGTTCAGAAATCCACTCAAAAAACCCCTCAACTAAAAATAAATAAAATACCATTGTCTCAATCACGCCTCCTTCCCTTCCAAACATGCACAGCCAAAAGCTGCCAGTTTTTGTCTGCCTCGGCCAGGAACGTCCAACCAAGGAGTGTGTTGATTCGAGTTGAACATGTTTAAAAAATTTTTTAAAAGAATTCTTAAAATCATTAAATAACCTTTCAAGCCAGGGTTTCAAGAGCATGTGTTGTATCCAAAGCAACATAAAAAATTGTCCAAAGGGTTGCCGTCATCAATTGGCCTCAAATCTAAAAGAAAATGATTATTCGGTGAAAAATAAAAAAGAAAACACCCAGAGAGTATTGAACCCGCGACCTATTCTCATATAACCAACAACGCTACCAACTTAACCAAATGATCTTATATGCAAGCTCCAAAATTTTTCTCTATATACAAATGTGAACTTTGAATTTGGGGGATGATTTCTAAACATTAAACTCAAAAGCCCCGTAAAATAATTAAAGACCTTTCACACTTCATAATCTGCACATCTACAAGCCAAATAAATGCAACCAAGCAATTGTCTTCTTGTTGAAGCGATGCACTTTGCCAGCTGTCCTCTGTGATGTGGAATGTTGTGATTCAACCGTTCAGCCATTTCCTATAAAATCAAAATCTCATTTCAGCCAGACAAAAAAGAAAAACCTGAATAAATTCTGCAGTTTGTCTTCTATATTTAAGTTCAGCAGCCGAATCAATAGACATTTTAGATGGAAGCCGAGAAAGCTTATCGTCCGCAAAATACCATTTTGGTTTCTTTCCAAGTTTTCTAGATAATGGAACTGGTTCTGTCATCTTTCAAGATCCATACTGAAAGCTTTAAAAATATTTAAAACCCCTTCCCTTTACCAGAAAATTGCTAAACACACTTTCTAATCGAATTTGGGAAAGAGGATTGATAACAGATTAACTCAGAGATTATTTGCGGACAAAACTTGCTGGTGTGAAAAAAGGCAAAAGACAAACCTTTTAATTTTTAAAAAGATTCCATGGACGTTTAAAGTGCTTTGATGATCTTTTTGCTTCTTTCTTTGTTGTTCTTCTTTGTTGATTTTTTGTTTGTTCTTCTTTTTTGATTTTTTGTCTGTTCTTCTTTTTGTTGATTTTTTTGTTTGTTCTTCTTCTTTTTGTTTGTTGCTGCTGGACAATTCTTAGAGGCATGGCACTAAATAAGTTAAATGAGTTTGTTTAGGCAAAGTTATAAACTAACCATAAAACTGATGAGCAGTTATCAAAGTACCATAGAAGCAACAAGTCCCGGAAATGCCAGCCAGACGCCGCAAATGCCAGACAGAACCCCACACAGAAGGAAGAACTCCAAACAGATGCCAGGAGAATTCCATACAACAGCCGTTAGAACTCCAACAAAGCCAAACTCCAAACAAATGCCAGAAGAACTCCTACAGATGCCGAAGCAAATGCTAGAACATTCCCCCGACATCTGACGGAACATTCGCACATTGTCGCAATTCTTTCGCACAGTTGCTGGGTTATTCCCCTGCACATTAGCCGGAACATTCCCCCACATAAACAGATGAAGAACTCCAAACACTGCCAGAAGAATATCATACATTGCCGTTAGAACTCCAACAAAGCCAGACTCCAAACAAATGCCAGAAGAACTCCTACAGATGCCGAAGCAAATGCTAGAACATTCCCCCGAACATCTGACGGAACGTTCGCACATTGTCGCAATTCTTTCGCACAGATGCATGGTATTCCTTCGCACATTGCCGGAACATTCCTCCACAAAACTAAAACCCACGCAACACGCCTAAAGGACGCACGCAAATGCCAAAGGGGACTTGTGCTTTTGATGTTGGAGAAGAGAGCTCCACATCCGCCTCTACTGCTAAAAATATGATTTCATTTCAAAGTTAAAGGAAACTGAAACTAACGTTTTGAGACAAAACCAGATTGATGAAGTCCAGATGCAGCAGCTTCTTTGGTTGCAAAGCATACAAAGCACTGAATGAAAAAATAAAGAATGTTGTTAGCTTAAAACACAGCAAGTTTTGTCCGCAAATAGGAAAGGGAGAGAGGGAGAAAGGCAGCTGATTTTGTGCCAAATTCAAGCCAACTGTGTTTGTAGAGACCACCAGCATCATCGGTCATCTAATAGTTCTAAAAAAGAAAAATAAATAGGAGGCAAATTAATTAGTTGAATAAAAATCGGGGCATTTTCCACCCGTGGCGTAAATGGTAGGTTCACTTGTTAAAAAGGGGGATTCGAACTCCAACGAAAAACCAAAACAATAATCGAAAATTCAACTATGTACCCAAAAATAAACTAAAATCCAGCTCTATAAGGAAACATAAAAATGCCTGACGGGCTCCGGATATCGACCCCTTTCCGATATTACCAGTGTGTCGATAACAAAAAGCCACTTAACAAAAGCGAGGGTACACCCGTCCTCTCATGTGTGGCCACACATTACTCAATATTTACAAAAATCGGTTAAACAAGGTTTCGTGGATCTGAGGGAACATGGTCGAAAACAAAAACTTTTACAAACCTTAAGCATCAACAGCTCCAACAGCATTTAAAGAGACGACAATTATGTTTTGAGGGTTCAGGATTTGTCCCTCTATCCAAATTGCTGAACTCGTTCCTTGTTGTTTTCGAAGTTGGAGAGATGATTTTATGGGAGTCTGATGTGGTGTTTTGAAGTACCTGAAAGACAAGTTTGACATTTGAAGTATTTCACAAAATTCCAGACCTTATCGAATGTGCTGGTTGAAAAATTGTACAGTTGTTTAGAAGGATTGGAGTAAGTTGAGGTAATTGAAAATGGGTTGAAGTAGAATAATGTTGACGGGAGCATGGGCAATTAATTGTTGTTCTTCGAATAAATGTTTTCCTCTAAAATAAAAAAAAATTGTTTGTCTTGTTTTGACAAAAATAAAAGTGAAGAAAGGCTAAAAGAAAAAATCAATAACACCACAACCACCACGGCTAATTAACTTTTTTGTTGTTGTTTGTGGTTATTGATTTTCTCAGCAGCATTCGCTCAGACATTAAAAACGCGTAGTGGTTAGAGAAAAAGAATTCGCAATTTTATTGATTTTCTTAGCAGCGTTTGCTCAGACATTAAAAACGCGTAGTGGTTAGAGAAAAAGAATTGTCAATTTCCTCACTCATGCTCTCTGACATGAGCAAAGTCAGACAAATGTAAGTATTTGAAAAATTTTCCCTTATGGCCGTTTTGTCTTTTCTTCTGTTTAGACATTTCCGCCGGATCTTTCCGGATTAATCCGGTCCGGAAAGATACGGAAATCTCGAAGAAACCCGGATTTGGGATCCGGATTCCGGAAAAATCCGGCCGGATACGGACTGGGACAATTCCATGCCAGCCGATTCCGTGCCCGTTGTAAAGGTGACGTTTCCGTGCCCAATTTCATTTTTCCTACCTTTTTCCATTTTTCTACCCCAAAGTTAGAGAAAAATATGTGAGAAATAGTGTGGATAGAGAAAAAGTGTAAAAAATGAGAAACGATACGTGTCCGGACAAAATATCGAATCGTTAAAATATGGAATAGGCTAAAAAAGGGTTAAAATCTCGAATCGGGTAAAAATGGGTTAAAATCGCGAATAGGCTAAAAAGGGGTTAAAATGTGGAATCGTTAAAATATGGAATGGTAAAAATATCGAATCGGCTAAAAAAGGGTTAAAATATGGAATCGTTAAAATATCGAATTGATAAAATGTCGACACGGCCAAAATAGGTCAAAATGTCGAATTTTTTTAAAGATGCGCCAAAACCTTGAATCCGGGCGTTACCGTAATACCGACGGTATTTTTCGGTATTCCGTGTCGGTTGTACGGTACGGAATGCCGACCGATAAAATTTAAAAGCTGACCGTTATTTTTCGGTATTCCATACCGTATACGGTAAGGTCAAACTTTAGGTCTTAACTAAAAACTAATGCATACCACTCTAATTTTTCCATATCAGGATCGCGTTATGTTTTCCGGATCCGTACGATCATGCCGGACCGGATCCGGTCGATTATGCTTGATTTATCCGGTCCGGTTTTACTCGGTAAAGTACAGTGAACTCAGACAGAAAAGATTACGACGGACTACGACTTACCAAACTTATCAATCAACTTATCATCAATAAACTGATGTTGATAAAATTATCAACAATCAACGTATGGCACAAATCTGACCCGTTTTTAAAAGAATTCGACATTTTGACCCATTTTGGCCGTGTCGACATTTTTACCATTCCATATTTTTACGATTCCATATTTTAACCCTTTTTTACCCGATTCGATATTTTAACGATTCCATATTTTAACGATTCGGTATTTTAACCCCTTTTTAGCCTATTCGCGATTTTAACCATTCCATATTTTAACGATTCCATATTTTGTACCGGAGCCGAAACGATAATTTGCCAATAAGGGTAGAAATATTCATTTTACCAACAAATTTATTGTTGGCAGAACGTGAGTTTTTAGCCTTTTTGGCAAAATATGATAACACGAAGTGAGAAAAGAAAAATTCGACAAACTTTTAATCGTTCGATGTTTTTTCTAGAAAAAGTACGGTCCAAGTCGGCGCGCGGCCATAACGGCGCAAAGTCATAGCTTGCTGGTAAATTTCTGGCTCTTATCAATTTTGGTACCAATCTCTTTATCTCGGTGAGAGGAATCGTTTAATGCTAAATTTGGTAAGATTCGGAAATCTTGAAGCAAGTTATGGCTTTGCGCCGTTATGGCCGCGCGCCGATTTGGGCCGTACCCTTCTTTTTCTAGTTTCCGTTAATTGAATTTTTGTTTAGATATTTAAATTATAAATTTTTTCTAAATCAAAAAATGTTCGCTCCTCTCGCTTCTCGTCAAGTTGCTATCATTGCTCGTTCTTCGAATTTGCGTCCAATTTTCTTTCCTGTTCAAGCAATGCTGAACACAAACCAGACAATGATGTTTAGCACAACTGCTGTTCGAAAGGATATTGACAGTGCTGCTAAATATATTGGAGCAGGTTTATTTTGTCTTGAAGTTTTATTAACGTCTAATTTGAAGGGGCTGCTACTGCTGGTGTTGCTGGTTCTGGGGCCGGAATTGGAAATGTTTTTGGATCGCTGGTATTTTTTGATTTTTTGTTTAATTATTAGGGGTTGTTTGCTCTTTGAGCCTTCTCGAAGACTGGAGGTCTACCTTCCTTATATACATCCAGAACATCTTGGGGAGGATTAGGGTCGATGTTTCAGCTACCCTTGCTCCGAGCTCCTCATTAGAGATCGGAACTTTTGAAAAGCCTGGACCTATTCCTGGCAGGCCCGTAGCCAGGGGGGGTGGGGGGGGAATTCCCCCCCCCCCCCGAAATGGGAAAATGGAAAAAATTTGGGGAAGGGCTGGGCAAAAAAAGTGAATTTTTTTGGCCTACGGCCTCTGAAATTTAAAAAATTTTCGCCTGCGGCGCTAAAAAAGGACGAAATCTGGCTTCTTGAGGTCCAAAATTCAAAAAATTTTCGCCTGCGGCGCTGAAAATCAAATTTTTGGCGCCTGCGGCGCCGAAAAAGTGAATTTTTTTGGCCTACGGCCTTCTAAAATTCTCAAAATTTTCGCCTGCGGCGCTGAAAATAAAAATTTTTGGCGCCTTCGGCGCCAAAAATTTGGCGCAAAAAAATTCCCCCCCCCCCCCCCCCCCCCCCCCCGAAAAAAAATCCTGGCTACGGGCCTGATTCCTGGACTCTGGAGTTTGATTTATTGACCTGGGCCGAGTCTTGGGCCTGTAGTCCAGGAAAAACCTAGGCCTAGGAAAAACCCAGGAATGTCAAAAAATGCCAGGACCTGGACTCTGGGTACATGAAAAACCCAGGCCTTAGCCCAGGCCCAGGCCAATCTCTACTCCTCATCATCTTGCCTCATCAGATTTTCTTTCTCAAATGAACCATTAGGCAATCCCGGAGAATTGGGGTCCCTGCGGAAAAAAATCTTAAAAATAAGAAAAAGAATTTTTCTAGGGTAAAAAAATACGCTGATTACGAATCCGAGCTCGGATTTTGAAAAAGTCGAATCCCGAACCCGAATTCGGACTTTTGCCCCCGAACAGGATTTTTGACCCCGAACATTGTCGGACATTGTACAAAATGGCTAGTCTTCCAAAAGAATCTAGAACTCATCGAGCTGAGTCGAATGACACCAAAATCAATGAAATCCGACCGGATTGAACCGAGATACAGACCCCTAAATATTGTAAAACCACAGGGGTGATTTTTGGAGTAAAAAAAAGTTTGTACAAATGATATCTCATTCGAAAGAGCTGGTCGAGCTGAGTCGAATGACACCAAAATTACAGTGATTGATCAAGTTTAGACAAAGTTATGACATAAGTCGCCGTCACTTACAGTACTCCCAGAGGTTTACTTTATGTCATAACTTTGTCGAAACAGGTTCGATCGCGTTGATTTTGGTGTCATTCGATGCAGCTCGACGAGCTCTTTCGAACGAGCTATCATTTGCATATTCGAAATTCGGGTTCAGGGTTCGAAATTTGGTTCGGGTTCGGGATTCGACTTTTTCAAAATCTGAGCTCGGATTTGTAATTAGCGTATTTTTTTACCCTAGAAAAATCCTTTTTCTTATTTTTAAGATTTTTTTCCGCAGGGACCCCAATTCTCCGGGATTGCCAACCATGGCATAAACTATTTTAACTTTAATTTTCAAGTTGATTGGATTTGCTCGCAATCCTTCGCTTAAACAGCAACTCTTCTCTTATGCAATTCTTGGATTTGCTCTGTCCGAGGCTATGGGACTTTTTTGTTTGACTATGGGCTTTTTGATTCTCTTTGCCCTCTGAAGAAGTTTTAAAAGAAAAAGTATAGGTTGAAAGTTTGATTTTTTTGTTGTAAAACAATTTAAAGGTTTTTGTTAAATGGAAAATGAAATTTAGTTTTTGTGTTGGTTATTTTGTAATAGAGAATAAATTTTGAACTAAAAAGAAAAGAAATTTTTTTGTTTATTTTTGTTAATAATCTTTGAATATATTTTTTTGGAATTTTTGAAATTTGATAATCTCTAAAATTGTTTCAGTGGTTGAGCAATTAATTTAGAATGCCAATTTATGAATTTACAATTTATTTTAGGCCGATGGTTAAGGTATATTTTTTGTTTAGTTTGAGTTTTTTTTATCCGCAGATTAGGAGGGAGGGGTTTTATGCTGTTTATGGGGGAGGAGGAGGTTGGATTATGTCCACTGGGTTGGGTTATGTCCGCAAATGTTGAAGCTGTTTCCCGTTCTCCATTATGGAGAGGTCTCCACCCCTATGGCCCCTTTCCACCCCCGAGTCCGCTCTCAACCCCTGTGGCCTTTCTTAATCCCTGTGGCCTCTCTGGCAATTTTGTTTCTAGGCCCCCGACGGGGAATAACCATGCAGGCATTTTAAAAGATTTTTCAAAATTCAGGATTTGTTAGCTGAATCAATTAAGAAAAGCGCTTTATGTTTATTGAATCAAGGAGGTGTAATAATGAATATGCAAAGTTTGGGATATAGGGACTTACCAATGAGAGCGATTACAAAGCGGACAAAGGAAATTGTTTACACGACAAAGTTTGTTTTTTTTTAATTAATAACTGGATGGATGGGAGTTTGCTGGGCTAGACTAATTTTCGAATATATGAGCCGTATCTTGGGACTGGTCAGGAAACGGGAATTTCAAAAATTTTGGAGGCCCGGGCACGGAAACCCCAGTCTGGTTCAGACCCGAATCAGATGACCTTGTACTTCAATTTTAATATGGTCTTGTATGTTCTTCATCTACTGTTAAATCCACTTTTTAAATTTCCAGTTCAATGCTCTTCAACGTTTCCCTGCCAAAAAATTTGAAGGTGCCAACTATTGAGTTGCTCAGACAGGATCCTGATTTGGTTTGTTTAATTTTTATTTTTTATGGGAGGGTTTAATTGACTTTAGCAATAACAGAAATATTAATTTTGACATGGGGTTTGAGGGTAAAGGTTACGCGTCCAATTGCACCTTTACGCGTCCATTGGAAAGTAAGCGTCCATTCAAATTTTTTAAGTACCCAGTTCTTCACTTTAGACAAATGGTTCGGTATCGCGCGTGTTTAACATAACTATTGGTAAAAGATCTCGCTATTCCCTTAGATTTTATGGTACCTAAATGAAGAAACGGGTGCTTAATGTGACTAGACGTTTTATTGAACGCGTAATCTGGACAAGGGCCAATTTTTCATTTCCCTTTTTTAAGCTCAAAGTTTATGCTGTCGACACAAACGACTTCTCAGAACCTCCAGAATCTTGTGATTTAGAATTTATGCTCAAACCTCCAGCATATCGCCAATCAGTAGAAAATCTTCGTTTAAACAAGCAAATGTCATTTGTTGGTGCTTTCAAAATTTATAAGAAAACGGAGGCAGAATATCGAAATATTCCAAAATCTTATTTTATTCCGCTTAGCAGACGTTGAGAGAATTTGAATTGTTTGAATTTTTAATTTTTTGATAAAGGAAAAAAATTTCAGGTTTATTTTTTAATTTTTAGGGGTTTGGGGAGGGGGGCTTCCCTTCAAAAAAATTTTTTTTCTAAATTTACATTTCCTTAAAATAAGATTTTTTGGATTTTTATTTGCCCTTAGGTTTATTTAATTTTTTGGCTTTTTTGGCCACCCACAATTTTTTAGGTGTGGGTGGGTTCCCTTCAAAGAAAATTTTTTTAATTACATCTTCCTGAAGAGGCTTTTTAGAATATTTGACCCTTTGCTCTATTTAATTCTTTCTCTTCTTTTTTCCTTTCCTTTTGGATTCATTCATCTTTTAGTAGTAAAATTCTCGAGAATCAACAAAATTTAATTCAAAAAATATTTTTTAATCTCTTGGAATTTATTCGTAAAGTTGGCCAAATAGGCCAAATAATGATTTGTTCCTTCAAATAATTCCTTCCCTCTCTTTTCAATTTTTAATTAAAATCTCTCCACGCAAAAATTTTCCTAGTCCTCCTCCTTTTCTACAAACAATTCAAAATTTAAATAAAATATTTTCGTCTTCTCTAAAATTTTTATATTTATTTATTTTTAGGGTCAATATATACATATGTATATTTTCTTAAATCGATTTTTCTCGACTGGCTAAATTTTTGTTTGTTTTTGTATTTATGCAAATTCTCTTATTGTTAGGAAAAAATTTTTTCCTAAGAGACGCCCTCTCTAATCTTTTCTCTTCCACCGCCAACAGAGCGCTTTGATCCTTTTTTTTCTCTCATTTTATTTTTAATTTTATTTTTATTCGGCTTCGGTCAGTTCAATCATTCCATAGGTCCTCAAGTTTTTGCTTCAAAAAAATTTTTTTTTGTTTAATAATAAATAGATTAGAGCATGTCCTTATCATTCTAAATTATTCAAAAATAAAAATTTTTTCAATTGAACAGATTAAAGAGAAAAAAATATTTTTTTAGTTTTATTTTCGAATAAGTATTCTCACAATATATTTTTCTTATCCCCAAAAAACTCCTTCAAAAAATTTTTTATTTTTTTTTCTCTACCACCCTCAAAATATTTTTTATTAATTTAATTTTTAATAATTTATATATTTTTATAAAATACCCCCCAACCTTTTTTTCTCTCTCAAGTATTTAAAAATAAATAAGGAAGACCGCTAAGTTTTTATTTTTTTTAAAATTTACCTATTCGTCTTCACGCAATTCTTTTATTATTTTCAAAGAAAGAATGGGTGTTTTTCAATGACCCATCCACCAACCATTTATAAGTATTTTTTGGGTATTTTATTATATAAATTAGTGATGGTCGGGAGTTAAAAAAAGCCGAGAGTCGGGAACCGAGACCGAGACCGGGAATCAACCCCGAGACCGAGTCCCGGGTCGAGACCGAGAGTCGAGACCGAGAGCTCAAAAAACCCGGGAAATTTCCCGACTCGGGAACCGAGACCGGGAATCCCGACCATCACTAATATAAATCTTTCTTCCTTTTTTTGTCCTTTTCTAACAATAAGAGAGAAGAATTATGTAAGGAGAGAAAGAAGAAATATATCCCTCTTGTCGAATTTTGGGGAAGAAAAAAAGGAAGGATTTTTAAAAGGAAGGAATAAATAAATGCGTGAGGATTAAAATATAAAAAATTTAAATTTAATATTAAATATAAATTTAAAAGTTCTGACCTTGAAAAGGGTTTTTTTGAACCTTTAAAGTGCTATATTTACGTTGAAAAATTAGAAATCCTGTTAAATTTGATTTTTTTTAGAAATTTTTGTGGGTTTATTTCCTTAGATATTCCAATTTCCAAAGGGGATAACAAAGAGGTTTTTCTTTTAAGAGGGATAAAAAAAGAAGATTTTCCTTAATATATATCAAGGTCAATGTTTTGGAAAAAAATTGTGTGAACGGTCCGGTCTCATTTAATTAGCTAATAAAAATCCCTCTCCTCATCTTCTCTTAATAATTACTCTGTTTTTATATTTTCCTCAACACCTTTCCTCAATCCCCTAAATTTTATTTTTTTTTCAAAAAAAAAATAAAATTATTCGGCCCCTCTCAATTGCCCTAATTTTTATTTTTTTTTATTAATAAATTAAAAATAATTATTATTTGTTGTTGTTGACAGTTATAAATAATAATAATTATAAAAACAAATTAAATTCTGATTATCCAAAATAAAATAATAATCAGAATTACTTTAATTCTTCTATTTTTAAATTTTATTTCAAAATTTTCTTTTTGGAAAATTCAAAGAAACGAAAAAAACGATCTTATTGCCAGATACTCCAAATACATTTGTCTTAACCAAAAATCGAAGAAACCAGTTATGTATACCCGAAAACCGAGGGTGCCGGTTAACAACTAGTAAAGTATTTTAATTAATTAGGGTAATTAATTAACTAGGGTATACGTGGTTAACAACTAGCCAACAACACTAATACCACAACTAGGTTTGGGGGCCCGATTCGGACCGGTCCGCAAGATCGAGCCAGACATCGAATCCCAACGACTCGGTCGGGCCGTTCCGATAAAAATGATTTGAACATCGGACTGACTAGAAAACCCCAATCCTAATATCCCAGCCCTTAAAAGAGAAACAAGAAATAAATTTTCTTTATTAAAAAAATTTTTTTATTTACAAAATTATTGAACAATAATAATTATATTTTTTTAAAATTTTTTATTCCTCCATTCTTTTATTCATTACACTCCTTCATTACTTAATTAACAATCACTTGTTGCCTTTACCCCCTCCTTCCCCAGGCACTTCTCTCACTTCCAGCACATATTGTTTTGATAATAATAATGGTGAACTGTCAACGTTGGTAGAAGAAGAAGACGAAGATTCTTTAGGTGGAGGAGGAAGTTTTGATGGTGGATGATGAGCAGCAGCCATTCGAGAAATGCAAAAAATGCGAAGAATGTGCCAAAAAAATATTCTGAAAAATTGAAGGGGGTTGAGGAAAATTTTCAAAAAATTTTTTAAAATTTTTGAAAATTTTTTCGAAAATTTTTTAACCTCTCGAAATTTTTTAAAAAATTTTCGAAAAAATTTTTTTCTTCCTACATAATAAGTGCAGCCAATGCCCCAGCAAAAGAAGTGTCCACAAGCCTCCCATCGTCTATGCAACATTCATCCTGTAAAATTAAAAAAAAATTTTTTTTTGAGGTTTGGGAAGAAAAAAGAAGAGAAATTTTCTTTGTTTTACCTTATCTGCTGCTTCTGTAGGAATTACTGGGGGAGATTCCGCAAAAGAACCAAGTGGCACAATAAGGAGCATAATAAAGTTGAAGTTGGCAATAAATTGAGGAAATGTGTAGATTTGCATTGTTTTTGTTTTTGTTGTTGTTTGGATGTTGTGAATGTTTGGAGGGGATGTTTAGATAAGGCTTTTATAGTAAACTTTAAATTAATAAAGTTTGTAAAATTAAAAACATGGCAGAGTGAGGGAGGGAGAACCACGGCTATTTAGGGTCACATAACTTGGGAACTGATGAGCCGATTAAAATGATTTTGGTACCAATTTATAGAGAATTGAATTCTCTATTTAATAGGGCAAAAATAAAAATTTTAGCTAAAAGACTAAAAAAGTTGAAGTTAAAAAACTGAGGCGAGGTGATGGAGGAGAACCACGGCTTTTTAAAGTCAAGTAACTTCTGAATGGCTCGACCAATATAATTGCTTCTGATATCATTTTGTAGAGAATTGAATTCTCTATAAAATGACTAAAAATAAAAATTTTTAGCTTTAACATTAAAAAAGTCGGAGTTAAAAAACTGACATAATCATTAAAATTTTTAACAAATTTATTCAAATTTAAAAAATTATTTATAGCCATAAACCCCTTTATCCTCTTCTTTACTCTTTTTTTATTCATCTGACATTGAGTCAAACGTCCTTCAAATTGTTCTATTTCCCATTCTTTACTCCTTTTCATGTTTTTTTTATTGCGCGGTTTAAAAATAATTGTTGTGCTTTTCCAGAATTTTTATTTTTCTTTAAAATTAAAAATTTTAGAAATTTTTTTTAATTTTTAAAAATTTTAAAGAATTTTTATTAATTAATTATTCATAAATTTTTAAAAAATTCATAAGATTTAATATTTTTAAAAATTAAAAGTCTTCCCTTCCTTTCCTAGTGCGAAGGGAACACATTGCTTGTAGTGCGAAGGGAACATGACTTAAAATAATAAATTAAATTTTTGTTTTGAATATTTTTAGGGTTAATTTTGTCGATTTCTGGATATCAAATAAAATTTTTAAAAATATTTTTTAAAAAGATTTTTGTCATTAAATATCAAATTATATTTAATTTCTTCTACAAAAATTGCCGCCCCAAGCACCTGTCCTTTTTTTCCTGTTTTTAGCTTTTTCTCAGGAAATGAATACCCCCTCGTTTCTATTTCCGTTCAATTCTCCGTTTGGCCGGTCAACCAATTAGTTTAGCTGGCTAGCTTAGACCGCCAAAAATTTTTTGAATATTTTTTTATTTGAATATTTTTTTAAGGCTTGGCAAACAATTTATAAATTAATTATTTCCCTATTTGTTCCTGTATTTTTCCCCTATTTTCGGGATTTTTGGATCAACAAAAAAATTATTTTTTTTTGGTTTAAAAATTAATAAAATTATTTTAGTATTTAATTAAACATATTTAAAAGCAACAATGAAAATTTTTATAAAAATAATTTTAATCTTCTCATCAATAAATTCATCATTTTCTGTTTTATATGAACTAGAAAATTCATTAATTGGCCAACCAAATATTAGTTGCCATCCAGACACTATAGAAATGAGATTTAGAACGAAGCGTCCTTTTACTGGGAAAATTTATGTTCAGGTGCTTAAATAAAATTTTTAATTTAAAAAATAAAAAAAAATAGGGGCATTATAGCAACCCAGACTGTAGAGTAGACTTTGGACAGGCTGGAGGTGCTGAACACGATGGACGTGGAGGCATTCGTTTGCATCATGGATCGTGTGATATGGACAGACAGAGAATGGTTATTTAATCTTAATTAAAAAATAAATTTTTTAAATTAAAGGTGCAACCGGAAGGAATGCAATTCTCTACAGTTTTAGTTATTTCTTTCCATTCTGTGAGTTTATTTATTTTTAAAATCAAAATTCTGATTTTTTTGAGTTATAGTTATTGTATTATAGTTATTTTTCATAACCAGAATTCTGATTAATATAAAATAAACTTGAAATAAAACTAGAATTAGTATTTTTATAGTTATTTCTATGACTAAAATTCTGATTTTATTAAATTCTGATTTTTTTAATTCTGATTTGATTAAATTCTGATTTTTTAAATTCTGATTAATTTTCCAGAAAGTACTATGTTCTTTCAGAATTTAAAATAAACTTGAAATAATACCAGAATTGTTTTCCGGAATAAATAAATATATTTTCTGATTTTTCTGAGTTATTTTTCCGGAAAAGGTTTATTTTCTAAAATTCTGATTTATTTTCCGGAAAGTTATATTCTTCCGGAATTTAATTAATATTTAATTAATTATTATTTCCTTAGCTTTTCGTTACAAAAACGGATAGAGCATTTCATATAAATTGTATGTATAGAGAAGATAGTCAAACATTAGATTCTGAAATGACTGTAGGGTTGGTATTTATTTTTATAAACCTTTTTATTTACACTTTTATTTTCGCCGAAAAATAATTTCTATATTTATTATTATGGTTTCCATGGGTGATGGAATGACCAAAATAAAAATAGGGGACATTCAATTTATTGTCCATTAAACACTAAAAAAATTATTTTCTGTTATATTATTTAAAAAATTTAAGAATTAAAAATGTTTATAATTTCAATATTTTTTCTTCTTCAATTAAAAAGGGATGTAACACCAGCAAATATATTACATAATGAATTACCTTTACCTCAGTGTCAATACACAATCAGAAAGGATAATATAAATGGAGAATTGTTAAAATTCTCTCGTGTTGGTGATTTAATTATGCATCGATGGGATTGTAGATCGGGTAATTAAAAACAGAATTAATTAAAAAACAGAATTAATTATAAACAGAATTATTAAAAACAGAGTTATTAAAAATCAGAGTTATACAAGTAATTCTGATTAAATAAATTCTGGTTTAAGGCAAATATGTATAAAATAAACTTATTCTGATATATCAGAATTATTAAAAACCAGAGTTATACTATTTATAATTCTGATTTAATAAATTCTGATTTGTGTATAATCGCATAAAATTAAACTTATTCTGGTGTAAATTCTGTTTATCAGAATTTTTAAAAACCAGAGTTATACTACTTACTAAATAGATAAATTCTGAATTTATTAAAGACAGAATTTATTAATTTAAAAACCAGAGTTATACTACTTATTTAAATTCTGAATTTATTTATTTAACTAAAAATCATAATTTTTGTAAATAAAAACCAGAATTTATCTATTTAGTTAAAACCAGAATTATATTAATTTATAATTCTGATTTTATAATTAAAAAATAAATTTATTTCAGAAGACGAAAAATACAAAAATGTTTATGGAATGTTAGTTCATAATTGTTTTGTAGAAGATGGACAGGGTGACAGAGTACAAGTTATTGATGAAAGAGGGTTAGAATAATTCTTAAATAATTTAAAAAATATTTTTAATTCATTAAAGTTGCCATAAGGATCCAAATGTTCTTGGAGATCCAACATATACAAAAGAATTAAATATGGCATATAGAGAATCTTATGTTTTTAAAGTATTTTTTGAAAAAAAAAATTTTTTTTTTGAGAAAATTAATTTTAAAATAATTTTTATTTTTTTTTAGTTTCGTGATAGAATAGGCGTCAGATTTTCTTGTGAAATCAAGCTTTGTGTTAAAGCAGAAAATGGTTGTGATGGAATAACTGTGAGTAAATCAAATTTAAAAAACATTTGTTTTTTAATTAAAAATTAGTCTAGAATTTAATTTGAAATTAAAAAAATATTTATAGAAAAATTGGGAAATTAAGTTAATTTTTTATCCCTATGTAAACTTTCTACCATCTACTCTAAGTTTTCTTATCATAACTCTATTCAATATCGACCTAAAATTTTTATTTTGGTATCACTCGATTCAGCTCGTCAAGACGCATCGAATGAGCTATTATTTGAATTTATTAGTTACCCTGGTTCAATAATTACATTTTTGGAATAAAAGGGGCGGGGCTTAATTATTAAATTAATTTTACAAAAAATTTTTTTTTAATTTTTAGCCCCCCGATTGTCAAAACGATAGAGAAGAGAGTAGCAATAATATACACTTTCAAAATTCATTGGATGACTCTTCAATAGAAAATATTAAAAATATAACAAATAATTATAATAATCAAAGCTTAATTACCCCAAGAAATAGGGTAAATTAATTAATTTTGAGAATAAAATAATTTTTCTCAAAGATAAGAAAACACCGTTCAGTAAACACTAAAGTAGTAGATGCCGATTTATTTTCTCAATATGTTTTTGTTTTGGATGAACCTGTTGATGGGGAAGATGAAAAAGAGGAAAATAATTATTTAAATAATATTAAATTACAAAATTATGGTAAATAAATTTTAATAATGTAAAGGAAGAAGGGAAATCAAGCTGGCTAAAATTTAAATTGTTTACTAGGCTGTAGTGATGTTAGGGTATCCAGACTCCCGAGTTTGGCAATTTTCCCAAGTTTTTGGCCTCCCTATGTCAATTCCCGTTCGTTTCCTGGGTTTCTTTCTCCTGAACATCAGTACTAGGATGGGGGTTAGGACCTAATTTTATAAGAAAAAATGAAGCAGCTTTATCTTAGTTCAGTTGGTAGAGCTGAACTACTAGTGTTTCAGTTGGATAAAGAACGGGGATTAATCTTTTATCTCTCTCTCTTGCCATATTTTAGAGTCTAAATTAATTAAATTTATTCAAAAATCTAGGCTAGATGTTGGGATTTTTCGTGATTGACCGATTTGAAATCTTGCCTGATCCTAAAGTCTGGTATCTAGCCTAGAGTGTTCCTAACTTCCTCAAGAACCCTTGAAGATGTATTGAGAGGTTTTGAAAAGTTGAGAGGGTTTAGAAAAGTCGAGAAGCCTCAAAAATAAGATTTTAAAAAAATTTAAAGAATAAATAATTTCAATCTTACATTAGTAGATTCAAAATCCTCATTATGTATTAGCACAACATTATTTACAGCTATACTATTAATTATTTTATTTATTTTTGGAATTGCATCAGCAATTATTTTTCATTCAATTTACAGGTCTTAAAGGAAATAAATTTTTATAAAAAATTTAGAAACAAATTTATTTAGCGTCAAAGACTAACAAAGCTCTTAAAAAATAAAATTTCTTATAAAAATCCACGTCATCTAAAAAATTAAGAAGAAAATAGCTGTAGCCTAGCACAGTTTATGGGAGAGGTGAATTGCCACATATGTAGCTTATTAGTTTAAAATTTTGTTTCCTCAAAAAATTGAGAGGGAACAATGGTGTTTTTTGTTAAATAAATTCTTAAATATTTTATTTGGTTTGGTCTTTGACGCTATTTATTTGTTCAATTTTTTGTCTGTTAAAATTTTGTTTCCTCTAAAAATTAAAGGAAACAATTTTGAAGTCTTTCCCTTGGTAGCCCCTAAAGATGAGGGATGTTTAAAATAATTTTGACAGTTAAAGGCATAGGATATTAACCCTAAAAACACGTGAAAATACAGGAAATAAGGGAAGAAAACCCTGAAAAAAAATTTTTTTAAATTTTGTAGGCAACACAAAAAATATCCATCAACCACCTCCTTCCCATTTTCTACTTCCTCTTCTTCTGGTCTGGCCTATTCAATTGAAAAAACATTATCGTCAAGCTTTATTTTACCAAAAACAAAAAATAATGAAGAATTTTATACGAAAAAAGACAAAAAATGGAATGAAATAATTAAATAAATTTATATTGGATAGGGGTACTTTTAATTGAGTTTTTGGTATTTTTGGATAGAGAATTAAATTTACTATAAAATATAATAAAAATCAGAATTTCTGAAATGTTAGAAATTAAAATTCTGGTCGAAAAACTGTCTGAAATGGTTAAAAAGGGGTTATTTTGACGAGTTTATGTTGGTTTTTTGGCCATAACTTTATTATTCGGCTATATAAAATTTTGGATTTTATCTCATTTTGTAGATTAGACTCTCCTCTATCCAATGATATCAAAATTTAGAATTAATTATTTTTTCATTTATTATGAGGATCGAAATGAATGGGGTCGTTGAGTAGCATTTAGGCTTAGTAGCGTTACAAACAAACCCATAACTTTGCCAAATTGGAAACTATAGCTATATAAATTTTTACGGACATTCTCAAATGTGTTAGCTAACTAATAAAAAAAAATTAAGAATTTTTGGTTCAGCATTCCGAAAGTTATGGTTATTTTCAGAAGGCAACCTTTTCATCGTTTTTCTCTTTAATTTCTTAAAATATTTTTTTTCAAATTTTTAAAAAAATAATTTTTTAATGAGTTAGATAACTTCAAAAAATAATTTTTTGCATGATTTCATGTTCTAGATTCAAATTTAAAAATTTACAAAGATGCAACTTAATGATTAATTAACTCCCAACTAAGGTGGTCCGTCGCCAAATAATGTGCGCGGGTTTCCCTTTTAGTTTACTTTTTTTGAAAAATATTTTTTTCGTATTTTCTTTTCCAAAACAAAAAATAATATTTGTATTCCCTTATATCACTGGAACTGAAAAAAAACAAAAATAAAAAAATAGGGGGAATTTTTTCAATATTTTATTTTTGTTTGATATTTCCTCATAATAAAATAAATATATTTTTCAGACTTTTTTTAATTACACATGTTTGTCATTTTATTTCCCATTTTTCTGCCACGAAATATTTTAATGTTGGATTGTTTTTTAAGAAATTTTCTTTTTTAAATTACTGTATGTCAAGTGATTGGAGGTCTCTAATTTTTATTTTTTTTTCTCAATAAAAAAATAAATATTATTTCCATCTACCTACTTACCTAGCTTTAAAAAAATATTTTTTAATTTTTAATTCCTTAATTTATTTACATCATCTTTCGGCCACATCAATTTGTTAATTGAAACGCCCACTTCCTTATTATTTTTTGTTTTTATTTTTTTCAATTTTTTTATCCAAAATAAAAGCATTTATAAGTCACCACAAGTAAATCATATTCATTTTATTTTTAAAACTCGATAAAATTTTATTTAATTTTGTGTTTTTGTTTATTACAAAAATATTGGTGACTCTTTATGGGGGGTAAAATACATAAATACAATTATTCTGGTTTTATTATTAATGCAAGTTGTAAAGGTGTTTCATAAACCAGAATTAATAAATCAGAAATATTTTATAACTCTAAAATGAATTCTGGTTTTTAATTAATTCTGGTTTTTAATCAATTCTGATAATATAATATATAAATCAGAATTTCTTTTTTAAAATCAGAATTTAATATATAACTATAGTTCTTAATTAATTCTGGTTTTAAAAAGAAATTCTGGTTTATATGATAATATTAAATTCTGATTTATATATTATATTATCAGAATTTAATATTATTGTATAACTCAGAATTTCTTTTTTAAACCAGAATTTTTTTTCAGAATTAAATATAGCCATAGTTCTTTTATGATTATAATTTCAGAATTTATTTAATTAATTTTCATCATCAAAGATTAACCCTTTAACCTTGAACATTATATTTTACGCACATTTTAATCCAAATATTTAATGAATTTTTATGGATTTTCGCTATTTAATATTAAAATAATTTTCTTGTTTCCGTTACACAATTCATGTTACTCAAAGCTTTTAAAAATTATTTAAAAAATTTTTTTACATTTTTCTCAAATTAAAAGCGATCTTATCTTTACATGTTTCTTTAAAATAAATAATTTACAAATTTAATTGTAAGGAAAGGGAAATTTATTTTTATTTTACTTTATTTTCCGTTAAAAGAGAAAATATGTTTTTGTAATTTAAAACTATTTTTATTTAATTTTAAAAATGCTTTAATAATGGGAGGTCTCGAGAATTTTAGCCAATCATTTATATTCCCTATTAAAAAAATAAAAAAATATTTTCGAACAGAAATTTATTTTTTTATTTCCTAATTTTACTAAAATTTTTAAAATTTATTTTTTAATTATTAAAGCTTTAATTTAACTAATTAAATTAATTAATATTAAAAATGAACAAATCACCACGTAGCAAAGAGGAAGTTGAAAGTATTTTGAAAATGTTTGACAATAAAAGTAAAACATTGATTAAGCCTGGAGATGTAAAAATAAATTTAATTTATTTAAAATTAATTTAATTTTATTTAGGCTGAAAGTGAGAGAGATATAGCAATATATAGAAAAATATTTTATCAATTTTTGACGGAGCCTTATAAAGGTAATATACATATGTATTTTTTATTAAAATCAGAATATAAAAGTATAACTAAGGTTTTAATTAATTCTGATTTAATCAGAATTAATATTATGTATTCTATTAATAAATAGACCAGAATTTATTTCCAAACCAGAATTATTAAAAAATCAGAATTATAAATAAATCAGAATAATAAATAAATATTAAACATGATTCTGGTTTTTTTATTAAAATCAGAATATAAAACTAAGGGTTTAATTAATTCTGATTTAATTTTATTATTATATAATCAGAATTTATTTATAAATCAGAATATAACTCTGGTTTTAATTTTAGTTAAAAGTGTCTAAAACAATAGATTTATATTTTTTATTTTTGACATAATTAAAAAAAATACAAAATTTTTAAAGTTATCTGGGAAAATCTTCGCCCAATGCCTGCGGAAAAACAAAAATCATATGACGAATTACCCAAAGTTTTAAATGAAAATGAGAGAAAATCCTTGCTTAATAGACTTGTTGTTGTCAAATTAAATGGAGGATTAGGTAAATAATTTTTAAAAATAAATAAAAATTAAATTTAAATTAAGGTACAACAATGGGATGTAAAGGGCCTAAATCTTTGGTGGAATTAAGCAATGGAATGAATTTTCTTGAATTTGTTTTGCGCCAGCATGAGGTAAATAGAAATTAAATTCTGATTTATATAAAAATTATTTTTTTCTGGACAGACATAATCAGAATTATTTTTATTTTTAAATCAGAATTTTATTATTCAATAGCCTATTTTTAGAGTTATTTTTTGAAAATATTCTGGTTTATTAATAGGTATATAATGTATGTATTTTTAAATCAGAATTAATATGTATGATAATATTTTATTCTGATTTATAAATAGAGTTATTTTTACGATAAAAAATATATTTTATAAACCAGAATTTTAAATTAAAAATAAAATAATTAATTTTTAAAGATTCTGAATGAGGAATTGAAAGATCTAAAAGAAACAAAAGAAATTCCTTTTCTTTTAATGAATTCATTTTGTACTGATATTCAAACAAAAAAATATTTGGAAAATAGGGAAAAACCTGCAAATTATGTTGAGTGTTTCAGTCAAAGTAGATGCCCACGCATTTATGCGGATACTTTGGAGCCTGTTCCAACAAAATGGGATGATTGCCCAAATGATGGGTAAATTTCTAATTTTTTTTGAGAGAAAAAAAATTCAAAAAAATAGATGGTATCCCCCTGGCCATGCAAACATTTTCCCAATTATGGCCCATTGCGGATTACTCGATCGTTTATTGGCAGAAGGCCGTGATATTGCCTTTTTTGCTAATATAGATAATACTGGAGCTGTTTTTGATGAAAGAATTGCTAAGGTATTAGCTGATGGAATTACGGATTATATTTTGGAGGTTACACCGAGAACGCCTGCTGACGTTAAGGTCGCTTCATTCACTAAATATAGGTCCCTAAATAAATTTAAAATTTAGGGAGGCACTTTAGTGGAAATTGATGATGGCTATAGACTCACACAACTTGAATGCCCACATGTCCCTGATGGTATATAGAAAATTAAAAAATAATTTTTTAAAATTATATAATTAATTTAGAGCACCAAGACGAATTTCGTTCTTTGAAAAAATTCAAGTAAGAAATAATTAATTAATTAAAAATATTTTTAAATTATAGAACGTTCAATACAAATAATATTTGGGTGAATTTGAGAGCTGTTAGAGAGAAACTTGGGCAATTGAAACTTGCTATGTTGGCTAATGAGAAGGTGAGAGTATAGTGAATATTTAGTTGTATTTATTATTATAATTATAAAATCAGAAATTTAATTCTGATTTATATTATTCAGAAATTTAATAATTCTGAAATTTAATAATAATTAATTCTGATTGGGAAAAAACCAGAATAATATTTAAAACAGAATAAGCTCTTGTTCGGAAAATATAATTCTGGTTTATAAAATAATTTTCTATAAAACAGAATTTACACGGAATCAGAATTATAGATTATAGTGTTAATAATATTATAAAAAAATATTTTTTCAGAAATTATCAAATGGCCGCCCTATTCTCCAACTTGAACAATCCATAGGCGATGTTATCCGAAATTTCCCTGGCCGTGCTTTAGCTGTCAATGTATCAAGACGGCGATTTTTGCCAGTCAAATCAACGAGAGATTTATTCCATCTTCGCTCAAAATGTCTTTTTTCTTTTAATTCTTCTCTTTGTTTACTACAAAAAATAAGAGAAAGTCCCCTTCCGGAAGTTATTCTTTCAACAGAAGAATTTGGAGCTTTAACAGATTTTGAAAAACGAATTCCAGAAATTCCAAAAATACAATCTAATGTTGAAAAGATTGTAATAACGGGAAATGTATTTCTAGGCAAAGGAATACAATTTAATGTAAGTTTACTCTTAATAATATAAAGCTATACGAAAATACAAGGGATTTTCTGATTTAAATAGAGGGACTAAAATTAATATAAATACGAATAATTAAATATAATATAACTCATAATCAGAAATAATTAATATAAATATAAATCAGAATATTTTATAGAATATACTTATAGTTCTAATCAGAAAAATACACATTTTAAAAACCAGAATAAAATTTAAACCAGAATAAACATTAACAAGTTTATTTTGAATTAATATAAACCAGAAACCAAAATTCTGATTTATATATATTTAATTTCTGATTTATATTAATATTAAATAAAATCAGAATTTCTGGGTTATATTAACATCAAATAAAATCAGAATTTCTGAGTTATATTAACATTGAATAAAATCCGAATTTCTGGGTTATATTAACATCAAATAAAATCAGAATTTCTGGTTTATATATCAAAATAAACTTATAAATCAGAAGTTTATTAAAATAAATTTATAACTCAGAAGTCTATTTTGTATTTTCTTTATTATTTTAAAAATACAAAAATTCTGATTTTTATTAAAAAAAACTTTTATATGTTACAATTTAAGGGGAAAAATATAGAAATAATAGCAGAAAAGGGTAAATGTATTAGCATTCCCGACAATTCAATTATAAACTCAAAAGAAGAAGAACATAAAAAACCACAACAAAATGGTTGCTGTCAACAAAATGGGGAAGTTAAAAATAATAATAATAAAGTTGGCAAGATTTTGGTTGATGTGAATGGAAATGACAAGTATTTACTTAAGGAAGAAATTATTTAAAATATAAATATTTTTTTTAATTTTTTTGTTGCCTTTTTCCGTCTATTTTTGGGTTGTAAAAAGGATTATCCTAATTTTCTGGGAAAATTTTGAAAAAAAATTATTATAAATTTATGGGGTTCTCCCTTTTTTAATTTTGCCTTTTTTGGGATTATTCTTTTTTAAATGTATGTATTTTTTATTTAATAAAAGTAGAGAGAATGTTGCCAAATTAACAAAAATTATTTAAAATTATTTTAAAATATTTTTGGGAATTTTTGGGAATTTTTATTCCTTCTGCCTTATCACCTTTCTTATTTTCACTTATATTTAAATTATTTCCATTTTATTTTTTAAATTATTTAATTTACTTCCTCTTAACAATTTTAATATATTTAAATCTTTAAAAAATAATAATATATTTACATCTGTCTTGTATTTATTTTTCTGAAATATGTATACTTTTCTGTTATTATTACGTAGTAGACTTTTTACTTAATAAAAATGTAATGTTTGTTTGTAGTACATATTTTATTTGTTCTGAATTTTAAAATTCTGATTTAAAAGAAATTCTGATTTTTAATAAATTCTGATTTCTAATATTCTGATTTTTGATAAATTCTGAATTTTTGAAATTCTGATTTTAATAAATTCTGATTGTAAAAATCTGATTTAAAAGAAATTCTGATTTTAAATTTTCTGATTTAAAAGAAATTCTGGTTTTAAAATTCTTCATTTTAAAATTCTGATTTTTATAAATTCTGATTTTCAGAGTTATTTATTACATAAACATGCTTCAATATCTAGCAAGTTTATTAAACACAGACCAGAATATAATGCAAAATACAATTAATTCTGATTAAAAAATACATTTTACTTTGCGACCAGAATAAGCAAAAATACAATAAATTTTAAAATTGTGTTTATTTTGTATTTTACTTTGTATTATTTAATTTCTGTATTTTATACTTTGGTTGAAGCATGTAAGCGGAAATTCGCTCAAAAATTAACACCTGTTAAAAAAATTAAAAATCTTTATTTAAAAATTAAAAAAAAATTTTTTTTTCAAGTATAAATTTTTTTTTGAACAATTTAATTTCCTGTTAATATTTCTTCTTTTTTTCTAGTAATAAAATTTTAAAAAGCACACTCGTCTGTTTAACTTCCCTTTTCACAGCTATTCAATTTCATATAGAAAAAAGACGGATTACTTTTTTTTTTATTTTTTGAAACAAATGAGTGTCTATTTTCATATAAACATTTTTAAAGTACATAAAATTTCCGGAAAATTTTTTATTTTATATTTAAAGATTAAAAAACAGAATTTTTGTTTGTTAAATATAATTGAATATTTTTGGTATATTTTTGCGTTTCTGATTAAAATAAAGAGTAAAATGAAAATATTTTCCGGGAACTTAAGAATTTAAGACTAGAGACCGGACTGGGAGTGTCGTACGAGAATCGAGACAAATCTTGAAAAATCTCGATCTCAATGTCGATAATAGAGATCTCGGTCCGGTAATTTTCTTTAAGGTTTCTTTCTATCCACACCTTTAAAAATCCGAGCTTAAGACCGGAAACGAAAAACTTACTAAATCCTGAGACTTAAGTTTTTCGGAAACTAAGTTTTGGAAATTTAAGAACAATAAATTTAAGTTCTGAAAACCTACATAAATAACCTAATAATAAAAATTTTAAAATTAAATAAATTTTTAATTTTCTGTTTTAAATTTATTTTCCTAATTTTTGGATTTTATTTCTATGGATATGTGTTTCTGATAAATTTTGTATTTTTTGTATTTTTTTACATTTTTATTTTTAATGTTTCTTTCCGGAAAAACTTTTATTCATTTAATTTTTAATTTACAACTTTCAAAGGCAACTATTCCCTCCAAACATTTTTATTTTCCTTATTTTATCAAAAAATATTTTTCTTTAATTAATTTTAACCGAAAAAAAAGTTTTGAGTAAACAAACAAATTATTTATAACGAAAAAAGTTTGATTAATTACTCTCTAAAGCTATGTAATTTTATTTATTTTTTGTTTTAATTTAAATTATTTATTTTTTCTTTTGTTTGACTCAGTTCTCTTGACTTACTTCCCACGCTTCTTCATTTTTTTATTATTTTTTTATTTTTTTATTTTCTTGTTAGACTTGGCTTATTTTTCATTGTTTTAAATTTTATAAAAAATAGAGAATATTTAATTCCCCTATTTTTATTTTTTTAAATTATTAAGAGACTTTCCTAGCCCTCCTAAAGAGAGAAGAGACCTTTATAATTTGTCTCAAGTTAGATCTTCCCCTAAGTCCCCATTATTTTTTTACTTTAATTTATTTAAAAGATATGGATAAAAAGAAGCTTCAAAAAATAAAAATTATTACCTGACTTTATGGCAGAGATCAGAAAGGTCTCCTTGGGAGGAATCTTGTGAAGTCTCTTAATAATTAAAAAATCACAAGTCCCGATTATTTTTACTTTTGATTTTTTAAATTATTAAGAGAATTTCACAAGATTCCTTCCAAAATAGACCTTCCTAATCTTTGCCATAAATCAGATAATAATTTATTTTTTTGAGGCTTCCTTTTATCTATACCTCTAAAATAAATTAAAATTTGGATTTTTGATAAAATTTTTGATAAAAATAGATGGTCCTAATCCTATTATTTTATATTTTTTCTATTTATATTTTTTAATTAATTAATTATTAAAGGCCTTCCCAATATGATCTCCCCTTTCCCTTTCCTATGTATACCTGTCTCAAGTGATTAAAATTTAATTTTCTTTGAGGCTTCCTTCAATCCACGCCTTTAAAACAAAGCTACTATAAAATTAAAAAATTTTAATTTTTATTTAATCTTTTAATTTTCTATATAAAAATTATTTTTATTTTCGTTAAAATAAAATGTCTGTTAAATAAAGGAAAAAGGCAATTTTTAATTGTTAACTGTCAAAAAATAAATGCCATAAAAGACAACAAACAAAGGTAAAAAACATGCCAATTAATTCCCTTTACGTTAACAAAACTAGAAAAAAATTGTTATATTTATTGACAAAAAAATTTTTTTATTCAGAGAAAATGGCATTTTTTTAAACTTTTTTGTTAAATTAAAAATTCAAAAATTTTTTTTTTGTTAATTAAATTATAAAATAGGATTTTTTCTATGTAAGGGCAATCCAAAGGGTACCGGAATTTTCCTCTTTGGAACTTTCATCTCCAAAAATTTTGGTCAACAACTCAAAAATCGGAATATTTGTCTCCAGGAATGTTAGGCACGGGGAATTGAAGGCGTCGGAGTGAATTTCTTGATTTATTCCGCTGAGACGAAAATTTCGAAAATTTGGAAACGAAGTTCCAAACACGAAAATTCCGTACACCA